GGGAAAGGGGTTAGTGCAAGTAGGGCCCAAGAAAAAGGCACATGGCAATAGGGCGTACACAGATAGCTTGTCCGCCTTGATCTGATATGATATTCTCCTTCAAAACGGTTGTTCACCGTCGAGCTCAATACCGCTGGCTCGTTTGCTGGAAACACTGGTCGTAACTCAATCGCTCCGGTGGCCCCTTCTGTCGTGTTGTCCTTTGCGGCGGCTGAACCGTTGGTTGCTGAGCTGCCGTTTGTAGAAGGGTGAGGAACAGATGGTCCCGGAACACATGGTCCCGGAACACATGGTGCCGGAACACATGGTAAAAAGTAAAAGTAAAAAGTAAAAAGTGGGCGTTCGCTAAAACGTCACTCGATCAAGTGAGTGCCTCCCCTGTTGAAGCCATGAAACTCGAATTACTTCCATTTCGTCATGACGCGTGGTGGTAGCACACATACCAAGCGGAGCTCGATGCCTTTTTAGGTGCATTAGGTTTACATACTGCAAATCATTTCTGAGCTTCCCAGAAAAATATAGAAAAAAAACGGTCGAGCTCGTGCGCCCGTCAGCTTAGAAATTTTGAGCTTTTCTTATAAATTGGAAACCGTAAAATGTTTACCTGCGAGTGTTATGGGATTTTATCGGATTTATCCGAAAACGCAGAAGCCACATTGGCAATATTTTTCTGGGACCATTTTTTCCTAGTTTGTACTTGGGACCATTAATTCCGGGACCATTTGTTCCGTTTCTCTTTGTGGAGCCATCGTGGTGGTTAATGTTGTGGATGCCATTCCTTGTGACGAGGCACGGTCATTGTACGTGCCGCCGCTCCGCTATTCGCCGAGATCCCATCATGTGAAGAGCTGGATGAAGTGTCGTGCAAAAAAAAAAAAAAAAAAGACGTTGCGCGCGTTTCGGCGTACGTTCCCCTGCGACGCGCGCCTCGAACGCGCGGCGCCGCTATTTGCCGAATTCAGTCACGTGAGGAGCGGACTCCGCATGCCGTGCAGGAAAGCCGGCACTCCGGGGGTGAACGCTCAATTCAGGCTCCCGTAGGGAGCCTATTCGCGACTCCAGCGACCTATAGGGGGCGCCACCACCAAACAAACATGGCGGTTGAGTCCAGGTCGCGTCGGCTCGGCCGGGCCACCTGAATGGGTGGCGCATTCAATTTAACAATTATTCTTTTGTTGAATGCCCAATTTTATGGGTATTTGAACTGAGACAGTTAAGTTTAGCTGGTGCGCATAAACTTGCCGAGCATAGTTTTGTTTTGCCGGTGTTTTTTTGTTCTTGTCATGTCAAACTTTCGCTGCGGAGACTTCGATCAAAACCGAAACTATGGGCTCCGGAGAAACGGTAATAGACTCTAATTAGTTTTCATCATCTAAGGAAAGCGGCGAGGGCTACAAAATTGTTCCAGCAAGAGTAATGTTTAGCTAACTCGCATGCCTCGATCATGCGACTTACCTGTCCGCGAAATTGAGCTTTTGTGCCTGTCCGCGTTTCAAGAAACAGCTGCAGTCGTGTGCTCGGTCAAGAACACAGGCTGCAGGAAAATTACGAAAATTAAGCAAGCGCTTCTTGAGCCAAGGAGCATGTCAACTCGCTGGCACTTCACTAAGCAGCTGATACTCGTATTTCAATTCAGGTTTTAGTAGCAATCGATAAGTCATTTTGATAAATATGCGGTTATGTATTATATTACGTACTATGGTCCCACTAAAGCGATATTAGTATGTTCTTCGGGTTGAAATATGAACATAGTTGACTAACTATTAGGGTGAACTGCTGAATAAAAGTATATTTGACAGACAGAGAGATACTACTTAAACTTAGCCAAATGGTTCTAGCCGGTAGAACGGGACGAACGCGGACAAGCTGAGGGGAGTCTTCATCGGAGATTCACTCAGACCTCTCTGCATTAAACTTGACTTCAAATCCTAAACGAATAAAAAAATTTTTTTTTTTTTTTTTTTTGTGGCCGGTTAATTTGAGCAATGTAGACGTATATTGCTGCTGGATTCGACAGGGGTTATAAGTATTGGAGGCGCGATAGATCCTAATGACGTGACAGCTTCTATCTTTGCGAGATGCGTCCCCCACCTTTTGAAAGCAGATAATTTCCCTCATTAATCATGTGCAGCGAGCAGGTTTTCTGAATCAAGTAATTGCGAAATTAGCCCAACTCCTTCAATGTGGTCTTTTTCGGCGAAAAGCCGCCAAGATGAATAGCCAACACACCGGCCGGCGTTAGTGGCTCAAATTAACCTGAAGCTAATCCAGCACCACCAAACTCAAGGAAAGCAGCTGTCGAACCTTCCCATTCACTTGACTGCAACATTGGTGTCCTCTCCACTAAAACACTTCGTCTGTCGGCCTCAGTCTACTGTTCTACATCCTTATAAAGAAACCGCTTATCAGTTACCAAGCAGTCATCACTTTGATTGTAATTAGAGACAGACGAGAAATCAAAACGTTTTTCCGTGATTCCTCCCCATCCAAAAAATTGAAAGCACGAGATCGTGTGTTGTGGAATAAACGGGCTCTCAAACACGTGATGGAAAGAAACAATCTACTGAGGCTTCACCACACTAATGAACACTCAGGCAAACTTAAGAAATTTTCGGACCTTCACCAAAAACATTGCTCGCCGTCGCGCCGACAGCACGTGTCCGCGAAAGCCACCAGAGACGCGGCGGGGCGCAGAGCGACCTGGACCGGCTGGTTCCCGGTTTCTCCGCTTGGCGGCGTCCGTTTCGCTGGAGTCGCGACCATTTTGTTGTTAGTTTTTTTTTTTTTTTTCAAACAAATTTATTAATATGAAGGATTACATCGCAACCTGTTAAAGGGGCCCTGCAATGACTTTTTTACTAATTTTTAATTTGCACCGAACCTGAGCGCACTGAACGTAGTAACTTTGTGAAACTTTTTTTCTCGAAATTCCCATTATTTTAAAAGTTATAGGCAAATTAAAATTACAAAAACAAGCAAAAAATAACCTTCCTCATGACGTCCTTGGTTGCTTGAGAGTGGCCGTGAACTAGAGGAGAAGTAGTGAGCTCATCGAGCGCTCTCGGCTGCCGCACTCCGTGCCAACGGCGCGAGAGGGCGCAATTAAAGCATGTTCTGCAGAGCCGTTTATACTGAGAGAGTTTGGCCGATGGGCGGAGCTTGTTGGCCGCTAGAACAAGCGGATTTCGCGATAACACAATATGGCGTTACTTCTTTGTCTTGTTCATTTCTGAGAAATCGCGTAGAGTTCCTATGAGTCAGAGCCACAATATGGCGGACGGAAGTAGTCATCCCCCGGTTGTCAGACTACGCTGCTGTGGTTGTCAGACTGTCAAAATCTCCTTAAGAAGGCCAAACTCTCTCAGTATAAACGGCTCTGATGTTCTGGATAGGCTGTATGCAGCGGGCAGCCAGAGCGGCTCTCATTGCATTTGCTGCGCGATTAAATACTAATTCGGCATGACACTTCATCGGCCACAAACGACAGCAAACACGGGGTAAAGATCAGTTCACAATGGGAGCTACTTTGCACTGCCATACCGCGAAACGGCCAAACCGCAACACAAAGCTTCTCGCCGAAGGCCTTCGGAACGCTCGGATCCTCCTGCCCATACGACCGCAGCACCGCCGCGTACATCCGGAACTTTTTCGTGTCGGCGCCTGATCCCACTACTCCTTTCTAATATGCGCCGCCTTTTCCACCGCTTGGTGGCGGGTATGTCGATGGGTCATTTCTTGTTTCCGTACTTTATGAACTGCATTCGTCTCTTATTTTTTTATCTAAAATACTGAACAAAAACTACTTTTTATAAATAATTGAAACGGTTCGCGCCACTTATATTTTGTATTTCGACCAAAAAGAAGTCTTTAGCGGCTCTGACCAGTAGTAAGCTCAGGACCAAAAACGTCACATTTTGCGCGCTTTCGATACCGCGGGTCGCCCTCGTCGGTGGAGGAGGTTTCCGCGTCGTCCGGTTAAAATATGATGCACTGATATTTAGTTACTCTCTCCGTGTCCGCTGGCTTGCCCAAACCCCAAGAGACGTGGAAACCGCAAAAAAGGTAGACGCTTAAATATGCCCCTTTAAGGAGATGTCAGCATGGTAGGACTTCTGTGCTTTGCACATTTAAGGGTCATGTAAGTCACACGCCAAACAGCTCACAACAACAAAATGAAGGACGAAATTACGTCAGTGAAAACACCCTATTCAGGAACTCCAAGTGACTGTATACATCAGCACGCTGTTTGAAGCGATCCAACGTGATCGAGCCCTTCGCAGGGCGGTGCAAAGGCTGCTTCTGTTATAAAAACCGACAAGAACATCATCTCCGCCGCCGGTTGCGATACTTTTATTTCGCCATACGTTTCTTCTGCCCTTCGTTACGAACTTCCTATAAAATGAAGTTCGGTCGCGCTCGCCGATCAAGGTTTTGTCAGCTAACGTACAGCCCGATTTAGCTACGCAAACAAAACATTAATCGGGATCATGCTCTGCGTAAGTCCAACCGGCTAGCAAAGTCGCGTTCATACCCTGCCTTGCTCTGTTTAGGACAGACAGGACTATCGTCAATATTCATTCCAAATGCGGTAATCAGCACGCTGTTTGAAGCGATCCAACGTGATCGAGCCCTTCGCAGGGTGGTGCAAAGGCTGCTTCTGTTATAAAAACCGACAAGAACATCATCTCCGCCGCCGGTAGCGATACTTTTATTTCGCCATACGTTTCTTCTGCCCTTCGTTACGAACTTCCTATAAAATGAAGTTCGGTCGCGCTCGCCGATCAAGGTTTTGTCAGCTAACGTACAGCCCGATTTAGCTACGCAAACAAAACATTAATCGGGATTATGCTCTGCGTAAGTCCAACCGGCTAGCAAAGTCGCGTTCATACCCTGCCTTGCTCTGTTTAGGACAGACAGGACTATCGTCAATATTCATTCCAAATGCGGTAAGAAATTTAAGAAAGTCTAGAAAATTAGGCGCCTCCACACGTTCAGCAAAATATGTGTGAAAAAGCTTTATTTCCTCCGTAAATAATAAGGAAGATGGTATATGTATCCCAAATTCCAATACACTTACAACAGAAGCCCATTCAAAAGGGCACGAGACCAACAAAAAAAAACTACACAGTTCATTCCCGTACATAAACACGTTGCCGTTATTACTCCAGGTAGGTGTGTCATGGACGAAAACGACGAGGACAAGCTGAAGATGCAGCCATGGTCTTGCGGAACACTGAAGGTGACTTTGTCACAAGTTTCTTCGCGTCAAGAACGGTCGTCGGAAAAGGGCCGACTATAGAGCCACTGAATATGCCACGCCTCGGAGCGGCAACACTTCAACCAGGTGCTCCAAATCGTCGTCGCCAGCTATGCACTAAACCACTTTCTGCAATTGTCTATTTATGGCCATGACTCAATCCATGGGCTCTAAGCGTTCTAAAAACCAAACATTATATGCATGCGCGGCTGATGTCTTTTACAATTGGTATTGAAGATGGACTACTTCAGAAATATCGCAGACGAGAGTTTTTCCTCATCAGACGGTGCCCTCTGGTGTCCGCAATAGTTCCGAGCTGATCGACCTTCGATACCGATTTCAAAAGAGGAATTAGCCACACATGACAGCCTCACAGTCTAAAAAAAAATGGTGAAAACCAAATGTGAAAATCCAGTAACTTTGCAAAAATTCATGCCAGCTAGCATTACCAGGCCATTAAGAGCCACCATATTTTAGGGTTTCTCTATCTTCCATCTATAAATCAGGCAAAACTTCATTTAAGCTCTGATCTTCCAATATTATGACAATGAATTTGTACATTTAATTGACGCAGTTTCCTTTCAGTGTAACAAAAAAAAAAAGCAGTTGCCGCGAGACTGCGGAAAAAGAATGGTTGGCAAACACATCACAATGCTCGTTGCCGAAGCAAGGAGCTGGGACGTCCAGGTAAGTGAACAATATTTATCAAAGAGATTGCGCGAAAGGTTCGTACCAGACTGGCAGTGCACAATCGCATTGTAGATCTAAGACTCCAACTTTGCAGGGACCGATGTCCCTCGGGCGAAACTATCGGTACGAGAGACCTCCAATACGGCAGAAACTTAATGATCGTAAGATGGCGCTTTTTTCTTGCATACAGTCTGTTGCTCCCACTCTGCACCATGCACCAAACTGGCGGCACCCGCAGGAAAACCAGGGAACAGAGTGTCGGCGCTCTAAGTGTAGATCACTGCGGCGGCTCTAGGGCGGGTCCTTCAGTCCGGGCTGAGATTCGAAGGCACGTCGGCCCGTGTCGTCGCGCGACTCAGCGTCTTGACTGTCGGCCGCTGGGCAAGCCGTTGACGCACTCCCCAGAGCGGGTCCCACACGCTCTCCGTCCCGCGGAGTGCGCCCCAGGTCCATGGTCGAGCGCGGAGGAAGGGGTTCCGTTCAGCGGCGTGCCGCCACCCATTGGGTCACGAGTACTCGAACGCCTCCGTGCCGAAGTACCGGTCCCCGAAGTTTCCTGGAGAAAGGGGACGCCAACCACGGTTCAAGGCCGTGCCCACCAACGCGTGTGCTGCCGCCCTTTGCGTACTGCCCTTCAGCATACTTTCGCCGGATGGCGGGCACCGCACGTGCGTCCACGACCCCGCCGCCAGGGGCGGATCTAGAGGGGGCGTCCGGATGTCCTGAACCCCCTCTTGATTTATTCATGTGTAATATTTAGGGCTGAAACGAGGAAAAGGGGGAGGGGGTTCCTAAACATATGGTATGCTGACCAACACCTGATCCCCCCCTCAGGAAATTCCTGCATCCGCCCCTGCCCGCCGCTCAGCATTTTCTGCCTGCGTGATGAGTGCTAGGAAGGTGATTGGATGATGAACGTTTCTCAAGTGATTTCATGCTGCGCGCATCGCTCTGCCCAATCGCAAGGTCACGTGATGCTTTTTAAGTTATGGACTGACTCCTGCGGCTCGCAACGTCTGTCAAAAGGTGAAACAGAGAATTTCAAATTCCCTATGATAAGCCTAAAATGCCGAGTCACTGGGCTGAGGCAGACGCGTCTCTAAGTGTAACAACGTGACTGGCTTGTAACCGTGGGGTTGTGGGCTCTAGTCACGTCGGGACGCGTTTCAAATTTCGTCCCTTCTTTTCCAATAATTACCATTTATTCTCAATGATGCGTTCTTTTGCACAGGTTGTCCCCCGAGGCACATGTTACACGTTTTGTGACGGTAACGCACGTTTGACCGAAAAGAACTTTGAAGACCGCGCGCATGTGGCCGAGCTCACCGACGCCAGGCTTGATGTAGAACTTCTCGTTGATGACCGGGTCGACGGCCGTGGTCACGATGCGGACCTTGGGGAAGGCGTAGGCCACCGAGTGGACGCCGGACTCTGCCATGAGCAGCGAGCAGAGCATGATGTTCTCCTCGGGCACGTCGTGGTCCAGCAGCACCCGCACCGCCATGATGGACGCCGCCCCCGTGGCCACCGTGGCGTCCAGCAGCAGGATGCGGTAGTCCTGTGTGAGATACGTTGTCGCAGACAGAAAAGGATAGGCGAGTGTAAAACCAAAGATTTAGTTTTGATCGGCAAACTTGTGCCAGAAACAAAAAGGGAGAACGGGCATCGAGAAAGCACCGGCGAGCGTCAAAGGCAACAGCAGCGAGCTGGCTAGCGCAAGTGTCTGTCGTCGTCGGGAGAGTGAGTTGGCAAGGCCACGCTGGGCTCCCTATCTACGACACTCGATACATCAAACATTCAGCCTAGAATGTTCAAGCGTTTGAGGTAAGAGTAAACACCAATCTTCTCGAAATACGGAGAAGCATTCGCTCTTGGCTATGCATGAGGCAATATATACCGCGACAGCCCGAGTGATCGCCCACCCCCCTGCCGCCAGAGATTTATAAAAAAAAAAAAAAAAAAGGGGTGCGCAATGTCTCAGTGGGTAGGTACAAAAAATTGAGAAAGCTAAACATAACGCTAATTTTTTACAGCGAAGCTGTATATGGCTAGGGTTCCATGGATTTTTCATCTGCATCAACAAAAACTCGCAGCACCCTCTTTTTGTTGTTGTTCCAAGCGCTTGCATGCCTAGTTTCCTCCCGCTCCTCCGGGTGGCGGTCCCGTTGCACGTGTCTAATTTTCTTTGGCTCCTCAGGGTGGTCATAGTCGTCCATGCGAATGTATATAAAATCTTTGAGCTTTTCCACTCTGGTGAAAAAGGAAGACCACTGAAGCTGCACTATGGTGGGACGACCTCAAGGACGACGCTTAGAGGATGACATCTAGGACGACCTCCAGGACGACTTCTAGGACGACCTCGAAGACGACGCCTAGAGAAATTCAGCCTTTCCACTCTGGTTTTCACCAGAGTGGAAAGGCTGGAAAAGTTGCGGCCATCTATAAGCGAGGCTGGCAAGCCCGTTGTCTGGTTGCTGCCCACGCTCATAGATGGCGGTAGCTGTCCAGCGTTCTGTGTCGACATTTGTTTGGCACCGGACACGATCCCCGGGAACCTAGCCCTTAACAGCTCCGCTGTAAAAAACTAGAAAGACATGATGCCTTTCACTTTTCTTCTGTCGTCGTAGTGGGGAGGCCACGTATAGTCCGGACTTCCTAAAAGCAACGCGCCTACGAAGAACAAAGGCGGGAACGGCAACGAGAATCTCAGCAGCGGCGGGTGGAAAACACCAGCGATGAAAATCATGCATAAATGTGTTTGTAGCTTTGTTCGAAATTCTGTCACATCTGTGTCGTGTGCTAAACAGCTTCGCTGGTTGTCCACCTTCACAGAGTAGAATGCCGCACGATTTTTATTTGTATATGTCTAGAACGGCTGCACAAGAGGTATACGAAACTCAAAACTTAATTAGTTTCATTGTTTTATGCAAGAAACACTCACAAAAGAATGTTTGACTTAGAAGCAATGACAGCAAGGTTTGTTGCTTCTATACGTGCGATGAACATTGCCAATCAGCACACAGCACGAATGCTTGTTCCGTGAAAGCACGTTTCTTACTACACTATGTTCTCTTTGTTAGAAAAAAAAAAAGTAAAAAGAAAATAGATAAACCAACCAGGCAGAATAAACGAGTGGGCAAAAGAATCGACGAAGAGCGATGCTGGGGAAGCAGGAAGGCCGGCGATTGGATTGGCAAATACTTCGGTGTCGGGCCAAGTTGGGCACTTTGACAATCACAAGGAGCAGGCAGGCTCTGGTGCAACTTTCTTGCTTCGTGCATACATGCGTGTATCCGTGCACGATGTGCTATCAATGCGGGTTGAGGCAGCGTTACTGCGTGGCGTGGACGGCATCACGAAAACTGAGCTCGAAATGGGACGCTCTACAAACGTCTGCGTGCAGTGTTCCAGCAAACCTTGATTTAGCCATTGGCTTTGTCTCAAACGTTGCACAACCTCGCCAACTGCGGTCGCAATGTTTTGGAAGAAGAGGCAGGTTTGCAGCGATTTCGGTGGAGACGGACTTTGACCTTACACTCCGCAATTACACTCCAGGATTTGGGGTACCCGCTGACCTTGTGATCCCTGAATAGGTTAATGCTTGCGTTACATTCCCAATTTTTTTTTTTTTTTTTTTGTCTGAATGAGTTTTTTGGTTGTTTTAAGCAAAACGGTTTTAGTTTGTTATCTCCATCGTTTTCCTTTCGCACGCATGTACACCAACTTGGGGGTCGCGGAAATCAGGGAAGAAATGTGCGAACAAAGTAAAGTATTTCCCTCCTTAGTTTTACTTTGTCACAGATGTCCTGCAACCGTAAGGTTCGCGGCCGCGTCGTTCGGGTAGGATGAATGTTTGCAGATCCAGAGTCCACGTTGGGGTACTTGTAGGCGTGGGCGATCACGCCATTTTATTTTGGAAATCAATATTCGCCGAAAAAGTGAGGTGGGTGATGTCTCGCGAGATTACGGTAGGTCAAGAATACAGCACGGCTAATGCCGCAACGCTGTCAGCCAGATGAGGTCCTACCGGCGAGCTCCCGAGTAGCCTTAGCTGACGGCGTCTCCACCGTTCAGGCGGTGTAACTGAGGAAAAAAACAAACAAAAGCAAAAAAGTGCCTCATTCACAAGGCACCCGCCGTGTGCTCTTTCCGCTCGGAGCGTCTGCTCTCACCTTGACGGACGCTGGCTCGAACACCGCACCGGAGATTTCTCCACCTCAACACGTTCGCAAAGCTGTTACTGAACCACTATTGCCGCCGTCGAGGAACGAAACTAGGGTCAATGGCAAAGCATTGTGTAAACAACATGCGTGGCATAAGTGCCAAGTTCTACATAAACCGGCGCATCCAGAAAACTTAAAAAACAAGCGTGCCTCCCATAAAGAAGTGTGGGGAACCCGACCCGCAACAGACTGCCATTCGCCGCACATAGAGGAGCCACCAGGTGGCGCTGCTTGCAAACGAGGTAAAGAGAGGACTTTATCTGGCAGATGCAACGCGCGCAGTGTCCCCATCTATTTATATTTTACACCGTGGGCCTGGGGCACATTTCAACATAAAGTGAATGTAGGGTGTGTTCAGATAAGGATGGTTATAGTGGTGTCATGTCTATTTTTTGTTTTCAATTATTTTTTTAGATAGCGAAACATGTCCACACAATGGGAAAAACCTTACTTTTTCAAGATACTTCCTTGTATTTGTGAGAAAAATTGCATTCAGGGGAAGGTTGAAACAACGATTTTCTTAACTGCACAATGATGCAACTTTGAAGGCCGGAGGAACAAATAATGCAGCTTTCTACACCACCAAATTTTATACGCTTAATGCAAGCATAATTTACTGCCAGAATTAGTTAAAGTTCACTTGTATGAGCATATATTTCAAGAGAAATAAAATGCCAAACTTGGCTTCTTAAGCAAAAATTACATAATGAGGCCATTTTTCTGCAAATTTTTAAGTCGCTTAAAATTTCTATTCTAAAGCTGAAACTTTTTGTGTCGAGTGTTTAATGGTTTGTGATTTTTTAGCAAATTAATTAGCGTTCTACTGTTGAAAGTATTTTCTGCATTGTGCCCTGAAATTTCGTCAAAATGCTGCAATATTTGTGCCGCAATTAAAAAAAACAATCATTTTCAATTTTTTTTTTAATTTTATCCGATGGGCTTCTATTGATTGGTATTTATAAATTTGCAAAAACATAAAAAGAAATGTGTAACCAGGTCATGGTTGCATCAAATACCGCTGGGGCGTTTCTGTCTTAACGACTGGTGGTACACGAGCGACGCATGCCACAGTATCCATACTTGGTCATATTAATGCCCAGGCGCCATGAAGAACTCTAGAAATAACACGTGAACTTGTTTTCATCGCTGATGTGGCTTATACCGCCAATGAATTCTGAACTTTACGGCACGTCAAATACTTTTTAGGGTGTTATACTTGGCTGGTTAGATGCTCATAGTGCTACCTTTTCAGAAGTACTTTTCTGACAAAGATTCGTCCTTTTAAACACCGCTAGGACCGAGCGATGTTGCGGAAGCCTTTGGCCCGACTGATAATGGGCGCGGCATGAACCGAAGGTTAAGCCGGTGGTATCCTATTGCATTGTAACGCATGGCGTAGCTAGACTCTAAGCCAGAGCATAATTGAAGACGGCGGAGGAAATAAAGTGTTTCTCGATGCAGACTTACCGCAACAATTTCAGTAGGGCACCGAGTTCTCAGTAAATATATTGGTAAAAGGAAGCATATTTAAAATTCCGGGAGGTCTATATATTTTTTTTCTTCCCATTATTTTACGGGCGGTTGGTCTAACAATATATGATAATACACAAAGAGCCTTATTGGACTGTTCAAAATAAAAAATACAAAGTAAGCATACCAACTTTTTTTGTTTTTTTGGGGATTAGTTGCATGCGACAGCATTACTATATCAAGTTTATTATGGATTCTATGCGCTTTTTTTTTTGTGTTTATTCCTTAACTTTTTATTTGCTCAAAAAATGCTCAAAACGGTGCTGCGGGGTGTGAAAAAAAGAAAAGAGAGTGTCTCGCTTGACATTTGCAAAAGAAACGCTAAAGACCACTCTACAGCTTGATAGTTCACAGAAGCTTTAGCAGCCAGGTGATGGGACGCTGCGACGACAGTGACGCTTGCGTTCGCTCGTCTTTTAACACAAAATCTGTTTTACGGGTCTATTTCTATGACAAAATCGTCACGGATGAGCGCATGGACAATCGTCGTGGACGAGCGTCACGAACGAAGGCACGCTGGGAAGGTTGCACGACATAAAGGTTAATAGTGTATTTACAGCAGAACATCATCGGTATGTTTTTCAGGGGACCAGAAAAACAGAACTTTCAATCCGAGAAAACGTAAGGAATAAGGACACCACTTTGGGTGCGCATAGATGAGAAAATTAGCAACTGTCACAAAACAATTTATTTTACAGCAAAGCTGTTTATGGCTAGAGTTCTGAGGATTTTTCGTGCAAATGACCAAAAATTCTACGCTTGCACCGCACCCACGCGTCACACCGCACCCACGCGTCACACCGCACCCACGCGACACACCGCACCCACGCGACACACCGCACCTACGCGACACACCGAACCCACATGCCGCAAGTGCTGGCGTCTGCAGCAGTAACTGTTCTAAACAAAAACCTAAAACAAATGACATCTTGCATGCACTTTCATCAATGCTTTATTTTGGTTATTTACTTAGAAGGCATGCCGGTGTGGTGCGTGGAACACCATTATCTGCATTCTCCTATAAAAAAAAACCAGAAAGACAAGATGCCATTCTCATTTTTAAATTTCCCTTCTCTCAACGTAATGGGAAGGCCGCATACAGTCCGGACTCCCGAAGTGCAATGAGCCTACGAAGAGCAATGGCGAAAACGGCAACGACAATGTCGGCAGCGGTGGCGGGGCGGCACGTGGGTGTGCGTACCTTTTGTCACAATGACGACCGATCAAGACAATAAATCTGCTCGTACCTTTGTTCAAAATTGTGTGCCACGTCTGTGTCGTGTGCTAAACAGCTTCGCTGGTCACCCAGCTTCACTGAGTGGAATGGCTTCCAATTTTTATGCAAACATCTGTAGATATGAACTCAGATTGGCTCAGAAAAAATTCGTAAACATTTGTATGTGTAAACGTAAATAAACGCACAGTAAACGTTTGTAGGCACGACCTTAAATATGTTTGAAAAAATTTTGTAAACATTTGTTGGAGTGAACTCTGACACCTTCAGAAAAAGCTCACAATTTCCACCTGGCACTTTGGGTGACTGAAGAGCGGGCAAGCGACTAAGTACCGGACTTGCGGAGGGGCGTTTGCTGATGTCCTCTTCCATTTGTCCCCACGCAATCGTGCGCAACACTTCGGTACACTAAAGCTGCAAAAGAGGTCTTGCCGGATGACGTGTCGTAGAACACGTGCAGGAGAGATTGCAGCATGCTAGACGAGTTTTGACTGAAGCTTCTTTACACGGACCCGGATAAGTGCCAGAACCTGCAGCATGTCAGCCGGGCGAAGATTTCGCAGGTTCTCTCACATGTGGTACGTCTGGAACCAAGAACTGTGCGACAACACAACAACTAACAAAACGGAACAAATCACAATAATGCACCATCTTTGTGTTGCTTAGTAAAAAAATAATGCATAAATGAGAAGGTGCTCTTCTTGGACTTGTCACAGGAGTTGACTCAAAAAGCTTATTTTCTGGAAACACCGCACTTTCCTTTTTGGCAGTCTATTTCGACGTCTGCAACGCCACTGCTGTAAAACGTCGAAGTAGTGACCATTATTTCAACGTCCTCCCTCAATGCAGCGATGCAGTTATCACTGGTAGTGGTGGTAGCCATTTTGTTCGTTTTGTGATTTCATCAGTTTCGTTTCGTTTAGTTTCTGATAGTCTGGTGCGAATAGTGAATTTTGAGTTCGAAGCGAATACGAAGCGAATAGTGGTTTTGTCCGAATTTTTTCGATTCGAATATCGAATAGTTTTTTCACGCCTTTCACTACCATTGCATAATACTTAGACGAAAACCCAGCTAAAGTTGTGAAGGTTGTTCCACTTGTTTATTTATAAACTAAGTTTGATCTATCTATATTTATGAACTGTGACCTCAGAAGGTCTGGTGTCTTGGGATGGCAAGTAAACGACGGATTTGACATAAAAGGATTCCTGAGAGATGGCCAACTATACCCAAAGGAGTGAATTTACAAATCTTGCTATATAAAATATACTTTCTTTAATCTCGAGTTAAAAAAGAATGAATCGTGCATGATGAACGCAGGTTGTAAGGGCAACTCTGCCTAACATAGTATACTCTTGCATAACAGTTCAATTTTGAAACTTTTACTACAATGTAGATATCTCACAGTCGGCACAGGTGCTCCATCCCGCTTTGAATGTATGCTTTACTTCCAAGCACACAATTACGATATTCATACTTTTTCAAGTGTTTGTTGCGGCAGGTTACCCTTTGAGTGCGCTTCTTACCACACACCGGTGCACTGCAGAGAAGCAACACCCGCGGAGCTCGCTTCCGCGGGTATTGCTTCTCCGCAGCACACCGGTGCTTGGTGAGAAGTGCACTCAACGAAGCTAACCCGCCGCAATCAGCACTTCGCAAAAATTGAATAGTGAAGTTCTTCTCGAAGCGAATATCGAATTGTGTATTATTCGGAACTACTATTCGAAATTTTGAATATTCGCACAACCCTAGTTTCTGATGATGTTGTCGGTGTTGTGTGACGTGTTGACGGAGTCGTGTGTAGCGTGCCTAAGAAGTTTCGGTCCTAGTGCAGTGGAGGTCAGCGTGTATGCAGCACTGGCTCGACAGTTGACCCTTTCGGACATGACACGGCCGGCGGCTATGTTCTGAGGTTGCACGTCATTTAGGTACCCGTTTCACCTAACCTTTTTGATGTACAACAAAGGCGAGCAGGATATCTCTCCGTCTTGCCTGCACGTAACAAATGTAAGTATATACCCTATGTAACACTGAGAACTTTGGCACGCTTTTGTGCCTTCATATCGTGCGGGCGCGTATTCATATGGTTGCAGTCTTGCTTTGCATCTGGCTCCCGCCTTGTTTTTAACCGGATTTCATGAGTTAGTTGTTTAGTATAGATTTTCTTTTTGGTTCGTTTACAACGAGCGGGTTAACTACGAAACAATCAGGATGATAAATAAAAGGTAGTGAATGTAAACATTGCCTCCTTGACATTTCTTGACTTGTGCGAACGGACAAAGGTTCTGGCGCGGTTGTACGAGATACGCGCATTTTCTAATGAACTGCAGATTTTATGACACGACATTCAGCTCCTTTGTCTATATAAAGCAGGTGAAATAAATCATAAAAAGCAGCGGTGCCGCATTCTGCAATATTGAGCACAACCAAGCAAATGTTACATGTGGCCTAATAGCTAACATACTTTGAGAAGTTGTTTTTTTTTTCATTCCACATCACTTAGAGGGTCATAAAAGCTTCAGTCGATGGTACATATGTTCTCGGAAAATGCGTGTTGAACCGCGATGCTGTCTACGGGCAAGATGGTATTTGTTTGACTGCCACTTTCTATTAATTTCTATTCCGATATAAATGCTGAAGTGGTCGAAGCTCCAAAGAATGCCGAGATGTCAGAAACAAGGGGAGAGAAATACTTTGACTGCGGACGTCAAAATGATTTTATAACCATTTTCACGTCTTCAGGAAGTGGCGTCAGTGATGTCAAAATAATATTGCAAATTATTTTGAAGGTGGACGTCGAAATAGTCACAGCTTTTTTTTCTTTTGACAAGCAAAACAAAGATGGTGCATTGTTTTCTTTTGTCCGTTCCGTCTGGTAACTGGTTCGTTTTGTCGCGCGATTTTTGTTTCCACACATGAAGAAAGCTGGAGGAACCGTCCCCGGCTAACGCACTGCAGGTTCCAGCACTCGTCCAGGTCCGAGTCAAAAAGCATCTGTCAGAACTCGTCTAGCACGCCGCGCTGTGTCACACACAACCATCCAGCCTCTTATCCGGCGAGACCAAGACCCAACAAGCTTGGGCAAGACTTTTTTGCACTGTCGTGTATTGAAGCGTTGTGAGAGCGTGCGTGGGAATGAGAACACCCTTTCGGCGAGCCCAGGACTGTTGCATCTACTCTGACCCTCCTCAAGCGAGAGAACACTTGTGTTACGCCTTGGGTTAGTAAAGATAGTTTCGCTTCGCACTAAGCCTCTCACGGTGTTCAGTCTCGCGCGGCACGTCAGCACACAATGGTTCTTTCTCGTATTAAAGCAGTAGCGCCGCGGCTGTAGCAACGAACGTTGCACCTGGACGACGGTGCCTACGCGCAGTCATCAAGTGGCTAGGTTGATCCTCGCTGTCCCTCATCCACCCCTCCGTGAAAATGTGCTCAAAAGGTGAACGATCCGCAAACGCGTCGTCACATGATCAATCCATCTGTGAATTGGTTCATTGTGTGAATCATTGTGTGAACCGGCGGTCGGCCAACGTCGTCGGTGCCATGTCGGCGGCATTCTGGATGTAAGAACTAAAAAAGCAAACGCGCTAGGAATTAAAATCTGCGTTCCTGCGAAAGCTCAGTGGGAACGATGCTTCTGAACATAAAAGCCGGGAAAACACGAAAACTGGGAACATGTCAATGAAATTCCACTGTAGTTTATGAAGGCCCATGTGAAATCAAAAGAAGAAGGAAGCGGGGCCTGAACCGGGTTCGGCGCAGTGGCAGTCGGATGCCATAGCCACCAAGCAGCGAAGCGAAGCTTCTCTGAAAGAGTATTTTATTTGCATGAAAATGTTTGAGTAAAAGAAATAAAATAAAATGATAAATAAATATAAACCCATCAAAATGATTAAATAAAAACAAATAAGTTATAATTAAATAAAATTAAAATAAGACGAATAAATAAACAAATAGGCCTTTAAGATGGAAAAATCTAGCACAAACCACACACGGAGTGTGCGGGGCACATTCTAAGCCCCCTGGGAAGTGTCTGCGTGATCAAGCATAACTTTTTGCCCAAACTGCTATGGCCAACCGCCGGGACCGCGACATCCATCAACATGGCGCGACGTCATTCGTTACCACTTAGGGACCACTTTCGACGACTGGGCGGCATGGAATGTCCAACGCGCTGGGTAGAGGGAGGCGCGTACCGCGCAGCCTGGTTGCGGCGTCTCACCTTGATGTCCTTGGGCAGGCGCAGGTAGTACAGCTCGGGCTCGCCCGTGTGCTGGTTGGTCTGGATGAGGATCTTGCCCAGTCGCACGTCCTTCAGCACGTCGCACAGGGCCTGCTCCATCGTCTCGCCTGCCCGCAGAATCGACACGCCGCAGATCCGCCCTGCTGCGCTGCGCTTGCCCTGGTAGCTGATCCCCTGCGCGGCACCGCCGTGCATCAAGGGCACCCGTAAATGTGTGCGCTGCTTTTGGCGCTCCTCGGTGACGTCGTGGTGCAAACCGGCATTGACCGAAACTGTGGCACAATGTCAGGTAGTGCAACATCAAGGTGTCGCTTGGCGATCAGTAAAGGATATGGTCATGTGACCTTTCGTTCCACGACGCCACGGTGTCACATGACGTCTGGGAGGTACGTGACATCCCGGTGTCACATGAGGTCAGTGTTGCATGATGTCGTGGTGTCACATGACATTGTGGTGGCACATGGCATCACATCACGGTGTCACATGACAACAATAGCAAATGATGCCAGTGTTACATGACATTACAGTGGAACATGGTGTCACAATGTCGCATGACGTCACGGTGCAACATTACATCACTATGGCACATGTCACGGTACCACATGACATCACAGTGGCATATGAAGTCACGGTGTCAACACATCAGTGGCAGATGAGGTCACGGTGTCACAAGGTATCAGTGTCACATGACATCACGGTGGCACATGATGTCATGGTATCACATGACATCACGGTGGCACATGTCACGGTGTCAAGACATCACGGTGGCACATGAGGTCACGGTGTCACATGACATCATGGTGTCACTTGATGCCATTGTTACGCGACATCACAATGTCTTGATGATGTCAAATGACGTCAGTGACATGACGTCGGGTCACGACACACGGCAACACGACGTCAATTTCTCGTGATATCAGTATAACGTGACACCATGCGTCAGCGAGGCTACATCCCAGGTGTGGAGATGAAAGAGAAGTGAGGTGGCCCTATAAATGCCACATATAAAACGAGAGGCAAATTTTGGTGGCCTGTGCGTTAAGAGGGGCACCTGGCATTTGCCAACAAAGGATCGAGGAGTGCAAGTTAGACCACCTGGATGTCTGAACATGTTTAAAAATCCTCACCTGCCAAAGCTACAGAAAGAAAAGTCTCTGCACGATGCACTTACGGTGCCGACGACACATGATTTCGGTCCAAAACTTGCGGCAAGCAGAAGACACATGGCAAACGAGCTGGCAGCGCCACCACTACAAGGAACGTCGGACACTGACCTTAAACCCTTTCTGTTGTACGACGTCGGCATCTACGGGAAGTTCCACAAACGAAGTGATCTTTATTGCTTCATCATATGACGGACCACAGCATTCACACGGCATTCACATTGCCGCGACCCTCCCGAAGGCCAAGCAACTCTCGAGCGGCATTGGACTGGCCTAGACGGCTGGTAGCATCATCACAAGGTGAAATGAAGTGTCCCAGAGCAGCCGTGTTGAAGCAAATTTTTAGAGGTCTATTTTCTCTGCTCCTCTTGGAAAATGCTAAACAAGTAACCGATAATTCAAAAGTAATGTTTTCTGAGGGGTCTCGGTACTTTGGCAACATTTGCCGGCTCTAGTTGGCACGACATCACGTGACCTCCGAAGGAAGCCGAGGAGGTGCCAGAGGTGTAGTTCTGGCGACTGCAGTGGCGGCACTCGTACCTGCGGGGTCTCGACGACCACCTCGCTGAAGGGCAACAGGGACAGGGTGTGCTCCATGAGGAGGCGCATCAGGCGCTTCGAGTAGAAGATGAACTCGTCCCGCTGGGTCTCCCGGTTGCGGATGAACGTGTGGATGCCCCGCAGCTGCGGCGTCTGCGGCAGCAGCTCCAGTGTGTTCGGCAGGGGCTGGCCCCCGTGCGACTCGGCCAGCTTCGAGCGCAGCTTCACCCCTCTCTGTCGGAGAGAAGAGGCATCGAGATATACAACGGTTTTTTTATGATATAAATATAAAACCTTTCCTGCAGAAATTATCTGTAAAATAATTTTTATTTACTCCTTGTCTATCACTCTATGATTTCTATGTGCATTTGTCTGGGATTTATATCAAAGAATGATTGAACAAACAAAATTTATATCAGGTTGAACACAAACAACTCTTCTGAGCAAATCGAAGTGTAGATTTTTTTCCACCAGCCACGTAAGGTAGCTACTGCATGCAAATCAAAATGCAAAATAAATAAACCAAAACAAGAAAAGTACTGCCCTCTTGCAAGCAAATCAGAATACGAAAATAAAAGCAAAAACAGCTTTTCAATAACAAAAAAGAAGCTACGTTTGCTCTAGTATGGCAAGTTTACATCAATAAAAAGTTGTTAAAATTTACTTAAGAAGTTTAATTGTACAAAAATCCTTTTATCCATGCTCTTTTCAGTGATCAAAGAGATTTCTCAATTAATAACACACAAAGTGATAAAGAATTCCCTTTTTTCTAGCTACAGTAACGTAACTAATCTGATTTACTTAATTTTTTTTAATCATGTTTTTTTTTACGTTGCCCACCACACTTCATACGAAGGCCAAGAGAGAATGCAAGCCTACGCAGAGGCGTGCCAGAGACTCCCCCACCACAGCAAACAGAGAAAACGTGCGAGATCGGTCGGCCACTACAATCGCCGACCGATTATTTGGACTCTGAGGGGTCCCCCGAAATGGTCCGAATAATCGAGCAGTCCGAAAATTCGGTAGATGAAAAAACTTCCCTTTATTACGCCTAAGCAGGCTTTAAAAAGCCATCAATAGTGGCTTGCGTCATGGTACGCCTGCTCGCGATGATGTCTGCTTGCATTTGCGCAAGCGTCGCATTCTCATTGTATATATTCAACAGCAATGTTAAAGGGGCACTGACAGGGTATTTATGCTCGCCAAGGTTTTTAGGTGCACATGACATATGGGAGCCCAACTACCCAGAACACAATTTGCGGCTTGCAATTCAGTTTCTTTCCGCCCAAAAACCGCTGATCAAGAACTGGCCGGTTCGAGTCTAGCTCACACTCTTTTCCGTTGTCACGGGCCTTTTTCTAAGGTTTCAACGCAACCACCATATTTAATCAAAGTCGTTGGTCACTGAAGGCACACACTGAATATTAAAAATAAAAAAAATATGAAAACAATTTTTTGTGGCTTCTAAAAAGCTGCAAATACGTTGATTGAAAAAAAAGAAGTAGCACAGAGAACCGGAAGCATTCTGTGCATGCGTCGTTTCGCGTATCGTGGGGACGGCGATGACAGCGGACAACGGGCGTGGGACCTCTACTACAGAACTGTCGTTCGCAGTACTGGCAAGTTCTGTCTGCCTTTAAAAGAGAAATTTGGGGCTGATCAAAAGAATTGGTATTCATCTTGTACGACACGCCCGACCACCGAGCCGATTTGGACGAAGATGTCGCCGAGCCGTCGCTCCCTTCTCGTGGCTAAAGACATCGCTCGCGCAAACGTCAAGCACCGCACGAAGTGTGTACTTCGAGTTGAGTATGCACGCATATGATTTCTTTACTAGGTGCGAATGTCGCCAAAGCGTGGTGCTTCGACTTCGACCCGGGAGTGCTTTTGCTGGAGGAAAATGCGAAGCAAACTTTTCATATTACAGTTTACCGGCTCTATTTTTACTGAGGAGGGAGTTCCCCCAGTAGCTCAATGGAACGACAACCGCTTCACACGCAGCAGGACCGGGTTCAAACCCCAGTGAAACCAGACTTTTTTTTTCTTTTTCAGACATTTTGCAATGTTTACATTTTTTTTTTACCAATTATCACTGAAGAAACAAACAAAAAAATAAACAAATGTTGTGGACGAAACGTCGCTGAACTAAATGGTATGGGATTTCCTCTTTGACACCTGCGAACTCAATGTAACCACCACTTTCCACAAAATGCAAGGAGCATATAAATCAGGTAGCGTCCGCTTTCCGAGGTGCCTGTAAACATTCTCCAAGAATTCCAGCCAGCCATTGGTCCCGATCCCGTTGATCTTTCGAAAACTCTGTCGCACAATGCCACTTTTTTTCGGATGCAGGTGAGCCAGCTCTTCACGCAACATTTTCGGTGTATTCATTTCGGAGCCGATCGTGGAAATTCACCACAGGCACTCACTACTCATCTCCAACTCCTCAATGTACAAAACAACTCATCTTGAAGTACAGAACAGCGAGCGGAACAAACGTAACTGCAAAAGAATCGCACAGCAAACAGTTCCCGCTACGCTGCCACGCATATCGTCTGCTAGGCAAAGGATAAAAAAAAACAAAAAAAAAACACACGTTCGGGTGTAGTTTTGTGACTTCCGCCACTCACTCTCTCTCCTCTCCACTTCTTCGACCTCCTTGCGCGGGTTTCGGTTTCGAGCAGCTGCATCTTCTGGCTTTATTAAAAATATACGCTACTCTGTTGCAAAATATTAATTGGGTAGTCCTCTGACACCATAATAAAGCACCTGGCAAAAAATGAAAAAAAATTTTGGGGGCGTGTCAGTGTCCCTTTAATGCATTCATAATGTCCGCTGTCAATGGCTGCGGGCGGTAGTCGTCGCAGTCGTCAGAGTCTCATTGTCTGCTGATGCGAGGAATGAGATGAGAGGCGCAAATCCACGAGCACAAAATGGCGGCTGGCGACGCAAAAGTGGGGCTAAAGTGTGGGGCGGAGGCGCGAAGGGATGGAAGGAAACAAAGCAAAATGATAATGATGATGATGATGATGAAATCACCTTGCGGTAGGACTCAGGAGTACAGTCGCCGACCATTATTCGGACTTCGCAGGGACCGAAAAAACGTTCGAATAATAGAGCAGTCCAAAAAATCAGCAAATTGAAAAACTTGCCTTTATTACTTCCAGTGGGTTTAAAAAAGCCCTAAATAGTGCCTTGTTTCAGGTTACAACTTTCTGTTAGCTTGAGAATCACTGCCTTCTTTTCTAGCGTTATGGTCGAGTACTTTCTGCTCTTCTTAACGACACATCGCGGCGGCAGAACAACAGATGGGGCCATGACGTCCAAGCCAGCGCTGTCCGAACCAGATAAGAGGCGCAAATCCACGAGCGCAAAATGACGACTGGCGACGCGAAGGAACGGAAAAAAGCAAAATGATAATAATGATGATGATGATGACGTGCAGCTAAATGGAAAAAAGGGCTAGCATAGTGTCACCTAGCGGGAGTAATCAAGTAGCACTACCAAACCAAGCCAATCCATTTGCAGCCAACATAGAATTCAAAATGGTCGCTTCTCGATGGTGTTTTCCGCTGATCGCTTGCGAGGATTTTGTTCGGATTTTGTCCCGTTGACGTCGTTATAACGAGAGTTTATCATACATAAAATCTTCTCACTGGTGCTATAGAGCACACCATATTATCTTAAGCCTAAGGAAACTTCGAACCTAAAATTCAAGGTAAACACTCAAACACTATAACCAAGTGATACCAGGAAAAAAAAATTTGCAACAGTTGTTATTGGCAAGATTTTGCAGCAGATCCCAAGGTATTGGTTCATGTAAGTTGTGGCATGACATGTGGTGCCACAAGAACACGTCCCACGACGTCACATTGTCACGTGAAGTCACGCTGTCATATCACGCAACATCACAATGTCACGCAACTCCTTGGTGTCATGAAACGCCGTTCTGCCCCCTCAAACCGTCTGCAACCACAGTGATTAACCTTTTCTGCCGTTTTCCCCATTCGTCCGCACACGAGCAATTTTTGGTTAGCATCGTTCTTGGTGCTGATACACCTTGGAAGCACTGTAGGTGGCTCTGCCTACAAAAAAAACCTCAAAAAGCACGATCGTGAACGTACTCAAGTCACAAAAGCCTTCGCTCACACCATTTTGATCTTGTCTAAGTAGTCCCCACGCTCCGACTGAGGTTATTTTGGCCACAGACAAGGTGGCTACTCAAATACAAGCTCGTCTCATCTCCGCACGAAAGCCAGCAAGCGCAAACGTCGGGTACCAGCCGATGCTCCTTTCTGTCGTTGACTACTACAGCTCGCACACAGGAACACGAGCTAGCCAAAAGAGCAATGCCTGTCAATGAAAAAAAAAAAAAAATGGTGCAAAGGTTTACCGCTACGGATTTCCGCGAGATTTCAAACCAAATGCACATTGTGTGAAACTACCCTATGAATTGAGAGCCCAGAAACCGCAGTTTAGCGCGTCAAGGACGGCACGTCGAGCACGATCGTACAGTCGGCACCAACTATGCCAGGACAGCATTCTGGCGGCTGTTGTACCAATCTGGCCACCTCGAACGACACCGGCCCTTCCGACTAGCAAGTGCCCACACCCCGCGAGCTTTTTATAAAAACCCCGCACTCACCGACACGAGTTGAGTGTGGACGTGCTGCACTATCAGGTTAATGGCAATCTGGTTTTCACCACCTAAAAAAAAAAAAAGAAGCACATAACGTGTTTGCAGGATTCTAACACGCCCCCAATTCTAACGCGCAGGCAGATTTAGCTTCTAAATATGCAAAAAGTAAATTGCTGCCGATTCTGCCGAGCAGGTAAAACAATGAAGGCTGAAGACATACCTCATAGAACTGATTTTTTGAAACGCGCACCAACACAAAAATAAATACCGCGCACTAGTCGTCGTCAGAGTCCGACGACGGTTCTTTGCTGTCCACAGAGGTAATCCATGCTTTTGTCTAAAGCGTTGTAGGTGCCATGCTTCTTGTGCTTGTATGAGTGCGAGGCCATTGCCTCTGGGAGGGTCGTCTTCCAAATAACACTTTGCGAGCTCGTCGGGTCACTGGGACTGCGAGGCCACGCAGTGCTGCTCCGTTGATATCTTTTCTTGCCAGCGTGATGGCCTTTCAGTTTAATTAATCCTCCTAGTGTATTTTCTTTTGTTTTTACATCTTAAAACGGCAGACACGAGTCCATAGACAAAACAGAATGCATGTGATACGAATACAAAAATGCTGAATGTAAACAAACGGTAACAATGGTGATTCGGCTAGTCACCTCATACCGAGTATCACGTTTCACTTTTGAGTTTCGGTTTTTAGTTTTGATTGTAACACGCTTGTAGTTTTAGGCACTAATTTCGCTGGAAAAAAGTGTGCGTAAATATTGTGCGAGCACGGTAAAACAAAAAGAAATGTTGAGTAAACAACTTTTCTTTCTGTGGGCTGGGAATTTCGCAGGCAAAAGTGGTGCGCTACGTATTCATTGCAGTCGAGCAATGAATCCGAGTAATCCATTATTGACAATGTTTTTGTTTGTTTGTTTTTTTACTTATGAAGTTCACGATAATTAGACCTATGCAAAAATTATGTTGGTTTAGTGTCACAATTGCAACGTTAGAGCCTAAAGGTGCCATAGCCTGTTGCAGGTTAAGAAAAGTAGGACAAGCTGTTCCCCCACAAAGCCCACTACTCTCTCCACTTTAGCAGAGCAAATGCTGGAGAGGAGTGGAGAGGAGGAAACCACCAATTGTAGCGAGCAGAAAGCTTTGTAGGAGGGATCTGTCCTGCTATTCTTAACCTGCAGTAGACTATGTTATAGATGCAAAGAAAGACGACGAGCAGCTTCACACTGTCAAGACTCACCGAAGCAGAGACATGCACTCTTCATGTACACACGCGAGAAACATTGCCTAGGTGCGTGACGACATTGATTCGTAGAACAGGCCTGCTCGGTTCTACTAATTCATGTCTCTCAACCGATCACAATGCCACACAGTTTAAACTATCAGTGGGTTGAACTATGCACCGAGCCCTGCCTGAATCGAACTAAACTAGATCGGCCCAGATGCTCCAAAACTGGAGACTTCACAACAAAATTTGTGGGGCAGACTCTCCAAAAAAAGTGGGAAGGGCTCGAAACGAGAAACCTCCCAAAATACAAATGGGGAAAAACAACTACAGTGCCATTTGGCCTCTCCACTATGGGATGCACTTCGAAGGGTGCGGCTAATTTCTTAAACTCGTTGCTGCATTGCCACAAGGGTAAAGTTTAAATTCGTGACGTCAAAACCATTCTTTTCAAGCTCATTCCTCGTGCGTGCGAGCTAAAAAAAGTTACATGATAGCAAGCTTTTGGATTTTATCTTACGCCGAGGCTTACAATGCTTCGACAAGACAAGGATCTGGAGCGAGAAAACATACAAAAGCAGCAGCAAAGAGACAAAAGGACAATTATGCAGCGAGAAGACAAGGAAGCAGCATGGAGACAATTAGAGAAAGGCAAACATGCAGTGAAGGGACACAAGGAATACTATGATAAGATAAAGAAGCAATGAGAAGAAGACAAAGCAGCAGCAAATATACACGAGAAGAACCATGACAAGACAAAGAAGAGAGAGAGCATACAAGGACACTTACCGCAAAACAAGGAAGCAATAAAGAGACACACAAATGCAACCATAACAAGACAAAGGTGCAAAGAAGGACAACCGGAACTAGACAAAGAAGAGCATTGAAGACACACAAGGACAATTATTACGATACAAAGCAACAAGGAGACACAGAGGACAACCATGACAAGACAAAGATGCAATGAGAAGACAAAAATGCCCATAAAAGACACACCAGGGCCATCATTCACAAGACAAAGCAACAGCAAGGAGACACACAAGGATGGTTTGCGTACCCCGGGGCACAATGAGGTCTGCGTGCACCATGGTGGGTGCAATGTAGTGGTCGAATGCGGGTTTCACGAAGCGCTCGTACTGCTGGAGGCAGCCCTCCAGGTCCCGGCCTCGGTCCGTGATGTCCCTCTTGAGACGGCGTGCCAGGCGGATGTCACTGTCCGTGTCGATGAACACCTTCATGTCCATCATCTGCGAAGAACGGGAAACAGGCGCTTACGTATGCTGCTGAAATAAGGCGACACAGCCCCTAAAAAGCTACTAAAAAGGAAAAGAAAATTTTTTTTTTTTTTTCAAACTTTTTGGTTGGGACATGCAAATTAATAAATTAATTTTATGTCGAAAAAAATTTTTTTTTAGAGCAATATTGACGGCACGAGATTTATTTCAAAATTCTGCACACATAAGTCCATGACGTCACGGAATTGTCGTACACTCTTTCCACCTTAACGTGATGGCCAAGCCAATGCACCTCTCCTCCACGCACCCAAAATGCCGAGAAGAAACAAATGGAAAGTCCGACGTCCAACACCTTCTCGATGATGAGGCCACGTTGACGGATTTTTGGACGTCAACTACCTGAAGCCAGACCAGGGCACAGCTTGAACGAGAGTGCGCGTCAGCATTCGGCTGCAATTCGTGGCCTCGTGTCCTCGCCGATCAAAAGCACGGCCTCCGCTAGGCGACGCAGAAAACCCGCAACTACGGTCTACAATAGACCCTCGTTAATTCAAACTCCACAAAGCCCCGAATTTAGTTTGAATTATCGGAAGTTTTAATTATCAGAAATTCATCTAAATATGATGCGAGATAAAATAATAATTTGCCACAGGAATAGCTGCACATAAAAAGCAGATATTTTATGATTCCCTCTGCAAGCATACTGACCATAAGCAGGAGGGTTAAGCTCGACTTCGGCGAGAATCCCTCCGAAGTGACTTAACGGGGGAGGGGAGGAGCTTCTTTTGACTCCGCCCCAAACTCCTTTTACTTTTCTGACACCTCCCCGGCGGCGGCGGCGAGTTCCCCAGCGTAGCTCCGATTTGCCCCTACGCTCCACAGTGAAGGGTTTAATTAGATTTAAACCGTAAATGACAGATAAAAATCGGTAACAGCATGGATACTAATTATAAAAATAAAACTTGGATATGGGCTAGTTGGTTAGACAATGTGATGGTTTGCTGTGCTGCGTAGATGCAAGAAAAACGCACTTGATGAAATTTAATCTAAAATAGAGGCTAGAAGAAAAACAGCATACATGAATGGCAGAGACTAACAACTGTGTAATTTCTTTCTCATCTTTCTCCCCCCACACTGCCACAAAGCCACAATAATTTTTCAAAATACGGTGGGGGGGGGGGGCAGCAGAAAGATGAGAAAGAAATTACGCAGTTGTTAGTCTGTGCCATTCATGTATGTTGTTTTTGTTTTATCCTTTAGGGGTATCGGTGGCCGAGTAGACTAGCGCACACCAACAAGTCGGAGTACATGGAGCGAAAGCTCACACTGCAGAACCCAGGATCCTGGGCTCAATCCCCACCCCTGCCTGTTTCAATCTGGATGAGCATCGTACCGGCATGTGGTCGTCTATCACTACTGCGTGGTGCACGTTAAAGACCACAAGCTAATGGTTGTATTGCACCATCTAAACTGCTCGTCTACAGCTGAGAGACAAGTCGCTCGTTAAAGGCAGACTAGCTTCCAGCTGTATAAACATACACACACCAATTTGCTTTTTTTTATACTGTGTTTTAGTTTAAACTCTATCATGTGCGTTTTCTTGCATCTACGCAGCACAGAAAACCATCACAATAATTATAAAAGCCTGTAGGTAATGATAAATTGTGTTCCTGGCTGCAGATTGCCGTAAAAACACATTTGTTTGTAGGATTCACAACGTAGACGACGGTCTGTGCACGGCTCCATCGTTTCAAGGCCGGATCACCAAGCAGTTCATCGCACAGCCACCTGACCACGTCTTTGAAGAGGCAATAGTGTTGTTGAAGATCATTGCCGTCCATGTCAAATGGGTTCGCGTGGCTTAAATACCTATGCCGACGGCGAAACACAAACAAAAGCGCTGCCATTATGAACGCTTCTCCCTTATCTTGCGCCAACTCGCGTAGGTCGGAGACGGCAAGCTTTTCCTATTCTCGGCGGCTTCTGCCACCTCACAATGACGTCACCGCAATTCGCCGTGAGTTTTGAGAAACCGCCCTCTGACCGCCTCAAACTCTCCGTTGTGACGTCACGACCTAGGGAGTGACGGCGCGTGTCGTCACGCACGGCACTGACCAATAGACCATTTGCGATATCCCCCAAGTGCCCCGGCCCGCGCTAAAAGAATCATGGAAACGGTGTTCCTTCAGCCCCTTAGTGATCGCTAATTTCAACCATATTCATAGTTACACAGGTTTTGAGCATAATTCGGAGTCACCCTGAACAAGCGCCTGATATACTTCAATGACCCGTCATATCGCTTTTAAAATTTCTCCTTAATGTCAGTGTTTTTGATACTGTGCATGTTGTCCACCCTTCAACGTGGATGGGCTGCAGAAATCTCTTACATTATTATCATGCTGATATTAAGTCAGAAACGCTAAAAATGCTATAAACAGCTCCGCAGATTCTGAGCTAAATCCTGGTTTTTGTTGTTGTGAATTATCGGCTTTTTAAGCAATTCCTGCTCAAACAACAATCATGAGAATGATAATATTGTAAGAGATTTCTGCAGCTCAGCCAGCTTGAAAGGTGGACCACATGCGCAGTATCAAAAATGCTGACGTTGACGAGAAAATTTAAAAGTAATATGACAGGTCCTCGGGGTATATCAGGTGTTTGTTCAGGGTGACCTCGAATTATGCTCAAAAACTGTGTAACCATGGAGTTGGTCGAAAATTAGCGATCACTAGAGAGCTGAAGGAACACCGTTCCTATGATTTCTTGAGTGCGGGCCGGGGCGCTTGGGAATACTGCAACTGCGAACTTGCGGCATGCTGCAAGTTCGGCGGAGAACTCCCGTTGATTTTTTCGTGCCGAGCTTAGCCCCCCAGGTATGCCACACATGAAACATTTGTGAAAAATGTATGACACAAGTTTAATTACCTCTTAAAAAGGTTGCTTATCATGGACTGTGAGACAGCGCATGACAACTCAAAACAAAATTAAGTCTGTTCATTGGGCCAAGAAGTTGTCTAATGTGAACTATTAACATATGATAGAGGAAAACTGGCACTGCACGAAAGTTTTCATACCAATTTGCGCAGATGCTGCAACTTAGACCTATGGCACGCCGCCACATCGCAGCCTCCGCGCAAGTTGCTATGAACATTTTCGCGTGGTGCCCATTTTTATAGCTCATGCTGCCTTGCTTGAGGCTCGTTGAGTGCGCTTCTCACCGAGCACCAAAGCACTGCAGAGAAGCAACACTCGCAGAAGCAAGCTCCGCAGCTGTTGCCTTTCTGGAGTGCACCGGAGATTGGAAAAAGCGCACTGCACGGGGGCCACGAGAACAAAAAGTATGAATTACACGAAAACACCATTCGAATGAAGCGGCTTATAATGCATTAAAAACATAACGGGATAACCAAAATTCTACAATTTGTTTGAATTAACCAGAAGTACGAAATATCCGAATCTGAATCATCGCGAGCCCACTTTAGCTATCTATAGGGAGTATTCACTGGCGGCCATATCCGTGTGCGCTGCTGCTGAGCGCGTGCTAACAGCGAGCTTTCGCAGTCCTTTTGGAGCGTGCATTTAGCACCATCAAGGTTGTCGGTCTTAGCAGGCTATTAATGTGAGCTCGTTCTGAGCATGCGCTCTAAACATCGCCCACATATATGGCGTCCAGTGAATACCTCCTATAGGATGTTTGTACGTCTGCCTCGAAAGAAAAAGGGACACAACCACATTACCTCGAGCAACTCCGCGTTGGAGAATGAGAGGATGCCCTCGAAGATGATGACGTTGGCCCCGTACATGAACTTGAGGTGCTTCTCGCGGGAGTGAGTGACAAAGTTGTAGATGGGCACCTCGACCCGCTTGCCCTCCTTGAGCTTCTTGAGCGTCTCGGCCAGCAGCTTGAAGTCAAACGCGTCCGGGTGGTCGAAGTTGTACTGGTTGTTGTGGGCCAGCTTGTGCTCCTCCTCGTTCAGCACCTGGGCACGGCAGAGGGCGCACCGTCAGAGCCACTTGGTGCTCGGCCCACATCCAACAGTTTCGGTTATAATAAACGGCCGGTAGAACACACGCGTGTGGAGGAGGCGACTAACTTCGAGCAGGGCTTATCAGGTGCAAATACTTTGTCGCCGACAGAGAACGGCAGGATGCGTCCTTCGAACAACCAACCTCCAGCACAGGCTCGCTGCCTTCCGCCGTGCTTTGTCTGCACGTGCGTGCTCAAGGTACACGAGATGCTGAAGCGTTGCCGGAGGTGGGACTACTGGGCCGGCTTACTCAAATCTGCAGCTTAGCTCAAACCGTGCCAAAGGAAGCACTGCCGAAGCTAGCACACTAGCAGAGTGCACTCCCCGGGCGTGGCAGGCTTTCTTTCACAAGATCTAAGCTAAGACGCTGAGCCTTCTCTCTACCGTTCTCACCTTGGCAGTGACCATAGTCCACTTATTACAAACTCCTAATAAAGTGAGCACAATTTGCGGAACCTTTAGAGTTTGTAATGGACAGGTTGCACAACCTTTAGTCTGTTGATGGCAATCCGCCATTACGACGTAAACCGTCGGAAAAACCGTGACGGTGTTTCCTTCGCTAGCGGTGGCGCCATTCGCTAATGAAGCCCTCAAATCCATTTACCCTCAAAGCGCCAATCATTGCAATGTATTTATGCCACATGTACTAGATCCTAGGCACATGAAATGCCTTAGTCGTTGCTTCGAGGCATGTGGCAATGCAGTGGAATCTGCTTCTGATCGCAACAGTTATAACAATTCTTTCTTAACTGCCAATTACTACTGGAAAAAAAAAATGCTTGAGATGCAGACCTATTTCAGATGTAGTGACATTTTGTTTCACAATCTAAACTCTCGAGATTTCAGTATGCTGGGCTTCCTTTAAGCTCGCTGTGCCATAGCAATATGTCAGCTCAAACAGACGCGATGGACCACGATCTGACAAAGTTTCCCTTTCTAAATACATTTCTCAAACTCTACCAAATAGATTGCAAGCTCGACCGGGATTTGAGGACATCAAAGTTGGGCCAGTGCCACACTGCCAGTGATTTTACACCAACACCACAAGAACCTGCACCAGGCAAGAATTACAACAGGGAGTGGTACGACACGGTGATCGAGGAAACACGAGGACAAAAGCATCAACACTAGTCTTCAACACAGCACAAAAATGCAGCTAAAGAAGCACTATACTTTGCTTAACTTTAAGCGTGAGCATAGCAGAAGCTATTCACATTGCCACCTCGTTGCTCGCCCTGTCGCGGCGGAAACGGGAAGCGCTCTAGTAAGGGTCCATTGGTTCTCCTCCTCAGCAGGCACTGCGAAACTGCTGGCGATCATGGCTGGCAAAATGTCATTTCCTAATGAAAACAACACTCTTCACTGTTCCTACGCAGTACTGCAGGCGGTATAGGATTGCACCTTATTAGAGAGTTTTAGTATTGCGTACAGAAGCAAACACAAGTGCTGTGTGTTTGCATTAAAGTTGCATGCTCCACGCTGCGCATGTGCATCGTCGCCATAGGCCAATTTAAGGCTGCAATGTTGGACTCCGCGCATGCTGCACAGTATGCAGCACACAACACTAATGCAAACACAGTGCATGCGCTCACTCCGATATGCAATACTAAAACGCATTACTGTTTCACTGGTTTTCCAACGCCAACGAAACATGCTGCAGTGAGCAGACGTGCAAGCGGGTAGGTGTTCCTTCGAACTGGACAGCCTGAGCAATGGTGAATAATGGGAGGGGGCACTACAAGCTACGTGAAACGGAAACTCTTCAACTTCAGTTTCTTAACTTTTCCCTCACCACAGTCTCAGGTTCTAAACATCATGATTAACTATCACCAGCTCACCTGCGCACTCACTCTCTTTTCATTACTGACACATATCGCAGACACGGTGAACTCGCGTGTGCAATAAGTATGTGGGAATTCGCTAGAAACTCCCCTGTCACGGGTACGGCAGCAGAACGCGGACGCAGCACATTCGCGCTTCACAGTGCGATATACTAGACGCAAGAACACGGCCCCCTCAAACTCGGGTGTCACGAGAACCGATATCACGTGAAGAATTCACAGGCAATAAAAAATAAAATGCAGGAACGAATTTGGAATTCGCATGTCATGGGAAGGGATACCCCGCATAGTATGAATGCTGCAGATTTGCGTGTCACGGTGCGATAAGCACGAGGGAACCCGCGGCGAGCATGCTTGTCACGTACCGATACCGCAAATCATGCAATAGATAAAATTTAAAAAAAAAAACGGGATGTGCAATTTTTGGGGAGCGGGCATTTGTACGAGACTATACGGCGATTTAGTGCCATGTGTGTCGTATTTCGAATACACTTGAACAAGCTCAAAGCCACTGAGAAAAAAAAAAAAAAGATTAAGTGAATGACGAAACAATGCATCGAAGCATCGTCTCGTTGTTTGTCAGAGTTCTGATGAATACTCTGACAAAGCGACCTGTGCATGTGCCATTCTCGGAGATCAGGCTTACACGCCGTTGACACGACCGCATCGGTATGGTGGTTTCGTAGCAATACTGCCTTCTAGCAAACCGTTACCGCACACCGTGCACTACTGGATCCTTGAAGCATGCTTCTAAGCACGCGCCCCGCGGTCACGGTATCACTCGGGCGGGCGCTTAAAAGCGTGCTTCAAAGGCTCCGGTAGTGTGCGGTATGTGGCAATGGTTTGCTAAAATTCCCTATTTTTTTCAGAATTACCTAAACAAACACAACAGGGTAAACCACTGTGGCCAATAAAAACAGTACTCCAATAAATAAAGCCTTAAAAAAATAACTTGTTTGGTTAGTTTTGGTGCAACATGTGCTCTTGGGAGCAGGATGGCGCAGCAAAAGTGGATTGGCGCACAATGGCGCAATTGGCGCAGCTCTTTCGCCCCTGCATGCTTTACCCACAATTATGGTAATTTTACATGTATTTCTCAGATTAGCTAGAGTGTTTTCTTGCTTTTAGACTAATTTTATTTTAGAACTTGTTAATTAAAAATGCTGCAATTGCCACCAGTGATGATAATTTGCACACTTTTGATTGCGATACATGTTTGTGCATACAAAAATTAGATCATAAGCAACAAATTATATTAGAGCTAAAAAACTGTATTAAATATCTTAGTTGTATTATTATTATTTTTATTAACACGAATTGCAGCAATGTAGGCCCCCGATAAATACCACGATCACAAAACTATGCCATTTAACTATAATAGTCTTGCCAGAGAGGTTTCATTTCGTTTTCCTTTTAGCGTATGAACAACTCTGATATTGTTGTCAAAATAGACAAACAGTCAAACACTTGATGTAATATGAAGTCCTATGCATCACACGTTGCTTTAAAAAATGCTTACACACTTCTGAAGTCTGACTCCAATTCCATCTTTGGGTTTTTGCAGTGAGAGCAGCGTTTCTTAATTTATAAGTTTTGTGGACATATTCTAAACTCATCACCCATGGTGATGCTTTGTAAAAATTGGATTGATTTAGTTATTCTTGTGCTGAGAATAATGTTAAAGCAATTAATCATCTAAATACCTCAAAAACCATTGAAAGGCCCACAGTTCATTATTTAACATGACAATTGCGAGAGTAAGAAAAGGCAGCAACATACAAATATCAGGGGCCCTAAACTCGTGAAACGCAGAGTTGGAGCTAAAAGTTTGCGGAGCGCGCCTATTGGATGTCGGCGAAAAAAGCGCGAAGTCATCATCGTGATAGGCCAATCGGTGCGCTCTGCCAACTTTGGCCCCGAATTTGTGTTTGACGAGTTTAGAGTCTCAGCAGTGATCTTTCCACATATTATTTTTTCATACTGTATGTTACCTGTAAGGTGTCTTTAAAGTGACACTGAACTAAAATATTTTGAAATGGCTGGATCGGACACGCATGTAACAAAATAAAGTCTCTACGAACAACTCCTTTAACTCAATAATTATGCTGTGAGACACATCTTGAGTTATGTAAGACTCTGAAATCAACACCTATACCAAGAACTTAAATTCAAAATAGAGGTTAATTGCGGTTTCGTTCCAGAATTAAAACGTGCCTCCTGGCATAAATATTATGCTAAACAGGATTTTTGCTTTCAGGACACAGAGGTGACCTGCACTCATAACACCCTAGCTTCCTCATATAAGCAGGTATAATTTGTGTCGTTCAGTGAAGTCAGCACACTTGACTGGCTTAGCAACTGGTATGATATTGCTATAACCGCCACTTTGGAAAATGAGTGGTGCCACCTATAGTGAACTGGAGTCACGAATAAGAGCGAGTTCCAGGCTTTTCACGTCCTTGCCAAGCATGTGCGCCTGTGCAGTGCAAGTACTAGCTTTCAGGGCAACATGCTCAAGCTCGTAGCCTCAGTTTCATTCTCGCATGAAGCAAAAACAAACTATATTGGGCCAATTAAGCTCTCCAACTCGCTATATAATGTCAGCCCTTTTTGGACGCAAAAAAAGACATTTAGGTGGGAGCTCTGGACAGCCGGTGAATTGTGGCTTGTCACGAAGTGATATGTCGGTTTTCACTAATGCTTTTGATGCATAAAATGAGAATGGCAGTTTGTTTGCCCTGTCAACACACCGGGCCTTTGTTTCAAAATTCCTCGACCGGTGCTCTGACCCGATACACACTTTACAATTTTCATTGCGATTTTCTCCCATTTCTTGGGATATGGGGATTTTTAAACTGCACAAGAATGCCAGCACATTCTTCCTTTTTCTTGATATAGGCCAGTTTGGGAAGAGTGTGCGTGCAAGGGGAGAAGAAGAAAAACAGACAAGGAAAAGAAAGATGGAAGGCAGCCGTTGAATCTGACATGCTAGACTAAAACGTCAAAAAAATAAAAATGGGCAAGAGTTCTCTACCGGCAGCCATGTCCTTTGCTCCTCTTTCTTCCCCCTGCTGCGCCCGGCCCTGTTGCTCCTGCGCCACTCTAGCAGTACGCAAAGCCCGCAAGCAAGAGCCTTCACAGTATGTGTGTTGTCCGCTTTGCTGCGGCGGAGCACATGCCAAGGAAAACCCCCACTCCGAGAATGGTTGCCGACCGCATGCTCTGAGCCCTTTCGATCGACGCCACATGCTCGCTCGAGGTAATATTCCAAACTCCGGCTCAAAAGCACTATGAGCCGCGCCCAATGAATGGTACGCATTTAAAACGCGGAACACTAATTCTAAAGCAAGACGTGCGTAGGAGGAACCGTTGCGAAACGAAATAGTCCTCGCTGGTATGCGTCTTTAGAAGGAGACTAAATATCGTCGGATGGCTAGATTGCGAGGACACCGTCAAACCTCCCGTATAATCGTAAATGTGTCGCAATTCGATTAAACGGCGGCGTTCCGCTGTATCGCCGAGTCGAGAGAGATTAATTCCGCAAATGCCGCAACGGGCACCTTGTAGAAGGAGTCCATGCTCAGCAGGGTGACCCAGGGCACGTTGAGGGCCTCAATGATACGCCGGGCCACCGTGGTCTTGCCCGAGGCACTGCCCCCGCAGATGCCGATCACAAAGGGCTCCACTGACTGGCCGTGGGCGTCGTACCACGGGGGACGCCCCGCAGTGTAGATGGTCCGCTGGCGGGTGTGGAAGAGGGGGTCTGCCTTGGACGCTGACGCCGAGTAGGTTCGCTCCCGCCGGTGGCGCCGGGGGGACACGGACTCCGGCTCCAGGTCGAGCTCGCTTGACTCATCGATGCTCGTGCCACTGGAAGACGAGAAAGTCGTTGGGGCGACCTCACACGGAGCAACTTCTATGCAGAGCGCGAGTTCTTCTGTTTCTTGCACAGGGGTTGCGATGATGTCAGAACGCCGAGCTCTTATTGGCTGATTGGACAAAATAGTGAATAGGCACCAAGGCATCTAACATTGAGGTCTACCCGCTATCCTTTCATTAAAAGTCAATCGGAGCTCAGTGTCGTTCTGACATTACCGCAACCCCTTCGCAAGAAGCAGACGACTTGCTCTCCGTATTGCCGTCTTGGCGTCGGAGCGGCCGAAACAAAACGCAACAGCTGTGAGAGCTATGCGCCATGTTTTGTCACTGTCTTTGATAAAGACCAACTGTCCGTTCTAAATGCCTAGCATTTATAAGGCCTCTTTGCACTCCTCCTTTTGCGGGCACGGTAAGAAGGCCACTAAAGGGCACGTTCAGAAGGTTTTGTGAATGTATAAAGCCGTCAGTGTCACGAGACACGGCGACATCGGATCAAGCCACGTGACCCAACAACACAGTGTCACATTGCAGCGCAACGCAGAAATGTTACGTGACGTCGCCAGAGGCCTATAAACACGCGCATTTAGAGCACCCTTGGGACGACGCGCTGTCACCCGACGCTGCGAAACGATTGGGGCGTAAAAACCCCTAATTAGGAAAAATTGAGATACGCAATCTCTAAGAGATGGCCCAATATATGCTACGGATTTAAAACGTAGTAGGTCTTTACCAAAATTTGGTGCAGTCTAGCTTTTGCCAAGTGAAAGTATTGAAGTATGTTGTAGCACAGTCCCCTTCGCGTGTCAGGGGCAGGCATCCGACGATTTTGTCCAGCTCGATTCGTTTCGGTTTCGACGGTGACCAACAAACAATCGTTCAGTACAAGTCCATGGTCCAAAAGCGTGTCAACCCGATTGGACCGAAGTCGAAGACGAAAGCCTTCAAAGCACTAACCCAGTTAGTGCACCGCAATTTGTGCCAGCATCCCGTCAGTCGTTCGTCTGGGTGAGCGCCTTTGACTCCTTTGTTATCGTTGGCCAACAAGATAGGTCGCAATTAGTACAGGGAGTACGTTCACGTGACATCACCAATTGAATTCGGTCGCACTTCGGCCAACTTTGCTGTGTGCGCGCAAAAACAAGAGGAGGCGAATTTCTACCTCCCGTTCTTGGCATTAGTCATATGTTCTTGCGGCTCACGTTTGTTATCATTTCCACGCTGGTGTGCCAATTGTCGGTGAGTGCGCGTCCCAACGTCTATGTGCTCATTTGAGCAACTGTGCGCATGGACAGCTCTCCAAAGACGGGCCTCCTGGAGAAACTTTCTGGTAGCAATAAGCCGGAAGCACCTGTACGGGGTGCCGGCAGATTCAGCTTGGAGTTCAATAACATATCAAAGGTGGAGTAAATTGGTATGAACGATCACGTCACGCACGATCCGAGACTAATACAACTACTTGCTAAGCCTACGCACTGGCAGCTGTACCCATTTGCGATTATAAAATCAAAACAACATAAGCTAATTGTTGGTTACATATATATAACAAAGTGCAACCTATATATATATTTTTTTTAAATCAATCGGTGAATTTTGATTTAGTTGCAAATTTCCCATGCATTTGAACAAATTCCTATGTAAGCCTATGAGGGTGCTTCGCCAGATTTAGACAGTTTCAAAATGCTGCATTTAGGCAGGAAGTGTTTGAAGTGGTTCCTAAATTGCGCTCATAAATTCCCACAAGGGCGGTTCACGGTAAGGCACGGTGGAGTGCAGTGGCAACCGTGACAACAGACAAAGTAAATCAAACTCTGATAAAAATGCAAGGAATCTGTAATATGAGGCAAGCGCATAGGGCCGCAAGGGTTTATGCCAAAATATAGATAGTTTTTCCAGATTAGTTTTCTACCTCAAAGACTTCTCTGGTAACGGCTTCTTAAATGTATGCTCAGAAACTTACCCTCGCACATTCGCAAAGTCACCAAAGCGCAATGAAACTTTGCACCACCTCGAAAGCTGCATTTGCACAAAGTGGAGATCGTCAGGCGAAGATATTGGGCTGGCAAACGGCTCAATCCCACCTAGAAATATTGTCACTACAATGTTTACGGACCAATGAATTACGCAACCCCAACAGAAGAGAAAGAGAGAACGCTCACAAGGTGAAAGAGGCTTTCTAAATCGAGGCATTGTGTTTACAACACCCATCAACATGGCATCCTTCCAAGTGACCTTAGGACTTCCTCGTTGTGTCCGCATTATGCCCCTATCTTTTTCAAGGTAGCCGAATTCTCGAACAAGGAGAAACAGTTCTGTCTTGCATACTGTGTTGGTGCATTCCCAGGTAGCACCACATCAACCCCGCCCTCAAACTCCTATGAAAGAAGCCATAGAACAGCTGTCAGGGACTGACAGCTGTTCTATGTCCAGCAATGCGATTGCAATAACAGAATCTGTATGATACTTTTCTTTATTTCTTTTCTAGGGCGAGTGACACTTTACTTTGGCCAATTTTCTCGTAATCCTTCTTTGCTGTAGTTTTCTAATGTCTAAGGTGTCCCAACCCTACGTTCCGCTGTAAAACGAGCCGAGAAAATCGGTACCTGCACATAGGAAGTTTAGCAATTTCACCTAATGTGAACTAGGTAGGTCAGTTTTACTGTGTGAACTTTCAAGGCGCAGTTCTCTTCCCATGAAAAATGAGAGCAAAAATCATGTTATGCGCATTTGCAGACGACAGAGTTATTGACGCTTTTAACTTGTGGCACCACCTCCCGATAAGTGCACCAAGCAGACGACTTACTGTGTTGCCTGTTTGCTGCGCCCATCGGGAGATGGCCCCTCAAGTTAAAAGCATTGGCAACTCTGTCGTCTGCGAACGCACATAATGTGAACCTGAGCAAGTTTTTTTCTCTCATTTTTTCCAGAAAGAGAACTGTGCCTTGAGATTTCACACAGTAAAGCTGACCTACTCGGTGCACATTTGGTGAAAGTTTGAGCTTCCTATGTGCAGGCGCCAATTTTTCCGAATCCTTTCACAGCGGGAGGTCCGTCCACATGAATATCACAACATTTCAGAAAGCTTTTGCGTGTGTAAAAGTAGCACTTAGCCACGACAACTACACATATCAGTGCCGTCCACCGGCGCGAAACGAGATACAAACATCCGTGCTACTAAAATGTTACAACACAACCGAAGCAAGACAGAATCGCGGGAGTCAGCGTGTACATCAAACCAGCATTTTAGATGAAACATAAAAGGACCAAGAAATGTACCTACATTCACTAAAATACTTACACGAAAAAACTGAAAAACAAAAAAAGAAAATAATCAGGTTGTCAGCCGACTGTTGCGTTACCATTTGTGAGTACTACCTTTCAGTGTCAAGGCGAATCTCTCCAAAGAGGGGCCTGCGAGTCCATAAACCACATTTGAGCAACAAAAAGTGTCAATGAAATCATTATATGTTTACCCCAACCCGTAACTGTGTATTGTGCAAATTAACAAATCACATTGTCACTGCAGTGACCTATCGTGTTATCGGGCTACTCACTGAGTACACTTCAGCTAATTTCCTACTAACGTGCCACTGCATTTTCTTTTTTTTCGCCATTCACACGTAAATAACTAAATACAGCAGTCGCTGCATATTTTCTACAGCCAATGTTACTAAGCACGTGTGTCCCTCTCATCATTCACCGATGTAAAGGCCGGGTAGATGACGAATCTCTCAAACCACGCATACACACACACAAACGCTGTGCCACGCGTGTCAACGAGAACCTAATCTGCGCTTTCCTCACTACTCATTCTCTTGCAAGCCATTTTTTCGGCGGATGGCCATGCAATATGCCGTCCCCAACCACGGCGTTTTGTTGTTTTTTCTCGCTGATTTCTGGTCGATTTTAAACGGACACTTTGAGTTTCTGCGAGGAAAAAAACATGCAGGATCGACGCTCACCTATCTGAGCTCGCCGAACTCGGCGGATTGCCGGCGTTTCCGAGCATACTGATCCGCAGGGCGCCTTTCGACAACGTGACTATGCCGCTTCGCTCCTACTGTTTTCTTCCTGTTCTTTTCGTCCGTTTCTTTTTCGGGGGGCTAAAAATATAAACCCTTTAAAACACCGCACGTGGCCCGTGGAATACACTCCAATCACTCCCCGAGTGAGTGTGGAGTTCCACCTTCAAGGTATTCAAGGTCTGTTCCAGCGGCGATAACACAATCGCGAGATACTGAGGAAAAAAAAAAAAAAAAAAGATGTGCAAAACAGCCTACCTCGTCATACGTAATGGTGAGTGAGCGCGAAAAGCGAACACACATCGACCTCGGATATCACTAAATGATTCAAATCCCTTTTCTTTGTCAACTTCTCTCCCATTTTTTTCCCTTAAAATGTTTGTTATTTTTTGCTGCCTGCTGCTCCGACCGTGATAACGCGTGAACTTGAGTTCCCTACCATCCCTACCCTCCGAGACCAACTCCCCTACAAGTTGGCAGCGTCGCACAGCAAACGTTAGTCCTTCTGCGGGTTTTGCGGCAACCGGAAAAATCGGCAGCCGAATAAAGGAGACCGGTATATTTCTAGAGCGCGTATTTGTGTACCCTGGGCGACGTCGTAAATCTTAAAAGCTCGAACTCTGCTTTGACGTTGCTAGAAAAAGAAAACAAAGTCGCCCATCTATTGCGGACGGAACAGGTTTCGGAATGGAATCAAAAGTTCTCGATGCCTAGCCAGGAGGGCGCCACCCGTCGCAACTGCAAAGCCCGAAATTTTGATTCAATCGTTTTGCGTCAAGCCAAGTCCCTGCAAATCATTTCTAGCGATAAAATACTAAGTAATAAATATATTTATGCTCGCTCTTCCGAGGAAACGCCCTTGATTCGCGTGTTTTGCTTTTCTTAAATTATGAAACAATTTAAGTATCCAGACATAATCCAGGCATGACACCTAGTGCCGCCATCTCGTGTGGGTTGTCGACCCTCCGTTGTCAACAGCATCGACAGCACCCCGTTTCTAATTATAAAACAAAGTTCACTGACATAATCGAGGGTGTAGTCTCCTAGAGGAAAATTCGAGAAAAATTACGACAAACTACGCTCGCTAGCTAACATAGCTGGATTATTCTAGGATACGTAAAAAAGATCGAACGTGTCGACACGCTGTCCTCACCCTAACGAAGCAAATGCCACCAACTCGACATTTCAATCATTGAAAACACAGACGTCCACGCGTACAGGAAAGACATACTTGACGCAGTCCGGACTGGGAGATTTCGAAGCCGCGGATGGAGCAGCAGACCGCTGGTTCTTGTCGCCGCCGGCACTTCGACGTACTCCGCCGGCGTCATTCTCCGACTGATGATTACTACCACTCTGATGCTGCACGGGAGGCATGATGTCGCGCTCGTAGCAGTACGAGATCTGAACCCGACCACCAACTTGACATTTACAGTCCGGTTAGCTAAGCGAGAGCAGAAACCCACGTGTTGCAGCAAGTCGGGACGCCGGCTTCGCGGAAAAAGCCACAAAGCGCGACACGCGAATGTTTGGGAAAAGTGCCAGATTCGGTTGACGGACGCGTCGCGGCGGCGCTGGCAAACGGTCGCGTACGTCGCATGAACCGGAACGATATGCGACCCTTGGCTGATCGTAATGCGACGCGCTGACGGCGACACATTTTCGCTAGGAACTTTTCTATTTTTTTTTTTTTTATATTTTATTTCTGTGTTTCTCCTTGGCTTCCTCCCTAGGAGCGTACGTGTGGAGACGGAAGGAGCGCAAAGAAAGAGGCACAAAAACGTCGCCTGCTCTCCGAGTTTTGCGTCAGAAACGTCTTGCCGACTGTTTTGTCTCCCCACGGGTCGAATTCGGCATCTCGAGAAGATTGTGAAGAGGGTATGGCCCCAAAGATACCCGAGTGGTAAACACGGATGCGGGCGATTAAATTAATCGGAACGGAAAAAAGCACCGTCCAGATAGCAGACGACATGTTGCTGGCAGACCACCTTGTGGTGTCTTTTCCAGCCAAATCGAAACTGACGTGTAGAAAATTACGTAAACAACTGCGGGGTTTACGAGCAACTAGGGGTGGCACTCAATTGGTCGAACGACGTTTTAGCGACCGCCAACTTTTCATCGAAAGATGAGCGGTGTTTACGGGTGGGTTAACATTTTTGTAATGCGACGCGACGCGAGCGCAGAGCGCGCAACGGAGGGTGGTGGTGAGGGGGTAAATTTTAAATTTACTCAAAAGCAGAACAATTTTAACATTTTATGTGTTGCTTTACCTAGTTGCTCAGGGAGCTGGTATATTTAAGTGATCTGAAATAAACAAAGACTGTTTTTTAAGTAATCTGAAGAAAACAAATATTCGGAGAGGCAAGATCTCTTCGTGTGTGAAATACGAACACCCGAACACACATGACATTTTTCCACATAAGACATCTACAAAATGAGAATTTAGATCCAGCTTAGATCTTGTGCACCTCCAGACTTCAAATGTCGGTTTAAAGTTCGGGAAGCCATACAGCGAGTATGGGATGCCATCAAAACCCCACGAACAAGTCAACCTGGGATGATGGTTAACAAAATCTGCTGCCGCAGTCCTTGGAATGAGTCTTCGGTGCTGTTTGAGTGCCTAGCATGCTATTCCGCCCATGCATCAAAACTGGCCCTGAAGCGGTTGGTCGTAGAAGTTCCAACAAAGAGAATGCGGGAACACAAGTGTCGCTGCTGGAGCCTCCATTAAGCGTCAAGCTGGAGCACTATCTGCAGCAAAGAAGTGTCTGCATCGCAGCAGGCAACAGCAGGACACTTCCTGAGACATGATCAGGCGGAAATCTAGGAATCGCATTTGAGGACGCGATTAACAGATCAGTCGGAGACACATTGCAGGTACTGTAGTGCTACAAGATAACCACAACAACAAACAGAACTCCAAGTTATACTGTATATTTTATTCCCTCTACAATCTCGCATTTACACGCATGCTCCTCGAAGAAACAGGACAGTTTTCAACCACCTCCATCTTCAGCACTCAAAACGCTTCAGCATCACACACTGGAATGTTTCTCCGGGCACAAAATAAATTAGACTCCGAGAAAAATAACGGTTGCACTCAATGCGCCTCTTTTACAACGGGTGTCCCACCTCGGGGAGGGGACGGCATACTTTACGCTGGCAGATGGTCGCGGGCACGCCGCAGCTCTTTGCATAGAACCCTGCAGTCTGTCGGCCGTACCTTGGACATACGCCGGCCGTACATTGGCCGTACGGCAGCAAGCGTACCGGTCGGCCACGGTTCTCTGGTGGTGCTAACGCTCAGGCTTTTCCGCACAACAACGCCTCGCACGCCGCTACTTCCGCAACTCATCGACCTCTAGCCGATCTCTGGCCGACCCTTAGCTGACCTCTAGCCGACTTCTAGCGGGCACCGGAATGACAAGAACCACCGAAACGAACTGACTATAAACTCGACCCCAGTTCCCGGAAAACAGAAAGAGCAAACAAAAAATTATTCGAAGAGCCAGCGGCGACGCACGACGGAACAAGCGTCTGGTGAGGTTTAGGCATGTTGCGTCATTCCTTCGTTCTTCCTCGTGCCCGTGGAAAGCGGCGGGGGTGACAAGCACCCCACAAGACGCGCGACCGGTGTTTGACGTTCGGGGCTGTACGGTGCGGTGTCGACTAATGGTGAGAGACGTTGAACGCCGTGCCCACACGGAGGAAGAACTTCCGCAGCACGGCTCGAATGGCCGGCTTTTCGTCCATGCAGGTCAGCTCGCACAAGTAGGGGTAGTAGACCGAAGCGTGAGCTCGAAACTGCAACAAAAAATCGCCTGGATCAGACAGTCTGCCAAATGGAACGAAGGGGCAATAGCACCTGACAATTTTTTTAAATGAACGTCACTTGCTATCAGACTGATGTGCAGTGTGACACGTGGTGGAGGGATGGACCTTTTTTGAGTAACAAGTGACGCCAGGGGAGTTGTCTGGGAATTACAAACAAAGGGCAGCCCAACGTGTGTGTGCCTTTCAAAACACATCAACATTGCGCCGTTGTGCCGTTTTTTTGTTTTTTTTCATGCTTTGTACAGCTGATACTAAGAAAAAAAATCGTAAAAAAATAGTAATATGCACATAGGTGCTGAATATGTTGTTGAAGTAAAATGTCTAAAGACGGACAGAATTAAACAGATGCTAACAGCACACGGCATACTTCCAACTGAATTTTGATTTTGAAAATACAGGTGAAACAATAAAACATAGATGCGCTAAATACACTAAGGATATAAAGGCTACGCCCCCTATTGCATGACTTGCTCACTGCAAATATACTGAAAATCCTTATCAGAGTGCCAGCCAAGGGGTGCCAATACAGATATTGTTGACATGCGATTTGATAAGGAAGGCTTCATGAATTTTGCGCGCAATTTTATGGGCGAAGCTCCTTAGCCCTTGTCCATCCGTCCGGCGTCCGTGCTCACATCGATTGCAATGCCTCTGGGATCGGCCCACTTTAAAAAAAAAAAAAAAAATGTACGCCCGCACGGGGGTTTGAACTTAGTATCACTTGCTTAAGAGCCAGACGTCTTAACCACTACGCTACACACCAACTTCACTTCTCTTCACCAACTTTCTTTCGCAGAAGATTTTTCCCGTACCGGGGTTTCTCTCGAAAGGAAGCCCACCGAGAAGGGATTTTTGTAGTAACATATGATTTTAACAAGAATAGGAATGTTGACGAACATGCGGCGGTACTTAGTTTCATTTTAGAAAGCGCCATATCTGCCGCGACGTGGGGACGTCAACGCCCGACGTCGTGCGGCCACGATGACTGGAAGGCAGGGACCAAATATAGTTTTCCCACGGCCGTTGCTTTCAGGAGCGAAAGCTTCAGCTCACAAACAGGGTGTCTAGCAAATTATTATTGTGAAATTCCCTGACTTTTCCCCGTTTTCACTGACAATTTCAGGTGAAATTCCTTGATTACTGTAGAGGCGATTAAATATATTCCTACACAAGGCATTGAGCATTGAGTACTGTGAGGATCATTTTACACGGGCTTAATCCAACTTACGCATTCCGACATATTTGGGTTCATCCAGTTCGGAATAAACAAGCGCTTTCTTGCCGTTAACATCGTCAGTGAGGAGGCCATTTCCGGAAACCCGATGAAAACACGCCGCTCAACCACACGCTTCAATAACCGAATGGCAGTATGGCTGCCAGATGCACACTTTCGGATACTTTCGGCTGACACTGACACTGACACTGACACCCCCCAAAATGTTTTTTTAATTTTTTGCCAGGCGCTTCATTATGGTGTCGGAGGACTACCCAATTAATATTTTGCAACAGAGTAGCGTATTTTTTTAATAAAATCAAAAGACGCAACTGCTCGAAACCGAAACCGAAACCCGACGGAGGTCGGAGAAGAGGAGAGAAGAGAGTGAGTGGCGGAAGTCACGTGGCTACACCCGACCGTGTGTTTTTTTTTGTTTTTTTTTTCTCCTTCCCGGTAGCAGACGACATGCGGCGTATGGGAACTGCTCGCCGTGGGATTCTTTTGCAGTTATGTATGTTCCGCTCGTTGTTCTCTACTCCAAGATGAGTTGTTTTGTACATTGAGGAGTTGGAGATGAGTAGTGAGTGCCCGTGGTGAATTTTGATGGGCTCCAAAAAGAATACACCCAAGATGTTGCGTTAAGAGCTGGCTCACATGTCCCACGTCCGAAACAGAAGTGGCATTGTGCGAGAGTTTCCAAAGATCAACGGGATCGGGACCAATGGCTGGCTGCAATTCCTGTAGACCATTTACGGGCACCTCGGAAAGCGGACGCTACCTGATTTATATGCTCCTTGCATTTTGTGGAAAGTGATTACATTGAGTTCGCAGGTGTCAAAAAGGATATCCCATACCATCTAATTCAGCGACGTGTCGTCCACAACATTTGTTTCTTATTTTTTTTTGTGTCTTCAGTAATAATTGTAAAAAAAAGAAATGTAGACATCAAAAAATATTTAGAAAAAAAAAAAAAAGTTTCACGGGGGATTGAACCCGGCTCTACCGGGTGTGAAGGGGACGTCTTTCCCACTGAGCTACTGGGGCATATCGAAAGTGGGGTATCTTTTTCCTTAGTAATAATTCAGCCAATAAACTGTAAGTTGGAAAGTTTGCTGCCGATTTTCCTCTAGCAAAAGCACTCCCGGGTCGAAGTCGGGATGCACCATGCATTGGCGACATTCTCACCTAGTAAAGAAATCATACGCGTGCATATTCCACTCGAAGTAGACACGTCGCGCTTGACGTTTGCGCGAGCGATGTCTTCAGCCACAAGAAGGGAGCGACGGCTCGGCGACGTCTTCGTGCAAATCGGCTTGGTGGTCGGGCGTGTCGTACGGGATGAATACCAATTCTTTTGACCAGTCCCAAATTTCTCTTTTAAAGGCAGACGAAATTCGCCGGTACCGCGAACGACAGTTCTGAAATAGAGGTCCCACGCCCGTCGTCTGCTGCCATCGCCGTCCCTGCGAGTCCCACGATATGCGAAACGACGCACGCACAGAATGCTTCCGGTTGTCTGTGGAACTTTTATTTCAATCAACGTATTTGCAGCTTTTTAGAAGCCACAAAAAATGGGTTTTATATTTTTTTCTATTTTTAATATTGAGTGTGTGCTTTCAGTGACCCACGACTTTGATTAAATTTGGTGGTCGCATCGATACCTTAGAAAACGGCCCGTGACCGCGGAAAAGAGAGTGAGCGAGACTCGAACCGGCCAGTTCCTGATCGGCGGTTTTCGGGCGGAAAGAAACCGAATTTCGAGCCGCAAATTCTGTTCTGGGTAGTTGAGCTCTCGTATGTCACGTACAACTAAAAACCTCGGCGAGCATAAATACCCTGTCAGTGTCCCTTTAAGGCTTGGATTAGACTGGGGCCTGCGGCCTTTTCATTTGTTACATCTAGTAGCTCTAACTGGATCTAGCCTAGTGTCATGCCCTCAATCCAATCTAATGCTGGGACTGGATTTGTCGGCTGTTACTTTTGCATCGGGATAGCACACTCTACATCGGGTGAGCAGAGCCCGCGTTTCCCTCTAAGCAGAATTTACTGACTATATTTCTGCCCCCAAGTCCTCGAGTCTTTGCTCAGGGCACTCAATGGCGTTCCAGTTCATTTTCCCTGACTGGGCTCGCTTTTTGACAATTTCCCTGCTTTTTCCTGGTAATCAAAATTTACCTGACAATTCCCGGTTTTCCCGGTCGCTAGACACCCTGACAAAGTAACACCCGCCGCGCAAAAACGTGGTTTCGTTTCACAGCATGGCTGGTACCCGGCAAGCTAGCGTCGGAGCGCCCGCACACACCCGCGTCTATCGTTGAAAATAAAAAAAAAATAAAAAAATAAAAGACGCGAGACAACGAAAGCTTAAAACGCGAGACGGCAGGCAGGAAAATTATGCAAGACCGGATGGGCAATTGATGCAGGGTACTTTGTGTCGGGCAGCCGCTTGCGCCACATAACACACGCATGCTCAATTACGGTACTTAGCATAGTTCCGGTTTGGAAAGGCGTCCGAAATTGTTTTCTTAGCGCAGGCTTGGCGCAGATTACCCTTAACTTGGCAAAATGTAGCAGGATGTAGCAGGGTTAGCCCCTCGGCACAATTTGGCACAATTGGTGCAGCAATCACATCACTGCATGCCGCCCTGTTACGACGTCCATGCAAGTTGCTATGAAAATTTCCGTGTGGTGCCCGTTCTCAAAGCTCATAGTGCCCTGATTGAGCCCCGTTGAGTGAGCTTCTCCCCAAACACCAGTGCACCGCAGAGAAGCAACAGCCGCGGAAGCAAGCTCTGCGGGTGTTGACTGTGTGCAGTGCACCTGTGCTCGGAAAGAAGCTCACTCAACGCGGCCGCGAGAACAAAAAGTATGAATTACACGAAAACGCAGCTTGAATTAGGCGGCTTATGAATACATTAAAAACATAGCGGGACAACCAAAGTTTTGAAATATGTTTGAATTAGCCAGAAGTATGAAATATCCAAGCTTGAATTATTGCAAGCCTACTGTACCCTGCCAAGTTTTTTTTTTTTTTTTTTTGAGAGAGAGTTTTTGAATTGTAGTGATGTATCCATGCTCCACCGTTGGTTCTGGAAACTAGTAATGTTTGGTCCTCTTTTTGCATTCATCTGAAACAGCACATGTATTATGTCATCGGTGTTCAAAAGAATCGTTTCAAATACCTCATAGGAAGTTTTACGTTTGGGGCTGTTTTGGGCTATTTTTACACCTCGACATTTGGCTAGTTTTGGGGTATATCTCGCAAAAGTTTAGTTGTCTAATCCACGAGTACCTGGCGACCCCGCCACCCCCAGTAAAAGAATGAAGCGCAAAAAAAATAGGGAATAATACAGAAATTGCTTGTGTTCCACGGCTACGCACAGACGGTGCCAGCGTGTTTTGCTCGTCGTAAGAGACCACGAGGCTAGACGACATCTGTCGAGCAGCCACGATCTCACCCACTAACGAGACATCTACCGACCCAAAGATTGCGAGAATGCGCAACCTGCTAGGTTGCAATCAGATGCACGCGTCCAAATCGGCCTCTAGAAGGCCGCGCCTGGAATGCGTTCCGCGTCAACGCCGGGACGGGAGAGGAGGAGGGACTTGCCCGCTCGTCGTCGAGCCTCTGGACCCGGGTGAGGAAGAGCAGCAGCAGGCTGTCCCAGGACTCCCGGTGGCTCTCGGTGGCCAGGGACAGGTAGTACTGGAGTGCCTCCCTGCACACCCCGATGAGCCGGTCCTGCACCGTGTGCCAGGCGTCCTGGCGCCCCTCGTCCCGGTACATCCGAAACAGGATGCGCAGCACGCACGCCAGGCTCTGGGCCTCCTGCGGGGGGGCGACGGGTGGGGACGCGGGGGAGAAAGGAGGTTGCTGAATTGCAGGCGGTGAAAGAAAGACAAGAACAGGAATGCGCACAAAATTATGGGCACCTCCCGACTCGCAAACGCGTCGACCGCCTCTGTTGTCCTTCTCCGTGGCCATCCGTGCGATGGGCGCTTTTTGGGCCGGGGTTACGATCATTCCGAAACAACCGATGCACGCGCAAACGGTCGTGACACGGCGCCCTGTTCCGTAAAGGCCCACGGCGTGTAGAAAAGCACGAGGCAGAAGTTTTTCGTTACGGTGCCTGCCAAAATTTCAAGCCGGAAGTATGCCACGCGAAATCGCCCTATAAGAGAGCTTTCCCTTGAAAGAAACTGGGCCGTTGGCATATCCGATGGTCCACTCTCAGCGTATGAATCTAGGACTCAATGGCATCTCTGACAGATCGTCGAAGATGCCGACGAGAGCACGAGTTCTTGAAGTCTCAAACGTCCACACTCGAGTCGCTGCACGGGAATATGGCGGTCTTGCGGTTCTGGGAGTTTGTGTACGAGCGATTTGAGCTCGTCGTGTGAAATTAGCTTGGCATGTTCACGATCAGAAGCATAACTTCCACGTACATACTACTAGTCCATGAGATGGCACAATGCTTCACCTGACGCAGGAGGTGTCTCGTGCTGCGGGCGATGACATCGGTTACGTCACGAGATGTCTTATCACGAGGGGAGGAGGTTAGTCGTGCCTGCTACACTATCTATTGGCCACTCTGAAAAGTTGTGATGTCGTACACTTGCTGCGCTATCCGTTGGTGCGTTACGATCCACCCCGTGAAGTCGCGAGGGAAGGTGCGCTTCGTCGTTCAAGAGTCGGCTGTGCGCACCGACAGTCACCCGCTACAGAAAGCTCCCACAAATCCCACTTGGTCCAGCTGCTCGTGGTTTGGGGCCTCCTCGTGGTGCCGAGCAAAGGTATCGGGCTGAGATCGCAACATCCGGGGTTCAATCCCCGCTACCCCACTCGCTAAACCTTCCTAATTAGGACTATTTATGCTTAATTATCATTAGTATGTATTAATAATTATGGCTTAATGTGCTAATTCTTAATCTTATTACTACTGTTGTGCAAAATTTTCAAATTTTGAATGATAGTTTTGAATAACACACTATTCGATATTCACTTCAAGATGAACTGCGATATTCATATGTTTCTAAGTGTTGATCGCGGCGGGTTTCCCCTTCTAGTGCGCTTCTTACTTCATGGGCGCACTGCGGCGAAGCAACAGCCGAGGAAATGAGCTCTGCGGGCGTTGCTTCTTTGCAGTGCACAGGTGCTTTGTAAGAAGTGCACTTAACATGGTAACTTACCGTTACCATGTTAAGAGCCGCAGTCCTGGCAGGGGATCTTGTACACAATGCCTTTCTCCGTATCCGCAGGGGTGGGGTCCTTTGGCTTAGACACAATAGACACAATGCTTGCTATAGTTCGGTACGGTTTATACACAGTTCGAATACCTACAGGTTCTAAGCCGCGCCCTAAAACCTGTAGGTATTCGAACTGTGTATAAACCGTACCGAACTATAGCAAGCATTGTGTCTATTGTGTCTAAGCCAAAGGACCCCACCCCAGAGGATACGGAGAAAGGCATTGTGTACAAGATCCCCTGCCAGGACTGCGGCTCTTCGTACATTGGGGAGACCGGACGCAAGAAGATAACCAGGATGAAAGAACACCAACGTGACGTCAAGTATTCCATGAACGCCACCCGTCTCAAGACGGAGCTGGTCGACCACGCGTGGACCACAGGACACACCTTCGACTTCACAGCCGCGACGACCTTGGCGAAGGAGGATAGGTGGGGCCCACGCAAACTACTTGAGTCATGGTTCATCCGCGGAGATAAGACGGCGTAGAACCGTGGCCCCCTCCTGGAAGCTTATATGGACCTTCCCGATAAATAAGACTGCGTTGACCGAAGCTCTCTCATTCCTGTGTATGTACTGATGATGCCTCCCGCATGGGAGGCAAAACGTTTAATGAAGTTGTTTTTCTTGTTATGTGAAGTCGGTGTTCTTATTTTAATCATTTTTGCTAAGTTTGTAAGTTACGCACATCGTAAGCAGTTCTAAAATCGGCCTTCCCAAACGCATTCGCAAGTGAGAGGAGGAAAACACCGGAAAAACTTCAACTTCTCGTGTGTCCCGCAGGTTCCCAATCACCGCGAGAGTGGGCCGTTGCTATGGCGACAGCGTCTTCGCAACAGGAACAGCCAATAGGAGAGTGCGGCATGTCCTACCCCTGAGCAAAGTGTTCTTCCAATTGAAGTGCTATTCAAACACATCCGAGCCCCTTACTGACACGTACCAATGAACCAAGCACTCCCAAGCATGCACATAATTGTTTACAAGGCCTGTTCGGTTTCGACCCACTTTATGGCATCAATGACTGGGTACCTCGAGGTCGAGAAATTCGAGAACCTCTAAGGAACGCCCCGCTATCCCTCGAGATCAGTCGGGGGGAGGGGGGGATGGGGCTTACCTGTGTGAGTAGGTTGGGCTTGACGTTGCCCCGGAAGCCCGCCCTCCAGAGCAGGTTGCGCTGCTCCCCGTGGGCGTTGAAGGCCTTGGCGAAGCGGTGCGACTCCAGCAGGCAGTCCACCAGCAGGAGCAGCTGGCCCGAGCTGAGGAAGCCGTACATGCCCTGCTCCTCCTGCTGCTGGTCCAGGGACAGGGAGCGGCCCAGCTGGTGCAGCAGCAGCTGCTCCTCCCGCTGCTGCTGGCGAGAGCCCTGCTGGGACGGCTGCTGCTGAGAGGCGTGCGGGGCCGGGGCCACCTCCGCCTGCAAAGGGCACGCGTCGAAACGGGAGGTGCAACCGTTTTCGGATTTCGGGGCCAATTAATCCAAGGAATCGGTTCCGTGTCTAGACGACGAAGAACGGAAAACCGTATTTTCGTGCGTGCGCTACTTCTTATTTTATAAAACTGATTAGTCCCGGATTAATCCATGGTGCAGTCAAGGCGACAGCTGCGACACGTCACGGCAAAGTCTATGGGTGTCGGCGTCGCGTTCGCTTCTCCATTTGAAGTCGGTTGATATCACGAAGGTTGTCACAAAGCGCACAGGCACGACCGCTCGAGCAGAAAGGCCAGAGAAGCTGCACAGGCGAAGCAAACGTTTGGCGACAGACCAGTTTATCGCAAACGGTGCCCGGGATTTGTCTTGTCGTGTCCGGTCCCGCACCTCGAAGGTGCGCCATGTTTTTGAGCATGTGTAGAGTTTGAGCAGTAAAAAGCAGGAGAGAGAGGGAATCCTTTCTAAATTCTCTGTTCCTCCTTTGATGTCCCTTCCCTCCTCCCGACAACCAGCTCCCTCCATTCTGCCGAAGGGATGGGATTTCCCCTCGCGCAGGCACCTCGCGGCTGAGATTAATTCCAAATACAGTATAGACCACCTACAACGTAACCACTTATAGTGCAGGACCAGGTATAACGCGGCTTTTTTCAATTACCGGTTTGCCCCCCCACACAACTCCCTGTAATTACATATCACTTAAAATGCAGGCGCGTGAAGGGAAATACCGGTTATAGTGTGGTTTCTGGAACAGCCCGCCAACCCCGCCGGCCGACCGGCGCAGCGAGCACGCTTCCCTGTGCGATACTAGATCACTAGATAACGGCACTAGCCGCAAGCGGCACTCGCCACTCGCGGGGGCAAGGATGGCAAGGAGGTTGCTCGAAGAAGCAAGGAAAGGCAAAGAGAGGGCGGCCCGTTCCCACACATGCATCCGTCGCAACCGCAATGACTGGAACAACCGAAACAACCGTTCAAAGGGTCTGCAACCATCAGTTGCCATAGCAACGGAGCGACGCACACACGTGTCGTTCACGACGCAAGGAGTTGGAGCGAGCCCAACTTTCTCCCACTGCATTGGAAACAACCGAAACAACCGCAATGACAGACCAATCACAGGTCGGGGAGAAGTGGTCGCGCACGTTGCATGCCGATCGTGGGGTGGCTTCTTCTATCTGCAAACATGGAGTCGGTAGCGACCATCGACGTGGACGGCGTAGTGGAAGCTCATCGTTCCGCGTAGAAGCACTATCCTTGACTGTGAATTTTCGTCGTGTGTCGCTATGATAACCCAGCACGTACTAGAAGGGAAGATCCTCCTACTCGTGCGGCGATGTCATGGCGGCACTCTCAAGACAGCAGAACGCCCTTGTCGTCGTGTTTGTTTACTTTGACTACAGTGGTGCTTTCGAAGCATTTGTGTCCTCGAACATCGCCCGGGTTTCTTATTTGGCGCATTTCATGCGTGTGCTAAAGTTCAAGGTATTACTGGCGCATACCGTATAAAGGATGCGAATTTTCACGCATTTTCATCGCCGGATAAAACTGATTAGTGTTAGCAATCTTGAACGCTCTCAACGTCTATCTGATCACGAAATCATATTTCTATGTTGCTATATCGCTGCTAAGGTTACATTGTCTTTTATAATCATAGAAAAGGCGTGTAGCAAGATTTGTACTATTGGCAAAGTCGTGGATTAGAGTCGTGATCGTCCAAAACGACGCACTGCATCTTTTTCTTTTCTTTTTCATCCATTGTACCCTGCAAGCCTATCATGAAAAAAATAATAATAATAATAAAGCTTTAGGCTATAGAAAACTGTCTGTCTGTATTCTGTTACGGCATTGAGTGGCAGTGCGTCCCCTTTTTAGAGGCACCGCTGAAACAGCTGAAGGCAGCATAGAAGCGGTCGCCGTGCTGACGACCCGCTGCGCTTGTTGCTGTGGTTGCAGGTGTGTGTACGCGCGGCGCAGAGCGGTCGTTCCGGTGGCAACGGACGCAGAGATAAAGCGCTCGTTGCAGATGTCTGAACCAGCCTGAACCCCTTCAGTGATGAGGTGTTCAAATGCCTTAGCGTTGCCGAAGACCAGGTCGTCCACAACGCCGTTAAAAGGCTGTGCCAGGCAAAAGTCACTCATTTCTTTTAAAATGTGTGACACACTTGAGAGAGAAGTGTACTAGTCTGGTGAAATAAGGACTTTCCTCAGACTAAGCTTTATTTTTCATCTAACATAAAATAAATTGTTTTACAAAGGTAAGTTATCTTATGGCATGTATTTTGGCCTGAAAAATTGATGTTTTGGTTATAGCACGGTACTGCTTATAGTGTGAATTTTCGCTACTCCCGTGATATACGTTATATGTAGTCTACACAGTATGACGCAAAGTGTGTTTTAAAATCTGCAATTTAAAAAAAAAAAAAAAAAAAACTTGCGTTATATTTGTGTATGCTAACCAAAATATACAGTAACCTAAATGTGGCCCAACCTAAAATTACTCAAGCTCCGTGTAACCAAAATCTTCCTAAACCTATCCCAAGCTCGACCTAACCGAACCAAATGTAAAGAAGTTGGTTACCTAAAAGAATTAAAAAAGTGCCAAATAGTCGCATATTTTAAGTTTAAAAAAAAAGTTAGAAGAAACGCTGCTTTGGAAGAAACCAAACTAAAAGAATTCCTCGATATTGTCACTTATAATAATTTTAGAGAAATGTTACAGCAAAGGCAGTTGTAGAAGAAACAGTGGCAATCCTACCTGTGCAGCAGCAAGATTTTCGGCGTCCTCCTTGCGGCTTGTGGCCGGAAAGAAGACAATGTTGTCGATGGTCTGGATCAGCTCCAGCTGCACCACACACTTCACCTTGAGAGAGTTGAACTGCACCTCGTCCTCTGCACATCAATGGGAGTGAAACGTCCGTTAACACCCATAAGGTACCGTGGGGAGCAGGGCAACAGTGATTTTTTTGCGGAACTTCCTCACTGGTGGATGGAGAGGACGACACTGTTGGCGCAAACAAGTGATCGCCGGTTTTTCCAGCTTTTTCCCAGGTAACTGAAAAGCTGTCATCAAATCTTCTAGTGTAACACAAAGAACTTGTTCGGGAAACTAACCTAACCAACACAACTTCCTGCCCCTCAATAGCCTGTATGCGTAAAATGCGAAAAAGCACCGGTGTTACGTTCGCACTAACCGTGTCGCACAGTGCACATTTTGTTGTTGTAGAACTGCGCAGATTGCCGACACCGAACGTCGGTTCAGTATTTACACCCTGAGATGTATGAAAAGAAAACAATGGCAACAAATAACCCCAGCGGAAAAGACTAAAACTGGAGAAATAAACGACAGAGACTGCAGCAACGAAGAATGAAATGGTTGCCGAGTGTTCGCCACACGAAGCAACTCACTCGAACGATGTTCGGGATCGTCAGAGGCTTGGACGTTTTCGTGGTTGCCGCCCTCTTTGCTCGGTGTCCATGTGAGGAGCCTAAAGGAGAAATGATGCGAGCAATTGAACGAAAAAATGCAAGTACAAGGATAGGCACTTCAAATAAAACAACTTAGAATCAATTGGGTACACAATCGAAGAATACTGCTCCCACCTTGTCCACAAAAATAGCTGTCATTAAATGCAACTCTATTAACTCGGATATATCTTGAGTACTACAAGATAAACAAACCCAATGTCTCTGATTCCTCTAAAACATTTCTGGGCAAACTTTACTTGTCTTGAGCACCCACTAGAATAATTCGTATTCAGTATTCTATTTTCCGGTTCTACAAGTGGCACTTTTACATAAGTCATACCCAACTATGAATGGCTGCTATCAGAAAAAAGTTGGTATATAAGTCCCACCAATATACCGTGTTTCCACGATTTTAACGCGCACCTTTTTTCGCCGAAATCGGTGCCCAAAAGTACATGCGCGTTAAAATCAAAACCAAAAACCGAAACTCAAAAAGAAAAACGCAATACTCAGTATAAGGTGGCTAGCCCCATCTCCATCGTGACTGTTTGTTTGCATTCGCCCTTTTGGTAGCCGTATCATGCGCATTCTCTCGCGTCTACGAACTGGTGTCTGCAATTTTAAGATGGAAAAACAAAGAAAATTACACTAGGAGGCTTTACTTAAACAAAAGACCATCACGCTGGCGGGAAAAGATAACGGAGCAGCGCTGCATGGTCTCGCAATCCCAGAGACCTAACAAACTCGCAAAGTTGCTTGGAAGACAACCTTTCAGAGGCAACGGCCGCACACTCGAACAAGTGCAAGAAGCGTGGCACCTGAAACGGTTTAGACGAAAGCATGGATCACCTCTGTGGACAGCGAGGAACCATCGTCGGACTCCGACAACGGCGACTAGTGCAGGGCATTTATTTTTGCAATGGCGTATGTTCCATAAAATCTGTTCTATGAGATATTGTGTTCAACCTTCATTGCTTTCCCTGCACGGTAGAATAGGCGGCAATTTACTTTTTGAGTACTATCTGGGAGCTAAATCTGCCTGAACGTTAGAATCGTGCAAACATGGTAGCTATACGATCGGCACAGCCCAACTGCATTGAAAAGTCTGCATACATGCATTACGATTGCAGTAGATGTGCATGAGAAAGCAAGTTTCAATGTTTTCATCAACAAATTAAAACAGAAATATAACCCCCAATGCTGCATACCTCTAGAAAAAAAAAAATATAAGTCACACCTTAGCGAAGACGCACCGATGGATATTCTTGAAAAAAAAATGTGACTTATACACTGGAAAATACAAAACTCCATTTCTTAGGGTTCACTACCTGTAAATGTACTGTCAATGTCAAGCAAGAAGTTAACACCACTGTTACCAGAGCACAGTGCTGCTGGGCTTAGCTTCCCAGTAAGCCTGGCCCATATTCAATAACTCATTCGCCACTCTCTTCTACAAAGCAGCAGTTCAATTTCTCCAATTCTACCGAATTTGGTCGCATCCTCAGAAATCGGGAGAGGCTAGGTTCCCAAAGCGGGGTCATAAACCGTTTGCGTGGGCACCTCCCGGCCACGAGGCGCCGGGGAGCACAACGGAGCATTTTTTCGCTAGAAAGGTGACAACTCTCCTCCCCCCCCCCCCCCCAACCAGAAGACAGCTTTAAAACGTTTTGTTTCTCGTTAATTCAGCGATGCCATCCAGTGGTAGAGAGAGGTCTTACTAAGAATGAATGTAACTCCCTTAAGGGGGGAGGCTGGTCTTTAACTTTTTGTTTTTTATTTTTCATTTATCGTGCTGAAATTTAGTATACTGATGTATTTCTCGGTGGCGATTTCAAATATGCAATTAGTTTTCAGATAGCTTTACCAGATCTTGAGTTACCAATAAATTTGTCATTTTAATTAGGTCCTCTTTACGGGTCGTTAGCGTAAGTGTTTTCAGAATATATCAAAAATGTTTATAAAATTGCATTCATCAAGACATGTTTTGTGCGGTGATGCTATTTTTGTTGCTTTATATATCATACAATAATTTTAATTAATTAGTCTCAAAAAGATATAGCTTCCCGTTTTATGCAACTTGATTGCAAATGTTTTTTACCGATGTAATATCATTAAATCAGTCTTAAAATAGCATCACCGCACAAAACATGCCTTGGTGAATGAAATTCTATAAAAATTTCTGATATATTTTGACCAATTTTATGGTAACGACCCGTAAGGAGGACCTAATTAAAATTCCAAATTTATTAATAACTCAAGATCTAGTAGAGCTATCTGAAAACAAATTGCATATTTGAAATCACCACTGAGAAATACATCAGTATACTAAATTTCAGCACCATAAATGAAAAATAAAAAAACAAAAGTTAAAGACCAGCCTCCCCCCTTAAATGAAGACCAACCGTCGCACATGAACCGCCCGCGTTCCAGAGGCCGACACTCACATCTCGGGCAGGGTGGTCTTAAAGATGTCCAGCATGCACTGGCAGGTCTTGTCCCACGTCTCGGTGCTGAACTTGGTCCCGTTGGAGATCACCAGGTTCTCCAGGCAGTTGGTGCCCGAACGCGCCAGCTGCTTGTTGTCTGCGACCAGATGCGCACACGCCGACCCCAATGTCAAGCAAACTTCCCTTCCTTCTTCCGCATCGTGCATTTCGAGTTGCATTAAATAGCACCAGGCACCCGCAATCAATTAATACATTTTTTTTAGTGCAAAACTTTACAATGCGGTATCAAGACTCCACCCACACACTTTATTGCTGCAGTCACACATTTGCCGATAAAAGTGAAGAAAAAAGGCTCGAGGTACACCTAAGCATTTCTCATGAGTTGTGAATGCGAAAGCAAGAATGTCGTTCTTCGCGCCGCGGCCGCTTCTGATCCCCTTGGCACCAAGGCCGCTTTTGAACCCCTCGGTTCTGCTCCGGCACGGGCACGCAGTGCCATGGGGTGGCGCTAACTGAAACCAACGCACGTCGGTTTCATATCATTGCCGTTTTGCGTGCTTTTTGCATGGTTTCAAAGGTGGGGTGCCTCAGATCGCAGCTTCGGTAATTTATCTGCCGTTTGGCGCAGCTGATGACAATGGCTCACTCCATGTGACGGTTAATGCTTTCACATTAAAAATTGAGCAGTCCTATGTTAGTTCGCAGTACAGTCAGGGCGACAGCTGTGACAGGCGACAGCAAAGTCGTTCGGAATCGGTGTCGTGTTCATGCACTGTGGGGTGCGTGAACAAAAGCACTCAAAAACAAAATAGACATCTGGCCATTTCGTTCCAAACACTTTTGTTTCTTAGCTTTTGTTTCGGAGCGCATGAAAGCGCGCCTCCCGGCAACAGAGTTCTTGGCACTGACAGTGCTACAACGAAATTTTGTTACCAGTTATTTCTTCGTATTTTTCCAAACAACACGTACAGTGATCATCGTATACTACTAAATATCTATGTACGCAGCGGTTTTTTAACGCCTTGGCACAGCTATGCAGTAATGCCTCATAGCTGTGGTTTTGGCAAAGAAACAAAAAAGTTATGCTAATCATGAAGTTCGGTAAAATCTATTTGTAGTAAAGACCGATGTAAGCAAAAACAGAAAAAATGCGCAGCAAATTGCTGGGCAATTGTGTTGCACCTGAAACGGGTGGTTTCCATATGATTCCTCTGGGATTGACGTCTACGCTCTCGGCGTTCTTTGTCGGTTAGTTTGGCGACCGGCTTAACGCATGGCACGTACGCTCAAAGACAATTCCCGGAATCGAGCTACTGGCGCCAACCTGTGTTTTAAACCCCTTTCACTCTTCCAGAGCCCTCCAAAGCTGCAGACGTTTCTCCGACGACATCCAACCGCCGTCTGGCGGGCGGGCGGCGGCACACGAGTGGTTGCGCAAACACAAGCCAATCGGCGTCGAGCTAAGGGGTGTGACATCATTACCTGGCTCAGCCAATCAGCATCGAGTTAACCGGCAGCTTCGCTTTTCGACTTCGCAAATTTCTAGACCCCTTCAATGAGACGAAGCACATTTCACATGAACATAGTTAAGCAAAGTTGCCACATGCTCGTAATACTCGAGCAGTAGTGACACTGACCTAGCGAAGACTTTTTTACCAAGAAATTGACCTCCTCGTAAAGAGGCCCTACTGCACAAACTCAATACAAACGTAGCACTAAAGGGGAAAGAATGTGACCTGCTCGGACAACTACCCCACTGCGCAGCTGTTGTTCTTACGCAGCAAAGGGGACAGAGGCCAGAGGGAATGGCTAGCGCACCGCCTACCCTTCCCCACCTCCACGCGGCATAACGCCATTAATCACACATGCGTCGATGTCTGATCGACAGCTGCACTCCGTTGCCAACTCTCTCCCCTGTGGCCTTGCTAGGGTGCGACCAACACCAACACGAGCAATGCAAGGTTCCCATATGGACCCTTTTTGTGTTTAAGAAGCGTGGGCCTTCTCTTGTGCCCTAAGCCCCTTCCAGTCCCTCCGCTTGCGTTGAGCGTTCCAAGCTTGTTTATGCCACAATTTCCAGGACATTCCACCGCTACAGAAATGCCGAAGTTAGAGATTCGGCAAGGTCCTTCTGCTGCATTCTTAAACGTATTTAAGGTGATCGGTTGTCTCGTAGGAGTATCCAAAACTGTCCATCAAATCTCTTGCCAACCGATCCTCTAGCTTAGCACGAATAGAGTTGAGTTGAATTGAGATGAAGTCTTGAGGCATAGAGAAAGGGGATGCCAAGAGAAATGTGGGCCTCGCCTAAAAGGCAAGACAGTAGATTTGGTGGTGAAATATTTTCACGGACACTGCAAAGAGCGGTGTTACGGTGGGGATTGTTTCCACACTCATTCGATCGAAAGGGGCCGTAAAATGCAACATCGCCCCCTTCTTTATAAAAAAAGGGTCCATAAAGTCACTGCTTTCCCAAAACACTCGAATCCACCTAGAATGAAAACGCCCAGCAATGGGGCCTCCTCAGCGCACACGTGGAGTTCAGACGCTCACCTTGCTGGACGCACCAGTGAAGCTGGACGAAGAGGTCGTCGAGCAGCAGGTTTCCCAGCACGTCGTAGTACTGGGTGAAGACGTCCACGATGGCGTACAGGGCGTGGTTGCAGGTGGTGGTCATCCACTCCGCCTTCTGGGAGCAACAGACAGGGAGGAGGGGGTGGGAGGGGGAGGGGCAAGACCACAGTCCTCGAGACACTTCCTTCTCAGGCGGCAGAGAAGGGACGTGGCGGAGACATACCCCGTGCATTCCAATTCCTTAGGTTGACGCTGAATGCCGAGAAAACATTTTTAACACAAAACGGTTTTATCGGCCGAATTTCATGAGAACACTGCCATGGAAGACCATCCCAAAGGACTGTGACATCACCATGACATTATGACATAACCATGGGAGTCCCTGGGATGTCATTATGTCATGTCATTATGATGTTACATGACATTGTGTCATGACTCACACAACATTGTCTTGATGTTACATGACATCATGTCACCCTGATATCATCGTCATATCGTCATCATGACACCCTGTCTCGAGACGTCACAGTGTCGTGTAACGTCACGAGGTCGTGTGACTCTGTGACAAACCATGGCACCATAACGTCATACAGCGATGTCACGTGACACCACGGCGGCATGTGATGCTGTCAAAGTGTCTCACAACATACTATTGCGAAATTTTATTTCTTTTATTTTCGGGGGAAGTTTGTTTTGTAACATCTGTGCTAAGGCACTTAAAGAAATAGTTATCTGGAAGTTCAGTCTCCCTTTAAAGAACTGACCCTTCGCAAATGACATGGACTTGCAAGTAGAGGATGTCTGATCACAAGGCAACCTGGACAGTGGACTGAAAAAGCTGATCACCACCCACACCATGGTTCAAGCGCAGATAAGCTCACGCCACTGCAGAGTTATACTCCGGTCACAATTAAACCGAGACTAGAAGTTCTGCCTTCAGCACAAGCTTGCTGGCTTCCATAGTGCTTTGGTTGCGCGTGCCGGCGCATTCACACTTGTGTTAGCCAGGGCAGAAAGCTCGTGCTGAAGGCGGAGCTTCTACTCAGTTTAAGGGTGAATGAAGTATAGTGGCACCTATTGCATCTTCAGTCTTAGCTGTCATCTATGCTTTGTCACCAGTAACATCTTCCTTTCAATAGCAACAATTCGCTTTCCCGACTTACCGCAGGAATGACAGCCCGTCTGTCCTTCCACAACGCTTCTCATAACTTGCGACCAAAAAAAAAAGGTTACATAACTTGCCGTCACAAAGTAATGCGACCTCCTGCTGTCACGTAACTTGCGACTGCAAAAAGGTTACGGGACTAAGGCAAAAACTTAAAACCACAAACCAAATTCAAGAAACTGAATCGACTGGTACTTTGCTCGCGAGGGACCACGGAAAGGTACTGCCAAGCAATGCGTCACATCTTGAATACTCCAGAAACATAATTGCAATGAGCTATACTCTAAATATACTACCGTAATATCCCGAGTCATCGCCCATCCCCGAGCCATCGCCCACCCCATTTTTTGGGCCAATATCGATTTCCGAAAAAACACCGAGTCATCGCCCACCCCTTCAAATACCCCAGCGCGGACTCAGCGATCCGTGAACACTCATGCCACCCGAATGACGCGGCCGCGGACCTTACAGTTGGAGGACGTCCGTGACAAAGTAAAACGAAGGAGGGAAAGACACTTCTTTTTGTTTACGCATTTCCTCCGTGAGCGACCCCGAAGTGGTTGTGTATCCGTGCGAAAAGAAAACGATGGAGATAACAAAATAAGAGTTTGTTAATGTAACCGCGGAGTGTTAGGTCAGTCTGTCTCCGCCGAAGTAAGGTCACCGCGAACCCGCTCCTTCTTCCCGCCCGTCGCGACCGCGGTTGTGCAATATTTTAGGCAAAGCCAACGCGTAAATAAAGCTTTGCTGGAACGTAGACGTTTGCAGAGCGTCCCAACCGTGCATTGATAGCCCGCCGTGCACCGACGCACGTATGTACGCACCAAACAAGAAAGTTGCGCAAGAGCTTGTAATTGACAAGGCGCCCGACTTGGCCCGACGCCAAAGTATTTGCCAACACGACCGCCGGCTTTCCCGCTTTCCCAGCATTGCTCTTGGTCGCTTCTTTGGTCTGCTCGCTCGCTCGCTCGCTCGCTCGTTGAGCCTGGTTGGTTTTTCCATTTTCTTGTAGACTTTTCTTTCTTTTTTTTTTTTTTACTAACTAGGGGAACATAGTGGTGACATTCTTTCGCGGAACAAACGTTCGCGCTATATGCAGATCGGCGGTGTTTCTAGCGCGTATGCAAGCAACGGACTTCGCTATAGTAAAATATTCTTTATTGAGCATTTTTTTCTATAAAACAATGAAACTAAATCGAGTTTTGAGTTTGATGTATCTCTTGTGCATCAGCGCTAGATACGCAGAGAAAAATAGGCGTTTTTTTCCGCTTTTTTTCAATTGTTTGTGCTCACCCACCGAGACATGGCCCACCCCACTTTTTTATGAATTTCAGGCGGTAGGGGGGTGGGCGATGACTCGGGATATTACGGTACTTGAAGTGCAAGCTGAAACATAAAACGAGTACTTTTTGACCACTAGCGCAGAGGGCCGGGATCCTCTTCCTCCCATCTAACTTCACCACGGCAGCCATTTTCCCGTCCATGTCGCGCGACTGTTCGTGCGGACAACGACGACATCAGGCAATACACCTCCGTCCCAGGTGAATATCGGTCCACTCGCAGCTGGACCACAAAACCGGTCTTAGCTCGAGAGTCTAGATTTAAGAGAGGGAACAGCTTAAACCAATGATATTGTTTGCAACTTAGTGGCGGGTGCCTCCCACACCGATCGGTCGCAAGTGCACATGCGTCGCATTGTCGCGCGGCAAGGAGGAAAGCGGGCAGATAGTTTGCAGACGATCTTTGCTTTCGTCACCTCCTCGCCGCTCGTATTGTAAACGCGGCCCAAAACATGTGACCCCGATTGAGCAGCTGGAAACTGCTCAATCGAGGGCCAGCTGGAACCAGTTCCAGGATCCAGTTTCATAGGTGGACCGATTTTCACCCAAGATCCCCACCTTTCCTCGAGTCATTCACCCAAAAGGTCCTGGCCCCACGCCCCCCCACCCTCGGGGGCAGTGCGGAAGGCAGGGCGACCCACCTCGTTGTGCCGCTCGGGTAGCTTCATGTTGTCGAAGATGCGGAAGATGATCTGGAACAGGTCCTGCCACCAGTGGGGCCGGAACGAGGCCCCGTATGTCTTCACCACCTCGAACATCACCGTCAGGGCACGTGTCCGGATGTCCAGCTTGCACCTGTGGGACGGCGGGAGGGCTACGGCCGGCTGCTCGGCTAGACTCCTTCCCGTTGGCTTTGGCTAAGTCAAGTCACATGACACTGTTACGTGACACATGACGCAATGTCACGTGACACTGCGACATCATGATGTCACATGACCTGACATCAAGTTGTTGGATGACATTATGGCATGACATTGTGGTGTCAGCTTATCCCACGACATCACATTGTCACGAGACACCACGATGACACGCGACAGTGACGTCAGAGGGCCTATAAATGCTACGTATTTAGAGCACCTTTGAGATGTACCAAAGAGATAGTTAGTTCTTCGTAGCCTGGCTACAATTTATCCAATCACAACTGTTCCCACACCCACCCCGACACCTCGACTCCCTCCAGCGGTCAAGGTGGTCGCGGTGTGCGCTTACCTGTTGACAATGCAGGAGAGCTCGAAAAGGATGGGGAACCAGCCGCGCACCCAGACCCGGTCCTCCTCGGGCACCGTCTGATCCTCCATGTTGTGGTCCCGGAACGTCTGGGGCTGCTCCGCCACATACTTGGCGCAATGCCGGATCAGCCGGATCGACTCCATCGACGTGTCCGGGAAGCAGGCGTTGCACGCAAACTCTGACAGGCACTTGACCGCGTCCTGCAACAACAGAAGGGCGGTCGCAGGCAATATCACACGGCTCTCGAATTTTATCACGCTAAACGTACAGCGAGATTCATCACTCTTTGGCAAGGAACAGCGATAAAAAAATTCACAAAACACTCGCGGGAACTCTCGCACTTCAAATATAAGACATTTTTTCTTTAAATAATTAATCGATTTGTACTTTCTAAAATTTAAGTACATATATGTTGCTATGTCACATGGAACAAGCTCACTGAAATGAACTGAATCTCATAGATCAAACATGAGAAGTGGATGTGTGAAAGTAGAGTGCACAGTAGCTCCTCCCCTTGAGTAAAGCAAGTGCACACATTCCTGGAACGCACTTGAAGTAGGATAGAATTACCCAAAATATACTTTAACTATAACTGTGTGCCTGAAGTACACTCTAATACTCGAAGGTAAAGATCTTCGACAGAACTCTGCCTGGTTGGGTGAAAATAGCCACCCCTGAAAAAGGAGTCAAGTAAGCTTCGAAACGTCGGGACTACTTTTTACGGATTTGTGGTTAGAGAATTATTTTTTTAATTTACTCTAATACTCGGGGCACTCCTACTACCCTAACACTTGGAGTACTCTTTAGCGTTTGCAGTGTACTCTAGTACTAAAAAAATCACTTTAGTAGTACTAGGATATTACTACAGCACTTGGGAGTAATCACTAGTATGTGAGCTACTCTCTAGTAGTACTGGAGTACTACTCTAGCACTTGGAGTACACTCAGTACCTGAGGTACTCTCTAGTAATCCTGAGGAAGTACTGGCGTGCTGCTCCAGTACTCGACATACTCTCTAGTAATCCTGGGATACTACTGGTGTATTGCTCTAGTACAGTACTCAAGGTACTCTCTAATAATCCTGGAGTACCACTGGTACTCCAGGATAGCTCTAGTACTTAAAGTATTCTGTAGTAGTACTGGAGTACTACTCTAGCACTTCAAATACACTCTAGTAGTAAAAGTATTAGTAGTACTCTGGTAGTACTGTGGTACTATTCTACCAATACTGGTCTGCTGCTCTGGCCCTTGGGGTACACTCAGTACTCTAGGTACACTGGAGTAATCCTAAGGCACTACTGGTACACAGCTCTAGTACTCGAGCTACTCTCTGGTAATCCTGGAGTACCACTGGTGTACTGCTCGACTACCTCAGTTACTCTCTAACAATCATGGGGTACTACTCTAGCACTTCGAGTACACTCTGGTACCAGAAGTACTACAGTCGCTGACCGATTTTTTGAAAGCCGATAATTCGGACTTGCTCGATATTTCGGTCCTAAAAGAGGAACCGTGACCTACCCGATAAATTAGTGCATGTTCACGACCAATGTTTCGGACAGCTCGAAGTCCAAAAGTTTGATTTTTTCTGACAAAATCATTGCGAGCGATCAGCGGAAAACACCACCGAGAGGTCGCCATTTTAGGTTCTATGCTGGGTGCACGTGGATTGGCTTGGTTTGGCAGTGCTACTTAGCACTGCTAAGTCCAACCGCTAGGTGACGGCATGCTATGACTTTTTCCTTTCTCTAGCTGCATGTCATTGGCATCATCATTGTTACCATCTTGCTTTGTTGATTCGCCATTCTGCAGTCGTGGACTTGCGCCTTTCATCTCGTCTCAGTGAATTGAGGTTTCGGAGTACCCTGGCTTAGACGTCATGCCCCATCTGTTCTTCCGCCGCCGCAAAGTGTGGCTAAGAAGCGCGGAAAGTAGTCAACCATAACACTAGAAAAGAAGACAACGATTCTTAAGCTAATAGAAAGTGTCCGACTGCAAGCGGAGGCATAACCTGAAGCAAGGCACTATTGACGACTAATAAAGGCAAGTTTTTTTATTCGGCCAATTTTTTAGACTGTTTCATTACTCGGACACTATTTCGTAGTGCGAAGTCCGAAAAATCGGTCGGCGACTGTACTCTAGTAGTATCGTGGTACTGTTCTAGCAGTACTGGTCCGTTGCTCTAGCCTTTGGTGGTTACTTAGTATCTAGGCACTCTGTAGTAATCCTTACGTACTACTGCTGTACCACTCTAGTACTCGAGCTGCTCTCTAGTAATCCTGAGGTACCATCGGTGTACTGCTCTAGCACTCAAGGTACCGCTCTAGTAGCAGCTGGGTACTGCTCTAGCACTGGAAGTACCAATGCTGCAGCCAGAGATGGACCCAAACCCTCACCTGAAAGGAGTCCACGAGGGCAAGGAAGTGCCGTCCGTAGGTCTGGGTGACGATGCGCCCCGTTGTCTGGAAAGCGAGCTCCACAATGCCCTCGTCCCGGTCCGAGGCCGCCAGGTGGAACACGCTGAAGATGTTCTTCCAGCCAGACTTGATGTTGGCCGCCTGAAACACAAGACGTGCTGACCACTTTGGGCTGGCGCTTCGCCTTCGGCTTGGCTTCTGTCTCGCAAAACTTGCTCCGAGGTAAGCCGCCCGAAACCGAGTGGTCTCAGATTAAAAGCACCTGAAATCAAACTTCTGCCTGCAACAGAGAACGTGCCGATCGATCTGTGCTCATGCACTTCAACGTCGGCTCGACGTCGGCCTAAGTCAGTGCACTCCAGCCTGGTTTGCTATGCGTCGTCCGCACCACGGGCCTCGCAGACTCTGAAGAGCCTGAACCAGCAGAAATGCCGGCCTAAACTTCATACAGCATTAAAAACAAGGCAAGCAAAACATACTACAATATAAAATAGCCCAAAGCCAGGAGTAAGAAAAACAAAATATTCAGGAGTGGAAAGAATGAAAAGAAAGGGGACATATGACACTTCAAACTTGGCAACTGCATTTATTTAGTTACCCACCTAACGCTACATCCTCTTTCTCAATGTCGCCAAAACCAATACAAAGGAACATCATACTCTAATACACTCGTACGAACCACTTGCAACACTCGTATGAAACCCTTGCACACCCAACTGGGACGTATGCAAGTACTACGATGTCGTTGTATAGGTTGTTGACAACATTCTAAAGGAGGACATACATATATACGGAGACCAAATCAATGCGGTTGCCGACTTTAGGGTGTAGTCAGTCTCTCTTTTACAGCCCCTTCCGATTTTGAATCCTTCATTTTTCTTTGCGCAATCTCGGACCAATTCCCACCATGGTAAGCTTACGCCAGCTCCTTGCACTTTAACCATTATTTCGCGAAGCAAAACTACCGTATTTTGCAAACTACAGGCTAGGAACTATACATGTTTAAAAGATTATATTCTATGCTGTGCAAACTACATAAAGGTGCGAGATACCGTGAAATCTTGAGCGAGCAACCACTCTAAATTTTGAGGTAATCATGTAAAACGTTGGGATGGGCACTCCCTAGGTCAACAATATGTACAGATATGTCCTTTGTGTCCTTCCTAATGTTACAAATTTGTTGTGGAATAGGCAGATGCTCAGTATTTAACGACATACACCTTTCCATAAAACGCTCCTAGGCTGCCCCCCCTATCAGCTAAGAATTTTCTGCCACTCTCTTGGACTGTTAAGGCTCGTTCACACTCTTGCAACCGAGTACGACCGAGAGAGACGAGACCGGTTTTTAAGCCTTTTGCGACTTCTTAGGACCGGGTGCTCTGCAGCGGAGCTGTCCTAAGAGATTGCAAGAGGCTTAAAAACCGGTCTGGTCTCTCTCGGTCGTTCTCGGTTGCAAGAGTGTGAACGGGCCTTTAAACCTGCTCAGCGCAATTCTCCACCAATGTTTTGAGGTTTTGCATTGAAAGCTTTCTGGCCTCTCTTCAAAGCTTTCATTTGATTTTTTTTTGTCCATGCTGGATTCCCTTTTTGTGTTGTCCTTCTTGTAAGAACTAAGGCTGGTAAGTGCATGCCATTTATACCTTTCTGCTTGACATTCACAGGAAACAAGGAAAGGAAAGAATGTCAAATGGCCTTTGAAACGATTTTGCAAACAATGACAACTGTTCTCCCCATTCCCAGAGATATTCCGTGTAGAGTCCTCCTTAGTCATCACCAAAAATAGCTGTTTGGATTGGAAGGGAAATAAACCAGTCGCACTCGTTTCTTTGCCTTGGTGCTGGTGTTGGGAAAAAAGGAAACTCGTCCCAAAACATGAGCCGAAACGAGGTCCTCTTGGATTTTGTCCAATCGTCGAGATGTGACTGTCGTCAACACTGCTGTGCTGTGTTATTAATGCAAAAGCATTCATTGTCCCATGGAGCGAAGCCGGCGTTGTCTGTAACCGTCTGTAGCAGAAAAACGGTACCTAAATTTCCATTCCCAATAGAACACACAAAAAAAAACACAGCAAGGAAGATGCCTTGTCACACAAGCCGGGGGTGTGCTCAAGGTCAAAGCGGATCCACTTTGGAAATAAAACAAAAAGAAAAGCACAGCAACGCAATGCTTCGTCACAGAAGCTGTCGTAAAGCCGGCGGGGTTCGCCGCGCCTGCACAGTGGGCGAGCGCGATGTCACCGCCGCAGCGCCGTGTGCGATAGGAGGACGTGGCGCACTGCTTGTAGGAATGCACTGCATGTAAAAATGCTTTTGCATTTTTACACATAAGCAGGCTCAAGTGCCTCTGCAGAATATGCATGACTTTCGGCTATCTTGTTTATAATTATTTTCGACAGCTAAGGGCAGCACCATCAAAACTCATCGTAAAATAAAACAAACATCCCAGTCGCATTTGTTCTGTCGTGCGCGTACCCAAGAAAAACAGTTCACAGTTAGTTTTTCAAATGTGGTACAATGCTTTCTCAATGTTCCTGGGAAAAATATATATACCATAAAATGAGAGAAAAAAAAAAAAAAACAGCAGGAAAAGGCAAGAATTTAGCCGTTAGCAGGGACACCGGTGAGACACTAGCCTTAAGCCCAGTGAACGGGATTAAAAAGGGTTCTCTTGTACCTGGGGATGAGTGATGCTTGGAAAGGTGTATACACAGATTTGTTTTTCAAGATCACTCATTATCACCGCGATTGTCGTCCAGAGCAGTTGTCAAGATCAAGCTGTCTGGCTGTTTCCCGCTCGGCACTACTTAGAAAAGGGCTGAAACTGTCAGAGCGCTACATTTTACCTAAAATATAAGCCTAAGCCCCCCCCCCCAAATGGCATGTGAGGCAGGTGCACAAAAATGGACAACATGAATCAACCCTGATACTCACTGCTTGCTTTCGTAAATCCTTACTACAGGTGAATACAGTGATGTCTCGTTAAGGGGGGACATGGGCCCGAGTTTCAAAATTTTTTGAAAAAAAGTCAGTTTTAAATTTTGAGGTTTTCGGTTTTAGAAACTAATTATACACCCTTAGACTAAATTTCATAACCATGTGCCAAATAGTTACGTTGATATAAAATATTTTCAACACATTGTGAGGCAGTAGCAAAGTAAAGGAGTTCAATGTTTGAATGCATTTTTCTCAGTTCCACTTTTTGCTGCAAATTTCATATGAAGGAATCTTTTCTTTGAAGGTAAAAGTATCCCAATACCACAATCAAGATGTTTCTGAACTGAAATTTACTGGGGAATCGGGCTATCTACTTTATTTTGTTTTACATTAAAGTCCTCATTGAGAAAAAACTATGTTTTCAAAAATTGACATAGGACAGATATGCAAATTGACATAGGACAGATACGCATCTCCTATTTTGAGGTAATCACTCTTCCTGAAATACTTACATTTGAGTTATAAAAACTAGATAGCCCCAAATCCCACATCCCCCACTTTATATTCAAGCAGTTAAAATGGTGCTTAATAGCTTCATTTGCATATCATAGATTTCTTAACGAAGAGTGACGTGTCTTCTTATGCAGGTATGTAAAGTTGTCCTAGAGAGCTGAAAGTTTGCACAGTACACCTACGTTTATAAATCTCCCCTGCAAATTTCATTCCGATCCCTTAAGTAGTTCAGAAGTTCAACCTCTAGCCAGTGTCCCCCCTTAATATGGACGACTCCGTTCCCTCCAAAAATCGTCCATAGTGTGAGTTGTCCAGATTAACGAGACAAAAATGCATGTATTTTCCCAAATTGCCCCCGAAAATGGTGTCCATACTGCGGAGGTATCCATATTAACGGTGTCCATATTAACGAGACATGACCGTAAGTGATTGCGTAGTCGTCCAGGATCTAAAGTAACAATGCTCATGAAATAAAGAAGTACGTTCAGATCCCTTCTTGAGTTGTCAAGGATCCAAAGTCGCAATGTTCATGAAATAAAAAAGTGCGTTCAGACCCCTTCTTGCTTCTTTAAGACAATAACAATTAAAAAAAAAAAACAATAAAACCTGCAAAATGACGAATATATATCTGTGTTGTTTTATTAGTCAGCATCCATCAAGAAGCTAACGACTCGTCATTCTCAATGGGAGTAAGATAGAGTGAATGCCTAAGTGAATTATGCATCAGGCGCCGATTATCGGAGAAAAAAAAAAGTTTTTTTTTCAGCCCAAATTTGTTTCCACAAACCATAGGGCAGGTGCAGATAGATGCTAGGTCGAGATACGTCACCAAAGATAGTGAACTAGAAAAAGAATCTGCTCACCTGGGAGTTGACCATCTGTGCCACGCAGCGCACCACCATGTCCCGGATGGTGGGGGACCGGTTGCGCTTGACAATGTGCTCGAAGGGCCGCAGGAAGTCCTTCTGGAATCGGAAGTTGGCAAACTCGCCCTTCTCAATGAACTTCATGGACAGCTGGCGCAGGGAGTCGAGGGCGAAGAAGGCCACGTCCTCCGACGGGGAGCAGCCCACCCGGTTGAAGTGCTCGCCCAGCACCTCCCAGATGCGAGACCACTGGAGTCGGATGCGGCCCATGTTGTAGTACGAGATCTCCACAATTTTCTGCAGGCTGAACATTCGCGGGTGCGAGGGGTTCGCCAGCTCCTCCAGGGAGACCTGTGCCGGGAGCAAAGAAAGAAGCTTGAGCATGCAGGTCATATCATATTCTTCGCATTTTGTTTGTCTAGACCAGGAGTTTTAATTTTTCTGCCTTGAGAAAACCTTGATTGACAGCCCACAAACCTATCCCACACTCGACATTGATACAATAAAGCAGTAAACAAGCCTACAAACATTGTTATCAATAATGTACACAGTCGGAACCATTTGGTTTAGAGTTACACATCAGTGGATGATTTAGAGTCATGCATCAGTGGATAACAGAGTCCTGCATCAGCGGATGGCTGAGATCTTCTAAAATAGTGATTAAATTCGAAAAACCTTTACTTATAAAAAAAAACCTTTACTAGAGGGAAAAACCTTTACTTGGGGGAAACACCTTTACTAAGGGGTAGGATCAAAAATGTGAGTTTGGGAAACCATCTGAAAAACCCTTGTACAGCGTGGACCGCATATAACGTATGTCGCGGGAGTCGCGAAAATCCGCACTATAACCAAAACATCATTTTTTTTCAGCCCAAAATACATGCAATGAGATAACTTACCTTTGTAAAAGAATTTATTATATGTTAGATGAAAAATAAAGCTTAGTTTGAGGAAAGTCTTTATTTCACCAAACTAGTACACTTCTCTCTCAAGTGTGTCACACATTTTGAAAGAAATGAGCGGCTTTTGCCTGGCGCAGCCTTTTAATGGCGTCACGGGTTGCGGACGGACGTTGCGAGCGTTCAGGATTGCTAACCCTAATCACTTTTCTCCGGTGATGAAAACGGGTGAAAATTCGCATCCTTCATACAATACGCGCCAGTAATACCTTCAACTTGAGCACACGCATGAAATGCGCCAAATAAGAAATCCGGGCGATGTTCAAGGACACAAATGCTTAGAAATCACCACTGTAGTCGAAGTAAACGAACACGACGACACGGGCGTTTCTGCCGTCTTGAGCGTGCCGCCATGACATCGCCGCACGAGTAGGTGGATCTTCCCTTCTAGTAAGTGCTGGGTTATCATAGCGACACACAACGAAAATTCAGTCAAGGTTAGCGCTTTTACGCGTACCGATGACGAACACGACGAAGATCACAACCGACGCCATGTTTGCGGTTAGAAGCAGCCGGCCCGCGACCGGCATGCAACGCGTGCGAACACTTCTCCTTGACCTGCGATTGGTCTGTCGTTGCAGTTGTTTTCCAACGCAGTGGAGGGACGCACGCACGTGAACGACACGTGCGTGCGTCTCTCTTCTGCTCCCGCGAGTGCTGCTTGCGGCTAGCGCCGTCAGCGCCGTTATCTAGTGTCGCACAGGGAAGCGTGCTCGCTGCTCCGGTCGTCGGCGCGGTCGGCGGGCTGTTCCAGAAACCGCACTATAACCGGTATTTCCCTTCGCGCGCCTGCATTTTAAGCGGTATGCAATTACATGGAGTTCTATGGGAGGCGAACCGGTGGTTTAGAAAAACTGCGTTATACCCGGTCCTGCACTATAAGCGGTTACGTTGTAAGTGGTCTATACTGTATCCCTAGGAAGCCGTCTGCTACAGCAACAAACCGGCCACTACAGCCAGCTGCTACGGTCAGCCTCTACATCTGCTAGAGCCAGCCGTTACATCCAAATGTTACAGAACTTCATTGAATCTGCTGATAAAACACATTTTGTGTTTAAAGAAAACTTGTTAGGCCCTCCGTTTTGTTGGGGGATCGGTGGTCAAGTGTGTTGACAGCTCGGTGCATGTATGGCAAAAGCTCGTGATGCAGACCCCAGGTATCCTGGGTTCCAGCCCTGCTTACCTTGATCTAGATGAGCATCATACCGGCATGCAGTCGTGTATCACTACTGTGTGATGCATATTAAAGCCCCAGGCTAGCAGTCATACTGCACTGGCCGAATGCTTTATCTACAGTGGAGACTTCTTGAGCTAGCTCCCTGATGTCTAAACACAACACAATTACTTTTACCAGAGTCCCTGAACACGCTACTGGACACAAAACTCCACCGCAACACTATGGGAGAGCTTGGTACGCAACCATGTGCGGCACTAGTGTTGAAAAGGGGGCTAAGAGCCACCAATCTAGCCAGTACTGCTGGAAGCCTGGCAACCAGAAAATTGGACTGGACTTTCGAACCCACTCTAAATGAGCCACCAATAGATCGCGGTGATGCGTCATTGCACTGGCCTCATTCCTGCAGCTTCAGCTCTGTGCGCTCTGTCAACTGTTCAAAATTCCTTTCCTGCAAGATTCTCCAAGCCAATATTATTCTTCATTCCTTCTTCTTGCCCCAAAATGAATTCTTAATACAGCTATCGCTGTCAAAATTCAGCACCGCGAATAGGATCATCAGGTAGAGGAAGAGCCCGTACACTCGACTGTCCGACTCTTTCTCGCTTGCAGAACATTGTTACAGCGAAGCTGTTTATGGCTAGAGTTCCATGGATTTTCTGTGTGCCCCGACTAAAAACTCTAAGCTCGCACTACCGCATGCGCACACCTCCCTCGCATAAAAAAATAAAAAGTAAACCAAAATAAAGCGTTGACAAACATACGTGCAAGATGGCGTTTGTTTTAGGCTTTTACTTTAGAACAGTTACTGCGGCAGACGCCGGCACGTGCGGCGCGTGGAACACCATTCCCTGCATTCTCCTTGATGCTTGGGTAGTTTAGCAATACATCTATTCAGTAGATTAGTAATCAATAGGCACCATTTTCAAGATCAGTAGACTCCCAGGTAGATAATAAAGGTTTCTCAAAGACTTGCTGCTGTGGGACCCGCGTCGGCCATGTCTACACTCGCACCGCCCTCTCTTTGTCGTCGTTCCAAGCCGCTTGCACGCCTGGTTTCCCTTCCTTCCTCTCTCCCGTGGTGGCAGTCCCATCGAGCGTGTCTAGTTACCTCCGGCTTCTCGGAGCGGGTCTGTGTCGTGTGCTAAACAGCTTCGCTGGTCATCCACCGTCACAAAATGAAATGGCTCATAATTTTTTTTTTTTTTTTAAACGAAAGGAAAAGTGTTTATTTGTAAGTTTTTTTATTAGAGATCAATAAAGCATGATTGGTGCTTGCATACAGTGGTCAGTCACAGGCGTAACAAAATGTCGGTGTACGAGAAATTGCTTATCGAAAACTATTTGTCACGATTTTCGGGAGGATTGCCGAGAGTGAGGTGACCAACGAAAATTGAGACCTCCGGAACAGTAGCGCCCTTGGCAATGGCAGCTGACTCTGTGCCAAACTTTGGCTGAAGTTTCGTGACCAGTAGCGTATTGAAGGACTCTGCTATTAGTAATGACCTCGCGGCTCTTAGGGGTTTGCAAGAGGAAACCTCCTTCCCCTGTCTTCAAGCTCAAGGAGTCTGAACTCGTTTCTGGGGGAGGACGGGCACCAACCTGGCACAGCGCCCGCACGAAGTCCACGATGGCGTTGCCGTCGAGCCGGGTGGAGCCCGTGAAGATGCGGTCCACGGCCACCACCACACTCTGGGAGCTCGTCTCCCCCATGGACTCCTGGAGCAACGCCATGCGCTTCTGGTCCATCGGAAGTCCCGGACGGGTCACTGCACCGGAAAGCGGGACAGTCGTTCATGACTGGATTTCAGGGTACGGACTATGAGGGAAGGTGCGACGATCACGAAGGTGCAGCGGTCTTGGGATTCATGCCTACGGAGTGCAAGCCTACACGACCTGGAAGCAGTGCAACCTTGCACTCCAGGGCTAGAAGAGATAATGATGCCAAGAAAAATAAAGATAGAGCCCATCACTACAATCTGCATTAGTATTGTTCAGCAGAGAGTAGGAACAAGACCCCTAATGTTAGCGAAGAATGTGTTTTATGTGGCGATTTCTACGAGAAAATTGTCATAATTGAGCGTCATGAGCGAGTGACATGTTAAGCTTATATATAAAGTTTATAAAGTTGGAGACAACGGCAAGTTCAGGTTTTGGATGAAAATAATTTATAAAATAAAAATAAAATAAATAAAAATAAAATAAGCAGATAAATAAAAATAAGAATTCAAAATAAAACATTAAAAATTGCATAATAAATTACAAATAAATTAGGAAAAAACTAGATGATAAAAGGATTAAAAAAATCTTGCAGATCCGATGTATGGTGTCTGGTTTGTGTGGGACATATTCTGTGCTGCATGGTCTTTTTCGGCATAATCAAGCCAGTATAATTTTACAGCAAAGCTGTTTATGGCCAGGGTTCTGTGGATTTTTTGTGTGAAGTGACTAAAAAACGTTCAGCCTTTTTACTCTCGTGAAGAAGGAAGACCCAGCGGAGCTGTACTCAATACACTGCCGCAACGCGTACGCGCCCGTTTCCCGCTTTTTCTCGTCCGACACGCCACCGATCATGGATACGTCTCTGGCGACCCAGAGTCGGTCGCACACGGCACACGTGACGCCAAACGGGAAATCCACAAACTCCTTCCGGTACATCGCCGTCGCGCCCGGGAACTATTTAGCCGGCGTGGAGTGCAGTCGTCGCCGGGCCTCGCGCTTGCGCTTGGCCTCCGTGGCACGATCGTCGTCCGTGGCTCTGGCCCGCCGGCGCCCTTTACATTGCTGGTTCCATTCTAGGTGGTGGCTTTCCAGGCGAGCGATGTGCTCTTCTTTGGCAAGGAAATCTGAAGCGTTCGACGCAGTGGAAGTTGAGGCGACAGCGGCTTTGCAGCGGTTACGGAGCCATTCGCGCTGCTGTGTACGTCGCCGCTCCTTCCGCAGCCAATCTTCTTTCCCCGAAAGGGCACGCGGCTGACCCATCCTAAGTCCAAACCGAAACTGACAAGAGCCTAGGAAACAGCGCGCAAAACAGACAAGGACGAAGAAACACACGTGACGAGCGCTGCACTCGTTACATGTGCTTCTTCTTTGTCGTCGTCTGTTTTCGCACTGTTTCCTACGATGAATTCCCACCAACGCGCCGCCTTTTCGGGAAAGGTTGGCGCCATCTACCAGCGACGGCGGCAACCAGACTGGTTGTGTGCTTGCCGCCGTCGCTTATAGCTGAGAACGTGGCAGCAGCCAACCTCGTCAGCGGCGGCGGATAGCGGTCAGTCTGGTCGCCCCCAGTATTTTACTGAGAAGAAACGAGAGCTTTTATTGCCTAACTAAATGAGCGAAATATCACTGAGCTGCTCGGTGAGGGCGGCCCCCATCTAAGCCTCGCGAAATACAGCTTCCGCGTCCGAGGGGAGTCCCTAGAGGCTTCGGTGCAAGCATAAACGACGCCGAGAGCTCCGAGCACTGCATGGTAGCGCAGAACGAGCAGCTCCCACCACGGTGTCGTTCCTATCTGCGTCGGAGCCTTTCGACCACGGGTCCATTTTGTCTGGTTGCAGTTGGCAAGGTTTGGAGAGGCAAAGCAGGGTGGCGTCCTCAGAGTGTTTGGAAACAATCTCGCTCGCCAGGGCGTGGGCACACACATCCAGAGTGGCTGCGCGGCCCGGCCTAAAGCCCAAAACTCTTGTGTTTTGGTGTTTCTTCAGGCTCCCAACTTCTTGCACAGCACTGAAGACAGCGGACATTACCTTTACGTTCGCAGGAAGCGTCAAAAGGCCTTCACGTGCGATGCACCAGAAAACGTGGTCACGTGGTGCGGCTGGTGCTGGAAATGTAGCTGGCGCCACATTCGTGTAGGGCATAGTGCGCATCCATGTAGACGTTGCCGTGTCAGCTTCATTCGAAGAACGACGGTTGTAGTCGATGCGCTGAAGTCGTATTCAAGTAAACGCAGCTAATTACTCTTGAACAGCAGCTGTGCTTTGCAGCTCAGTGGCTTCGGTGTCCGACCACCAGAGCACCTACCCAGGTAGAGCCTCGCTAAGGCGTCTTTCTTATGTTAACTTTACACAGGCATTTGCAAGCTCTATATGTAACGTTAACGTTGTGTAAGTCACCCAGCGCATCGGTCGTTCCCGATGTTCGTTCAAGACGGTCGTTCATGATGATTTTCACGTAGGAAAGAACTCCTAAAACACATTTTATGTTAAAAAATCGACACCGTGTATGGAATAAAACTCTAAAACGAACAAACAGACCCCCCCCCCCCCAACTTGAGTTCCAGCGAACCAAGTTTGAGCACCTGCACTTCGGAGACACCGGCAGACTAGGACCGCACTCACGTTCCATGGGGTCCAGCATGCTGTCCTGCGAGGCGCCTCCGCCGTGCCCTCCGGAGCCCCCCCCGAAGACGGAGGACCCCTGTCCGGCCCCCCCGGAGCCCAGGTAGCGGGGCTTGACCCCCGTGCCGATGAGCTGGGCCAGCTCGAGCTGGGAGATGCAGCGCAGGATGTCCAGCCAGGACTTGCCCAGGTAGTTGCCGTCCAGGTGGGCCACCGTGATCAGCGTCTTGATCGTGTCTATGTTCTTGCTCTTCATCTCCGTGATGGGCGAGTTGGCCGTCAGCAGAGTGAAGCGCGCCAGGGCTTGCACGTACGCGTTGCGCTCCAGCTGTGTGACGGGGGGGGCGATGGAAGGGCAGAAGGACGCGTTTTGGTACTAAGTCTACTCGCCGTCTCATTACCAAGTCCGAGGTCCATCGAATTCATCCACACCCGCATCGCAGGTATGTCGCATTAACGTCCCAGGCACATCGCGTGTACACTGCCGGGTGATACGAGTTAAAACATTCAATCTGGACTCTTCCAATGCTTACTGTTCCCACAGGCTCTGTTATCTCACAAAATGTGAAAGAGTTCAAAGGTTGGGGCCTAAGCTTTGCATTCCAAGACACGTTTGCACGAAAGGGTCTTTAATAGCTGACAGGAAAATCAAAGAAGCATGAAGGGCTGTTTTGGCTCGTACTGTCTGCAGGAGTACATCATACTATTCACATCACATGTATATTGCAATCACATTATGCATATAGTGCATCCACATCACATATACATAGTATGTACTTCACATTCACACCAAATGTACATCACATTCACATCGTGTGTTCATGGCACTTACTTTACGTGTTGCTTGCATTCACATCACATGTACATCACATTCACATCATGTGTGCACTGCATTCACATAACATGTACCGTCTCCTTCAAAAGTTTAGAGCCCACTGCATGCGTGGCCGAAGCTGGCTCGCTCCCGTGTAGCAAATGCTCTCATTGTCGGCGCTAGCTGGCTGCGAGATCTTTGAGATTGTGGAAGAACTTCACTTTCGCGTCCCGCACACCTTGATAACAAAGTGGTGCGAAACAACACATAGTAGTAGTAGTATGCGTTTTGGGTAGGGGGGTTGGGAAGCCGACTGTTGTTGGGGCGTACTTAGACGCCCATGTCACAGTCGAAACAACACATCACATGTATATCACATTCATATCACGTGTACATTGAATTCTCATCCCATGCATGCCACATTCACATCACACGTGTCAAAGCTCAGAGACCACCGCGCACGTGGTCAGAGCGGGCTGGGTTCTGTACGGCGGCACTGCTATCATCGACGCTTGCCGGTTGCGGGGGCTTTGACAGTGAGGAGGTACTTTACTGTTCCGTCGTGACTCTGTTATCAAGGCGAACACAGCGGGTACAAGAGTGATGTTCCTTCTCACTCTGAAAACTTCTGTAGCCAGCGAGCACCAACCATGCACGCAGTGGGGTCTCAACTTTTGACAAAGACTGCGCAAGGCGTGTACACTGGATTCCGAAAGTCTCGGCCCTTCAGCTTATGGAGTTCAACCGTGCCAAAAACCTGTCGCCGATCGTACTGAGCAGTTCGGCCGTATCAAGAGTTTGTCCCAATCACATCACCCGTGTAGCAGATTTCGGGCTAACCGCTAAGATGACCGCATGCGGCAATCACGAAGATAACCACGATGACAAACCACGTGTGAGCGCCATCTCGCGGGGTCCTCACCGTCATGTGGAAGATGCAGGCAATACGGATGGCGCAGCGGATGCCGTCCAAGCACAGAGCGGCTATCTCTGGGTCGTCGCAGTCTTGGAGACCCACGCTGAAGGCGGCCAAGAATGGGGTCCAAGCCAGCTGCGCGAGAGTTCGGCAAAAGGGGCCGAGTAAACCTCGAGATTGGCTCGACTTGGACAGTTGTGGCTACCTCTGTTCTGTTACTCGAAAAGGAATTTCCCGGAAGCCTCACAGGGGCAGTGATGGTTTTATCGAGGGATTCAGATTTTTTGTGACTTCGGCACTGAGCTACACTATGCGCGTCCGCACGGTAGAGAGGGATGGAGGGGAGAGGAGGGGGCAAAGTGCAGAGTGCGTCGCCCCCTCCCCTCCGTACGTCGGTAGGGTCGCAAAATTTGGTCAGAAATGTAGGTAGAAATTCTCTGGTCACAATTGTAGGTCGACCCTTAATTTTTAACAACATTTCCAAAAAAAGAAAAATGTTGACTTATATTTGAATAAATACGTTAAGTTTCTTAGCAAGATGGTAATCACTACTTTGAGGCTTCCAGGAGGTTGAGTTCTTCCTGTCAACTTTGACTCTATTCTCGATTTATAGCATGTGTCAAGTCACGAGAAGTGGAACAGCCCATGCTCCGTCCTTTAAAAGGGCAACGTGCAAATTCTTTTATGAACTTTTGTGAATGTGTTTGCGCAATGGTGTGTTCAGAGATGACAGAGATGAACCGTTGGGCACTCGTAAAACCTAGACAGAGGCACAGAGACATTTAAACCGACAAAGGACGTTCACGATGCCGAACAAGTCGTGCTCCGATCACTGATGTTCACCGACCGTCCGGAACCCATTCCAGACGCGTCACCGTACATCACAACCGACCGCATCTCGCTGGCGGCAAACCGGCAGTGCGTCACGTGCAGGATCTCGCACCCACCTTGAACATAGGCCGCACGTGCTCCAGGTGCTTGGCGCACGTGAACGAAGCCTGCACGTGGCTCACACTCTCCATGAGTGCCTTGGCCGTCCTTGCCATCTGCTCCATTTCCATGTTGTAGAGCAGCCGCCGCTTCTTCTCGCTCGACACGTCTGCAACGATGCCGACACGGGGCGTTTGTAGTCGACCTCTCGAAACGGTCGCTCTTTACCAACCTCCACACCAGAGGTCGCAACGCTGGTGCAACTGGCATTTTTGTACGTCGATTTGAATAAAAACTTGAGCAAGAGAATGTGTGGTATGGGACATGGTTACATACGCATTTGAGCATTTGACCGCAGCGCCCTCTCGTCTATAAACGTTGAGCCAATGCATGCAAAGTTTAACGCGATTATATACGCATTTGACCGCAGCGCTCTCTCCTGTATAGACGTTGAGCGGCTACATGCAACGTTTCATCCATGACATCCTCAGCTCTTGAATTGCTACCACATCTCAGAGCCCCCTACTTGTCCCGCAGTTGTGGCCGAGTGGTTAAGGCGATGGACTAGAAATCCATCCGGGTCTTCCCGCACAGGTTCGAATCCTGTCGACTGAGCAAACATTTTTTCTTTTTTTAAGAAGACAGGCAGTCGATGTGAGCACGGACACGGACAAGGCTAGACCCTAAGGAGCTACGCCCGTAAAATTCAGCCTTTCCACTCTGGTGAAAAGCAGAGTGGAAAACCAGGCTGGAAAGGTTGCCGCCGTCGCTCCTAGATGGCGGTAGCTGTCCAGAGGTTTGTGTCGACATTTATTTGGTGACGGACCCGAAACTGGAGAAACTAACCCATAACAGCTCCACTGTAAAAACACTTTCTGCGTTAAAAGAAGGGCGCTCCTTTGATCCACAGCCCAGACGTCCCATACGCAGAATGCACTAGTGTTACATACTTAAATCTGGGAAAGCCCGCCCTGTGTCATCGCAGCATCGAATTGTGGCGGTGCGTGACGTCACGTCGTGCGACAGTGTCGCAGGACGCCATCCTACGCCGCAACTTTACACCGAACATCACTAGACGTAATAACCTCGTTTACACCGTGACACAGACAACACCATGACTTCCCGCCGCAAGTCACGTGACACCACGACGGTGCACAACGACGTGAGCTCCTGACACGTGACCCATAGTGGCGTCTCCCCAAATCTCGCAGGACGTCAGCCCCCCAAGTTTAGCTGATGACAACCCGATACAGCTACGGTGACATCTGTGCGACGGGCACACAAATCCAAGCTCCACTTCTGTTCAAACGCATTCTATGTTCTAGTGCTACTTTCTACTTGTACATTTTACATTCTACGTCTACAATCGGCTTCTATTTCTACATTCTACATTTTACTAAGAATGAGCGAAAGGGCTCTCACTCTGCTTGCCAGCCAGCTTGCTGGAGGTGGTCTTCATCTTGATCTCGTTGCCGGCGATCTCGTCGTAGATCTGGGACAGGTAGTCCTCCGGGAGGTCCTTGCTGTCGTTGATGCCCCGGTTCATGCGGATGTACTGCTCTTTGGTCATCTTGGTCTTCACCTTGGAGGGGAGGGGGGGGGACGGGGAGGGCATGCCCGGGGCAGGCAGGGCGTGAGAGCGGCGGCCAGAGACGGCGCAACGCGGACCGCCCGACGACCGCCTTCCGACGCCGACGGGGGTGGTGCCACTGCGGCGTGGCATACCCCACTCTCACCAGCAGGTTACTCCGGCAGACTCCGTAACACTAACTTATCGCGTACCATGGATCTAAGATGCCTCCAGTTTGGGTACACCGACGACTCAAGAAATGCACGGCGCGGCCGGTCGTAATGTCCACGCGCTGCGGTCCTTAGATGCCTCCAGTGTGGAAACACCGCCGATATCTGCGCTACAGTTGCCGAGAGCTAAAGGACTGCAGGGTGTAGCGACTTGCAATGCTGCATTATCACGTACCACAGTCCTTGTATGTCTGTACTTAAGCAGTGACCATAGCAACCTCTTTCCGCAACAGCTGACCGTCAAAACGGGGAAAGAAAGCTTTCTGAGGTAAAATCTTTCATTTTATTTTTAAGATTTAGTTATAACAAACACCAATTGTGCATTCAGGAGGTGCTACACGGGACATTACCAATCCCCCCATTCTCGCCGATTCTTGTTCTCGGCGTCTTCTTGCTCGGATTGTTTGACCTCGTCTGCTACGCGATGCTGCAACAGATGGCGGCACCTTGCGCGCATCGACGACCTCGGACACATTTTGGGTGTTGGCCATCGATGGCGTCTCTCTTGAACCAGAACAGTCGCAAAGCCTTTGTGAACGCTCAGCTAGATTCTGATTTAAGTGTGGCATCTGGTTTTCCTGGTGAGGTTCTCGACCAACGCTTTTGATGGTTCGGACCGTCCCTAGGGCAGGCTCTCCCATACTGCGACGGGAATGTGTCCGACCAAAGACATTTAGGGGTCGAGTCATCTACTAATCCACGACGTCCCATCCTAAACATTTCTAGACGTTAATGCAACAAACTCCACATCCGTGGAGCCTGAAAATCGTGCGGACATTTTAGCCCTTCTCAAATGTGCCACGTAGCCCGACTGTAAACGAGCACGTAGAGTGTCAAACAACTTTTATAGAATTAGAAGTCCCTTGCGATTGATACTCGGGCTACAAACATAAAACGAGTGTGGCGTATGAAGCAGAGAAAATTCCGACCCCTACCTGGGGACTGTGAAGATCTGTAGTGAGCATGATGATGGAGTACGCCAGGACATAAGCAGTGTCTGCGCTGGCAAACAGGCCGTTGCTGGAAAAGAGAAAACAGGCAAGAAGTCAATACACACATAAAACAAAAAAGTCAATACATACACAAACCCCCCGCATCTTGCATGCAATATCACTTGAAACTCTATCCTTTTAAAAACTAATCTCAAGGACCAAATTATTAAAGCTTACATGCATGCAAATCCAGTTCATGTACCAGGTGTACACAACGTATGTACAAATTTTGGCGAAAAATTAACTGCATGGGAAGTTGCACATCATAAAATTGGAAAGCTTTTTTTTTTTTAATTTGTTTTTGTACCTGACAAATTTAGCATGTTTGTTAAGCAATCTGTAAGCTTTCTGCTCAAAGAATGCGTTGTCTTAATTTAAAATGAACAGCCCCTTTACAAACAAAGCCCCAGGTTCACTTTGCAACAAAGAAGAGGCTGCTTTAATGTTTTCATATAAGAATACATCTTACACTCTGAAACCTAGCGGAAGCAAAATTAACAAAAAATTGCTCTCCTGGCTAGCAATTTCTTAAATCCCAGGGAGGAATAACCCCTGGACTACTCCACGCTCTGTCCACACAAAGCAAAAAGATGCAGGGACCTTGTTCTTAAAAGTATGAATCAAAACTGAGCAAATACTGTATGCCCTGCACCAAAATTACCATAAAATGCTGAGCACACGCCCATGTTGCTATAAGTGCTCACGTCTTACCTTCAATACATTCTAAATATAAGCAAAAGATGCCAATTTTCTTGACTATAAAGTTTGTCCTTAGATAGTCCGCAGCTTGTTCGTAGTCTGCACTTAATGCCTAATTCGTGCGTAAAAATTCTCGTACACAACGCACCTTGACAAATGCCCACTTTCTTAGCTCACAAAGAAGATTGTACGTACAAAAATCATCAATCATACACCCTATCATTCGTAAAATGTCGCTTCTCGTCGTAACAAATGATCTAGAAAAGACCAATCATTGTATAGTCTGCCTTCGTAGATATAGTCCGCACCACATAAAATTTCTACTTTTAACGTGTATAATCCGCAAACTATAGTCCGGGAAACACAGCCTATGATATGCCCTCCCCGGCTAATTTCTGAGCCCACCGGGCTCACTGAGGTGCTCCTACGCATCAGCTGCTTCCCTGAGAGCATTTGAACGTGAGAACCAAGCGCTGGATGCAGGCGTCCTGCAGTTTAACGCTTTCGAGGAGTGCAGTAGAAACGGAGGCAGCTGGCTTTAGATCTACCCACTAATCCCTCCGACCAGAGATTGGCATTCCGACGTCTCCGCACCCCCCCCCCCCCCCCCCCAACCCCCCCCTTGCTCAATTTCTCGGCGCATACCGTTCCAACGGATCAAACAAGGTCTTACCTTACCGTATCCACCTTACACATTTCTGCTCTTAAACCTACCAAGCGACCGCTCACGTTTTTAAAGCAATAGCTTAACGGGATCTCAGTGTCCAACATTGGTAGTTTTCTGTCATCGCGGCGGAGACAGAAAAATCCCATTCTCTTTCCTTGTGGCCAGTGAGAGAGAAGTCGGGCGTTCCCATTAGCCACAATGCACGAAGAGGGGAGAAAGAAGAGCCCCGACAACCCGCTGACAACGGTGCGATGATGAGGAAACATCGGCGGAGCGTCTTTCCCGGTCGTCTGCCAACGATAACTTCAAAACGGCCGTTTTCGAACACTGCTCTCATCGTACGAAATCGCACTTCCCCAGTGTCCAGTTTCTACGCGTAATGCGGGAGGGTTTTAGAAACTTCTACAGCATTCAATTTCCCCATGACGCCGCAACCCCTTGAACTCGGCTCAGAACGTAAAATATGTTCTGCCAAAACCCCTCACCTTGCACCCGAGTCATTTCTCTGCGTGCGTCCCCCTCTCTGCTCATCGGCGACCGTCAACATTAACTCCTCCCTTCACCCCTCAACAACGCCGGGAAAACCTGCACCTTTGCTCGCGTCTGCGCACGTTTTCCGTCAATGTGTGAAGGGATGAAAGCGGAAGTTGTAGCACGTTCGTGCAATGTGAGCAAAATGGAGTTGTCACATGTCGTCTTCAGGTACGAGACGACACCATTTTGCCCGCATTGCACGAACGTGCTATAGCTACCGCTTTCACTTCTTTGCAAACTGTAAGCGGAAGAGGTACCCTTTTTTTACGATCATATCCAACTTTTGCGTGGACGCCTGCTCGGTATTTTATGGTGCATTGGAGATTCGTGAGAAAAGAACGACGAAAGACCTGCTCACTTCGGATTGGTCTCACAATAGCGGGCGGCAAACTTCTCCATGAGCCTGTCGATCTTCTGGGCCTCCCCCGGCAGACGGAAGCCCTCGAGGAAGCCGCGGAGTGCCGAAACAAAGTCCTTCTCGGCAAAGTCCATCTGGTCCACGTATGCACACATCACCTCCTTGTTCAGCCTGCAGAAGGAAGGAAAGAAGGAGACTCAGCACAACATGAAATCATTCACAGCTCAGCAGCAGTTGGAGCAACAAACGGTTTTCACAACATACAATTAAGTGATTTTTGGGTTTGAGGTCAGTAATGGACATTTCCCGATGGTAAGCCGGCTTTACAGGGTCGAAAATAAGTGAAACAGTGAATATAACGCTGGTCGCGATGCTCCTCAATAATAGAAAGTGGGAAGAAATGGTTGTGACGACCTAGTTGAAATACAAAGATGGGGGAAAAGATTGTCAGAGCACAATACTGTCAGACGCACGGGCACGAGCATGCGGTTTTGTAAAGTACTTCGACCACTACATAGAGCCACTCTGAAAACGAGTGCTGTCACATGCATTTTGCTGCCAGAGAACATTCGACAACAATCACCAGATTGTATTGTCGCAGTGTAGAATCACTGGAAGAGTGGTTAAGGAAGGAGTAGGGCATTGAAGTTAATCTTTTTTTTATTTTTAGAGCTATCTGGCATGAAATTTTCAGGGTACATTCACAGCACATATACAGTCGCCGACCGATTTTTTGGACGCCGATAATTCTGACTTGTTTGATATTTCGGGCCTAAAGGAGGAACCGTGACCTAGGTACCCCATAGAAATAGTGCATATTCATGATTAATGTTTCGGTCAGCTCAAAGTCCGAAAGTTCGATTTTTCGGACAAAATCGTTGGGAGCGATCAGCGGGAGACACCGCCGAGAAGCGGCCATTTCGGATTCAATGTTAGTTGCACATGGATTGGCTTGGTTTGGCAGCACTACTTAGTATTGCTCAGTCCTACCGCTAGGTGACGCTGTTTTGACTTTTTTTCTCTAGCTGTGTGTCACTATCATCATCATTGTTGTTACAATTTTGCTTTGTTCATTCGCCATTGCGGTCATGGACTTGCGCGTCTCATTTAAATCTCGTCTCGATGAATCGTGTTTTCGGACTACACTGGCTTGGATGTCAATGCCCTATCTGTTGATCCACCGCTGCGATGTGTCCCTAAGAAGTGCAAAAAGTACTCATTCATATCGCTAGGAAAGGCAGCGATTCTCAAGCGAATAGAAAGTTGCTGAATGCAAACGGAGGTGTAACCTGAAACAAGGCGTGCAGGCGTGACCTGAGGCAGGACACTACTTACGGCTTTTTTAACCATGCTTAGATGTAATATAGGCAAGTTTTTTAATCTGCTCATTTTTTGTACAGCTCTATATTCGGACATACTTTTGGTCCCTGCAAAGTCCAAAGAATTGGTCGGTGACAACATACTAAAAACAACTGTTAATTTTTATAAGGCTGTGCCTACTAATTATCAAAATGTTTTTAGGGTCAAAGCTCTTTAGGGTCTAGCCTTGTCCGTCCGGCGTCCGTGCTCACATCGATTGCACTGCCTCCAGGATTGGCCCACTTTTAAAAAAAAAACATATGCCCGCACGAGGGTTTGAACTCAGGACCGCTTGCTTATGAGGAAGATGCCTTAACCACTACACTACACTCCAACGTTGCATGTAGACGCTCAACGTCTATACAGGAGAGGGCGCTGCGGTCAAATGCATATATAATCGCGTTAAACTTTGCATGCATTGGCTCAACATTTATAGACCAGAGGGCGCTGCGGACAAATGCTCAAATGCGTATATAACCATGTTCCATACCACACATTCTCCTTCTGACATGGACCGTTGACTTAAGCGGTGGAGATACGTTCCCACGGCCTCTACCGGATCCAAGCTGATCCGCTCGAAGAACCACTGCCTCTGCATTTCACCGACCATAAAGCAGTAATAATGAAGTCGAAACGCAACCCAGAACTCAGCACTACCTATGAGCAATAAAAAAATGTGTAATGGATTTGCATGGAGTTTTGTTTGTCCCCTTCCTAAATAACTGTGAGGGCATGACAGTCTTTCTTTTCTTAAAAATTGTGTTGAAAATTTATAATGCACAAATTAAATTAGATGGATGAGAATTTGACCAACAACATAAAATATAATGTAGTGCTAAAAGATTTTTGCAAATAAATTAATAAAGGCTTTGTCATGCCCTGGAGTGCCTATTCAGGAATGGTTATAACATATTTAACATTCACACTACGTTATATGAATTCTCCAGCCTGAAATAAAAACAACAAATAAACCATTCTTAAAAAAAAAAAAAAAAGAGGCCGCCTTTTTACGTGATGAATGATGTTGATTCGGGCGAAGCTCTGGTGGTGCTGATGATGGTGGTGCTGATGATTTTGTTCATAGGTAGTGCTGATTTTTTTTTTATTGCTCATAGGTTATATACGCATTTGAGCATTTGACCGCAGCGCCCTCTCGTCTATAAACGTTGAGCATGCAAAGTTTAACACGATCACATACTCATCTGACCGCAGCGCCCTATCCTGTATAGACGTGAGCGGCTACATGCAACGTTTCATCCATGACATCCCCAGCTCTTGAGTTACTACCACATCTCAGAGCCCCCTACTCGTCCCGCAGTCGTGGCCGAGTGGTTAAGGCGATAGACTAGAAATCCATTGGGGTCTCCCCGCACAGGTTCGAATCCTGCCGACTGCGCAAAATTTTTTCCTTTTTTTTTTAAGAAGACAGATGGGATGGCAATCGATGTGAGCACGGACGCCGGACAAAGCTAGACCCTAAGGAGCTTCGCCCCTAAAACTCCACTTCAAAATAGGGCAAAGAGGCCGCCGTCTGCCAAGTTGAACGGGAGCGGCAATTGTTCAAAATCCGGATTGATTTTGCAACTTCAGCGTGATTTAGAAGCTACCGAAACCTTGTAAATACATTTTAAGAATATTTTCTCAGTGAATTAGGTGCTGATAATTACAAAGGAGGTAGTTTATGAAATATACAACCCAAAAAAAGTAGTTTTCTAAAATTGACTTTTTGCACAACTTTTTGGTTTTCAAGGCCCATGTCCCCCCTTAAACACCAAAAATAAAATATGCGATAACTGTACAGCTAGGACGCATGGTATGTTTCTACATTTCTGCTAGATTTGTTATGAAAATATTGCAATTTCGTGGATAAATCAATATATACACGGGACCCTCAGATTTGTCCCATTCAAAAATGATGCCGCGGTTGCTGGGTTGGTGACGTCATCAACCCGACGCGCAGCGTCCCTCTGCACGCCCTCAGAGACTTGGCTCTCTAGGCATCTCGAGCTCCAGCATCCTCGCTTACCTCCTGGGTTTCGAGCATGCGGTTCGTGACGATTACGTCTACTGCATCGCTCGCTTCGTCGAAGTCTTCGACACTGATCACAGCAGCGATGAGGGTGATTGTTATCGAGAGATGTTGGAAGCTGGTCATTTTGACTGCGACCCGCTCCAGCGACAAGTCACGGACGAACTTGCCGTGGTCGCCGTCGTCCGTGACGATCTCGCGGGTGCATGCAGGGTGAAAGTTCTAAGGGATGGGGGCAAGAGCGATAGTAGCGTTGGAGTAGCCGGGTTGCGCGAGAGATTTTGATCGTACCATGGGCAAGGCGAGCTTGGGCAATCATGGGAGCGCCTAAAATGAGCGAGCGTTGATGATCACGCGGTTTATGGGCACCACAGAGCAACCAACTTAGGCAGTGCTGCCTGGTCGCCAGATGAAAATGATCAAAATTTATAAATTAATTGTTGCAATTACTAGAGCTCTAGAAATCGGAAAACATGATGAATATAGGTACTATGTAGCCTGTGAGCATCCCATTTCACAAATAATCTACACATTTAATTTTCGTGCCTTAACCCCTTTAAAGGGGTTAAGCACGAAGGTTAAAGGGGCCCTGCAACAACTTTTTTTTACTGTTTTTAAATTTGTACCGAACCTGAGCGCACTGAACGTAGTAACTTAGTGAAACTTTTCTTTTCTCAAAATTGGCTTTATTTTAAAAGATATTGACACATTAAAATTATAAAAACAAGCAAAAAATAGCCTCCTTCATGACGTTCTTGGTCCTCTGTCCCCCCCTTTTCCCGCGCCGGAGGATTCCCCTTGCCGTGGTGACTGAGGAATGTGGGGAGGGAGGGAAAGACGGGGAAAGGAGGTGAGGCCGAGGGGAGAGAGCTGCCCGGAAACGTGGCAGCTCTCTCTCCTCGGCTGACCAGGAGCAACAACGTCACGATTTTGTCACATGCCGCGCGCGTTCGACACCACGGGGCGCCCCCATAGGAGGAGGAGGTTTCCACATCGTCCAGTTAAAATATGACACACTGATATTTAGTTACTCTCTCCGTGCCCGCTGGGTTGCCCAAACCACGAGACGTGGAAACCGCGAAAAAGGTAGACGCTTAAATGGGATTGCAGGGCCCCTTTAAAGGGGTACTCCACCGATTTTTTGAGCTACCTCAACTAACTATAGTTTCTGACTCCCCGGCCTTTAGCCTTTCCGGTATGCTATTTAGCATCGCGAAATTCATAATAGGTATTGTGAAATCAGCAAATGAAAATGGTGCAAAAACCAATATTCAAATATTCGCGCACTTTTCAGTGCCGTGACGTCAGTGGCAGGCAGGCTTGCCAGTCGAGCAAGTAGTCTAAAAATAGAATATGCCAATCATTTGTTCCGTGCTGGAGCGCGGATACGGGAACGAGCTTCCAAAGCACTCATTTGACACCAAGAAACTGCTTCAAATCCGTTGGGAACAACTTCTGTAGTCCAAAAAGTTAACCCCTGCCTTCCACTGACGTCACTTTGTTGTTGTTGCCACTAGAGACTTTCAGTTTGAAAAACATGGTGAAGACCAAAACTGTAAATTCAATAACTTCGTGAAAAAACAATATTTTGACCTAATATTTGGAATACTATTTTAGCAATGTTTGTTGGTTAGTTTAGCAAAATTTCAAGCAAATCGGAGACAATGAAAAAACCGGTGGAGTACCCCTTTAAGAAGAAAATATTGTAAGCATCTCATGAAACAAATAAACTCACTTCTCGTTTTCTCCCAGGAAGTCACCAATCTGGTTCTGCAAAGAAAAAGAACACAAAACATCAGCATGTCTGCTTTCCCAAGAAGAACAAACAGCATTTGTAGCCACTTGCGAGCATTTCATTGCTCTACGAAACTAACTGCCCAACTATAGCTCCAATTGCAACTCAATGACCCTGTAGAACACATCAAAATAGATCTAAGATTTAGATCTCAAGACTTCCTTGAATGAAGTAATACAAGAATCCTGGGGTCAAGGAAGAGCTCAATGATAGAGGTGCAGACATATTGCATTGGCATATTCAATGTATTAGTGCACGGATGTCCGCAGGACAAGAGAAAGGACGAAACTAGATCCACAGCTCTTAGCATGATACAGTGTAGACCGCATAAAACGTATGTCGCGGGAGTCGCGAAAATCCGCACTATAAGCGGTACCGCGCTATAACCAAAACATCAATTTTTCAGGCCAAAATACATGCCATCAGACAACTTACCTTTATTTTATGTTAGATGAAAAATAAAGCTTAGTTTGAGGAAAGTCTTTATTTCACCAGACTAGTACACTTCCCTCTCAAGCGTGCCACACATTTTGATAGAAATGATCGACTTTTGCCTGGCGCTTCCTTTTAACGGCATCGCGGGTTGCGGACGGACGTTGCGAGCGTTCAAGATTGCTAACCTTAATCACTTTTCTCCGGCAATGAAAATGCGTGAAAATTCGCATCCTTTATACGGTACGCGCCAGTAATACCTTCAACTTGAGCACAGGCACGAAATGCTCCAAATAAGAAATCCGGGCAATGTTTGAAAACACAAATGCTTAGAAAGCACCACTGTAGTCGAAGTTAAAGGGGCGGTGCAACGATTTTATGATTAAAAGAATTTGCATCTCGTCATTTTTACGTTGTTTATCGTGTCCCAGAGGATAGAGAAAACACTTCCTTCATTAAAAATGTCGCGATTCCGCTGCATAATCGCAAAGCATATGTCGAGCTTTTTCCCCCACCTGCAACCCCAAGTGGCAGCCGAAGGAACTACGGCGGAACGATTACGTGACCTCGCTCGGCTCTAAGCTGCAGCATAGCGCCCACTAATGTACGCAGAGAGAGGGAGGGGAAGCGTCCTCCGCGATAGCACACGGGAAGCTACACGGCACTCCGAATGACGTCACTGGGAGTGCGACCAGGTGTGACCCTGAAGGCTGGGAGTGAGTTGAGGGGTGCCCGAAATACCAATATTTATCTTTTTTTTTACGCAAAAACTAGGACACGCAGGCAAAATCGGTTTTCTGTTCTTTACTTCAGAAGTGTCAGGGGGCAATTGCCAGAAATCTTTGACCGAAGTCCGAAAATTGTTGCACCGCCCCTTTAACAAACACAACGACATGGGCGTTTCTGCCGTCTTGAGAGTGCCGCCACAACATCGCCGCACGAGTAGGTGGATCTTCCCTTCTAGTACGCGCTGGGTTATCATAGCGACACACAACGAAACTTCACGGTCAAGGATAGCGCTTTTACGCGGAACGATGAGCTTCCACCATGTCGTCTACGTCGACGATCACAACCGACGCCATGTTTGCGGATAGCAGCAGCCGGCCCGCGACCGGCATGCAACGTGCACAAACACTTCTCCTCGACCTGCGATTGGTCTGTCGTTGCAGTTGTTTCCAACACAGCAGAGAAACGCACACAGTATGTACGATCTCTATGCACGTGAACAACGCGTGCATGTGTCCCTCCGTCGCTATGGCAACCGAGGCCTCCCTCTTCGCTTCTCCCCGCTTCTTCGAGCAACCTCCTTGCCCCGCGAGTGCCGCTTGCGGCTAGCGCCGTTATCTAGTGTCGCACAAGGAAGCGTGCTAACTCTGCCGGTCAGTCGGCACGGTCGGCGGGCTGTTCCAGAAACCGCACTATAACCGGTATTTCCCTTCAAGCGCCTGCATTTTAAGCGGTATGTAATTACATAGAGTTCTATGGGAGGCGAACCGGTAGTTTAAAAAAGCCGCGTTATACCCGGTCCTGCACTATAAGTGGTTACGTTGTAAGTGGTCCATACTGTATATGAACTAGCCCTTCTTTTCATTTCGACCTTTTTCTGTCCTTACGCTCCAAGTTCCGCAGGTGCTCTGGAACAGGCCCGTTTCTCTCGGCCAGGCGGCGCACAACATCCGAAAGAGGCAACCACGAAAAAGGTGCCTCCGCTAGCATCCGCGGGAGGCATCCATTTAATGCTATGAAGCGGTGTCCTAGCATACCATCGTGCTTGATCCACAGGCGTAAACTAGCATTTCTCAGCATCTGGCCACAAGCACACTCTTACGACCTCTTAAAACTGGGTTCTTTGAAACCTTTTACAACGAGAGGACACACTGGTGCCATCTATTGGGGAGCGGTGTAAACTTGACGGTCCGGCATATTTTCAATTTTCCTGGCGCATTATCCTTTCTTTCTTGACTCGAAAAACTTTTGTCAACGTTATAAACGAGCCTTTCTTATAGGTATTACGCACATCTGACCTCAGAAATCCCGCAAAACCTTCGCTCTTGTGAAATGCAGTTCCAGGGTCACCGCAAAGATGGCGCCAACGTGCCAGTGTGTTCTCTCGTCCTAAGAAATTTTAAGAGGTTTTAACAAGTCTCGTCTCTCTCAATCGTACTCGGTTGCAAGAGTGTGAACGGGCCTTTACACAGCGATTGAAAGGATTGCCGTGCGATGCATGACGGAAACGCGACCTAAAATACCCAAATTCAGTCGCCAGGGAGTGCTGCTTGAAACTTGAGAGCTAGAGGTCTACGAAAAAAACTCGTAACCATGCCGAAGACCCACCTTGTCGAGCCGCTCATCAATGTGGAAGAACTCTGCGACGTCCCAGGGCTGTGGGCCCACCAGGCCGTGCTCCTGAAGGAACTGGAGGCCCCTCTTGGGCTTGCGGTTGAACAGGTCGATGCCCTGCTCCATGATCTCCTTCTGCTGCTTGAGCACCTCCAGCTGCTCCGGGATGTTGGAGCTGCTCACCGAGTTGAGGGAGTTGGATGAGCCCCCGTGGCTCACCAGGCTCCGGTCTTCCTCCTAAGGTGAAAGGGAAAATGCACTGTCACGGCCGGTCTGACATCGGCGTGCTCCGACACGGCACACTTGCCGTTTTGGCGCTTGATGGTCATCACGTGGCCACCGTCACACTAATGTCGTCTTGTGACCACCATCATGCTAACAACGTCATGTGACCACTGTCATGCCAATGATGACATGAGACCACAGTCACATCGACAATGTCATGCGACTGCTTTCATGCTGAAGATGTCATGTGACCACCGTCATGTTGAAGATGCACCACCGTCATGCTGATGATGCCGCGTGACCACCGTGAAGCTGATAAAATCACGAGACTACCATCATGCTGATGACATCCCGTAACCACAGTCATGCTGATGGCATTACATGACCATTGTCATGCTGACGACATCACGGGACCACCATCAAGGTAATGACAGCATGTGCGCCGAGTATACTAGATTCAGTGGAAAATATTATATATATATGACGTAACCATAACAACCCCTCAGTCCTTACTCTGCATAGTTCCAACGTCGTGGTTTTATAACTGGCAGTAGCTCGCGCCACCTACCCGCTAACTTAGAAGCGACTCACCTCCGTTGCATCGACGTTGCCCACACTGCCCGAGACGCCGACGCTGCCGCCGCCACTGCCGGCGCCGGCCGCGGCGGCACTCCCGGGGTTGGCGTACAGGTCCTTGCTCCACTCAAGCATGCACTTGAGCACCGACACGAGGCACTCGAGGCCTTTGACCCTCATGGACTTCTCTTGATGGGCCGTTGCCCCCAGCTCCAGGGCCTGCCGCCCCTGGGCAATCTTGGACAGGTCATTCACCAGCCGCTCGAAGATGTTCGCCGCATTCAGGTCGCAGTCGTAGTTCACGTAGATGTCCACCACGCTCTGGGCGTCTGCGCAGATGCGCGTCAGCACCTGCATGCAATTTGCCAGACGTTGTCGGTGGCAGGAAAGTGGAGAGCCTAGATTTTAGACAGAGAAGCAACCACGGAGAACGTCTGCAATCTAATGGCGGACACCTCCTGCACAGATTGGTTAAGTGCATAATCTGTCGGTTAATAGACGCGAGCACCCGTGATCGCGATCGATTCAAAGGAAAGGGAGAAGGTTAACGGCACTTCCGGTTTGAACTTGTCCAAAAGCGCGAGAGGCGCATGATCTACATCATTGACTCGGGAGGGAGTTTTGAATCAGGCTCTTTGAAAACACTGTTTCCTTCTAGTCGATCGAAACAATAAAAAGAATTTTGATGCTGGGTTTGTTAGTGGCCCTTTAAGATGCACTGCAATGCAGCAAGAGTGAAAGTGGAAGGAATGGCGGCGGAGACGCTCCACATTTCCTCCCCTTCCAAAAGCCTTGTACTGCAAATCCGGCACATTCGCAATACAAAGAACAGGCAAGATGCTACACTATTGCGCGGCAGAGGGCTGTGGCAACAGTGCGAGACGCTGACCCACAAGTTTCCAAACGATGACAAATTCCGAAGCGTGTGGATCCGTCTCGCACGTTTCTCGTCTCTCACGCGCCAATAAATACTGATCACCTGTATACGGTGACCATTTCCGTGATGATGACTATGAAAGGTGACCCACTGTCCTCAGGAGTCTGGGTCTTTCTACCAAAAATATTCAGTTAATACCGAGGGTTTTGCCGACTACCATAAAATCCCGTGAGGGCGCCCTCCCCCGAGAGATTGCCCATCCCGTTTTTCTCGCTAAATATTGGTAACATATAAATTCCGAAACGTCGCCCACCCCCCGGTTTCCGTTGGACGTCAAGCAATGTCCGACGGGAATTGCACATCAACGGCGCGATCGGCGGTACCGGTGTGTCTGAGAAGCGAGTTCATAGCGGGTTCCTGCTTTTTTGTCTGCGATCTGCACGTGATATCGGCTCGCGTAACACGCTAGTTGTTCCCGCGTGTATAATGCGTAGTGAATTGCGAATCTGCTGCATTCGCGATTTGCGGTATGAGTTTGCAAGTTCGTAGCGGATTCCCGTGCTTTTGTCCGCGATCTGCACACGCGACGTCGGTTTCCGTGACAGGCAAGATTGCAGCGGGTTCCCGCGTCTTTATTGCACCGTTAAACTTGAATCTGCTGCGTCCGTGACCTGCGGTATCCGTTCCCGTGAGATGCGAGTTCTCGGCAAGTTTCCGCGAATCCTTCGCACCGTGAAACGCGAATCTGCTGCATCGGCCACTTGCGGTATCCTTTCCCGTGACACAGGCGTCTGTTGCGAATTCCCGCGTGTTTATCGCATCGTGAAACGCGAATTTGCCGTGTTCGCGGTTTGCTGTATCAGTTCCCACGTCACGTGGTTTGTAGCGGGTGCCCCAGCGCTTATCATTAATTTTTGATAAAGTTTTGCTGTGGCATCCCCAAAGATAGCCCATTCCATGTTTTTCACCATTTACCTCTTCATTTTGAGTGGGTGTCCTTCCGGGATTTTACGGTATTCATTTCCAAGAAAAGAAATGCAGAAGAGCTCGGTGAACCACACGAAAAGCAAAGCTAACTGGTAAGCGAGCACGCTGTTAATAAAACGCCTAATAGCCCATAACTCCAAGCTGGCCAATCGCTATAAAATGTGAGGCCTTTCTTGACTACCCCGACCCCCTTCAGATTGTCGGACAGACGGTTGGTCTGTCGAGACGGTTCGCAAGGTTCTAGCCCGAATCGCCTGTCCATCACTATATGCGAGAGTGACTACTCGTCCTCCCTGACATCTTCCCAAGTCCCCTTGGTGGTCGAAATCCTCGTCCTCTCGAGCTCAAAGATCATGGCGGAAGGCACCGTGAATTACGAGGGCCGAAACGAATGCGTCACGACGGTCGTCGTGCAGCTGTGCGGGCGTCCGCCACTCCGGAACGCAAGGTTGTAACACGCAAAAGCTACCTTGTGGCAGCGCTCATAATCACGTCGGCCTTTGGCTATGCTGAGGAGCCCGACGTCACGACTGCGACGGAGTTCCCATGACGCATCGCACACCTAGATGGCAGATTTCGAAGCGCTCACTAGGGTCTGACGCTTGGAACAAAAAATATTTCCATCCACTCAGAATATAACGTGCGATCGTCATTGACGATAGCGTGTCATATTTCACCCATTTTGGAAAGGTCCTCGTATATTTTGATTTTCCTTTCTGGATGCCTTTAACAGGGTACCCTAAGAAAAATTGGTACAGTGTAGACCGCATATAACGTATGTCGCGGGAGTCGCGAAAATCCGCACTATAAGCGGTACCGCGTTATAACCAAAACATCAATTTTTCAGGCCAAAATACATGCCATGAGACAACTTACCTTTGTAAAACAATTTATTTTATGTGAGATGAAAAATAAAGCTTAGTTTGAGGAAAGGCTTTATTTCACCAGACTAGTACACTTCTCTCTCAAGTGTGTCACACATTTTGAAAGAAATGAGCGGCTTTTGCCTGGCGCAGCCTTATAGCGGCGTCGCGGGTTGCGGACGGACGTTGCGAGCGTTCAGGATTGCTAACCCTAACCACTTTTCTCCGGAGATGAAAACGCGCGAAAATTCGCATCCTTCATACGGTATACGCCAGTAATACCTTGAACTTGAGCACACGCATGAAATGCGCCAAATAAGAAATCCGGGCGATGTTTGAGCACACAAATGCTTAGAAATAATCACCACTGTAGTCGAAGTAAACAAACACAACGACACGGGCGTTTCTGCCGTCTTGAGAGTGCCGCCACGACATCGCCGCTCGAGTAGGTGGATCTTCCCTTCTAGCACGTGCTGGGTTATCATAGCGACACACAGCGAAAATTCACAGTAAAGGATAGCGCTTTTACGCGGAACGATGAGATGAACGCCATCTAAGACGACGATCACAACGTTGATCACAACCGATGCCATGTTTGCGGACAAGCAGCCGGCCCGCGACCGGCATGCGACGCGCGCGAACACTTCTCGACCTGCGATTGGTCTGTCGTTGCGGTTGTTTCGGATGTTTTCAAGGAAGCGGAGGGACGCACGCACGTGAACGACACGTGCGTGCGTCCCTCTGTCGCTAGGGCAACTGAAGCCTCTCTCTTCGCTTCTCCCGCTTCTTCGAGCAACCTCCTTGCCCCGCGAGTGCCGCTTGCGCAACGCTTGCGGCTCGCGCCGTCAGCGCCGTTATCTAGTGTCGCACAGGGAAGCGTGCTCGCTGCTCCAATCGTCGGCGCGGTCGGCGGGCTGTGCCAGAAACCGCACTATAACCGGTATTTCCCTTCGCGCACCTGCGTTTTAAGCGGTATGTAATTACATGGAGTTCTATGGGAGGCGAACCGGTGGTTTAAAAAAAACGCGTTATACCCGGTCCTGCACTATAAACGGTTACGTTGTAAGTGGTCTATACTGTAGTGACCTTTACCTTCAAAGTCCAATGGTGCATGAAATGCAGTGTTTAAGAAGTAATCATTTTAATTTGTTCAGAAGACTATTTACAATCTTGCATAGTATAGGTTGCGTCACGTTGTGTCACGTGACATCATTTTTCCCGCTAAATTCGGCCTAGAACTACATGGGTGTAGAGCCCATGAGACGTCAGGTTATGCGACATTGATTTCCACGCTAAATTTGGCAGGGAAACTGAATTGCCGTACAGGTCATGCGACATGAATTTTTTTGCTAAATTTAGAGGGGAAAATGAATTGGTCTGCAGGTTCCGTGACGTGAGGTCACGCAACATCAAATTTCCCGCTAAATTTAGCGGGGAAATTGAATCCGTGTACACGTCACGTGACGCCAATTTCCCCACTAAATTTAGCGGGAAATTCAAGGATGGACGGACGGACGGACGGAAATAATTTTGGGATTGGAGGGTAGCGTTCAAAAGCCTTTAATGGTTTAATACAGTGGTTACCAAAAGGGGGTCCGCGAATTCTTTGGGGTCCGCAAAGGCATTCTAGGGGTCCGTACTATCTGAATCAGAGAAGTCTACTTCACACTAACCCTCAGCTGTATCCATTTATTAAATCATTATCATCATTAATATTTTCATTTCCCTGCTCACCCCGAATGGGGACCTCCATCATTTCCGCGGATCCACAAGGGGTCTGCGAAACATCGTTGGCTGAGAAACACTGCTTTAATAAATAAACGACATGAAACGGCAACTAAACGCGCAACGATAAAGAGCAACGCAGACTAAGGTTCCTCTAAAAGCTCCTGCACAGGCTGTCAGATCAACAAATAATATGGACCGTCGGGGTTATGTCGGGCAAATTTCGTCGGGTTACTCGGCGAAAATTCAAATTAAGATTGGTGGAGTATCATAGCACCCTGCCCACCTGGATAACCTTCCACTTGTGGCCAAAGGAGGAGCTGGACGTCTCCAGGATGTTGAGGAAGATCTCCTTGAAGAAGACCTCGATCTGCATCTTCAGGTGGGTCTTGAAGTTCTGCAGCAGCGCCAGGAAAATGGTCACCGAGATCTCGAAAACCTCGGGCACTGACGAGACGCCGTTCTTGGACAGGGCCACACACAGGTACTGCTTGATGGCATTCACAAACATGTCGTTGGTGCGGAACACGGGCCCCGCATTCTGCAGGATCAGCAGCAGCAGCTGCAGCGACAGCACCTTAGACCGCAGCTCGTGAGATCTGCCGGGAGAGGGCGACGTGCACGGCGTTAGAGTAACGCCCCCTTATGCGCTGGTGTTTGACTTGCGAGTGGCGCCAAATCTGCCAAAGCACGAGGCTCCTGCCTCATGCGGTCCTTGGGAGCAAGTGGCGATGCGGCACTCTCTCGTGGCACGTGTCTTGCGCCTCCGCGTAACAATGGTTGTCGGAACTTGTAAGAAACGTGAACCATAAATTTCATCAAGGGGCTTTACGTTAGATGACGGAAAAAAAAACTTTATGAAACTTCCACGCAGGTCGTTGTTAAGACGCAACGGAAACTTTGCATTGTCTTGTACCGCCCAACTTTTCTTTATTAAAGTGCTTACGAACTTCTGCATAAATTCTAGGAGTATTTTTCGTCGACGTCCGCAAAGTCTTCTATCGCATTTAAAACCAATTCGCACAACTGTCCGACTCAACTGTCTACTTCCCGCAGATGCACCCTCCCGCAACCAACCGACAACTTTAGCTGTGGCATTAGTGCAATTCTAATGTTTTTCACACAATAGGGGTACAAACATAACAAGACCCTTGTTAACTCGATTTTCCATTTAGAAGCTAACATATCATACCCAATTCGTTGCCCACATTACCGCTCTTATGCATACTGAGTGCCAGCAGCATTGATGTTGGGTGGGAACACTGGGGAACACACTGACCGCATATTCTAAAAACAAACCTGGGAACATCTTGCAGCAGCTTTAATGAGTAAAAAAAATAATTAGGTGGAGTTTGCCAATAAATTCATTCAGGCATCAGTTCTCCTCAAACTGCCTTAGGCATCGCAAGAACACTGTTACCACCAAGCACTCCACTTTGTTTCAAAGCAGTTATAGGATGTTCTGAGTCTCCGGAGCCATTGGCGTTTCCTGAGGTGCCTCTCTGACGGTGCTTCAAGCTAACCCTGATCACACGCAAGGACTATGATCGTAGCATTTGTGGCAAGAGCAACAACTGGAGCATCCGCATCGACAAGCGCAAACGAATCAAAGTTATCCTCGGTATCTTCGTCAACATGTTTTCAAACACTCCTGTAGAGACTGTTGCAGCTCAGGGAATCTTGCTTCGGTTTGGCACGCATGCTCGCCAGAGAAAATCCGACGTGCGCAAAGCGGTTGGCGATTTTTCATTTTCAGGTTGCGGGCGTGCTTTCTCTTGCATAAAAAAATTCTCGGACCCGTCCAGTATGCCTTGCTTGTTCTGCAAAGCGGTGGACAGTGTCGAACAGCCCAGGCCAGAATGCCGAATTCTTTGGCGGTTTCGGACTTGGCCCAGCCGCTTTTCACAATCTTGCACATCTAGGCGACTTTCGGTAAACAATTTCACTCTCCCCTACAAATGTATGCCGCAAGCGCACTCGCGCCGACGCACTTGCGCAGGCACGCGCATAGGATGCTCTTGAAGAGATGATCTCGTCTGGGCTCTCCGAGCTCCATCGCTCCTTTGACCCGATTCCGAGAGGAATCGGGCGGCGTAGGTTGCAGGGGCCGTTAGTAGCATCCAAATGTGGATGCTGCTCCCGCTACTCCCTGGCCGCGTCGGTGCATCAGCATCGGAAGCGGCGCTCTGCCCTCCGTCACCCGTTTGCTCCGTTTTCTTGTATGGCGTTTTCCCAGTTTGCCGTTTGCCTCGGTGGAGGAGGGGGGAGGAAACGCAGGGGTCTCCATGCACCTCAGTGTAGGCTTGCGTGCTTTTGCACCTCGGCCTTCGTAATAAGTGTGGTCGGCCTTCGATACACTTAGAATGATTCGGTTCAAAATGCATGCATTTCAGTCAAGACCACATTGAACTTCGACGAAAACGATCATTCGAAAAAAGCTATTTCGTTATAATGTGGGATTACTGTGTGTATATAACAGGTGTGTGCCACCTGCTTCGGTGGTTAAGGGTATTCACGCAAAATGCTGGCATGTGCGTGAGGCCAGTGATCGGCAGAACCAGCGGGAATCATTCCTCGACTCCGGCATTCACATGAACGGCGGGGAGCCGAGATGAATGTCAGTGTTAGCAGACGCATTTAGTGGCCTCACACTCGACGACAGGGCTCAATGTGCGCCGACGAGTAGAAAAATAGAGGTGTACATGAACCAGCAATACGCAATGATGGCACCAGAGCTCTTAGATGCAGGAGACGACAAACTGCTTCCTACTGAAAAAAAGATGCTTCTTGAATCGGTGAATGCAACACAAAGAATGTGGAATCAAAAACCAGTTGTATGTAGGAGCGGCTTGAGGACGGCACTGATGAATGTCGAATGCTCCTTCTGCTGTCTAGGACGACATGCACAGGGGTGGAACTCATAAAATGTACTTGGGAGCAGCCACGGGAGCAGCTGAAACAGCTGTTTTGGAGCAGCTTGGGAGCAGCTAAAACCTGGAGCAGGCTAGGAGCAGCTCAGATAAGTTTTCACTGCACCTCAGCTTGTGTCTTAGACAAGCACGGGAGCAATTTCAATTGTGCTTAGCAGCACAGATGAACATGAGTGTTTAGGGACCTAGGTAAATGGGATAACAGTGTAACAGATGCGAAAACTTGAAACTTTGCGAGCAGGGACACTGACACCCCCCAAAATTTTTTTTTACTTTTTTGCCAGGCACTTCATTATGATGTCGGAGGACTACCCAATTAATATTTTGCAACAAAGTACCGTATTTTTTTAATAAAGCCAAAAGACGCAACTGCTCGAAACCGAAACCGAAACCCGACGGAGGTCGGAGAAGTGGAGAGAAGAGAGCGAGTGGCGGAAGTCACGTGGCTACACCCGACCGTGTTTTTTTTTTTTTTTTTTTTTTTTTTTTTTCCTGGTAGCAGACGACATGCGGCGTACGGGAGCTGTTCGCCGTGGGATTCTTTTGCAGTTATGTATGTTCCGCTCGTTGTTCTGTACTCCAAGATAAGTTGTTTTGTATATTGAGGAGTTGGAGATGAGTAGTGAGTGCCCGTGGTGAATTTTGATCGGCTCCGAAAAGAATACACCCAAGATGTTGCGTGAAGAGCTGGCTCACATGTCCTGCGTCCGAAACAGAAGTGGCATTGTGCGACAGAGTTTCCGAAAGATCAACGGGATCGGGACCAGTGGCTGGCTGCAATTCCTGTAGACCATTTACGGGCACCTCGGAAAGCGGACGCTACCTGATTTATATGCTCCTTGCATTTTGTGGAAAGTGATTACATTGAGTTCGCAGGTGTCAAAAGGGAAATCCCATACCATTTAATTCAGCGACGTTTCGTCCACAACATTTGTTTCTTATTTTTTTTTTTTGTTTCTTCAATGATAATTGTAAAAAAAAGAAAAGAAATGTAAACATCGAAAAACATATGAAAAAAACAAAAAACGTTTCACGGGGGATCGAACCCGATCCGACGGCGTGTAAAGCGGACGTCTTTCCCACTAAGCTACTGGGGCATATCGAAACTAGGGGATCTCTTTCCTTAGTAATAATTCAGCCGATAAATTGTAAGTTGGAAAGTTTGCTACCGATTTTCCTTTAGCAAAAGCACTCCCGGGTCGAAGTCGGGATGCACCCCGCATTGGCGACATTCTTACCTTGTAAAGAAATCGTACGCGTGCATATTCAACTCGAAGTAGACACGTCGTGCTTGACGTTTGCGCGAGCGATGTCTTCAGCCACGAGAAGGGAGCGACGGCTCGGCGACGTCTTCGTGCAAATCGGCTTGGTGGTCGGGCGTGTCGTACGGGATGAATACCAATTCTTTTGATCAGTCCCAAATTTCTCTTTTAAAGGCAGACAAAATTCTCCGGTACCGCGAACGACAGTTCTGAAATAGAGGTCCCACGCCCGTCGACCGCTGCCATCGCGTCCCTGCGAGTCCCACGATACGCGAAACGACGCACGCACAGAATGCTTCCGGTTGTCTGTGGAACTTTTTTTTTCAATCAACGTATTTACAGCTTTTTAAAAGCCACAAAAAATGGGTTTCATATTTTTTTTCTATTTTTAATATTGAGTGTGTGCCTTCAGTGACCCACGACTTTGATTAAATTTGGTGGTCGCATCGATACCTTAGAAAACGGCCCGTGACCGCGGAAAAGAGAGTGAGCGAGACTCGAACCGGCCAATTCTTGATCGGCGGTTTTCGGGCGGAAAGAAACCGAATTTCGAGCCGCAAATTCTGTTCTGGGTAGTTGAGCTCTCATATGTCACGTACAACTAAAAACCTCGGCGAGCATAAATACCCTGTCAGTGTCCCTTTAATGTGAGTGGCTTACAGCTGCTCGAAATTAAAAAAAAACAAAAAAAACACTGCATATCGCACAACCCACACATGCTCAACATACTAATTATATGCGCGAGCCACGTGACGTGCGCAAGCAACGGACGTGCAGTTGCGTGGAGGAACAGGGTAACAAATTTCGAGTTTATCTTATTGTGCAACTCAATATTGAAACAGCAGACTACGATTAACGGAGTTATCATATTCGAAGCGATAAGCAGGAGCAAGGTTAAAGTACGCCGAGCAGATCTACCCCTCGCGTGAGAGCTGCTGGCCGGCAAGGTTTCGGATCGGACCGCGTTTCAGTTCTATCAAATGACGATATATCTTCCGGGAATGCGGTTCCAACTTCTAACGATGAAGTACTAAAAGGAATCTTTTACTCATTTGTTTTCAACTGGCTGACGTCCGGATCCCCGGCCGCAGAGCCTCAGGCGATCTGACGCCTGAACGACACTCAACCTCACCTCTGCCGACTTGCTGAACCACTGATGTTTGAAGAATAACAATCCAGTCGCAGGTGCTGTAGCGCTAGGAATCCGACTCCCAAATTTTTTGCACGCTTCCGATTCGAGATACACAGGGAGAATAAATAGAGCAAAAGATTGCAATGCCGACCAAGCTAAACGCGCTCATTCTTGCCAATCGAGTCGATAGAAACCGAAACGAAGACAAAATACATTTTTTTGGGCGCACGTTTTGCGATTTGGTGCATAATGGCGCAAGGTATTGGCTGTGGCGCAGTTTCCGCTACATGGCGCAGGATGGCGCAGACAAATGCGTCTGGCGCAAAATGGCGCAAATGGCGCAGCCGTTCCACCTCTGCATGCATGACATTGCAAGCCACAACATATTAGGAGGTCCAGATGCCACCGCCGGTATTCCACGGAGCAAAACTTGTAAAGTTGCCAGACACGCAAACAAAATACCATCAACTGTAGAGAGAACCCACACCAAGGTGGGGAGCGTATGTGCAGCCTGAGCAAAAGCTCCCCCATCCCCCTGGAATGTCTATGTCAGCGCAGCTCCTTGGAAAATTTTATGCTGTTAACACGTAATGCGCATCTTGGGGACCAAAGGGTGGTACATCCCCCCGTGTGAACACCCCTTTACAAACCGAGCGACAGACGCGAAAGTGTGAAGAGTTCGGCCAGAAACGTCGTTAAAGTGGCTCACCTGGGGTCCGGCTGTCCCTCGGGCAGGGGCTTCATGGACAGCTTGCAGAGCGATCTGAAGACCAGGAAGGCGTCTTTCTGCACCACGTGGGCAAAGTGAGCCTGCACCGCCGAGCCCCCCTCGCAGCTGGCCGCCATGCTCTCCTGTGAGCTGGCCCGGGCCAGCGTCGGGCCGGCCGGCGTCGCCGGCGACGGACCATCGCCCGAACCGGAGACTACCCGATTCAGGATCTCCTGGAGGACCGTTGCCACCACCTCCTGGGAGGACTCGCCCCGGTCGTCCAACGTGGCGCTGCCGCCGCCGACAGAATCGGCGTCGGCCTCCCGAGAGACGGCGTCTTCGGCGGGGTTGGCCGTCTCGGAGGAAGGAGGGGGCGTCGGGGACGGCTCCGGAGCAGAGCTGCAAGCGGTATGCGGTCGTTTGCCGCAACTCAAAACAGAATCGAACCCCGGCTGGTAAAAACATTGCTTGCCTCGATGTTACGCGTAAAGCCAACCGATGCAAAGAATGCGTTGTGCGATTGCATATATCTCTTTGAGTAGCCAAGTTTGCTCGTTAGGCCTTTGGGGCAATCTGTTAGAGATGCAGACGCAAACGCGCAACGCATTCTGCGTAAGTTGGCCTTAGGACAAGTGTCGAGGTCATACACCTGCCACACAAGTAGTTAGTGTCCTTTCCATCGTATAACATTACCCGACTGGCGAGCCAGGGCACGCCGCTCCCGGCACGCCTAGCGGCTGGTTTGGCAGTGCTACAATAGTGCTGCCAAACCTATCCAATCCATCTGAAACACCAAACCAAGCCCACGGTCAAGGCGGCGAAAAATCCATAATTGCGGCCTTTCGGCAGCCACTTGGATTTTTCAAATAAAAATAGTTATTACAGTGATCCCTCATTATAACGAAGTCAATGGGACAGCAAAAACGTTTGACATATGCAGTAATTCGACAAAAGCAATAGAGCCAAAAAACAATGTCAGCAGCCTTCAAGGTGGACGGAACATTGCAGAGCACTGACCGTATACTAATCAAACAAACCTTGGTTATGGACATCTCACGGCAGCTTTACCAAGAAAAAAAATAATTAAATGGAGTCTGCCGATACTTTCATCTAGGCGTCAGGTCTCCTCAACTGCTCCGGGCATCGCAATAACACTGTCACCGCCACCGCACCCCACTTTGTTTCGAGGCAGACGTAGGGTGCTTCGCGTCTCCACAGTCGTGAGCATTTTCCGAGGTGCCTCTCCCTACGATCACAGCATCCGTGGCAGGAGCAACAACAGGAACATTCGCATCGACAAGTGAGAAGGAATCAAAGTTATCCTCAGGAGCTTTGCCAACATGCTTTCACATACTTGTGAAGAGTGTGTGAAATCGTGCGCTCGCTCGGCAAGCATGCTCGCGAGAGAAAATCTGACGAGCGTGAAGCGGTAGGCGATCTTTCATCTTCGGGTCACGGGCGCGCATTCTCCTACGTAAGAAACTTCTCGAACCCGTCCAACATGCCTTGCTTGTTCTGCAAAACGGTGAACAGTGTCGAACAGCCAATGTTGAAATGTCGCATTCTTTGGCAATTTCGAACTTGGGCCGGCCACTTTCCTCAACCTCGCAGATCTAAGCAATTTTCGGTAAACACTCCCAATCATCGACACGATGCACGTGTGCGTGTAGTAGGCCACAGGTGTGCCTGTGCAGGCGTGTGAGTCGGGGGATTTCAAAGGAATAATCCCCTCAGGGCTCCATCGCTCCCTTGACCCGGTTCCGACAGGAGTCGGGCAGCGTCGGCTGCGGGCACCGTGGGTAATGTCAGAACGTTGACACTGACCCTTGCTCGCATCCGCACTTTAACATCGGAAGCAGCGCTCTGCCAGCTCTGCACGCTCTGCCCTCCGTCACCCGTTTACTCCGTTTTCCCAGTTTGCCGTTTGCTTCGGTGGAGAAAGGGGAGGAAACTCAATGGTCTCCGTGCACCTCCGTGTAGGCTTGCGTGTTCTTGGCACCACAGCCTTCGTAATAAGCGTGGTCTGCTGCCAATGCACTTCAAATAATCCGGTAAGAAATGCGTGAATTTCGGTTGGGAACTTGTTGAGCTACAATAAAAGCAAAGATTCGGAAATTGTGATTTCCTTACAACGAGGGATTACCGTATTTTTCTGTGAAAAATCTAACTTTCGGACTGCAATCTGTCTGAAAAATTGGCACTGACACCCCCCAAAAATGTTTTTTTAATTTTTTGCCAGGCGATCCATTATGGTGTTGGAAGACTGCCCAATTAATATTTTGCTACAGAGTCACATATAATTTTAATAAAGCCAAAAAATGCAACTGCTCGAAACCGAAACCTCCGCACAGAGGTCGGAGAAATATAAAGAATGAGAGAGAGCCACGAGTCACGTAACAACACCCAATTGTGCGTTTTTTTTTGTTTTTGTTTTTCGCGTGCAGCAGATGAAATCCGTTGCAGGAATTGTTTTCCGTGCACTTCCTTTGCAGTTATGTTTGTTCCGCTCGCTGTTCTGTACTTCAAGATGAGTTGTTTTGTACATTGAAGAGATGGAGATGAGTAGTGAGTGACCGTGGTGAATTCCCGTGATCGGTTTGAAAAGAATACCCCCAAGATGTTGCAAGAAGAGCTGCCTCACATGTCTGGCTGCAATTCCTTTAGAACAGTTACGGGAATCTCTGAAAGCGGATGCTACCCAATTCATATGCTCCTTGCATTTTGTGGAAAGTGGTGGTTACATTGAGTTCGCAGGCGTCAAAAAGGGAATCCCATACCATTTAATTCAGCGACGTATCATCCACAACATTTGTTTTTTTTCCAGCGATAATTGTAAAAAAAGAAATGTATATATTGCAAAATATTTGACAAAAAAAAATTTTAAAAAAGATATGCTTACATTAGGGATTGAACCTGGGCTGTGGCATGTGAGGCGGACATCTTTCCACTGAGCTACTGGGGGAACTCTTTGTGGTAATGCCGCCAGTCTACTATAGGTCGAAAGGTTTGCAGCTGATTTTCCTCCAGCAAAGGAACTCCCGGCTCGAAGTCGGGCAGCACTACGCATTGGCCACATTTGCACCTAGTAAAGAAATCGTACGTGTGCATATTCAACTCGAAGTATGCACTTCGTGCTTGACGTTTGCACGAGCGATGTCGTCAGCCACGAGAAGTGGCAACGGCTCAGCGATGTCTTCGCGCAAATCGGCTTGGTGGTCAAGCGCGTTGTATGAGATGAATACCAATTCTTTTGATCGGTCCAAAATTTCTGTTTCGAAGAAAGACAGGGTCGCCGCTACCGCGGACGACAGTTCTGAAGTAGAGGTCTCATATCCATCGTCCACTGCCATCGCCGTCCAGCCCGCAAGACCCACAATACGTGATACGACGCCATGTTGAGAATTACACAGTGAACGCACAGAATGCTCCCGGTTCTCTGTGCAACTTTCTTTTCAATCAACATATTTGCAGCTTTTTGGAATTTACAAAAAATGGGTTCCATATTTATTTATTTTTTTTTTTTTATATGGTGGTGTGCTTTCAATGACCCACAACTTCGATTAAATTTGGCGATTCTGGCTCAACGTTAGAAAAGGGCCCGTGAACACGAAGAAAAGAGTGAGTGCGACACAAACCGGCCAGTTCTCGATTGGCGGTTTTCGGGTGGAAAGAAGCCGAATTTCAAGCCGCAAATTTTGTTCTGAGTAGTTGGGCTCTCACATGTCACGTACAGCTAAAAACCTCGGTGAGAATAAATACCCTGTCAGCGTCCCTTTAATATGTACTATTTCAATTGGGTGCATCACAGTTCCTCGTAGATGTCTGAAATAACGAGCAAGTCCCAAATTTCAGCGTTCGAAAAATCGGTCGGGGACTGTAAACAAACAAACAGACAAATTTTTGGGAGTAGAGGCTTCTGCTATAAAGCATTCCAAGCCTTCAAACGCACAGATGGGTGGCTGCGTCCCGCCCCACCTCGAGTTGTCGAGTTGCTCCGAGGCGTCCAGCGAAACGCTTCCCCTCTGCTCCGTGCGCCCCACGGCCGTGTCCTGCATCGCCGTCTGCGGCAGCGCCCCATCAGCGGCCTCGGGGCCGCAGCAGGCCTCCATGCGGGCGAAGATGACGTTGAGCATCTGGGTGAGGGTGGCGATGGCGGTGGTCTGGTTCACCAGGTTGCGGGAGGCCAGGTAGATGTTGTAGCAGGTGCGCACAGGCTGCAGCACGCTCCCCTCGTGCACCTCGCACGACTGGCTCGTCACCACCGTCAGCAGCGCCTTGATGATCTGCAGCTGCACCCCGTCGTCCGTCGTGGGGCCCTGGTTGGTCGGGAGAAAAGAAACCAGAGAAGAGTGGGGTCGGGGAAGACGTACATGCCTCGGACTCTTTGCTACACAAGAACGCCGAATGATTCCAGAATTACGAAAAAATTGGCCGTCACTCTGGCATTCTACATGCACAACGTTTAGAGAGCCTCCTCGCGTTCCTGGAATTGCGGGCATAGTGGAGGGGACGTTACGAGGGTTGCTGGAACATATTGCCACGTGCTGGGCAAAGAGGAAACGCCGCTCCATACTTTTAAAATGACAGTGTCAAACACGCGGCCCGCAACTCTTTGGGGTACAGCCTGCAAGCATTCCGCGGCTGCAAGCACCTATTCCCTCGCCTCGAAAGCCACCTGCGCCAGAATAGTTTTATATCGTTGATTTGTTTCTGCTCAAAAAGGAGCTCTGGTCATATAACGTGTTCACACATTTTCCACTATTCTGTCTTCTTTGGGACGGAGTATTGCTTTGACTAAATATTTGTCTCTCAGCCATTTCTTGTGTAAATCAACCAGAATGGCAATACCTCTGCCCCGCTACAAGTGCAAGCTCTTTGCTCAAGGAGGGACCTTGACTGCATGAAATCTTGCTCAGCGGGAGCTAAAACTGCCAAAGATGAAATTATGAGGTCAGGCTTCTAGCTGTCAGATAATAAGTTTATAATTAAAGTATTTTCTTGTAATGCTTGAATAAAAATCATCAGGAAAGCAATAACTGCCATAGGAAAGATTTTTTCTATGCCTGTTGGGCCTACATAATTTTGCGACAGGGCCACGACAATGTGCTTGTCCTCAATCTATTGAAAACTGCCAGTGCTGTTGTGTGGTGGTGTTTTTAAATCTTCCGATACCATCAGGTGTGGGTCCAAAGTAGTTGTATATGCAAACAAGAACCAAAGCGGGCAAAATGATGACCTTACAAAAAGCAGAAAGCACAAGGTTCCTTGTCTAGAAAACCTCTCGGGTGTCGCGGAGACGGTCGGCTGCTTTGCAAAGTAAAACACCACTGGTGTTTGTTTATTTTTGTCCCAAAAGAGGGAAAAGCGGGGAGAGGAAAGAGGGGGGAGGGGTGGGCAGTTCACACATATTCCTGGTGTTTACGCAAAGCGATGTGCAGCTTAATGTCAGCTTTGCCAACGTGCGAAAGGCTTACATCACGTGCACGTGCTACAGAATCAAAACTTCTCTCCCTTCTGGGACGGCATGAAGCACGGGAAGTCCGACGTGTAGGACTTCAGGAGCACCTGAAAGTACCTCTTTTGAGGTTTGGAGTTCGCCATTTCGCCGCGAAGCTACCACGACCAGGGGAAGGCTACGATTACATTTGCAACTAACACAGACACTGCACTGCTCGCCACGAAACTGGCCGAACCAACATGCGCCGCCGAACACACAAACAAAGGCTTTAGGCTTTGAATTAGTTTCGGATCTGTGGTCATCAGATGGACGGATAGTAAAAACCACGAAGCTGCCGCAAACGGTACCTATTGCCCTCCTATGGCGGTGCCAGGTACCGCCAGAACCAATCTTTTTTAGCATTTTTCCGTAATTTGTTTTTTATATTTTTTTCGTATAATTTGAACCAAGATTCGTAAAATCGTAAAATTAGTTCCAATTCATACATTTTACAAAAAAATTCAGAAGAGTTGGTAGGTATGCTGTTCAAATCAGTGCAATGAATATTTTTCTTTTAACCCGCTTCATTGGAAGTTGAAGAAAACAAAACAGCCCTCGTGAGTGATATTACGGCTCCTAGAATGCATCTCTGACTAATGTGTTTAGCGTCCTATCCCACCCATGCATCGAAAGCAGTCTCAAAGTGGCAACACATGACGTCACAAAAGCCGGAGTGTCGTGTTGTCAGATGTCACAGTCCCGGCGGTCGGGTGTAGAAGTTCCGGAAAGAAAAGCACAAGAGTATGCGAGCGTCGCTGCCGTCACGGCGTCCCAACTCGTTGCTGTCAAGCCGGAGAGCAACCTGCAGCTGAAAAGCCATTTGCCACGTCTACCATCACAGCCGTGCCACCGCAAGGATTGCGGATGGCGACGACGCCACGCTTCGATGTCGTCAGGTGGAAATCGAGGAACTGCTTTTCAAGACGCAGCAAACGTGCCGGTCGAAAGCGCGTTCCAGGCACCGCGGCGGTATCACACTTACTAAGCTTCTCATCTACGGCGCATAATGTTGCCATGCTCTAGCGAACTAAGCTCGCACCATCCAAACGTGCGAAGACCAATGTGTCGTCCGTTGCCCGACCTCTGAGCTACCGCGACTGCATCGTTGTACCGCACCGGGACGCCGCACACCCCGATCCCCCGGCCGGCCCACCTGAAAGCATCCGCAGACGGTCTCCACAATGCGGTCGATGAGCAGCTTGCTGGGGTTGGTGGGGTCCGGCAGGTGGCCCGTCAGGTGCCCATAGGCAATCAGCTTCTGGATGCAGTCCAGAGCAGTCACCACGATGCGGGGCGACTTGGACTGGCAGGCCAGCTCGAAGGGCATCAGGTAACGCTCGGCCTCCAGCCCCGCCTGGCCCTTGGGAAGCGGGAGCGCAGACGAGGTCTCCTGCACGCTGAGACAGATGCAAAAAACGGAAGCGGCGCTCGAAGAGGACGTTGGACGGCGTCTCGTCGGTACCTTGTCCTCGGCTTACCCTCGTCTCACGTCCTGATGTGCGTAACTTCAGTCGGGTCATCAGCAATACTCTTCCCTTTTGGCCACTTTACTGTACTTTCTTTGGCATGTCTCACATACTCTCCATCTGGTCATGTTGCTTTGCTTTCCATTGGGTCACTTATGGGTGTACTCCCTTTGGACACTTTACTGTACTCCTATTTGGCTACTTACTCCACTCTCTATTTGGCCACTTACTGCACTCTCTATTTGGTCACTTATAGCACTCCTTTGGCTACTTTACTGTATACTTTATTTGGCCTCTCTACTGTTAGAGAGTACAGTAGAGTCTTTTTAGTGTACTCTCTATTTGGTCATTTTTTTATGCTCCTGTGGACAAAAAAGCTCGTTATTTGGTGGTTCCGTGGACATGAAACCTCAATTATTTGGCTGCCAGCATCCACAGAAAATCCTTAGGACTGATAATGTCTATTGCGATTTGCATGCAAATCAGCTTGTTCGGCTATTATGTAATTATGTGCTGCAATGGAAATAGATCATACAGCATTGGGAAAGAGAAACTAAAATGTGCCAATGCACTTGGCCCACTCGCCGATGCCATCTGGTAATGAGAGAAGGAACTTTTCTCGGTCCAAGAGCCCACTTGTATGCACCTATTTTTGATTGTTTTAACCTTCCCAAAACATTTGCCTCAAATATATTTTCGTGCTCGATATGAACTTCGAATGAAGTTCATATCTAAGGAGTACTAGAGAATTTCAGATATTCTCCTAGTAATATAAAAGATTTTCTAAACTGAAGCAAATCCCAAGGTGGCAGTGCTGGGAGTGTTACTTTTTCTTACTTTCCTAGAGTTTAAAATCTTGTTCAGAGCATTTCAACACTTTTATTCAGAGCGTGTCGGAAGCAGACACGCCAGTTTTTTTATCAACTGAACAACAAAACCTACAAAAAAAAAAAGCCAACCTTTAAAAAAAAAATGTTTCAACATTTTAAATTTCACAGCTATCTTTTTAGAAAGATATCTCCACCCAACTGGCCTTTCAGGAGTCCGCTGCAAGTCGCTGACATGATAAGGTACAACGAGACAAGGAAACTCCCCACTCCACCTCAAGAGCACTGCTACTCTAAGATAATGCCACCCCAACTCGTTGACAGTGGTAACGTTTTGAGCACGGTGCCGACAAGACTGCGCCGCATCCTCCGACACTTCCCACACCACTCTGGGCCCCTTTCCCAGAGTGTGTACCGGGAAACCGATAAAGGAAAATGAGCCCAACAGGCTGACCTACCTCGGTGCTTGATCCTTTGTTTCATTTTTTATCTCCTCTGCAAGTAAACAAAACAAAAAAAAGACAAGGTAAGGAAGTCTCTCAGGCAGCACTGAAACGGCACTCAACTTCTTGTCCCTGTGTCGCAGGTACTGGAATTCCCACACAAGCTATGCTTGGGGTGCCGACAACCTGTTCCTCGACTTTCGCAATGGCGATAGTAACAAAATTGCGGGGGGGAAGCAATTTGGCTTAGAAGGGCTACGGGAGGAATCATACTTTTAGTTTTTAGTTTCCAGGCTAGGTGGCGCAAGCTACCGCCCGTAATAAAGAGTACAGCCATTAGCCTCCACACATGGACGCCGCCATTTCGGTGCTTAGTGCAGAATGGGCACAGCTGGCGGTTGTCACGGTTAGAGAGTGTGACTTCCCTAGCTTCAGGCATGCTGTCAGGAAGCATGTTGTCTTGCTCTGTCGCAAAATGTTTGAACATTTTCCGCAATTTCAAGTCAAGCTTCGGATAACTGGCAACAATGGTTTGAGGCTACAAGATGGCCGAAGCACCGCGACTCTCAAGGGAAAGGCATCTAGCGGTTGTGGTAGGTATAACGAATGCCGCGGGGCAGACGAACTCTGTGAACCTTGGCAGCAAGCCACATGCTGTTACGTCTCTATGTTACGCCCGCCTAGGTTTACACAAGGCAAAAAAAAAGTTCCCGCAGCTGGCACAGAGACAGGCTACTGCAAAGTGACAGTGCTCGCCACTCCCGCCATCAACTACGTTCGGAGGGACCGCTGTTGAGCGTGTTGGCGCACTCGACTGCCCCCGTCCGTTTCGATCCGGATGAGCTTCGTACTGGCGTGTGGTCGCGTATCGCTATTGCCTGACGCACGTTAAAGACCCAAGGCTAGCAATCGTACTCGACTAGCTAAATTTCTCGTCTCCGGCATAAACCAGTGGCATCCTTCCTTAAAGGAAGGTTTTTCTCTTTGTCAGCTACGTTTCAGAAAAGCAAGTAGAGTGATTCAAGTCTGCTCCCAATCGAGTTGTCAAACTACGACAAAAATTTTGTTTTTTTGTTTTTTTAGGGCACATGTTGCACGTCCCTTTGAACTGGGTGCACTGTATCGGTTGATTTATATGCTGTCAGTCTCAACACAACTTAAATTTCAACTACTTGCTGACAATAATCGCCATCAGCTTGAACTATATATTTTAGCTGCATCTTTGTAATGACCTTGCACCATTGCTTAATATTTAAGCAATTAACAAAGCACCTTCTCGAGTCTGCAAGACTTTTCTTGTTTGAAGACAAGTTGCCAGTAACATTTTAGACCAAGAATACAAAAAGAACACAAGGTGGTGTAGGTTGATACTAATAGTAGACGAAAAGAAATGACGACGACAAAAGAATGCAAACAAAGCTACAAATGGCAAGATGGAGGTAACGGGATTGCCCAATTGTTTTTCTGTTTTTATTTCTTTTCTTTTTGCTGTTATCTCCAAGCTATCAGAATTATTAAACGGAAAACTGTGAAGACAACTTGCACTGAAAACTGAAGTAAAACAATACCATATCTCGGTGTAGAAATGCTGCTTGTAGCAATTATTATGGCAGTACATCAGACAACCCTGTCAATTAAAAAAGTTTTCCCTTCTTTCCTCCACATAACTGTTAACATTCCTTTCACTGTACCAAGCAGGCAAAGACGGCCTAGTGCATGTGGATTCGTTCTTTTTTAGGTGGTGTTTGGCCACTACATTGTAAAATGTTTATTTATATCTTGGCTCGAAAGAGCAGAGAACATGTATTGGCAAAGAGTTCCAACCATCGCACTGCACCTATAGAGGTCAAGTTCAAAACTAAATCCACCTAACTTGCCAAAAAAAATTTTTTGTGTGTGTGTATGTGTTTTTGGCAGGGCGGTTGGCCGACATAGCCATACGCCGCATCATCTTCCGGCTAAAGCTTGCATTAAAGCTCAACGCAGCGCTTCTGCCCGACCCGGGCGCCATAGTTGATCAAGGTAGATGATGCAAAGGATTTAATCAACAGGCCTTGTGTAGTTTAAATAGCGAGCTTCATTGAACATAACCTGGACAGAGCACCCCCTACCAACAAGCCCAAGTGCATACGCTTCTACCCCCTACAGTCCTAACCCATCACCAATAACAAGCTCAGTGGGAAACCCCAGACGTCACAACCGCTTTTACGTGCAGTGCCCCTTTTTTGTTTTTGAATGGAACCCTATGTTGTCAGATATGAGTGGCCCAGACATGTCACCCTCTCCAAGAGCCAATGGAAAACCACACAAGAGGGTGTAGACATTTTATCCCTGGCTCTTACGCTTGACCAAAGTCGTCTGGCAGGCTCACTCAACGTGTTGACAGAGCTCTTCGGCGATGGACCGCTGGACACCGGCAGGCACGCAATCAGCCGAGGCCAAAGTCAACCGGCTGACCGAGTCAACAGACCAGGCATTTCAAGGGCTTCATTTCACACCATGACCCAAGAATGTGACGAGGATCCGACAACACAAAAACACTGAATGGTGACGAAGCAAACTGCTACGGGATTTTCCTACCGATTTTCCCATTTTACCAGAAGGCAGAACTCCAGTAGGAAAATTACGGATATCCGTAGTTACGGTACTCTGGTGAGGGTAGAGAATGGTTTACTTTGAGTAACCTTGGGTCGGGTTCTGCATTCCGGACCACTAACGACAACACTCGTTAGAACTGAAAGTCACTTTCGGACCGCAGCTTACTGGCGAGAAAGATTACAAGCTCTAATTAGATCGCACGACAAAACATCTTTCCGGGAAAGCGGGGAAAAAAAGAAATTGCTTTCGTTTCTGCAAGGCGTCATAACAACCAGCGGTTCCGCGATGAAACATGACATGTCCTCGAAATATTACACTCGTATTTACACTCTCGGCAGGCGCTTTAACGACCGCGACGTACCTCGCGAGTACGACAGGCGAGCCTTTCAGACCTTCAAAACGACAAGCCGCGGGCAGAATATTATTTTGCCATTTAAAGAGCGTGCCCTTTAAATGGACGGGCCACCGCTTCCCGCGGTTTCAGAAGGACAATTCGGACAGCATTGCGTCATTTAAACGAAACGTTTTGGGACAGGAAAGGTGATGGGGAGCGACCGCCAGCGATTAAAATCGCTCGTTTGAACGATGACAACTATGCCGCAAAAACAAGCCATCTGGGAAGCCATTGTCGGGCCGTTACGAAAGCGAGAGGAAGTTACGGTGCCGTACCGACCTCGATCCGAACACCTGTTCCAACTGGATTATCGCATTCAATCCCCGAAGGGCGCTCTGTTTGTCTCTGTGCCACATTGGAGTTCGTTTTCGGCAAGAAGGGAGTGGTGGTGGCGGGTTTATGGTAGACCGAATAAAACAAAGTACCGCATACGCGTGAATCGAAAGAGTGCACTACACAGACTCACCTAAAGCAACCTCGCAGGCTTTCCGCAGCTGGGAGTGATACGACCGCCGGATCTCGCGATCGTTCAGTATCTTCTCCAGAGCACGAGTGATGAACATTTCGCCCGTGTTTGAACCCGTGCGCATTCTTCCCGGTTACCTGACTGACATGGCTCGCACACTGACAACGTCGTTCGAAGGTAGTCCGCTCCCTTTTCTTCTTTTGTTTGCCGACTGTGCGGTGGTCCGGTGATGGGGGGAGTTCTAAAGTTGGCCTAGCACGGACCGAAACACCACCGGAGCGACGCCATATTGAAGTGCGTGGTGACGTCGGTGACGTCAAAACAGAACCGCCATCTGCGTTTCTTCGACCGTGATGCGTGAGGGCGCTCCTGTTCATCAAAACAATTTTACAAACTCAGCCAAACTAACAAAACAACATTACAAAACACATTAATAATTACAAACTTAAACAATTAGAAAAAATTTACAAGGTTTAAACATGATTCCTAACCAAATAACAAACCGAACACAGAAAGTAATATTTGGGCTGTAGCTCGCGCTACCTACGTTATTTGGTAATGGAAGACAACTAACGTTGAATGGGGCCACCGACAAGACGCTGCCTAACGATTGATTCATTAATAACATGTTTATTTCTGCATAATAATAACCTTTTTCAAAGAAAAGCTTTACCCCGAGTGGCTTGCTCGGCTTTGCCTTTGCAGCACAAGTTGCTTTACCCCGACCAACCTTTTCTTCTAGGTCTCCTCCCTCTGGGACATTCCCACGGCTCTGGGACATTCCTTGGTATCTATATCCATACCACTCGTCATTGCATCAGCTAAAGGAAAAAAAAGATAACAAGCTGTGCAACTAAACTACAGTGAAAACACTCTGATCCTAAGCCAAAAGAAAAGCTTCCAAGACTTGGCAGTGCACCTATTGTAAAACCATCTGCATTAATAATAAAATTAGTACATTGTCATCAGTGCAGACGAAGGTGTGGTGGCAAGGGCTACAAATCAAAAATAAGGCGAGGAGTGAGCCAGAATCTTGAAACGCCACAAGAAAGCAGACTCTGCCTGCCGACACATGTTCCGACCCTTTGCGTGCACACATTCACTGACAACAAAACACAGTTGAGGCATTTCCTTTTTTTTATTGCGTGTCCAAAGAAAAATTGCTTCGACATCGAGAAATCAACAAGAATGGCTGCAAATGGTGCGAGCGACCGGGTCACCCTACTCTCGCGTAAGGTCTCTTCCGTAAACAACTGTGAAGACTACTGCGCTGCAGGACTAGGGTGTTATGGTGGCCTCCTCCCTAGAGCGGCTTGGCATCCACGATCTTGAACCAGTGGCCGCATTCGCAGCGCTTGGGGTCCCCTCTGTGCAGCCACATCCAGTTGATGGTTGTCGCGTCCTCTTCGCCTGCGCACGTCTTTCGTTTAGTCATGCGCTCTTAAAGCCGCTACACTTTAGTTTAGCCTATCTACACTCCCAGATGCAGCCGATGCTGCGAGCTGATGGGACCAAGCAGACGGCGTCGAAGGCGCACCATCATGGTGTTCCCATGTTTCTGTATTACATGTTCAATCATAAAGAGAAAAGCCTAGTGACTCGCGCTTTTGATGATGCTTGAGCAGTCCCATCACCTCGTAGCGTCGGCTGCATCTGGACTTGACCTGAAACGGAGTGTAGTGCAAAACGGGCGCAACTGGCAGTACACACGCTGACAACTCTCTGTAGCTATGCAATCAAAGCTATGGGCGCACAGGCTCTTGCACACAGTGAGTGCCGATCAAAGCTGTGCACGAGCACCCTTCATGACTAAAATGCCATAGGAAGTTGTTTGCAAGTACACTTACATTTCGAAAACATTACTTCTAAACTTTAGAAATGGTGTCGGGAAGCTAGGACAATATTGTTTCGTTCCGTCGTGGATAGTTTTAAGATTTTCGAGGGACGGAAAAGAGTTTTCTAACATTTCGGGTGAAGTTTTAGACAACTGGCAAACAATGAGTTCCTTAGAGGCCGACATACAACCTCGGTTTTCTGGAGGGAAGATAATTCTCTTAGCACTCTTTTCTCCTGAGCTGCAAGGGGAGCCAAGTTGGGGCAAGGTAAAAGGTGGAGAGTATATGGGAAAGGAGGAGGCGGCCAAAAGTGTAAAGTGCCGAGTGTATGTTGGCCACTAAACGTTTTGGCCGAGCCTAGCTTGTCAAGGTGGAGCCGTCCCCTAACCGTTCGGAACAAGTATAGCTCGTCTGCTTCCCCCGGTTCACGCACTCAACTGTTTTGGACGAACCAGGCTTGGTTCGTGGCTTAGTTTGCGGTTGTGCCAACAGTTGGCAGCACTGAATCTTTTTTCTTTAAATTTCACTCTAATTCTGTTTGTGGCTAGAAATTTGACTTTGAAGAAAACAAATCTAATTTTGAAGTTTACAATTAAGCCCAGTTGAAGGTCAGAAATTCTCAAACACTAAAAATGGTTAAGGGGCTAACCAACAAAATGGCAGAAGTGTTGTCAATCGCTTTATTGGCTCCCTTAGGGTTATGGTGTATGATTTTCAAACCAGAAACATAAAAATAATAGTGGTTACAGAATACTAAAGAATAACTTGAAAAGTTTGAAAAGGCAAAAAACTCTACCACCACATTGATGTCGGGGAAACAATGTGAGGTTTGGCTCGGAATGATGAAAGAGGAATAAACGTGTACTTCGGTTTTTCAAAACCAAGTCCATTGTCAAAACAGAACATGAGCCCAAAACTCCGTATGAAACAGAACATCTATAAGATAAAGGCACCTAACATGGCTCGAAACAATTTGAAGAGCCTGGTAACTTTCTGTACAAAAAGAAAGCAAGAAAAGAAAAAAATTGAAGTGTGTACACTTTTCAGGAAGACGTTGAATATTGAATCTATGCATTTAATCAAAGCACAGGAAAATCAACTAGGCAAGCTACTTTGTGCTTGGGTAACAATAAAGCTTTTTCAGTTACACATTATTTTTCGCAAGCAGTGTTTGGTTTTCAGTAAAAATCAAAGCCAACAAAAACTGCCTATAATTTAAAAAAGCCCTGTATAGGAACACGTACGAAGTAGCTTCGTCACATTGGTTAGCTTGACACTTTCTTAGCTACTGGTGAATGCGTCACCTAGCCACGCAATAGTGGTACCGTCGAATCTCGTTAATTCAAACTCTTAATTCGAACTTGTGGATAATTCAAACTAACATGCAGGTCCCATCCTATGCGTGTCTATGGGAGGAAACTCCCGCTAATTCAAACTCTGCTTTATTCAAACAAATGTTCGGTCCCCCTCGAGTTTGAATTAACGAAATTCGACTGTATGTTAGTGTGCTAGCATACAATACGGATTTTCGCTGCACCGCAGTTTGAAGCACCTTGACCTTCGGCAGTTGCTTTCAGTCCCGACGGTGACACATCACAAATTCTTAGACCACCATAACTATATGAGCATGTTTACCTTGTTTAAGCAAGTAAGAACATGCAATCGGATCCCCGCCTACAATGGTTCGAGAAAGAACATCAAACAATCTGCGAAGGGAGGCTGGATGACCCCTCCCAACAAACCATTGTTATTTTAACATTTCGGTAATGCGGCATACACGTGACAGTTTGCTCCCAGAGTGAAAATTAGGTCCAGGAGCAGGGCATTTCAAATCTATAGCATGTGAGGAAGATTCAACACTTGTGCTATGATTTCGGAGCCTGAAAGCACCAGTCAGCAACAGTGAACAATTTTCGGATTTCAATTTCCTGTCAAAGCTTTACGAACCGTGTTGTGAAGTGAAATAAGCATAATTAGCGCAATGTGAGGGTGACCAAACCGCAGGTCGCAAGCCTCATGCGGCTCGCAACTCCCTGGCAAACTAACCACCTCACGTCTTGTCACCCCCCCTCCCCCCCCATAAAAGCCAAAAGTAAACATAAAAAAAAAAACAGCTCACATTTTTTTCAGCTTTGTGCCATCACACGTGCATCAGAAATTTTAAGAAATGGGCACTCACAATAATGGAACATACTCAGCAATCGCTTTATAAGTGGAATTCGACGTGACCACAAACTAAGACAATTCTTTTTTTTATTGCAACGCTTTGCCTAAAATTTTTTTTTTATGGTTTTGTGATTCTGTTTGCCCGTCCACCCTTGTGTTAAAAGGTAGTGCGTGAAGATAACAATGTACTTGCAAAGCAGCCTATCGTTCTCAAGATAGTTTTCACACTTACAAAAGCAGTCAATTTTATGCGAGAATAACCACACCTCTCATAAATGCAGCTTATCACGTTTGGGGATAAGTAATGCCTGTAAAAACGCAGCTAGTCGTAAGCAAGGACAATTCCTGCAAAACCCGAATGTGGCCCGTCGTATGCAAGAACGACGGCACTCGCTACAGCAGCCAATCCAACAAGCGTAATTATTTCTCCATAAACGAAGACAACTACGGGCAAGAACAGTGAATGCACTCACAGATGCAGCCAATCATTCGCTTTTCTAAGTGGGACGGAATGAGGTTGGGGTTGTCCTTGGTGCCAGGGCCTCTCTTGAACACCCTCATGTCGAACGGATCCTGCATGAAAAACAAAGGGAAACTCTCCAAGCTCCAGGGTGGGAAGGCGAAAAATAAAAAGACGCACTGAACAGCATCGCAATCCCCACAAAAGCCCAGGCCGGCTCCACCATGGTCACGGATAAAACGACTGACGGCAGGGAAGGGCTTCGGCCGTCCCACCCCACAGATCGAGCTCCCGACCTTTCACTACGCTTTAGCGTCTCGGGCACGTCGAGCTCACGTGCGCAGTCAAAGCGTGAAGAAGGGTTGTTAACACACTGATCACATTTCAACAAAGCAGAAAATACCACAAGAACTACAGCCAATAACAGGGTTAAGAAGCTGGTAACTGCCCAGCTTCCAGCACGCGCACGACAAAGTGTCACGAAAGGCATATTAACTCAAGCTCGAGACAGAGTAACCGCTGGATTCTTAACCTGTGACCGACTGCATATAACCATATCTCTTTGGAAATCCACTTCTTACGATATGCAACTGACCAAAAGAAATGTGTACAAACGAGAAATCAAATATAGAATATAACGGCAACGACCGGTAAACGGCATGAATTGAGTTGTCTTAAAACGTTGCTCCATTTTTACCGCGAATTCATCACTTGACTTGAAGCAAAGATCTGCCCCATGCGCGTCGACAACGAAAATACGGAGGCTTTGCGAAGGGCGACCTCGCACAAGGTTGAGAGGAACGCAACTTGTGCTTTGGAGCACCCACTGGCATTGGCTTAACGCTTAACTTGTCGATGCAATGTGTGGTACGGTGAAAATTTGCGCTTGCGCCTTTCGATAGATAGATCTAGGCAAACAAGCAGCACAACTCCGCGCACTTTGCCCCCGACTTCCGTGACGTGCGAGACGAATCTCCGGAACTTTGTCGGGCCGACCAAGACTCCCAGACTTCTCCAAATCCTCTAGCAAAGAAAGTGCATTTCATCGACCAAATTTCATTAGCCAAATGTCACGACAAATCATCGCATGAATTTCCCCGCTAAATTTAGTCTGAAAACCAATGTCGCGCGACATTAATTTTCACCCTCTACTTGTTTTTACCTCAAAAACCTTAGTAAAAAAAAACGCCCGGCTACTCGCCGAGCATTACCGATTCCCCCTTTATGTGGAGAATGAAGATATATGTAGGTGCATTTTAGATTAGATATAGTATGTTATCTTATCAAGACATACCTGTTTCTAAGACCTTCTTTCTCTAACGACCAAATCCTCTAAGGACTACATAGGAACAATGCACAAAACTTGCTTTTATCTTGAGGTGACGAATATAAATTTGGGGAAGAAATTGACACGAAAGGAAGCAAATTTTTTTCTTGCTAAATTTTGTTGAGAAATTGGCATGACATGCCCACCTTGGGTCGTAGGACATCAATTTCTGTGAGGTGGTAGTTTGCACTTAACATTGTGTGTGTGTCCCGTGTTTTTTTTAATTATAAATGGGCTTGTGTAACCTTTTTTTTTTTTTTTTTTAATTGACTCACATCGTTTCCTGCTGCCCTTGCAAGCAACTCTTTCTTTTCTATCCCAGTGGCATACTCCATGGCATCATAAATCCCTGAAAAGAAACACACACACAAAAAAAAAGTGAGGTCACAAACAGTCCGATAACACAAGTATCAGAACTCTGCATTTTTCGATTCAAAAGTTATACATGCTTTGCACTGACGTCACATCATTTATTTCGCACCGCCACAGAAGACAGACAGAGGGAAGCTGCTTTTGTACCAAATTTGAGAAGAATTAATCTTCTGTAGTCTTCTAGAGGGAGAATAGCGAGCGACGTCTGGGACTCAAAAGAGTCTCAGTGAGAGGGGAGTTCATCCTTTCCCTCTTCTGTGGTGGTGTCCGGACAGCTGACGGGAGGACGTTAGGCGCAATGAATGTAACGCGCGATGTTAGCAAATGTTTCAATGAGAAAACGGCGGCCAACAGAAATCACTAACACAAACAGATGAGTAGCGTCTGCTACTGGGCACGGGTAGCAGACGCTCCTCATGTCGAAAGAGCGGTACCCTGGAAAATGCTTGCTCGAGCCGACGAAAAGTTTGTATCGGTTCGTCGGCAGACTTGAGAAGTGGGCGTTTGCCGGACTGGTAGGGACCAGGTTACATATTTACAAGTTTTTGCCGACGAAAGAGACGGCCCACGTTGTAATGCAGGCCGGTGCGCCGAGGATTTTGTAGTGGAGCCGCGAGTTTTAAACATCGTACGCAGGTTTTGTATAACAAACACAGCATGGTTACATAATTTTCTGCGTGAAAGGTTTCATAACACGGTCCGATCCGTCAATGCACACATAAGCGCTAATTTGTACTGCTGCTGATCACTACGATGGTGTTTCTCTTTAAACATGTACAAACAAGGTCACCAAACCAACATCATAACATCGTTGCATCGCGTGCGTTATTGGGAGGTACCGGTCTCCTTCGAAGCTTCGTCACGCTCTGCGATCTGCAAACGACGCACATACTTTCTCAGAGAAGCAACGTGTCGTTGAATATGGTAAATTAAATCAAATAATAGTTTTTAATGAACGTAAAATAGCTCGCGAGAGCTATTACAACAACCGGAATGCCTCTTGCTGAAAAGCCGTGAGGCTTAGCAAGGTCCCACGAACTGCCGCGAAGCGAAAGGTGCGTACTGTGCAACTCGATTTTTTTAAAGCGTGAGGGATAAAAAAAGAATGGGTCTTACGTTTTTCCTCGGATTTAAACCGCCTAGCAGTAAGTAACAATGCCGGTCGCACGTTTTTGGCGATTGACCTTCCTAGTACCGAAGCCATGCCGATCACTTTGCCCGTGTCCCGTGTGTCGGATCGGTCGGATCCTGAAGGAGATAGTAGCGTCGGAGTAAATGCAAACGTTCAATCAAAAAGACAAATATTTAAAAAAATACTTTTAAATTGACATCCACTTTTATTACAACTTTTTTTCTTCAATAATAGTGTTATTCAGAAAATTATTCATTTACATTTTGTCAGATTGTCTGCGATGCTACTCCTCCGGCCGGATGGGCGCCGCCATTAAGCCTTAATGCAAGCAGCGTTGTTGTTCATAACAGGTCTAGTCGAATAAAAAGCCACCTTCGCTTTCCAAAACTAGTTTTGGGCAGAGCAAAGAACGCAGCCATGGACAACCACATGGCACAAAAGACGTGGGAGTTGTCGAACAACGTTGAGACAATTCAGAGCGTCGACGATCTGTACAAATACAACAAGAAGCAGCAGCAGGATATTCTCACGGCAAAACCATGGGAAAAGGAGTAAGCATTTCCATAGCGCCTCAACGGCCGTCCTAAAAATGAATTACGACTCCGAGAACTCGCCTATACCCTGCAGCCCTAGTATATATAAACGAAAACCTTCGCCCGGCGGTTTCTAGTTGCAGTTGCAGGTTCAACGGCTGCCGAAGGCCAGTGTTCCCGGGATCGGCCGCTATTGCGCATGCTCAGTGCCATCCGGTTCTGGAGTGATTATTAGATTGACTTGTTTATTTATTCATATGCATGTCCAATAGCGGATAGCCATTGAACTTGGTTTATGTTTGTTCTTACCGCCTTGTTCAATGTGGGCAGTACCCTTAAATACAATAAAAAGAGCTCATTGGCCGATTTTCTTGTCACTTGTGAAAATCGACCAATTAGACTTTTACTAAATTTGTCGCGCATTTTGTCTTGAATCGGAGAAGTTAATATCAACCTATGGCAACAGGCCAACCTTTCTGCAACTAGCCAATCATTGATGATGGTTATTCCAGGGTTTGATGGTGCAGAAGAAACTGCTCCAAAAGTAACCTATCTTGAAACCGTGATAGTTTCTAATCTTCCTCGTCGACGAAGCCTTCTCGGGCTTTGTCGGCAGATAAGATGCTCCTCTCACCTGACTGATGACAGTAAAGCGCAGTTCAAATGGACACAGATTTCGCTTACTTGCGCCAAAACACGTAAAGAAATTACTCTTCTGGCGCACGTGCACGGAGTAAAATTTTACACTTCGGATGGCTATTGTGAAATCATAAGCATACTCAGAATACGAGTGCAAAAGGTAAAGGATATGCAGCGCAGCGGAAGCTGACGGCGGTACTTCTGCCATGGGTGTAATGCGGCCACTATTAGCCCCGAGAAGTTCGCGTGGCGCCCCCTCACGGCGAACCGGGGTGACGTCACGGCGAGGAGAGAAGTTTTCCCCGACTCGACTCCGCTCGCCCTGTGGAGGCTGTGACGACGCTAGCTGACGGCGCGCTTGTTTCTATTTAATTTTTTTTGGCATGTTTTTCGTAAGAAGTGTAAATTTTTATATGTGCCTTTATTGAGGTATGGCGTGTAGCTACAGACGAAACTTCAACCAACATTTGAAGCATGGTTGACAGGGCAGGCAACGCATGAATTACAGCTGGTTGCAGGAGCGTCATTATAGATTTACATCTCGCACAATAAATGCTGCTGAGAGCCTCAATGAATTAGCAGGTTATGTATACTATGATTTCTTGTATCTCTGTTTTTAAACAAGATCGCCGAAACAGAAAAGCTGCATGCTGCTCGAACAACACGAAAATTACAGTCTGGGCCATGGGGAGAGAACCATAAGTAAGGCAGCCCAAGTGCAGGGGCAAAGTAGAAAAACAAGGAACATTTATTATATGCATTGCTCGCATTAAACCTTTGCTGGATTCGAATAGTATTTAAATGGACTACACGGGCGGTATCGGTGGACTTGTTTATATCAACCCTCAAGTAATGTATAACAAACGTAAGCGAAGGTGTCTAGCTCGTTATTAGTCCCTTAAGCCCTAAAATTGAGATTTTACTTAAATCGAATTGTCCTGAAGCTAGAATATCATAAGCTTTTCTCACGCAGACTGTCGCCCTTCACAGATTTCACATTTTCTGCCCCTAGTGCTGCATCTACCACTAGACAGACGTTCGAATGCTTCCGTTTACTCCTGTTTTCTTTTGATGTCAGAGAGTCCAGCTGTAGGGAGTTTGGAGGCTGAGGAAGCTTTTGGGGACCTGCAGCAGTGTCTCGTTTAATTGGAAATGACAATTTTTCCATACTAAATGGTGTATTTTCCGAATACCCAAGGCTGGAATAAAGAATGTCAGGAAAAAGTATAAACATTCCAAATTGCGGCACTATTGCTGTGCATATTTTGGGCAGTTAAATACATATCATATGGGCAACTGGGGGCAATTCAGCCGTTTTTGCTGCTACCACACAAACCAATTTCCAGTAGTTGTGCATCCTCTAAGAAATATGCTTGCATACGTGTATAAACTATATAATTAATTCACGAAGAAGCTACATTTATGTAAAACAACCCTGTTCCACGAGCACTTCAAAGATCATCAGACGCAGGGCCTTTAATACATCTGCGAACCAGCGCATGCAGAGTGGCAGCGCAGAATCGAGGTTCATCGGCGGAATTGCCTCCGCCGATAGCTTTCAGGATTTGTAACCCAATTTTAAAGGTAAAAGGGACAAGCAGGCTTATAAAATGTACGGAAGCACGTCAATATCGGCCTAACTCAACGTCTTGTACATCGGCTAAACGAAGTCCAGCTCTTCGAAGAGCTTGCGGCACACAACGCCAAACCAGGAAACAGGTGCTGGAATGCGAGCCGATGCGAGCTCGCGGAGCGGAGTCCTCCGCCTGACGTCACGGTACACCTCACCCAATCAGGGCGCGGCGACCGCAGCGACGCTTGTGTTCGCTCTCGGGGCTAATAGGTGCCTCCGTTGTCAAGAAAATAGCGTGTCGTCCGCTCTGCGACACGGCGACCTCGGCAACGTTGATCGGTTTCATGCACGAAGCTCGGTGCTGATCAATCAGAATGACATCGTCGCAAGGTGGCAAAAGTACCTGCAGTACTTTGCATGATACGAGTCAGAGGGACGGAAAGGTTCCTACTTCCTGCTTCGTGTTGTCGAGGTTGACGGCAGGGCACGACAGTAACTTTGTCTCACGAAGCCTCTATGTATGACGATGGTAGGACGAGGCAGTCACTGCTTACCTGATTTACCACGAGTCTGATCGCAAACTACGAGACTTGGAATGAACACTTTGTTTCACAGATGTATTATTACTGTTCTGAAGGCATCATTTCAGTAGGCAACCTTCATTTAATAAAACCAGCAGATGGGTAGACGGAGTTTGGTGAGGCAGCACACTGATGGTGTCACTCGAGCATCTTGCTCAGCGTATAGCACCAATAGTGGTGACCACATTTTCACGCCACCTTGCAGAAACCACCGTGGGGAAAGCTCACACCAACGCGAGTTGGCGACAAAACTTGTCAGAGACATAGAGCAAATGAACAAACAGAAGCGTCACTGACGAACCTTCCTCCGGTTTTGACAGGCACTTTGTCTACACGTTCGACAAAGCGCGGAGGCATTGAACACTCGCCGGCAGCACAAGGGGCAAATTTTCACATTATCATGCAGAAATTCTCGTACACAAAAGCGGATATTGGCGGGACCACAGACGGTCTACTGACGTTACGTTTCATAGTTTTCGAACACGCCGCTCGGCAGCTGGTTGAAAGTGCCACCAATAGCAGCATTCGCGTTACATCGCACAGCGAAGTACTGTCTTCTCCGACCTCTTCTAATGGCGCCCGCAGCATCTTGGCCGCACCTGCACCTTCCTACGGCCGTATTTCTCGATATCGCTCCAGGGTAAAGGTTTTGCTCCTCGACATCCGAAAACCCACCCGCATCCAGTGTTGCTCTGTTTGTGTTCTCGCATTGTTTTATCTGCATACTTATTCATAGCTTAAATTCAGTCATGTCTCCCACACTTGTAAGCGGCAGCAACGGAAACACACACCCTTGTTTTTAGTTTTTCTGCACCGGAATACGCGCCTATGAAGCGCCTGTGCGTTATACGGGACGACTTTCACCAGTGTCGGTAATTGATAACGTCTACACAAGAAGTATTTTTTGCTCCTCTTATCGCTAAATTGCTCTTTGCTCACCGGCGGATCGAATAGACATACTGGAAAGACAAGATCACATCTGTTTTTGCAAACACATAGAAGAGGCCCGTGTTCAAAGCCACAGTTTGCACCAACTATGAATTCGAATGTTCTGTGTAACATCGTGTACGGGCAAACTGACATTGATCAGAAACTAAGGTCAGCCGGTACACGCCGTGCGAAGTGCTTCTGCTAGGAGCCGTACCGTGGCGCCACTGCCTCGTTGCACGCTTCCGATAGAGCCACCCGCGGTGGCAGAACTCTGACGCGCTGCCTCCCCCTTTTCCGCAGCCCGCACTACTTCAAGGACATGAAGGTGTCGGCACTCGCTCTGCTCAAGATGGTGATGCACGCCCGTTCGGGTGGCACCCTGGAGGTAATGGGCCTTCTGCTGGGCAAGGTGGATGCTAACACCATGCTGGTGATGGACTCGTTCGCGCTGCCCGTGGAAGGCACGGAGACGCGGGTGAACGCCCAGGCGCAGGCATACGAGTACATGGCAGCTTACACGGAGAGTGCCAAGACGGTGGGGCGGCTGGAGAACGTTGTTGGCTGGTACCACTCGCACCCGGGCTACGGCTGCTGGCTGTCTGGCATCGACGTCAGCACCCAGATGCTCAACCAGCAGTTCCAGGAGCCGTTTGTGGCCATCGTGGTGAGCTGGCGATGTGACGGGTGGAATTGGAGGGGCACTAAAGTGATTTCTTTAGATTTTTGTCCAATCATAACTCGATCTACGAGCTCTAAGCTTCCTTAAGGGGACACTGACACCCCCCAAAAAATTGTTTTTATTTTTTGCCAGGCAATTCATTATGGTGTCAGAAGACTTCCCAATCAATATTTTGTTACAGTGTCACATATATAACAAAGTCAAGAAACGCAACTGTTCAAAACCGAAACTGAACTGGGGAGGAAGAAGAGATTTAGACGAGAAAAATACCAAAAAAAAAGAAAAAAAAAAAAAAGTTCCGCAGCTACGTGATGTAGCTGCGGAACTTTTTTTTTTTTTTGGTTTAACATAGTTTAAGCTTTTTAGGAGCCACAAAAAATGGGTATAATATTTTTTGTCCATTTCTAGTATCGAGTGTGTGCCTTCAATGACTCACAACTTTGGTTATCTTTGGTGGTTGTGTCTAAACCATCAAAAATGGCATGTGACCACAAAAAAAGAGAGTGAGCGCAACTCAAACCTGCCAGTTCTCGATCCGGGGTTTTCAGGCGGAAAGAGAACGAATTTCGATCCGGAAATTGAGTTCTGGGTAGTTGGGCTCTCACATATCACCTACAGATGAAAACCCTGGTGAGCATAAATACCCTTTCAGTGTCCCTTGAAAACCCTGGAATTACATTTAAGTGCAGCCAATTTGTGCATTGAAAAGATGATCAAAGTTCCCGACACCTACCGTCGGCGCAGTACGATGGATAGCACTACCGAACCTTGCTGGATATGGTCGAACGATGGACGGTGTCTGTCAGCCACTCGAGAGATACGCAATCTCAAAAAGCATGCCCCTTTAGGGGGAGGGGGAGGGGGTGAGGCAATGGCTTCCCCGAGGCTCCCAAGGGCAACATTTTTTCATGGAAGAAACGTTTAGTTTTTGGCAAAGTGGCAATTAGTTCAACAAAATGGGTCTGGGCAACACTTTGCCCATGACATCTGATCTCTCTGCAGACCTCCCCCCAACCCCACAAGCCCAGCCCATAAATCCGCCCCTGATGAAACATCCCGAGTGGGTCCCTTCTGTAACTTAAGGCTGGTTTCCGCATTCTTTATTTATTTAGTTACAAGTACTCACTGCTGCCCATATAGGGCAGGATTACAGCAGGTGTAGGGTGACGAGACGTCCCGTTTCGGCCAGGACAATCCCGTTATAGAGATTAACTTCTGCCGTCCCTTCTTTTTCATTTAACGAAGCCTCGTGTTCCATTTTCGCGGGAACATGCATAGTTGCAAAATCAGTGCTGAAGCAGTGATGGGATCGGTTTGAGTCTTGCACCTTTTGGAGCAGCTAAAAGTCTATTCTGGAGCCTAAGTTTACCCTTTATTTAAATTCATACCACTGCAAATGTCATTCGTTAAGGTTAATCTGTTGGCCTGTCTATAAGGAGCAGGGGTTTCCCCAGGAATTGAAATTAGGGGGGGTCTAAATTTTTAGGGGGGGGGGGGGGAAGGGGCATTGAGAAGAGAGGAGTCGTTGCAAATTAAGGGGGTGCCTTCAGAAAAACAAGCGAGGGTGTACACGTGCCCTAGGGGGGTGTAGGGAAATCACTGATCGAGAGACATTGTCTGCTTTGCCTTTCCACTTATGTGCAACTATTTGTTATCACCAATTGCATGCTTAATTCCCTCAAACACAGAGCTAGCTGCTGCATGTAGAAGTGCCAAGCACAACAGCACTATGCTGAATGATGAAGGACAGCATGAACTGCTGAGAATGGTTATTCTTGCTACACAGCTAAAGGTAAACCAAATAGTATATTCCACAGAAATCATGTTAGAACAGTATAATATTGAGCACCCAAGTTGATGTTTCCTTGAAGTCCTAATGGTTTTAATAGAACTGGAATTTTTAATTCAGGGGAAAACAAAGCTTTTGTCATTTTATTATTAACATCAATGACAATTCATATGTAGGACTTTATGATAACAAAAGTCAACACTTTGAACGATGCATATGCCTAAGAAACAATTCAGTCAAACTCACCAAGCCCCAGGTTTCCATTCCAAGTTTCCATTCACTCCTCCAGCTAATAGAGCTTTAATTTACTCCGTTCACTGTGCCATTGTACAGATATAGCCTATGTAAAAATAATAACTAAACCAGAGAGATGGCATAAAAAAAAAATAAGATTATAAAGAAGTTTATATAAATCATGCCGCAATACACAAATATCCTTGCTAAATCTGAATTTGAACCAAAAATATCAAAATATTGCAGTCTATCATATATACTACCCTCCTAGTTGTTGTTGCGTTTCCTTTTCAGAATTTTAGTGCAAGGTGCAAGGTAGAATTACATCAACACTTACAAGGTTCCCTTTTTTTTCTTATTTTTTTTAATATACCCTTTGTGTTTTCCCCTTAGTATCTGGCTGTGCTGTGGCGAAGCGTGACAGAAAAAATTCCAATGCCTACTCCGCAGTTTCCGCTTCGCTGCATTGCACCAGTGCGCGGTGAGAAGCACACTCATCGAAGCTGCCTAAACCACCAGAACAGACCACAAACAAAGAATATTGTGCAACCTCCGAGTACTGTCAGCATTTGATGCAGTGATCAAATCGAGTAGTATGCTACTCAAATCAAAGTTCTGAAAATTTGGACAAGCCTACTATAACAATCTGTTCCTTCAGCGGTTCTTCAGCTGTTATATTTTCAGTATTAATAAAGCGAAAATATGTTTTGGCACAACGTTGGCACAAATTCAACACGTTTAGTCGAAATGTTGCAGCTGATGTTTTGTTTGACGCAAAAGTTTTGACGCAAATGGCGCAGCAGTCACATCACTGCTGAAGCGAATGGAAGAAATGTTTACTTATTACAGATGTAATGTTATAATGAAGCATGCTGTTTAGTTGCATCTACTGATATATTTTGTTTACATATTTGTGTGTGCTGGAGACTTCTATATTACTGAATTTTATGTCCTTCGGTTGGCAGCGTTTCTTCCCCATCGTTTAAAAATGGAAAAGCACTTGCGTTTTCAACGAAGAATTCTAAAAATATGTCCATGTTTACGTTCATGTGAATTCTAGTCAAGCTTTTTTTTTTCTGTTTTGCTCCCACTTATTTTTCTCTGTTTTTTACTCTGAGGATTATGGTCACCCTAAACACGTGTGATAACATGAAGTTTTCATATGTGTCAGCATTTAGGTATTCAACAAGCAATGATGGTAAGCAGTTCCGCCGTTCAAAAGTATTTGGGAGAAACAATTTTTGCAATAGCTTACTAGTTCTGGCAACCTATAGGCGTACAACTTTGGAGCAATTTAATCCTGGCGATCTCTGCAGTGTTTTAAACCACTTGGCAGGACAGATATGTTATCACAGAATGAGTAGAGAAACTCGGGCCTGGCAGTTGGCCAGCAAAGGCAGAGCAGCTCCAGTTCCAGCAGCTTTAACGTATAAGTTACTGGCGACGAGGAGCTGCTATGATAAACCTAACAGCGAGACACTGGCTCCGCTCCACTCCTGCAATGTCTTTGGTGAAATATGGATCCCAGACAAATGAGGTGTACTCTAGGACTGTTCGAACTAGAGCGCCATGTGCTCCAAGTTCATCGTTGGAAGGACCACCTAGGACGGGAGACCACACTGGTGCCTTCTATCGTCGTGGTCCTCAAATATACCTCTTGATAATGTGTGTAGATTTTATCTCGTATACTGTCAATCCTTTGGCAAAGTCCTTCAATATACTACTGGTAACAAAACTGTCAAGAGTTGTCACAAGGTGCGCCACTGCCCTTAATTTTGTTTGGCCGTTCCGCTTCGAGTAAGCCAATCCAAATTTGTAATTACTACAAGTAGTTCCTTTTTTTTTGTTTTAATGATCTCTCGTACACGGACATTTTGCGGTGCTTATAGTTGATCGCTGTGTACAGGCTCCAGTCATTCTTTATTGATTTCTGAGAACAGGATTTCAAATAAGCTTTTTTCATTTGTTTTCAAACAGAGGAACGCTTTTCCAAGCGAAAAAAGTGAAAGCCGTTTACAACTCCGTGTAACGCCGAATTGGAGTGCAGCTCTTGAGGAGGAAGAGGGAAGGGTACTGAGGGGAGAGTAAACTCCTCCTCCTTCTCCTCCCCCTCCCCTCATTCTTGAATATGCTCCGAGGGGTTCACCTGACCTCGGGGGGGGGGGGGGTCCCGTGACCTCGCGGTGACGGCGACGCTGACGCTGTTCAAGCCGGAAACGGGCGCCTAAGAGCTGCGCTCTAAAAGACCTAGACACTGGAGTGTAAGGATTCGCAGTACCCTCTCTCTATGGCACTGTTCATGGGGCCGAAGTTTGACGGCAACGGGGGTATCGAAATACCAGTTAGAAGAAAGAACAAAAATAATATTATCTTGGAGATTGTTGCAGATGTGGAAGTTTGAGCAGTTTATAGACCATTCCATTTAGCGCTCTCTGGGCGGCACCATTTTGTTCGACCGCAGCGCCCTCTCCACACATCCGGGAAGTTCCGCAGGGTTCGGCGGAGTAAAACGAGAGAGAGGGCACGCGCCGACTCCGCTAGCAGACGACAAACCGGGACGTTGCCGTTCTCCATCTTTGGGCTGTATCGGCGGGCAGTACGGAACATCGAACTCTCGCTCGTGGCTGCCGTTGTGAAGTGGTTTGCGTTCTTAGAATAGTTGTGGCTACTCCAAAATCAGCCTATAGCTCTCTGTTGTTCTATTTCGCTAAATGATCAACTAGCATATCTTTTTTCCGTTACTTAAATAGCAGTTGAGTCAGCCGGCAGTACTACCCTCAACTACTGCATGTATTGCGGCAGGAGAGCACGTTTTATTTATTATTTCAGACTTCCACTCATGGTCGCTAAAGGCCCACACCAGTACGAACTTTTGTATAGTAAAAAAGGTACAGCAACCGGATTTACTCTTCGCCAAAGAGACCGGCCAATCTGAAACAGTTTTCCTGTTGTTTTTGTTTTTTATTTGCACGCAGGTAACAACGCAATTGGACCCTGTGGGTCTTTATCTAGCATAATATTACACGACAACTGGCATACCAAAATCTGCGCATCTGCGCTTGAGAGTTCCAAAATTACGCGATTTTAAACAGAGTTTGCACGCCAGCCGGCCGCTAGCTACAGCCCACTCGGCGGAGCGGTCGGCTTGCGGGGGAGAGGGGGAGTGCATTTTTTTTCTCTTTTACCCTCTCTGCTATGACCCTAATGGAACGGTGTATACGTCGCAGCAACTTAAGGGTGGCTCACTAGGAGAAGGTTGGAAATTCCAACACACTCCTAACAACATGGGCTCGATCGACGACTCTTAACCCTCTCGTCGACGCCAGCGCCACGCGTGGTCACGTACCAAGCTTTCTCTCGTAGCGTTACGGAGAAGATTCGCAACTACTGTCGAGACCGGTTATAACGAAACAGCGGCTACAGCAAAGCGATCACGATTTCCCATTCCCTTCTGTACTTAGTTATAACCGAAGTCAGTTATAACGAAATCGCAGGTATAGCGAAGTAATTTCCAACCCCCGTTGACTTCGTTATAACAGGTCTCGACAGTATCAGCGTATCGAAGGAATCTGTCTTTTAGTCTAGTTGTACGCAGTTCCACGGTTAACCGACAGCTGTCACCAGTGCGTTTTGCCGACCTGTGGCGCTCGCCTTAGCTGTACGCAACCACAAGAGATCACCGTGCACTCGGTCGAAGTGAAACACAAATGTATAGACCGGCCTCCAGGCACATCCTTTCTGACGCAGTATGCTTTTGATAGAACTCGGCGGCACATTAAAAAGGGTGCCCCCTACGCCTAAGTGACCCTGCAGTAGCATGAAAACACGATAGTAAGCCGCTATAAACTCTCTTTTACCGTAACTTGGCAAACAGCGAAGCCCCAGTGTGCCGAGCAGGGCATCAGATTGAGGCACGCGAGCGTGTCGAAGTGCTCTCTTGCTGCGGAGAGCCGACGCATGCGTAGTTTCTTTGCTCCCATTGGCCCGAAGGGGCCGTAGCTTCCACCTTAAAGGGGCACTGACACATCACAATCATATTTTTTTTTATTATCCGAAACGATTGAAAACGATGCCGAGACATTACCCTCAAAATTTGAAATTTGGGAATTCAGTATTTGTGAAGTAAAAAAACAATTTCCAAATGCTGAATTCGAAGCACCCGCGTGATCCGCGCCGGTGCATTGACGTCAAATATTGCGGAGACCTGAGAGTCCACTTTCTTTCACGACTCCCTGCTTTTGCCATGGCGACCCAAAGCAAGGGGGAAAGGAGCCAGCGCTGGCGGACCGGTTTTGAGCGGTGTCGCCTGTTTTCCGTAAGAGTATACAAATCCAGGAGACGGCACCACAACAAACTCCCGATTTTTGGCATTTCAAAAAGAAGGGCCGTAGTGCGTTCGCAATTGCGTTAAAAAACATGGTTTAGGATTGCCGTTATTAAATGTTATAGAGATGTCGCCTGCAAAGCCTCTAAATTTCGTGATTCTTGACGTCACGAATCAAAAGAAGCGAGGAGGCGAGAGGCGGAAGATTCAAACAACAAAAATAAAAAGGCGCATCGTGAAAAATTTTTTTTTCATGATGCGGTTTTTTTTGCGTGTCTATGACTGCAACTTGCATCGTTTTAGACAATAAAAAAAAAAAAACGACCTTTGGGGTGTCAGTGCCCCTTTAAGGCGAAGTGTGGTACAAAAGTTGTGTCGTCCCTGTACTCGCCTGTCGCCACGTAAAACTAGAAAAAGAAAACTTTCTTTGCTAGTTTTGAAATCTGCCAGTATCTGTACCAAGAAAGTCCTTTGTTCGATAGGACGATTAAGAGGAAAGGAAAAGTCGCGCCGCCGCCGCAAGACTGACATTATTCCACCGTTCCAGATCGATCCCGTCAGGACCATCTCGGCGGGCAAGGTGAACCTGGGGGCCTTCAGAACCTACCCAAAGGTACGGGAATGGCTTTGGTTTTTGTTTACCTGTTGTAGTATAATATACCTCCGTTGAACCTTGTCTGGTCTATTGCATTAGCTTTCTTTTATCTAGTGCCATATTTTCCGGACTACAAGTCACACTTGAAGCTCATGTTTGCTTCTCGCGCGAGAGTTGCAGTGACGTCGGAATGACGCCAAGCTGCGATCAGCTTTGATTGAAAGGATAGTGGGCAGACCTCAATGTGAGATGCCTTGAGGTCTACGCACCGATTTTTCCAATCACCCAATAAGAGCTTGGCATCCTGACATCATTACAACCCCTGCGCAAGAAGCAAACAAACTTGTGCTTTGCATTGAGCCGTTTTCGCTGAAAAGTAGGTATATAAGTAGCATTGTTGTACAAGTTACACCTCTTTGCATACTTCACGCTATGATTTTTTCTTTTTAACACGTTGGTATTGCGAAATTTGGAGTTTCGCACAATCAGCCAGTTTACACGTACCGTTTGCAACAACTTTGACTTTTCGACTCTCGAGAAATGCCCATTGCACGGTGCTGTTTGGCGGGGGAAATCAAGTGTTTCGCAGCAAAAGGACATACAATGTGCCAAGTGAGAAGGCAATCAGCTTTATTAAAGCATGCACACAATAAATTAATAATAATAATAATTTTTTTTTATTTTGCCAACAATATACAGTTGGAAGGTGAAAAGCGAAAATTGCTCCCTACATTTATGCCCGGTGACGTAAAGTCCCGAAACTTTGGCATCTAGTCCAAACCACCGGTGTTACGTGTGGACAGTTACTGAGTGTTTGGCGATGCAGTTTATTTTTGCATCGAGGAGGAACGTGGTTTTCTTCTCTCCGAAACACCCGGAACTCTGTTGCCATTTTGGGGTGTACCTCAAAGTATGGGGTACAACAAAGGCGCAAGTCGGAAATGCGTCTCCGGGCACCATGCTTATGGGCACCTTTCCGGTTGTCCAGGGCTACAAGCCGCCGGACGAAGGGCCCGCCGAGTACCAGACGATCCCCCTGAACAAGATTGAGGACTTTGGGGTGCATTGCAAGCAGTACTACTCCCTGGAGGTGTCCTACTTCAAGTCGTCGTTGGACCGCAGGCTCCTTGACTCCCTGTGGAACAAGTACTGGGTCAACACCCTCAGCTCCTCCAGCCTCCTGACGGTACGGTGCTCAGCCAATGGGCTCCGTGCTTCGCACTGTCTTTGTTGGCGGAGGGGGTGGTTATCAGCAGTCAAGCGCATTGGCACGCCGCAGCTCTGACCACGTGGAGCAAAAGCTCGCACTGCAGGGGATCCTGGGTTCAATCCCCACCCCTGCCCGTTTCGAGCTGGATGAGAATTGCACCGGTGTGCAGTCGTGTATCACTACTGTGTGATGAGCAGTATAGACCACAAACTAGCGGCAGCAATGCGCCGGTCAAAATTTCTCGTCTACGGCGGAGATGCGGGCCGGCTGTCGGATCCCGGGAAATTGGCACCAAGCTTCCCTTACTATCGCTATTTTGGTTCACGAAATGAGCAGTTTCCCTCTTCTCGGCAAGCCGATCCGAATTCGCAGCGAACTGGCCGCTTCATAGACATTTCTACCGTACTTGGATTTTGTTATCCGTACATCGGCGAAAGAAACGCGCATCTTCGCAGCTGCCACCACATGCGGCGTCAGTGCTTGGCAACATTGAAAAACAATCTTCCTTCTCTGTATGTGTGAGAACTATACGATTGTTTCTTTAAATTACCCGAGACTGGGGCAAGAAAACTATGAAGCCTTAAAACATGGAAGAGAAAGGCAAAGTGATAGGAAGACAACGTCTCGAACATAGCTAAAAGGTTTATTCGGTTCTCTCTCTTATATACCTCCACTCCCAAGGTCGCCAGCCCCCGCACGCATAGCCTCCGTTTTCCAAGGACACAGACTTTCTTTTTTAAACTTAAACCGCAGACACGCACAAAAAAAAAAAAATGTATATATATATATATATATTTCTAGGCGACAAATGTATGTTCCAAAGGGGCAAGGAAAAGGAGGACTTGAACAAAGGGACACACACAAGAGAGATCTATGGGAATAAGCATGGTTGATAATTTGATAGCGTCCGTTGCAACAGTGCTCCATCACTATCTTGGTGCTTCTGGTTTAGGACGACCCTTTCGAAGCTTTGACCAAAATGGCGATTGTCATGGCAGCAGAGACGGATCAGCCAATCGCCTTAACGAGGTTTTGGTCGTCTGTACGTTGGTGTCTGTTTTTGTCCAGTTAGCGGGCAGAGAAAGAAATAGTGCTACTTTCCCAGGGTGCAGTGTCGTAAAATCTGGCCAACTTCCCACTTGCATATGCCCAATTCAATTAATGTACCATCTTTCTTGATGCCACCATTTGGCTGTGTTTGGGACATGCATCAACGACACGATGCGCTACTGTGAGGAACAGAAACTGTACTCCGTGTCAGCATAAAAGGCCACCGAGGCAGACGTGGAAGTTTAAGTTTTGTTTAAGCATGTTGCGGAGGTATACCAGGCAATACTGACCAAGTTGCACTCCAAATAGGCAATACTGACCAAGTCGCACTCCAAATAAGCAATTCTTTGACCATCAAATTAATTGGACAGTCAATGAACCTACCGTACTAACAATGTTACTTGTGGTGCTGCGCTTGTCGTACACCTGCCATCCCTAGTCACGTGTGCCGAGGGTAACAGATGTGGTGTTTTCTTCCTCTTACACACACACACATGCTCTCACAAAGTATTTATGTGAAAGTTTCCTGAAGGACTAAAACTAGGAAAAGCAAAACACAATTTTCGTAAAACATTTTGAATTGTCTTCTGTGTCGCATCAAGCACTGGTGCACCAGCAACTATAGTCCGTTGCAATTCAAGAAGGTAGTGCGAGGGAGAGGAAGGCCGGGGATGCCCTAGACGTCGTCCTTGATGTCGTCCGAGAGGTTATCCTCGAGGTCGTCCTAGAAGTCATTTTTGAGGTCGTCCTCTAGGCGTTGTCCTCGAGGTCGTTCTAGACATCGTCCTTGAGGTCGTCCTAGACGTCGTCCTTAGGCGTCGTACTTGAGCTCGTCCAAGAAGTCGTCCTTGAGCTCGTCTGACCATAGTACAGCTTCGCTGGTCTTCCTTCTTTACCGGAGTGGAAAGGCCGAAAGTTTTTTTTTATGTCACCTCCCCAAGGTCGGCGCAAGGCAAAGACTGGACGCGAGGGCTACTTCCACTATCAGCTTGCTGTTCGAAAACTAGACATACAGCTCTGTACCGTGCACAGCTTCCTCTAGGTGGTATTGAAAATCCAGCACTCAAAAATATTTTCAGAAAATTCAGGAGGGGTAGAATGCACTAGACTTGCTAGCCATGTTTTCTGCCTCCATCTTTCAAGGGATAGTGAAAAGAAAAGTGAAATATATGCCTTATATTCAGAAATGAGTTAAACACAGTCACTGACAACCGCTCATTTGTATTTTGAACCGACGGCTATAGTTTTCGTTCCAAACGGCCGAATCCGGCGAGTGCTCGAAGAGCAGCTATCGGAGAGCATGACATGTCTAAAGAGATGTGACGTTGCGGTAGACTCCCTATGCCTACACTTTCTCTCCGTTTTCCTCCTCGTAGAATGCAGAATACACCACGGGACAGGTGTTCGACCTCTCGGACAAGCTGGAGCAGTCGGAGTCCCAGTTGGGCAGGGGTGGCTTCGTCCTGGGGCTGGACCCCCACGAGAAGCGGACGGAGGACAAGCTGGCCAAGGCCACCAAGGACAGCTGCAAGTCCACCATAGAGGTCATCCACGGACTCATGTCCCAGGTCATCAAGGACAGGCTCTTCAACCAGGTCAACTGCACCCAGGACCTCCAGTGAAACCTTACGTCCTCGACTGCCATCTGTTCTTTTTGTTTTTTCTAATCGCAGGTTCCGCAAGACCTGTAATTCGAATTGCTTCGAGGAGAGCTTCTCCGAATAAAGTCGGACGTGTACGACAGCCACGACGTGCTGTTGGGATCCTGTGTTCAGAATGCCTTGACCCATAGCGTAGATTGTTGCCCCCTGCCACGCGTGCGTGCTCAAGGCTTGCTAGAAAGCTTGTGCTGGAGGTGGAGCATCTGAAACACCTCCCTGCTGTTGCCGTCCATTTGGTATGGCAGCTTGCAGTGGAAAACCTACCTGGAGCCCCGGTGGTTAGGTGGTGCAAGCTATTAACAGATGCAAAGGGTGTAGCATCCAACCATCCATTCATCTACCTGTCAAGCCACACTACTGAACGCTCCTTCCTTTCTGGTACGGTACTCGAAGTGCATCTCCAAACGGTGTGTTTAGCGCCCCGTTCCACCCGTGCCCCAAAAGTGTTCCTGAGATGGCAACAGATGGTGTCGCAAAAGTTGCAGCAGGATAGGCGTTTTCTGCGTCCACCACCGCTGCTGCGACACCGCCAGGATCGCGACCGGCGCGACGCTTTTTTTTGACGTCGCGCAACTCTTTTGGATACGGTAAACACACTTGTCGGGGATGCGTTTTAGGCACCGTACTTCAGGTAAGCCGCATTCTGCTGTTCCGACAAACTACTAAGCCAGAAAAGGTGACAATGACGATAAAAGTTCAGAAACATGGAGCGAAACTGCAACATGGAGTGCACATTCTGGGTTAGGGTCAAAATTCCCAAGGAGTTGTGTCCACAATTTCAAACGTTCTCTCTGTGTCGTTCCTGCGGCTGCGACTGGAATCAAGAGAGACGGAGTGCATTCTGAATGTCGCTGCGACGTCGATGTCATGTGCGTCGCCCTTTCAGTTACGAAGAGTCACAAATTTCAACTCTAGCGTGCTGAAATGAAATACTCTAATACATCCTTACCCAGAAATTGTGATCAGAGGGTATTTGTAAAGCTTATAGCATTTGCTAGGGGAATATTTGTGGCTAGTGATTTTCACAAGAGCTGTCAATCATCGCGCTCAAGGTCATTAAAACTTTCGGCCAATGACGTGCCCTTATTTTTGCCCTATTCTTACCAATGACCATGCTCTACATATACAACTCTGGCGATGGGAAGACGTGCTGGCGCCCTTTATCAGATAGCAGTGAAATACCTCTGATCGTCGTTTAACTAAACTCTACGCTTTGCAGTATTTGAGAGATCAAATCTGCACGGTAGAAGAAAGGGTTGCTTGTAACATTTTTATAATATTTAAAACACTTTAAAACAATGACGAAAAAAAAATTGGAAATGTGCATTGAGGTGGAAAAAGTTCTGAGTGACCCGACAGGCGAAGCCCAGCATGTTCTCTCATCGCGAGTGGTTACAAGCGAGCCCAACGCACTCCCTCACGCTTGGTGCAAATGCGTGAGCTAACCTTCGTTCTCACCACTGCTGTGCATTACAGGAAAAATTAATTTAACTGACTACTTTTTAGCTGTTCAACGAAGCATTCGAGTTCCGGCTCACGTTGCAAATCGCAAACATGTACTTCAGTCAACCGACGCAATCAATGCCGTCTACCATCCTGTCCAGTGTTGCCAATGTGATTATCATCCTATCCATTGTTGTTGTGGTTTTCCCGCTAAATTTATTGGTTTTCCGAGTTGTCTAGCGGTAGAATTTGCAGCTGGCGGGATTTTTTAGCAGTCTCCAAGCCGTGTCTGTGTTTGTTCTGGCGGTCCAAAATGATCTCCTGTTTACATTTATCGGTCTTAAATAGCTTGATTTCGGCGGCAAGTTTAGAGTTGTATTGGCGGCGTGCACAAACTACAAGGGGCACTTCTTTATACTCCGCGACTTTTCTTGGCGATGCAGTGGAAGGTACAGGCCCGCGTTCCCTCTCCCATTTTGAGTGTATGCAGGCTCTCCTCCTCTCCCCATTTCCGGGGAGAGGAGGAGAGCCCGCGCACACTTAAAATGGGAGAGGGGACGCGGGCCTGTACCTTCCACTGCATTGCCAAGAAAATTTGTCGCGAAGTATAGCTATCATCGTTGTTTATGATGTCACAGGTAGGACAGACCACGCAGATCTTGGGTGCATCGGCTTGGTTCACTTCATGCGTTGTTCAGGTAGCGCAGGGCAAAGCCTGTTACACGAGTCGTGTCTATTTGGTGAAAAGATGTTTGTAGTAGTAGGACATCTTACCAAAGCTTGAAACTGCGGCACGCATAGTCGTGCTAACAAACACTTTTGGCGCTGAGGTGTCGAAACATGCTGTTCTCTACCCCAGTACAAAAAGCTGGATGATGAATATATAATATCCAGCGCTTTACCCCACTACAACACCTACCACGCCAAACAGTTTGTATTTTATAAAATGATCTGGACAAGATAAATCTAAGGATTGTCTCATCAAATTGAAAATAGGCAAGCAAAATTCGAGAACCTCTCGTGCATGCAGTAAACACTTCAGTGAAAGCGACTGTGTATCCTGTTGGTTCCAATGTGTCTTGTAAGTGCTGACCTCTTATTAGTTCAGAGTTTATTCCTTTTCGAGTTTTGTAAACCAGTAAACAAACATTTTCTTGAAATAACTGGTAGGAAGAAGCGTTAACGCTTCTGGAGTTGTTTCAATTAAATCCCAGGTTATACACTCGGTCAACGCAAAACGTGCAAGACCCCCCTCGCAATTGGAAGTTTTAAACCTAGCAAGTCGGTGACACTTCAGTGCACCAAAAATTGAGGTATACACCTATGAATTGCTACCGTTTGTATGTTTAATTTTTGCGGACCCAAATGCATACAATGTGTGATGCACTCCATAGCGAGCGAATTGATATTTGTAAACTATTCGTGGTAAAAATTGGATGGAACAAATTAATCTATCGCCTGACTTTGCTGGGCAATGTTCGACAGTTTAAGACTTTATGAAAATTTTTGCTTTTCTTTCGAGCAGAAGTTGCAATGTGACGAACTTTGCCACGTATTCGATGCGGGAGGAACCAAGCGTTGGTTGCTGACATGCTTTTGCTCGTCAGCAACTGTAGTCACACTTAGAAGCATCCGTATCGGCAAGCTCAGTGTAACTAAAACAAGTGAGCAGCGCTCTGCAACACAACTGTGCGTGGATGCACAGCTAAGAGAGCATGCATAAACATAGCTGGCCTTGCATTTATTCAATATTCAATAAACAAGTGTAACTCTGCTCCTTGGTTTCTCCATGCATTTATGTGTTTCTTTTATGTCTTGAATATATCAAGGGCACTTTTCGTCGTTGTATGTGGTCCCCAATAATTGAAAACATGCAGATGAATGAACCATACTTGATTGAGTGAATCAAAGTTTTACGAAACCGCCGAAAGCAAGAATAAACGGTGGTGCCAGGATTTGAACTCTAGGTCTCCCACTGTCCCGGCAAGTGTGCAGACTATTCTCGCAGATGATGATGAAACTGTGTCTCTAAAGCTAATAAACAAAAATAATACATGTACACGTGACGAGACAGACAGCGAGAGGATTTCTGGTGCACAACGAGCATGTACCACATGCCAGCATGCATCGTACCGTGTTCCACACAGCGGCGTGTGTTTCCAGAACACCTCCGATCGGATACATTTTGTTCCTTGTGGATTAATAAGACAGGTAGGAAACACCAGAAAGTCAAAAGGTGGAGTGGTTAGCACACCCGCCCGGACAGTGGGAGGCCCAGAGTTCATATCCTGGCTCCGCCGTTTATTTTTACTTTTGGTGGTTTCGAAAAATTTTGATTCATTCGATCAAAGTATGGTTAATTCATCTGCATATTTTCTATTATTTTATGTGTCGAACACATAGTCAATGAACAGGCCCGGTACAGTCTGCTTGACCACAAACCACATGAGAGCTGGCTTGCCGGCGAGTGTAAATTGGATTTCCCACAATATCTGCCATTGGTACATTTGCTTCAGTTGACCAAAATCTGCAATGGATGAGAAGAAATAAAACACAGTAGAAGTTGGAACCGCCCAACTTCATTTCCGAGAAAGAAGGAAACAGAAGTCTGGTCACACATTTATTGCCTGCAGACACTGAGAAAAGTGAGGAAAGTAAAACAAATCATCACAATGAAGGTATGTTTGCAAGTGTGTTACACAATTCTAAAAGAAAATACTTTAGGCAACAATGCAAAGAACTCTAATCCAAACAGAAGCATGGCTGAGTTTGGATTCCTTGAGACATGGCTGCTCTGACCCATCTCATTAAAAAGCTTAACAGAATGTTTGCCATCAGGGCTGACCAGCTGCTTGACCACTAGTGGCTTCAAATCATCCTCCACTTCCCTATACCTTTATGTACACAAAAACGGTTGCGTTCCAACGAAAGGCTTACGTGCAATGCCAACACTACTCATGTTTTGCAGGCGTGGTTTGTTGCACGTGACCAACCATATTGGCAGTCCAAATATGTTCTGGCACACTGCTGACATTTGAAATGCCTATTCCCTGCCAGTGTCGTTGCATGCTTGCCCTTTGTTTTTGTCAACCTCATCTGTTGGTTTTTCACCCACGTGTGTTTCAGTGACCAACGAGACTGCTATTTCTAACAAAGGCTTTGGGTCATTGCTTGCACTTGTAAGGTCTCTCACCTGTATGCATTTGAATGTGGACAGTCAAGGATGAACACCGAGTGAAGGATTTGGAGCACTGCTCGCACTTGTAAGGCTTTTTGTCCATGGTTCAGCTGCGGATGCTGCATTTTTAAGGTTTCTGACCTACCGTATGTACTTTCGATTGTGGAAAACTAGGCTTTTATTATATGATCAAAAGCTTTGGGATATTGCTCACATTTGTAAGGCTGTTTGCCTGTATGCATTTGAATGTGGAAAGTCAGGTCTGCAGGCTGAGTGAAGGCTTTAGGGCATCACTCACACCTGTAAGGTTTTCACCGGTGTGAATTCGAATGTGGTCAGTGAGTTGTGCAAGCCGAATGAAGGCTTTGGGGCATTGCTTGCATTTGTAAGGTTTTGCACCTGTGTGCAGCCGCATGTGATCAGTTAAGGCTGAGAGCCAAGTGAAGGCTTTGGAGCATTGCTCGCATTTGTAAGGTTTCTCACCTGTATGCACTCGAATGTGGGCAGTCAGGTTTGAAAGACAAGTGTAGGCATTGTTGCATAGCTTGCATTTATAAGGTTTCCCAGCTGTATGCTTACGAATGTGGACAGTCAGATCTGAAAGCCGAGTGAAAGTTTTGGGGCATTGCTCGCACTTGTAAGGTCTTTCGCTTATGTGCATTTGAACGTGGCGAGTGAGGTGTGCAGGCTGAGTGAAGACTTTGAGGCACTGTTCACATTTGTAAGGTTTTTCACCTGTGTGCGTTCGAATGTGGTTGGTTAAGGTTGAGAGCCGAGTGAAGGCTTTGGAGCATTCTTCACATTTGTAAGGTTTCTCACCTGTATGTGCTCGCATGTGGACAGTAAGGCTTGAAAGACAAGTGTATGCATTAGTGCATAGCTTGCACTTATAAGGTTGCTCAGGTGTATACTTACAAATGTGGACAGTCGGATCTGAAAGCCGAGTAAGGGCTTTGAGACATTGCTCACATTTGTAAGGTTTTTCACCTTTGTGCATTTGAATGTGGCGAGTCAGGTGTGCAGACTGAGTGAAGGCTTTGAGGCATTGCTCACATTTGTGAGGTTTTTCACCTGTGTGTGTTCGAGTGTGGTTAGTTAAGGTTGACAGCCGAGGGAACGCTTTGGAACATTGCTTACATTTGTAAGGTTTCTCACCTGTATGTGCTCGAATGTGGACAGTCAGGCTTGAAAGACAAGTGTATGCATTGGGGCATAGCTTGCATTTATAAGATTTCTCAGCTGTATGCTTACAAATGTGGACAGCCAGATCTGAAACCTGAGTGAAGGCTCTGAGGCATTGCCCACACTTGTAAGGTTTTTCACCTGTGTGTTTTTGAATGTGGTCTTTTGCGGTAGAGCAATTCTTAATGGTTTTGGGACACTCCTGAGGTCTCTGTACATAAATCCCACAGAGCTGCTTTTCTAGGTGCATTCTTGGAGACGTGGGGCACTCTAACTTATTTCCTTTGTCCTTCTCAGTGTTGCTGTGCACTTTGGACCTACAGCCAGATAACATGGGAGTATGCTGGCACTTGAATTGTTCTTCATCACCATGGGCAACCAGGTGGCTCACAATTTCATGCTGGTCTCTGGTGGCATGGGTGCAGGAATAGCATCTGAACCAGATCTCATTGGTGGCTTTCAGTAGGCAGCTGGTCTCCTCTAATAGTGCAGCACCAACACCTACAAAAAGAACCACATCTGTATAGGACACCCAAGACAGTCACTTCGTTTAGAAATTAGTAGTCATATTTTGCATGATACTGCAATTTGACAGGTCCAGCGGTGTGATATTTCGTTTATTTTGGTTCTTGAAGTACTAATAATTACTTTGAACAGGTTGTTAGTTTTAACCCGCTAAGTCCAACAGCCAAAAATGCAGAAGGGGAACATGGTAGGGTAGGCCCTTTCCTTCTTTTTTTTTTTTGATGGAATGGTATAGAAGCAGTGTAGAAGTGTGAAGTGAAGAAACCCCTAGTTCTTAAAGGAGCCATGAAATTACTCTAACTTCTTCCTTAGCTTTCCTGCTGAACTCACAAATTGTGCAGCATTACCTGCTGAGCAATGTACAGGGTGGTGGGGCCTAGTCAGGTAAATCTGTTTACCTTTTGCCCCTCCACCTGAGACTCCAGGAGTCCAAATAAAGATTATTATTATTATTATTACCAAAGGTACAGGGGCGAGGGCATACCGCTAGCAGTTTAAGAGGAGGGGAAGAGGGAAAGAAGGAACTGCCCCCTTGCTTAGGCTCTCCTTTGTGTACCCCTTTGTGTACCCGCACGTCGCAATTCTCCCCCTAGAAGATTAGTAAGTCCTCAAAATTCGAACAGAAGTTGTTTTCCCTCCTCTCCCGCCCCTGGCTTCTGCAGTACTGTGCACAACAATCCTCCATTCACCCCTAAGCTGACAGTGCTGAAGAAGCGATAGGCATGTTGGGTCAGTCATACTTCTGTCTTTCGCCACGTGATCACGCTCCCCTGCACACACCCACACGTGTGGGTGTGTGCAGGTCACGTGACGAAAGGGAGATGGCCGAAGGGTGCAGCTTCCATCGCACCGTCAGCTTAGGGGTGATTGGAGTAGTGACGCAGTGCTTGTATCCAATGCGTGAGCAGGGGCCAATTGATGTGCTTTGGGTACCGCGGATGTCTCACAGTGAAAAGGCAGAGACCCTTGGAAGGAAAGGAGGTGTGGAATAGTCCGCCGTTTTTAAATGTTTGTACCAAAAAAGAGGCTTTTCACTTTCTACCCTCCTTCTTTTGACCCACTAGACGATATGCGTCTAGTTAAGCCCCAATCTAAATTTATCCCAGCCCAATATTCATTTCAAGGCCCCTTTAAAGCAGCAATGCCATTCTCATCAAAGGCCAGGTTCACGAAACCATCTTCCAACAAAGAAGTTGGGTACGACAAAACTTAGTAATATTCCGAGATGCCCCACCCCTAAAAGATAACCCACCCTCATAATTTTTTTTTTTTTTTTTAGACATTGTAAGATAGCTTATTTTTAGTAATTTTTAGTGTTGGGATCAATGATGACCTCAGCATAAATATGGCGAGGTAGCATAAGCGAACATTGCTGGGTGGGAAGTCATCTTTGCTTCATTGCCTCTCGCCGCGGTAATAAGTTTGGCAAGCAAACATTTCATTGCATTTATTACACCTTACGGGCCCATTAAGGGCATTACATAAGGGGGGGGGGGGGGCGGGGGGGGGCGTATAAAAATAGCATTTTTTCACCTTTCCTTGGTTGTACACCGATTTGCTCTAGATTTTAGGTGGGCTATCTCTTGGGATAATACAGTAAGAATGAATCTGTATTCACAAAGCGAAATTATTGTAAATTTCACGTAGGTTACGAACAAATCCTACGACAGTTCCAGAGGTGTCTTACGTACATTTACGATCAAATCCACATGTTCGACAATATTGCTCGGTTACATTGTCGCGACGACCAACGAGCATTTATTTTTCTACTTGATTTCCGCAAACGTCTTGACTAAGCAGCAAGACAAAAAAAATTAATCGAAACTGATTGCCGCGGAGACGAACGCTGGAACCACGGATACCCGGAAAAAGTTACAGCGACAACTATCTCATCAAATGCAAGGCATAACAAGGTACTCCGATGCAACGTCGCTCCAACGTCACTGGCCAAACCATCTGCCCACGATTGGCTGACTTGCTGAGTGGAACATGCACGGGCGATCTTTGTGGACCCTTCCCATATGAATAGTTTAAACCCTGACCTCTATTTTTGGGTAAGGGGGCCAGTCTCTTCCCCTTGAGGAAGCGGTGGAGAGCTCTTTCGTCGAAAAGGAACAATCTCTTTGATTCTATTGCTTTTTTTGTGTGTTATAAGATCAATAAATGCTGTACGGATTGCCTCCACAACATAGGTACGTACACTTTGTTTTTTATGTCCCTTTTATTCCGACCTGACAATATGCCAACACATGTCAATTTAAAAAGATTTTTGCGAGCCCTGCAATGCCAGTCCAACCTTTCTCTGCCAAGCGTTACATCAGCATCGAGTTGTAATTGTCTAGTGGCTCAGCAATTCATATCACCGGTTGTAAAAGACTGTTCCCGAAGCGATTACCAAGAGGCAAGCCAACAGTGCAGTTCAGTACCCAATGTGAACAGGTATTTATGTGCCTCTTGCTGACACTCTTGTAGTTCAAACGTATCTTCTTAGATGTCAGCCCTCTTTTGCATCCCCGAGGCCACAAAAAAACGTTGCGATAGTTTGTTTCCATGTGTGCCGCTTTTGCAGAGCCGTGCGGGCCATGTCCTTTTAGCAACTATGATAGTTGTGTTGGCTTTGTAGCGATAGAATTCGTAGCAGTCGGCCAAGGCAGTTGTCTTGTCCTTGGCAGGGGTGAACATTGTGGCCTACATAAATCAATATTTCATAGCTTACGTCGACATTACACCGCACGACACGATCCCCAAACAAGCATTGCCGGAAAGGCCGCCTACGTTTGTTGGGATTCAAAATCCACGTGCTCCGATCATGCTGAGCTCACCGATTGGCCAATCATTTTGCCGAAGACGTCGTCATAGTAACAGCCATCCTCGTAGTGATCGGGAGCTTGCGGGACACCGGAAGTTCTTGTTTTCCCATACGAGAATGCCGCTTTTCTCCTCTCACTTAAGAAAGCGTATGTGAATGTTTCTTCTTTTGCTTGTTATTCTGACGAATACAGTTTTCGCAGGGTTGAGTTGCATTCCCCATCGCTGACACCAATTATCCATTAAGAGGCAAGTAGTTTTGGGTTCTCCTGGTCTTTCTGGCTGTGTAACCTAGAGTACAAGAAGCAGTCGTCCGCGAATACCCTAACCGTAACATCGGGACTCGCTTCTTTAGCAATATTATAGACGTAACACCGAATAAACATGAGTCCCAAAATTCACCCTCGGGGACTCGTCACAGACAGGTGACGCATCAACATAAATTACTATAAACTATGTCCCGTTCCTAAGGTATGCCTTCATCCATTCACTGACGTCAGTATATGTAACTATTTAGCTTTCTTGTTACGCCTTCGTAACACCCGATTGAAGGCTTTCGAGAGGTTAAACAAAATGTGTTTATTTGTCTTTTTTCATTTGATAAACCAGAAAAATCGTAAAATGTTTCGAGTAACTGTGTTATTATTGTAAACGCGCCTTGTCAAAATCAACATTGATTTTTATAAAAAGTGTTTGAGCTCTTGTTGTCAAAAAAAAGGCTTTCATCGTCAAGGCTTTAAGTGGTCGTAAAGGGTTTATCTTTAAGTAAATTTTGTATTGAGCTACGTATACAAAGCGTTTCTTTTTATTGAATAAAATGTTTTTCTAAAAAAAAGGAACGAAAGCCACACAAATGCGATCTGTACGAGCGAGTTGTACGGCCAGGTGGGCGTTACGTATTTTAGTCCAGTCATATATTTGACATGTATGGCACTTCGGTGTAAGTTCATTGAATGCTTGGCATTTAAGGATCGAAGCCATCACCGTTTTTGCTGGAACAAACACTATTCGTTGGACACGAAACAGGTGCAAATTCATAATTTACCTCTACTGCACGTTTCATCACTCTTCATTCCCAGTGTGAAAGAAAAAATTTCACTGCCCTGGATGCTGACATAACCGGACAGTTATAGGTCAACTCAATATTGTCCATTTCACCTTACGATTGGACTGTGGAAGACGCTGCGAGCCATCCAACCACTCCCGTCCTGCGCGAGTGTCACGTTACGTTTGTCACGTTACGCAGTTACGTGCTACGTTCCGAGCGTTGGATTTGACGGCCTGTAGAGTTCGCTGGGACACGTCGTACGGTGAAACAAAAACACGGCAACCCATTTGCTGCCTTTGATATTCTGACAAAAATCAGACAAAGCGTCTCGTGGAGGAAATTCAGCATTTTCAGAGATTGCCACTTCAGAAGGTTCTGGTATCCAAATGTGCAAGCGCTCGCTCATGAACTTCCGATTCTGAAGTTACGAGAGATTTGAGGAAATTTTCAACTGGAAAGAGGCAGCCGACAAAGCCCACGACTGCATGGAGAGGAATGGCATCAGCCAAAAGGAACAAACACTATTTTCCCATTAAAAAAAGAACTTGGTGCAATTTAACCTTTCACAAAAAGTATCTTTTGGCAATGCTTAAATTTCACGAGTACGTGTTCCGGGGGGTGGGAATGTCGTTTAAAGAATCCCTTTTTTTCCTTCAGAGTATCTAGCATTATGTACGATGGAACCCGAAATAAAAATTAAAGTTATGTCCCTCCAAAACTTTACCCCAAGGTTGCGAGTTACGTCGGACGTAACACAATATGAAAATTAAAGTTACGTCTGGCGTAACCCAATATGAAAATTAAAGGTACGTCTGACGGAACTCAAAATAAAATTAAAAGTTATGTCCGACAAAACCCAAAATAAAAGTTAAAGTAACGTCCCTGTAACCATGCAACCTACGCATATGTTTCGCTTTACGGCCGATACACGACGCAAATACAGAAATATTGTGAATCACTACTGCGTTACGTCCGATGCAGCACTCGTGAACTGGTTAAAATCTCAACTCTATCTGTACCTTCCGCTTTGTTGGGAGGGCTGGAGTGTGTTCCTCGCACGTCGAGGCTGCTGAAGCTGGGCGAGTTCGATGCTCGGCACATACATTTTTTTTTTGTTTGCTTGCCCCTCCATTAAGACAATTTATTGCATTTTTTCTACATGAAAACACTTCTTGCTATCTTTGCCGTTTTTGCTACACCTGCTTGTAGCAACTGCTGGCTCAGGCCGAGAGCGTAGTTGATATGGCTAAAGGCCGAGGGCCTATTTTCCTTCCCACACCCGGGCAACCCCCTCGAAACAGCTCTTTATTAATACAATCTGGAAGAAAACACTTACGAAGCTAGTGCGCGTGGCGGCTTGAGTGACACGTGAAGATTCTGACAGTTTTCAACAAGTCTGCCGGAAACTCTGCTGCTGTAGCAGCACGTTTGTATCACATTACCATTCTATCTCTCTTAATAATTGATTTAAACATCCGCGATTCTCGGAAAGGTTCGCAAAAAATTGTCTTAAAGGAAAAAAAATTGTCTTGAAGAAAGGGAAAATGTGAGAAAGAAAAAAAAAGAAATAATGTAACGGGCGTCGTCTGTACCTGAAGGTACAGATGGAACTGCAATTTTAACCAATTAATGAATGCTGCATCGGATGTAACATAGTAATAATTCATGCTGTGTTTGTTGTTTGTGTTTACGTTGTGTATCGGCCGTGAAGCGTAAAAGTTGCGTAGGTTACACAGGACCTAACTTTAACTAATATTTCCGTCGACCTTTCATTTTCATTTCAAGTTCCCTTGGATGTAACTCGAAAGCTTGGGGTAAAGTTACGACAAAGATAACTTTAGTTTTTATTTTGAGTTTCATGGGACGTAACTTTAATCTTCACATTAGGTTATGTCAGATACAACTCGAAACCTTGGGGTAAAGTTACGTGGGACCTGCAGGGACGGGCAACTCCAATCTTTATTCTAAGGGCGGACAGAACTCTAATCTTTATTCTAGGTTCCTCGAACGTAATGCTAGACACTGCGTTTTTCTTTTTTATGCACAGGAAGGAAAACGTTAGAAACCGTCTGGTTTCCACAGCTACTTACAGAAGGCCCAATATAAAGCAAACATCAGAAAGCTTTTTTGAGCTAGACGAAAAATTAAAAAAAAATTATTATCATATTTTTTAGTATTCACTCGGCAGTGTGCGAGGCTAGGGTTAATTCTTTTTTCAAACTTGCCGTTGACCCTGTCAAGTTTTTTGGCCCATATTTCTACAGAAAGGGAGTTATGCTTTGTCATTTTAAAAGGTTAAACCCACCTGTGAAATACACCTTTGACGAAAAGTTTAGATTGCTACGTGCAGGCGCTGACTTTTATGGCCCATTTTAGATCAAGCCTCGGTATTTTAGACACCCTATATTATACAAGATGAGAACGACGTGTTCTGATCACCGCTAAAAACCGCTGCCAGAGTTTCGAAAGATCGGGGAAGGTTGAGGCGCGTCAACCGGCAAGCCGAGGTGACCTTGCGTGCGGCTTGATGATCGCAGATGCTAAAGCAGTCTGGTGGTGACGAGCAACCGAAGTATACGGTTGCGGCCCACAAGGCATTCGTGGGCTTGAAACGTACCGCCAAGGTCATCCGGTTATCGTCGTCGTGATAAATGTACCACCTAAAGACACCTTTGTGACAAGTTTCAATGCAATCTGGTCATCGGTTTAGTTACATGATTGATTGATTGAATGTGTTTACACGGCTGAATACACTTACCATCCCACGGGGACGCTGTCGGAGGCGGTTCCATACCTTCCATACGAAGGGCTATGGTTAGCTCAAGGATTCAAGTCAGCTTCATAAAATGGTTCACAAGACTGTGAAGGAGGCACAACGCGAAGCAAAAGCACGACCGAATGAAGCAAAAGGCAAAAGCACAAGACGTGCCAGTGTGCCAGTGTCGAGGCGGTCGTGGTTGAGGCAGTTGAGGGCTTGTCGCGTTTTTGCTTGCATTTGTTGATGTTGACACTGAACGGTTATCACGTGGTAGTGATCGTGTGATCATGGATCGTGGTGATTACTGCTGGATTACTGTTGTGGTGTTGTCAGTGTTGTTAGTGTTGTGCATAACTCTATGGTCTTGTGGTCAGTGTGGTTGTGGTCATCACAAGTTGGAAAAAAAAAAACGAAAAAGATTTCGTTACAAAAAAATTTAGACTTGGGTAAAATAATTTGAGAAAAAACTCTTCTGATAAAAATTTGCGTCGTTCTGCACTTTTAACATTCGATGTTAAAAGTGCAAACGGTGCAAACGAACAATCGAAGCGCAAGCTAAATTTCTTACTTTTTATTGTGATTTTATGTTTATGTTTTCGTTTTATTTGAGCCTTAGAAGTAGAAATGTTTCTACACTTCAAAGTTCTGAAACTTTTACTTTTGAGTCACTATGTCATAGGGTTATTATAATAACTTTATGACCTTTGTCACCCTAGTGACGTCATTTAGCGCACAAGCACGACGTAAACGAGCGAACTCAAACTGCTCAAACCATGTTCAAACATGGCCGCACGCACACGTGTTTTTTGATGCAAGTTCCGAAATGCGGTGTTTACCCGGCAGAACTGGCAAGTAAAAACTGGGGCCTCGGACTGTTATCGATCTTCGTCGTGTTTAACCGTAAGTAACGCTCGTTTCTTTTCAGAGCACACAGCTACCGTGCTTAAACTTCTCTGGAGTTACGCTTTGCAAGTTTACCGGCGTCTGCAGTGCCGGCTAGCCTGTGATGATCGCACACTTCATGTCGCGACGGCTAACGCCGGACAACGTTATTTTTCAGAAGACTCCCAGAGGCGTGAATTTACGGATTTAAGCATCGCGTAGAGAAGTGGCCATGGAGGAAACCAGCTTGGCACGCCAGCTGCGCAAGTTAGCGGCGCCGCAGACATCGATCTTGAAGGACTCCAAGATCCGAGCGTCTTTTCTCTTTGACCCCCGTGAGGCAGCGGCTGTCGACAACGACACAGCCTTCGCTATCGGTAAGACAAACAACGAAGGTATAAATGATATTTTATAGAGGTACTGGTGACACTGGGTTCTAGTGATTCGCGTGAATATGATTGATTGATTGATTAGAAGTGTATTTTTTGTGGGTGGTTCTCTGCCCATAAATCACTTCCATAAATTCAGAGTAACGCAAATGAAAAGAAACAAAAACAAAAACAAAAAAAACAGATAGAAATCACAAATACAGACGTTGCATGTCGAATTTGAAAACTTGTAGTTTCTGTACTACTACTGCATTCCCCGTGACAGCACATTGAATGTGCTCCTATTTTGAGACAAAGGGAAAAAAAACAACGGCAATGGTGTTTCACATTGCAGAGCAGTCGACTGTTTCAGCGACACACCGTAGATTTTTTAGGGAAGGAACCTTCTGTTCTCTGCTTGTAAGCTTTCATTCGCATGTACGACTACTACGAGCCATCACCTGATGTTATAAGATTTAAAATGTCACGGTCTGGCAGTTTTCAATAGAACGAGAGCACGCACAGCGTCCTTGTCCTGCCACACAATAGGCCTTTCCGGAAAAAGAAATGCTCCCCTCTGGGATCTATGGATATCCGATGTTTGCACACGAGGACGCTCTACGCTTGCAGCTCAGTTCGGTGCTGTTAGTGACGAGTTGCTCTTGCAAGTTACTCGAAGCAGAGAAAACGAACCGACCAGAACTCGATTGTAGCACGACCACGACTCCGACGCCCAATCGGGTGCCATGGTAGTTGTCGATGAAATGTTTCGATGAAATGTGCGTTGATGAAACACTACAAACCAAGCATTGGCAACTCGCAATGCTCCAAGTACATAGGAGAAATGCCGACTTAGCTTCGTATCTCAGTCTTCAGGCTGAGTGCTATTGTCTCGTGGACACGCAAAAATATTGATCTACTCGGGCTTAACACGCTGCTGCACCGGTCAAATATCAGAATGCCTTCCCCCCCCCCCCCCCCCCCCCCAATTCCCTGTGGTGCCGCCTCGGTGGCTCCGAGGCGAGAGCGTCGGCCTACGGATCCCCATGTGGCGGGTTCGAATCCCGGCCAAGCTGCCCGCAATCTGACGGAGGCTTATTGCGGAGAAGACGCCGTGTAACCGAGCTTTCGGTTGCACGTCAAAAGATTCCCAGGTGGTCCAAATTAATCCTCAGTCCTCCGCTGGGGCGTGCCAGATGCCCGTTGTTGGTTTGGCACGTAAAACCCCCAAATTTGACTTTTTTTTTTTTTTTTTTACCCCAATTCCCTGTGCTGTGCAGGGTCATGTGAGGTCTAAGCAACGCATTGTGAGAATTTCTGGAAGGTTTTGTTTGCTAGGCTCAACAGGCACGAAAAAAATATATCTTCATGTGGCTGTTTTTGCTTTCCCGACGATTCTCATGGCAGCAGTTTAAGGAAATACTTCTATTTGAAGGTGTTTTCTGACAGCTAGAGGCCCGAGCTCCCAGCATTATCTTAGCAGTTGCTCCTGCTGGGCGAGAGTTTGTGCAGCCGTTGTACCTCCTTGAGCAAAGAGCTAGCACTTGTAGCCTGGTGGTGGTATTGCTGTTCCGGTTGATCTTGTGTGAGAAAGAGAGACAGATATTTGGACGATCTGGTACTCTGTCCAAAAGAAAACAGAACAGTGAAAAAAGTGTGAACACATTATGTACGCAGAGCTTTTCTTCGAGAGGAAATAAATCGAGGATACAAAACTATATTATAGGGTGCTGCTTGAGGCATGGGAACGGGGGCTCGCAGCCGTGGGAAGCTTGGAGGCCGTGTGTTTGAGACCCATTTTAGATGGATGCGTCTACCGTTATCAAGGTCTTGATATTCAGAGTCGATTTGGTTGTGTCTGCAAAGAGTCTATCCGTGAAGAGGTTGGTGAGGTCAGCATCAGGTTAATATAGGAAGCAAGGGGAAAAAAAAAGATTTATACATTTTTTTTGTTATCTTTTTCTTCAACTTGAATTTTCTGCATCGCAGGCACAGGTGTTAGATTGTCATAAAAAAATAATTGGATGTATGTTGAGTGAAATCATGGCTTCACTACTGGGGAGCAAGCTTTGCAGCATTGGAAAGTTTTCTTTGTGTACATAATTAAAAAAAGATCCACATGTAACAAAGTATGTGGAGTTACGCTTTCAGCGAGTTATGCTTGTTAAAGGGTTATGTTATTAGCTATCACGCCGAACACACCAATATCTTGTTGAAAAAGACACAAAAAGGAATTTTAAGACAAATTAAACGATTACCTGGTGGATGTCGCTAAGGCCTCGTTTGTAATGCTCGTCTAGGAACCTTGACAGGTAGTGACGGTGCCTGTCTCGCCTCGAACTCTACATGCCTTAGACCTGACGTCACCTCCCCTCTCACTGGCACTCTCTTTTGTGTTTCCCAGGCGTTGCTATTCTCCCTCTACAAGAATATAGAAGATTAACCCGTTACTCAAAATTCATACAAAAACAGCTTTGGGGTTAGTTGCGGTGGCGCTATCACTGGCGTGCTTCAGACGCTTCGGTGGCTGGAGTGACTAGGACATTCTGTTGACGTCAGCCTCGCTGAAGCTTTGCTCAGGATTGCGCCGGATGTCAGGCGCTCTCCACTGGCTGCTCTCTGACCGCTTGCCAGAGTGGGCCGTTTATAACGAAAAATACTGCCATCAGGCTCAAAATACAAACGTGTGATTGTAATTTACAATTATTGTGGATCATATTCAGCCTATTTCTGAACACCACAGGTATATTTAAAATTTTGTTGAAGTATCCCTTTAAGTAAGCATATTTTCCCCGCAGTTATATTTCTCGTTTGATCCATCGGCAAGGGTATTGAAACTTGCCCCCGCTTGCACATATACAGTGCAACCACGTTACATCAGATCTGACTGTACAGTAGACATTTGGTTATGACTAGGATTCTGCGTATTTGGTGTTTATTTCTTTTCTCGAAACTGCGGGTATTCTTTTTCAGGGTTTAATGTTTTCCTGCAGATTTGATGTTTTTTGTGTAAATTAGTTATGACTGAACCAATTTATACAAAAACACTGAATCTGTAGAAGAAAATTAAACTCCGAAAAAAAGTAGCCCCAATTTCGAGAAAAAAAAGAAACGCTGAAAACGCAGAGCCCTAGTTATAACAGACATTCTATCTATGTCATTGAGCCGACGTCGCTTATTAGAGATTATTTAAAACATACACTGTGATATAATAGACTATATTAGGGAGTTCCCCTAGCAGCACACTTAAAAGTCAGAAAGGCTGAAGGATTTGTCATCACATATGGCTGAGCATTAATTCCTTTCAAAAAGGTTTTGTCTCTTTTTCTCAGCTAAAGCGGACCACCGCGCCAGAGCCATGCTGATTTAGCGTGAAGGCTCAAAGCGACTGCGTCTTTTTTCTTGGCTAAGCAGAGAGTTCTATCTTTGTCAAGCAGCACTTGTTATTAGTAGGCAAGGGGTTAAGAAAAATGAACATGTGCGCTGAGGGCACATCCAAACGTGAGCACTGCCAGCTGAGCTATTCCCTCTAGCGCATCCCTAGCATAATGCAGATGGCAATTGCACTGGGGTGTGCCTACCACGTATGTGCTTGTTCTCGCTGCAATTAGCTGCCAAACAAGGGGCCTGTCAGTGCTTGGGCGATATAGAGTCGAGAGACCATATGTACAAAGTTTTTCAAAAGATCAGCTGAACTATTCCCTCGAACGCGTCCCAAGCATGGTGCAGATGGCAATCGCACTGGGGTATGCCCCAGTGCGATTGCGAGGTTTTCGAGGTCACCATTTTACCTTTCTGCACAAAATAATACCCGGGGACCGTCGAAATATCCGCGCTGCAGGAGTCACCGGCCTGGAAGAGCTCGTGCTCCTCAACGAAGAGTTTGCGGAGTTTGAGCGGAGCCTCTTCTCGGAGAGCTCCAAGTTTGTGGAGCGCTCGGTGAAGACCAAGGCGGAGAACGTGGAACTGGACGAGAGCATCGAGGAGTTCCTTCTGCTCCTGTCGCCGTACTTCCTGCTGCGACCCGCCCACAAAGCTCTCGAGTGGCTGGTGTACAGGTAAGGCCGAGACACCTTTGCCTTCCCTTGTGCTGGACCATACTATTCTCTAAAGTTTTCTGTTTACGGCGAGAGCCGCCATCGGTGAGGCTTCGCGACAGATCCAGGAGCGCGTACGACGCACGGTGTGGCCCCTCGTATTTGGCGAAAAAACGCTTCCTGCCGGATTTAGTGGCGAAGTGCTTTGTGCGACGTCACGCGATGTTGACCGACACTTTAACTCCACGCAAAGCGTTTCACATTATATTTAGTGGGAAATCATGACATTACGCAAAGTCACAGAATGTTGCATTACCACATGGGACGTCACAGTTCCATTTAACACTGACGTCGCGGTGGAATTCTTTGCAAAAATTAGTTGCAAAGTGTTTCCCCGCTAAATTTTGGCGGAAGTCGCGATATGACGTCGCAACATGATGTTGGCACCTTTGCCAAACTTTGAATGTCCGAGGAAAATGGTTAAGCAAGTGTGCGGTGCCTCGTCTGTTGCCACGGTGCCTAAAACGAGCCTCCAACTGTTCTTTTTAGCATCTTATTCCTCCCACACATGCAGTGGTAGAACTGCTGTGCCATTTGCGCCAAACTGCACCAGAACGAACAACCTGTTACATGCTGCTCCAAAGGCTGTATTTGTGCACAATTTGCGCCATGTCTGCGCCAAAAGGGATCTGTTCTCGAAAACGAGGTAACTGAAAGTGTCTGGTCTCGGCATTGTTGCGATGCCACTAAAAATAAATAGTAGTTTTTTTTTTATACCTAAGGACTATGTGCAAAGAGTAGGGTCGTACAAATATTCTAAGTTTCGAATAGTAGTTTCAAATAATACACTATTTTATATTCTCTTCAAAATCAACTGCAATATTCATACCTTTGAAAGTGTTGATTGTGGCGGGTTAGCCCCTTTGAGTGCGCTTCTCCTCAACCACCGGTGCACTGCGGAGAAGCAATACCCGTGGAGCTGACAATGCGATCTCACTACTCTCCTCGTCGCAGCGGAGCCACACGCTTAGGCGTAATATGCACCTTCAATGTGAACTGGTGCACAGGCGCGCCTAATGTATTAAACAAAAAAAAAAAAAAAAAGGAATTAGCAAACATTGTGACTGTTAATATTTATATTCCAGTGAAATCTTTCAAAATTAACTTTGGCAATTATGCAAGGGTATATGTTAAGTATGACTGCTCTAACAGCCTGTGTTCATTCATTGTGCTTGATGTTGTTTTTTTTTAATTCAGAATTGGAGAAAACATTTGCATATAGCAAGATTTATTAATCCCCTTAATTAAGTATGACTGGGCTCTTTTTTAGGTTTAATTTTATGTCGAATCTGTTGTTTATTTGCCATACCAATGTAGGTATTAGACTTTCTGACGCCACAGTCTATAAATATAGCTAGATTAAATTTAGCAGTGCTCATAAGTGGGCAATTTGAATCTTGGGACCAACCTTCGCAAGTTCAACTGAATTTTTGTTTAAGCATTGTGTTACAGCAGGTCAAGGCATGGAGAAAAGCGGAACAACTATTCTTTATTCAATTAAAAATATATTTATCCGAAAACACTAATCACTTTGAATTTTTTTTAACCCAAAATTCAATATTTGCACATGCCTAACGAAGAGTAATCGGTTTTTGTGAAAACTGTGCTCACATCAATTGCAATTAATAGCTAGCGCTATACATTGTGATCGGTTAGAGTAGCTATGTGCTCCACTTATCTGCTCTATGAACAGTAGCTGGTGGAATACAAGCGAAAGCAGCATGATACAAACAGACTGAAGACACCGTCGGTACTCCTAATAGCTTAATTGAGACATCTGCAAAATTACTGCCCCATGATTGTTCACTAAATAAATAAATATATATCTAGCGGCCAGATCCCCTGTAGGTATGACACTTTAATTAAGTAGTCTCCCTACACTACAACCACTGCAGTTTTTTCTACAAGCTAACTTTCAAGGCGATTGTATAAAATTTTTTTATATGAAAGCTCACAATTGTGCGCTCCAAAAGTGGGGATCTCCGCTCCAAAAGTGGGAAAGTCTCAAGATGTGCTATGGCTGCCACATTATGTGTCGGTCGCATCAAGTGGCTTCACATTTAGTTGCTTCCCTCTGCGGCCAGGTTCCACGTCCACCAGTACAATGTGGACGCTCTCCTGCGCTGCATCTTGCCCTACCACGAGACCCGTCACTTTGTGCGTGCGGTGCAGCTTCTCGACCTGTCGGACAAGACCTCTAGGTGGCACTGGCTGGAGGGACTCCAGGTGGGGAAGTTTGTCACTTCATCGTTGCCCGAATACTTTTTTTGTTTCGCTGCAAACACAAGGTGGTAGTGTCTTGCGGCTCATGCTATCGAAGAGAGCGTAATGGCCGTGAAACTTGCGCTGTTTACAAGGAGAGGTGTCACATGTACGTGTTCCTGACAACAGATACATATTATATGGCCCTGCCTGATAGAATAAACAACCATCTTTTATATATACCTGTGGTTCCCAACCACCGATATTCAGAGACCCCTTCCGGATCGGCGGACGTAATGGGGATCCTATCCACTTGGGGGAGACAGGAGCAATGTTGGATGATAACAATGACAAAAGGGAAAATAATGGAAACTAAATTCATGCACACATGCTTCAAAGCTTTGAAACAGGAAATAATCAACCCTAATCACTCGGTGCAGATAGTTTGCTCCAGAGCCGAATATGTGGAGAGTTTGGCCAGTGTATGATCTCGCCACCGTGACACCCCCCCTCCCTAGTGAGCCAATCAGCCCGCGGCGCAGAGCGAGAGGTGTGAGCGCATGCACGTGAACACCTGGCTGCTCCCAGTTGAGTGGGGAGGGACTCCATTTTCATTCATTTGCCCAGTAAAATGCATGGGATTGACAACCAAACTTCGGTTCTTTCCTTTTATTGGCAGGCTCTGACAAGAAAATGATATAGTGTTATTCCTCGGTAACTTGAAAAGCTAATGAATTAAGTTTCTCCACGTTTGATTGCAAACTTTTATTCAGGCAAAAAAGAAATATTGTAAGCTCATAGCAGACGACGTGTAACCTCAACACTGCTCTGCGCCTACAGCGCGTTGCGTCAAAATGGCGGTCGTCTCCTCTTTGCTCTCTTCTGCCTCTCTTGATTTTTCGGCGCTCTCCTCCCTTTCCTTCACTTTTCTCCTCTCCAGCACCTTTGTCACCACACCCACTGGCCAGACTCTCCCAATATACGGCTCTGGTTTGGTCTATTTAGCTTTGTGGGATAACCAGCATCAATAAAAATTGGTAAAATTCTGAGGACACCTAAGCACTTATGAGTTGTAAATGCAAAAGCATTCTCGGCGCCGAGAGGAGCAGAAGCGGCCGCAGCGCCAGCAGGGAGTGCAGTGGTGCTCCACACAGACCGCCTTGGCTCGCTGGTGACTGCTGCGCCGCTGGGTGAGGCGGCAGCGGGAGTGCGAAGCTTGGCGCTGCGCATGCTGAAATCACATGTCCTTTCATCATCATCATTGCCTTAGCTGCGAGTACCAATTAACGACGTTAGACCTCAAAGCGTAACACTAGGCCCCCCTTCACGTCAAACAGCTACGCATACCGGCTGATGACGTTAAACCTCATAGCGTAACAATAGGCCCAACATTAGGCCTAATGTCAGGCCAGCGCATACCCACGTCCCCCCATCCCGCTTCACCGCTAGCAGTTTGGCTAGCCCCTTAGCAACGATGACGCCGTTGCTATGGAGCCACATGACGCGTCACAGCCAGTGGAAATTTAGGTGCCGTTTTAGGTGGCGAAGCTCCTTAGGGTCTAGCCTTGTCTGTCCGGCGTCCGTGCTCACATCGATCTTGTTGGTGCTCGTGCTCGTGAGCTCACATGCTCACATGCTCATGTAGAACAAAAAAAAAAACCAAAAAAATGGAAAAAAAAAAAAAAAATGTTTGCGCAGTTGACAGGATTTGAACCTGTGCGGGGTGGCCCCAATGGATTTCTAGTCCATCGCCATAACCACTCGGCCACGACTGCGGGACGAATAGGGGGCTCTGAGATGCGGTAGTAACTCAAGAGCTGGGGATGTCATCGATGAAACGTTGCATGTAGCCACTCAACGTCTATACAGGAGAGCGTGCCGCGGTCAAATGCGTATATAATCGCGTTAAACTTTGCATTCATTGGCTCAACGTTTAGACTAGAGGGCGCTGCGGTCAAATGATCAAATGCCTATATAACCACGTTCCATACCACACATTCTCTTTCTGACATGGATGAAAACAAACGGAAGGCTCGGCATGCTCCGGCTCAGCGTCTACGCAGACAAGCACCACCAAAGCTTCGCCCCAATCAACATCATTCACCACGTGGAGATGCAGCCATTTTTGTATTTCTGCTACATACGGCTACAGGCAATGCCGGCTTCCCTCGATGGGACAGTTAATGCTTTCGCATTAAAAAATTTATTTGCTCAATTTGACTAACAGTTGAGGACTTCGGGGACCCTAAGAAGACCTTCGGGACCCGAAGGGGTTTGCAGACTCCCATTTGATGTCCACCACTTTATACCGTGAGTGAAAGTTTCAGAAAGCATCTTTGGTGCATCGGAACGTAAGGAGGGACACACCACTCAAAGGTCAACATAGAAATCACGCTGGAAATGTGCAATGACAAGGCAGCCAAGCACATATTGTGGTTGGTTGAGATTGGGTGGGAAAGAAAAGTGCATGTTCACGTTTGGCAGGTGAACAAACACACGAGGTGCGCAAGGAGCAGACAGACTTGCACAGCTATAACAAGGTCTCATATTACTTTTTTAGAGGCAGCCGTTTAGGGCACAAAATCAGAACTGTGCATCTACAGACACATCGCAAACTTTCAGAAACCGGGCATTCCGCTGTCGAAGACCGCGCTTGTGAACCAGTGCACCAAGGACCCGGGCCTCTTGAAGTTCATCTGCAACCTCCTCGTGTCTATGGTGAAGGTGAGTCGGCAGTTTTTTCAGCAATATAATTTAGGGTTGTGTGAATAGTGGTTCGAATCGAATAGTGCTGGGTCATTCATAGCCTTGACAATGCAAGGGAAATCCAAAACAACAGGTTTTTTCAGCAGTGCAGAAGCTAGAAATTATGCTGCGCTATTCGATTCAAACCACTATTCGCACACCCCTAGCAGTATTTGTTATGAGCTTTTCCCACTACTGGAAATGACGTTCGTTGTTGATGTTGTATCTGTTGATGTAGTAGTGTAGTTGCCGTTGATGTTGTAGTTGGCAATGTAGGGCGTCTGCCGTTAATGTTGCCAAATCCTCGAAAGAGATCGCCCGCCACCTGCGGGAGTCCAACCTGGGTCTGCTGCGTGCGAGGCGCAGGCTTTACCACAAAGCTATACCACGGCGTTAACAACCGGCTTTATACTTGGGGCTTTTGTAGTACCCAATGCCCACTGTGTGTGCTCCCTGGGAGAAACAAATATCCAATAACGAAATTCCAATATAGCACTGTCACTGTCAAGACCGCGTGCGGAAGTAGTCGGGTGCCAGGCTTCTGCTCTTGTAAATCGGGTTCGGCTTCTGATTTTTCTAAATGATTTGTTTTATCCGAAGGAGGAATGTGTTTAGAGGACCCTCTACATGGCAAGGTATGCATTCCAGCCTTTGGCAAGGCAGAAAAATGACCCTCCACAGTAATATGGGCAGACACGAGGAACCGCTTGCGCCGACACAATATGGCCAGCTTCATACGTTCAGGAATGTACTGACTGCTACCTATTGTGACGTAAGACGTTGACAATAGTGACATTGAGGGCTATTGACGGGACACGTCAGGCCCCTATCGCTGTAATGAATCTGTTGAGCACAAGCATCCGTAAATTCGACCCCAAAGTGCTTCCCACACAGGCGTTTGTGGTCCGACGGTTTCTGGTTCTCTCTTTTCGCGGCACCCGTCCACGTTCTCAAACAAACCGAGCTGACAGAAGACACACGAAAACTGATCTTCACACCTTTTCCGACTCTTTTGGTACTGTCCCAGTCGCGGCGTCCTGACGGGAAGGCAGGTACTAGTCTGGTTTCTTCCAAAACAATAAAGAATGCTTGTCCTTGCATGGTGACTCCTGCCCACACCTTAAACCGGAAGTGCGCCCGAAGCGCCACTACCATGGCGTAACATAACGGAGTTGATTTAGTGTATACGAGACTTGGTGACAGGTCGGTTCCGCTGCGCTCAAGAAAGGTTTCCCTGATCTGCAAGCACCCAGTGCAAAAGGGCATGCATAAAGTGCCTTTTTAAAGGGGTACAGAAACGAAATTTTAGCGTCGATCTTTCTGCATAAATATGGGCTAGGGACGGGCACCAACTCGGAAATATCAATATCGCGCTGTAAAACACAGGAGAACTAATTTTAAAACTAATTAAACAATTTCAAATTCACATCTGGTGGCTGGTGGGAAGTTCTCGTGACATCACTTGTGGCATAGGAGCAGCGCCGTTCTGCGGCAATACGGCGTGCCGGCAGAATTAGCCGAGGCCTGAACGCGTTTGCAAAGCTTTGGCGGAGAAAGCCAAAGCGTAGTTGGCCACAGTGAAGTCGTTCTCGTTGCAGCTCTTTGCATGACACGACCCGAGCATGCTTCTGGCACAGCCGGTATTAGTTGCTGCGAGTCGCGAGCTGCGAGCCGACGTTAAAAAAGATACCGTATTTACCCGAAAATAGGTCGACCACGAAAATAGGTCGACCCCTATTTATTGAGCCCACCGAGAATAAAAAAAAAAAATTATTCAAATATAGGTCAACCTTTTTTCTTTTTTCAAGAACAGGGGAAAGTTAGGGCAAAAGAAACAAACCTTTATTTACAGCACTCTCAGCTAAATCACCGGGCGATGTCAAAAACTTATTCATCGTCAGAACTTCCGGACATATGATCGTCCGAAGCTTCGTCAGCTTGGTAGACATCCTCACAAATTGGCAACAATACCTCACTGACACCGTTGTAAAATGACGACAAGAAAAAACGAAAGAAGGTGGAGACGGCAGAGACGTGTGAGCAACGAAAGACCAAATACAAAGACATGAGCAACGCTGCGAGCCCCGTGAGCAACACGCGACCCGCCGAAAAAAAAAAAACTAAAGTACCTCCAAGTTATTTCTTTTCTTTTTTTTTTTTTTTTGTGCGCGTTTGCGAGGGAGAGGAATGGAGCGCATAGGAGGGCAAAGTGCATGGCGCATCGCGTTCCTCTCCCTCCCCTTCTCCTTGCCCAGCGAGGGGAACGCTACAGGCATGATGGCGAAACCCGACGCCGAGGGAATGTGCGCGAGAGCCGTAACTGGCGGCCACAAGCTGTCAGCTGCTGCTGTTCGGTTGTTTTTGTGCATCAAAAGCTTTTTGAAACAAGAAGCGGCGCGGCTCTACCGCGACGCCGGCTAGGTGATTGATAGCTCCATACCCTCTGTAGGGTTTCAAATTTTGGTCGCGAATTAGGTCGAAATTTTTTGGTCACGATTATAGGTCGACCCTTAATTTTTGACAACATTTCCGAAAAGAAAAAGGTCGACCTATATTCGAATAAATACGGTATGTTTGAAGTACAAGAGTGTCAGCAAAAGTCACGCAAATACCTGTTCACACTCTGAGCGGACACGCGCGTTTGATCGAAGTGCTGGATTCGCTCTAGACCGCGTTTCGGTAAGCGCTTCTGGACCGATCTTTTACGATTGCAACTCGATACTGACATGACACTCGGCAAAGAAAGGTTGGACCACGGTTGGGCAGACATCGCGTAGCTCCCACAGTGACGTAGCACCGTGTCAAAATAAAAATGGCATACTAATAACAAAGTGTACATACCGTGTTGCGAAGGTAATCCGTATGACGTTTATTTCAGCTCTATATCACACAAAGCAAGGAGACAGAATCAATGAGAGTCCCTTTTCAACGATAACGTTCGTCACCGCTGTCTCGGAAAACAAGGAGATCGAGATGACAAGGGGAAAAGATTGACCTCTGGAATTTAGTTCAGGGATCAAACTATTCATCCAAGAAGGGTCTACAAGGGTCACGCGGGCATATTCAATTCAGCAGGCCAGCCGGTCATGGGCAGACGGTCTTGGCCAAGGACCGCCGGAGCAACGGTGCGCCGAGTTGGTGTTGCTGCTAGGCCTACTATATTCTGCCGAGCTCGCTTGGTCGGTAGAATCGTGGCCGTTGTAGCTCTTCTCGGGTGTTTGTGGATCCTGTGTTCTTGATCGTCGTGGTCTGTTTCAGGTACTCCTTCCTTTTTTCTTGCTGGTTGAAGTCGGGACGCACGAGAAGAGCACATAGAAAAATAAATTTCCGTTGGTCGTTGCTACCAAGTAACTGAGCGACGCTGTCGGCCGTGTTGATTTGATCGTAAAAAGTGCGTAAGACAGCTGCGGAGCTGTCGTAACTTGCGCAAAAGTTACGACAATTTCGTTTCGAGAATACGGGTTTTCTCTCAAATTTATCGTACACACTTTTTTCGTCGTAAGTTCGCTTTGAGAATCCGGCCTCAGAGCTAGTTTTGTGTTTTGTCAGTGGTGCCGTGGTTGCCGACTTGCCGTGGTGCAGCGTGCGTGCAGCCCTGGCACATCTCAAACGGCCGCGTTGTCACAGGTCGTAAATCGTCGACGCGCCACCAAGTGGCAATGCTCGGTACCACAACAGCCACGCAGTAGCCTTTCCCCTCTGGCACAAGTGACGTCACGAATGCGCCCAATATCCCAAGACGCATCGTGCTCTCCGATGGCTGATTTTCGAGCGCGCGCCCAATCGGGCCCCTCAGGGCGAAAAATATAGCCATCTGTTCGAAATACAAACGCGCGATTATGATTTACGGATATCATTGATCATATTGAACCTATTTCTGACCATAATAGGTGTATTTCAAGTTTCGCTTCAGCATCCCTTTAAAGCGACAGCTCTATAGTATAGGAACCCTGCACAGACCTTACTTGCTCATGATTGTTGTACCATAGCAAGGCCACGGGGGAGGGTGTCAACAACAAAGCGCAGCTGTTGGTTTGACGTCTTAGCAAGTGCAACCAATGGAGTAGCACAACACAAAGTGCAAGCGGTGCATCAACATCTCCTTTTTCCACTCTACCATGACTTAGGGTAAGAACTGTATATTAGTAGACTAATCTCGATGATGCGGATGTATTTCATGCTGAAATTGCATGCACAACGGTGTTGCGGGCAAAACGATGCAATGTCCCCAAAGAAGTGGTGCATAGACAAGGAAAAAGAGAAGTCCTTTCCAAATAGTTTTCTCTTTTCCTTATGTCACATTGCATATCATTCCAATAGAAAGTGCCGAGTGCCATGCCAGGGTATAATTGGGCACACGCTGATGCAGGGTTTTAGTTTTTATTTTCTCCCCATCTCTCCCATCTGGGCTATTATATTGTTTTTACGTGTAGAGCAATGTTCTGTCTCGTAAAAACACCCTTTGACGGCATGTGGCAATTTTTGTTTGGGGAATTTCTGTCTCGGTTTTCTCCTTAATTGTTGCAGAAAGGCAAATCTATGTCGTTCAACCTCTTGTTTTGTGGCGAATGCTGAAATCTAGAAATTAGCGATAAACCAATTTAGTATTGAACTAAACAAGAAAGTTCCAGTTACGAGTAAAAACCAATTCCACTCGAAAAAAGTGATTCCAGGGTGCGAGGCCAGTGTGCCACTAGCCATGGTACTGCGTCTCGAAAAGTACATTTAGAGAAAAATGTTCTAGGTTGGAGGCACGCGGACATCAATTAACTTAGATGTCAACTGGTCTTTGATAGATAAAGATACTTCGTTATGCACGCTGCAGTTTTTCTGCACGGGACTAAAATTTGCGTTTGACTTGCGTTAAAAAGAAAAAAAAAACGGCACTTGGAGGGTTAAATATCTCATTGAGCGCAGTCGTGCCTTCGTTACATTCGACGGGACATCTAAGCGAGGCAATCTTTAACTCGGTAGGCTAGGAGTTCGAGGCACAGGCATTCTCCCGAGTCATCAACGAAGCTCTCTGAGATTGTTCCCGAAACGCAGGCACACGAGGGATCCGCGGTGCCGCTGCGTCCCGCGGTGGGCTTCTACACGGCGGCCGTGCTGGGAACGCTCGAGACGGCGGACAAGGTGACGGGCAAGACGGTCGGCCTCCTGCTCCCGTTCCTCCTCGGTGGCCTCGCCTCTGAGATGGCCGACCACCGCGCCGCAACCTACATGATCGTCGCCCAACTCGCTCGTCGCGCCGTCCTGCAGCGGGAGTTTGCGGACGAGCTGCTCGTTCGTGTCTGCAAGGTGAGACGCAACGTTTCGTTGCCGCAACGTTTTGGCCGGTTTTGCGCGGTTCGCCTTACCGCAGCGCTTTTATTGCTTCATGTCCTCAACTTTTACGAGGTGTTGTAGGTCTATGGTCCCCGGCAGCTTAAAAAGATGCTGAAACGAAATTTCGAGTTCACAATACAAGGTTGGATGGATAGGTGGACGCTGCAAAGCCCAAAAACATCACTCATACAGCGATATCTCTAATCAATCGCCATATTTTTGGGAAAAGAAGTGCGCGATTGAAACCGGCCGATGAGGCCGACAAGACAAGTCGCATCACGATTCCCATTCCCTGTCCTCGCTACGTCCCGTCGAGCTGGTGAGGCGAAGCGAGGAGGAGAGAAGCGAAGCTGCTGCTTCTCATTCTAAAATTCTCCTGGAGGACAGTTACGTCAAACACCTCACTTGATTGTGCCCTTCTTTTCCAAAAGTACGGCCATCAGTTTGAGATATTGATGTAGGAGTGATATTTTGAAGTTTGTAGCGTCCCGTTCAACGCTTCTGCTGCCTCAATATGCGAAATACAAATTTCGGTTCAGTATCAACGAGGGGCATGGCTCATTGCATGCCCGCTTTGTGACCCGTTCCCCGGCGTTCTCGTCAGCTGATGTCGTTGACTGCGTAGTGACGACGAGATGCTCGGAACTTCTGGCGGGACAACTGAAACTTCCTTCTTGCTGCTCTTCACCTGCCAGTAACTATGGCAGAATGCTCTTTTATCTGCGCTAACTAGGCATTAGGCATCGGCAGAGGAAACAGACGTTATTAGCCTCCACCAACTTGAAACCAAAAACACTGCAGGGATGAGCAGTCAGTGTAAAGGTTCAATGATAATCATCTTAGGAGGTGTCCCCATGGTAGAGGAGGCTTAAAGAATGAATGGGGCTTTCACCTGAGATGGGGCATGAGACACATTCCTTCTAGGTGACCGGTGCGCAGCTTTAAAAAAATCTATTTGGTCCTGGCTTTGATGTCGCGACCCCTTAAAGTCCACCGGAGTGCTCTAGCAACTATGCTTACCGGGCACAAATTAAGGTAGATATCTAGGCACGTTACAGCAGACGTCCTCAGATTATGCAGCTCTTGTTCTCTCGTTTGTCATGGCAGCAAACAAACAGAGTTATTGAGCATTCGGTCAAATTAATGGTGTCAAGTCTTAACGCTGTCTTCTTCTTTGTTCCTCTTAGACCCTGAAGGCTGAGAGTTTGACCTGCGGCGTGCTGTGCTTGCTGGTCGTCATGAGCCACCAGAACATTGAAGTACTCCCTGAACCGTGAGTGGAGATGCTTTTGACCCTGCCATTAAGAATTTCTCGGTCTCACCTGAGGGCGGCCTTCTGCCAGCTCTTTCAGGCTGTTTTGAAATTCTGTATGGCTGTTTCTGGACATGAGATATGTCTTCAGTTCTACTGAAAAAATATTTTTTTTACTTAATTTTTGTTTAAGGCCACAGTCATTTCATTTACTGGATTGACAGACTGCAAAGGTTTACTTGACCATTTTGAAACCAAGACCTTCCATGTTTACTCGAAAATAAGTTTATTTTGTTACAAGCAAAGCCTGCATGCCTGCTTTCCTGTGGACCTCATGAAAGCCAGTCATTGGGACTGAACAAAAGGAGAGCCAGGGACGGTTGAGCACAATGTTAAGGTGCTCGTCTTCTTGGTGCAGATCCCATTTCCGTACCCAGATGTTATCAGAGTCTAATCGTACGTCAAGCTCATTCCACAAATTGCAGTGATTGGCTGTTCGCAGGTGTTGCAAAGAAGTGTACATGCAGGCTTTCTTCATAAAAGAGTCGACCCACCTTTAAAGACGTAGACTAATTTCAAAACGATCATGTGCCAGACACGGTACTTAGAATTAAAAATCTATCCAACTTTAAAGGGCGCTGAAAGGATTGTTAAAATAATTGTTTTATGATGCAAACTTGATTTACGCACCCTAAGCATCCTAGGAAACCAAAGCTACAATCGTGTGCAACCTTGTAACGCGGAATGTGCGGAATGTGTTTTATCAACCGATTTTCTTGGAGATCTGTAACATTTGGCTGTAACGAAAAACCAACATCGTAAGTTGTTGGTTTTTATATATAAAAACCAACCACATAAAAAGACTTTAGTCCCCGGCAGGATTTGGACTTTCCTCCTGGAGATTGTGAGCCAAGCGTTTTACTGACTGAGCTAGCTATGGCGTTTGTTCTTGACGCAAAAAGTGCCCCTTTCGTGCGGCGTTCGAAGGCTGCGCAGTTCCACTCCTCGCGGCCTTAAAACCGTGTGGGCACGCTTCCTGCAGCAGAAGCATCAGGAAGAGCCTTCACCCTGCAGACAAATGCTGATAAGGGGAAGGCCTGTCACCTATTCTGTGCTTACCAGTCTTTTTCAGCATGGTCAAGCTTGTATAATTTTTTTTCCATTATAGAAGTGACAAAACATAGCAAGCAAAACACCTCCTTTTCTAGAAAAATGAACCACTCACAATGTTTGGTCGCATTTTCAGCTAAAAAAGTTGTACAATTTTTTTTTTTAGGACATTGAGCATGTGAGTTTAGTTCTAGCCATAAGAAAAAAAAAAAAACACAATCCCTTTTAGTGCCACTTTAGAAGCTGGCATGCACGGCATGATCTGTACGTTCTGCAGTGTCCTCCATTTCTCCCGTCTGACGTGCCAGGTCGATTCAGGCCTTGATGAAACACAAGCACCGGCTGGTGGCCTCACTAGAAGAGTTGGCAGGTCAGCACTCGGTGGTGCCGCTTCTCAAGGCCTTGTTGGCGCAGCGGATGGCTCTGGTTCTGGAAGCGGCGGAAGACGGCTCCGGACGTCGTAAGATGGCCACCCTGAAAGAGCTCATCCAACTGGCGCTATCTTTGGATGGACTGGCCGAATTTGTGATCGGGTAAGCCGTTCACGATTAATTGAGCTATTTGCAATTGGGTAAGCTGTTCATGATCGGTTTAGCCGTTCGTTATTTATTTGAGTGTGTAATCGGTTGAGCTGTCTTTAACCAGTGAGCTGTTTCTCATCGGTTGAGTTCTTTATGATTGGGCGAGCTATCTCTGATCGGTAGAGCTGCTGGTGATCGAGCGAGTTTATAATTGGGCGGTCTGTTTGTAATTGGTGAGCTGTTAAATATCGGGTGATCATGATTGGATGAGTTGTTTGTGATCGGGTGAGCTGTTAGAGTTGTTTGGGATCATATGAGCTGCTTATGATCGATTGAGCTGTAAGGAATAAGGTGAGCTGTTTGGGATCGATTGAGCAATTTGTGATATGCTGAGCTTTTTGTATGCTGTTTCTTTGTGGACGGCAGTTAAGATGGTTAGCTCGGGGAGGATGTTCTGGAGACAGAATAACTGAATGACCGACTGGCAATAAAGAGCTCATTAATCAGTTCGCCCTAAATTCATACTCAGCATATATTTGTCTGTTTTCCAGCTGCTTTTTCGAGACATACGTCAATGCTCGCGTTGACGGTGAAACAGGCGAGGTCAGGAAAGAGGCTGCTTTCAATGAAGACGCTGTTCTGGATGTGCTGAAAATACTTCGACAACGGTAAGTGTATCATGTGGCTTTAAATTGATGCGGCATGTTATGTCAGTAAGCCTTCTGTTGTTTGTCTCATGATGTACATTGCAGGACACTCTAAATGCAAACAAACAACTGCATTTTTTTTATATATATATATTGGTAATTTAAAAGTTGTCATCAAAAATACTAGTGTGATGGAAAGTACTCGTTTGGGACACTAACCTAGGTGGTGAAGTTCGATGCTTGCCAACAACCTTTCGAAGTGAAACATGTAAAAGTGGAGATATCGTGCTTGGAATAACAGTGTTGCACAGTGTTAGTCATGGAAGATATAACAAAGGCTAAGTGAGCACTTCGCTTCAAAGGCCTTCAGCACTATCTAACAATTTCTATGTGAGCAAAAAAAATTAAAAGAAATAAACTTTGTCTTTTAACTTACTTCGTCAGAAGGTATAACAGGTTTGACTCAATATAATATAAATAGAAAAGGGCAAAAGACACCAATACAAGTTTTGTCTGAACTCCAATTATAGAGAAACTGAGAAAAGACAGGCTATCACAATGCTCCAGTGAGTATAGATGCTTTGCAGCAGCTGTGCATGGGCGCCGCCATAACTGACCTTCAGCTTTTGTTTCCCCTTATTACGGTTACTTCACTTCATTATTACCATAGCAAGCCAGGTTATTGCCATCCTAGATTTTATTCTGTCTTTCTCCCCAGCATTGGCCTTTTGTGGAGGCTCGTCCACACCAATTTCAGTGGCTCGGTATCTCGGTAAAGCAAGAGAAGGTCAGCAATGGCGGCTGTATTCTGGCGCGTGTGTAAAGCGTCTATAAGTAGCATTTCAGTGACTGTGCAATACTTGTCGTCATCGCCTGCTTGGACATTTGGCCAACTGTCTGTTGCCGAGTCAACACTAATTTCGGCACCAACAGGAGCACATTTCGGATGATTGAATGATTCATGGGATGGAACAAATATATCTCTCAGTGAAGCAACAATCAAAAGTGATTCTCGGTTATTATTGCATGACCTCACCGAACGCTTGAATACTGAATTCTCAACTAGGTGATTGGATCGTATGAGCCTCGCTAGCTCTGACCTTTCATAGAACACCACAAACTTCATTTAAAATCAGCGTTAACTTCGCAGTAGTTATCCCTTCGAGTGGGAAGTGCTGACAAAAAAAGAACAGCCGCTAAGCTGTCACTAATGTGTACAGTAGACTTTCATTGAATTAAACTCTATGAAGCCACAAATTTTGTTTGAATGATCAGAAGTTTGAATTATCAGAAATTCATCTAAATATGCTGCAAAGTAAAATTATGATTTGTCACATGAATGGCTACACATACAAAGTACATATTTGATGATTCCCTCTTCGTAGGCGTACTGATCATAAGCAGGTATGCCACGCATGAAACATTTGTGTGAGGTATAAAATAAGTTTATCCTTCAAACATTTTTTATCGTGGACTGTTTAGGCAGCACACGACAACTCAAAACAAAATTAAGTTAGTTCATCAGGCCAAAAAGTTGTCTAAAGTTAACTATTAAGCAGGGGACACACAATCAATTGAAACGGGCACCACTTGGCAGTTTTGATATCAACTTGCACAGACGCTGTGACATGGACCTATGTCATGCCGCCACGTCACAACGTCCGCGCAAGTTGCTGTGGACATGTTCGCGCGTGCCCTTTCTTATAGGGAGTATTCAGTGGCGGCCACAGCTGTGTGCGCGAATGCTGTGCACGTGCTGATGGCGAGCTTGCATAGTTCTTTTGCAATGTGCATTCCACACCATCAAGATTGCTGGTCTTAGCAACCTATTAATGTGAGCTCGTTCTGAGCATGCGCTCGAAACAGCACCCACAAATATGGCGTCCAGTGAATACTCCCCATAGTTCATATGTGCCCTGTTTGAGCCCCGTTGAGTGCGCTTCTCAGCGAGCAGTGGTGCACTGTGGAGAAGCAACATTCGCAGAAGCAAGCTCTGCGGTTGTTGCCTCTCTGCAGTGCACCGGTGCTTGCAAAGAAGCACGCTCAACGGGGCCACGGGAACAAAGTGTGAATGACACGAAAACGCCATTTGAATTAAGTGGCTTATGAATACATAAAAAAAAGCAAGACAACAAAAATTTTTAATTTGCTTGACAGAAGTATGAAATATCCGAGTTTGAATTATTGTGAGCCTAGTGTAACTCAGTTTCGTCAAAGGTTACCCAGCTTTCTTTTGTAGATGGCAGTAGGAACCTTTCCAAGCTATGCTTTTGCTTGGCATATCCTCTGCGACTACCGTATTTACTCGCACGATGAACGCACTCGCGTAATGAGTGCACCCCGCAAGTTGGCTCTCAAAATTTTGACTTTTTTTTTTCATTCGCGTATTAAACGCACCCCCAACTCACCCATAACTCGGACTCAAAATTCTGACCCCCTCCTTCCACGCGCGCGAAATGAACACACTTTTCTATCCTGGCTCAGCCAGGCCGCGAATGCATAGGCAGCGTGGGCAAACAAGGCGTTAAAAAAAAAAAAAAAAAAAAAGATTCAACGGAAGCAAAAAAAAAAAAACATAGAGAGGAGCCTTTTTTTTTTTTTTTGAACAGCACAGCTTGAATTTTGGGGTCGTGCACCGCGCGCAAGGAGATAAGAAAGAGAGGCGGAGAAGCTCTCTGGGCAGACAAAACGCCTCGCAACAGGCGTTAAAAAAATAAAAAAAGATCAAATGGAAGCAAGAAAAAAAAAAACATGGAGAGGAGGTTTTTTTTTCTTTATTTTGCACAGTGCAGTCTGGAAGAAAGAAGTGGAGAAGCCCTCTGGGCAAACAAAACGCCTTGCAAGAGGCGTTAAAAAATAAACAAAGATCCAACAGAAGCAACAAAAAAAAAAAACTGAGAGGAGCTCTTTTTTTTTTTTTTTGCACAGTGCAGTTAGGACTTTGTTTGCGCGCCGCGCGCAAGGCGATGAGAAAGAGAAGTGGAGAAGCCCTCTGGGCAGACAAAGCGCCTAGCAAAAGGCGTTAAAAAAATTAAAAAATATCCAACGGAAGCAAGAAAAAAAATTATGGAGGGGTGCTTTTTTTTTTTGCGCATCACAGTTTGGTTTTTTAGTCGCGCGCAAAGAGATAAGAAGTTACGTCGATTTTTCGGGATAAAAGGTCCGTTCATTATGCGAGTAAATACGGACGCAAAAATATTACTTCGCGTAATGAACCCAACTTTGCATTGATTTTTCTGGAAATAAAGTGTGTTCATTCTGCGAGTAAATACGGTATGACCTTCCTGATTTCATTTTGACCGTCAAGGATGGCCTGCACCTTGGCTGCGGTGTCGGGGCCAGGGTTTGTTTCTATGTCACCACAGCACAAAAGTAACAGTGCGATGGTATCACAACACTCAGAAACAACTAAACACAGGGCATCTGGGCTCGGTAGCACTAGCAAACAGCGACAATCATCACAAATGCAGCTGTAAAATTGATTATCACCAATGTGAGTAAAGAACAAAAGTGGACTTGTCATTCCGTTCATGCCCGAGCCCACTGCCGGCACGCCCGAATTGCAGCCACAGAGAAATTATGCAAGAAAATTAATTGCTCCTCATGTTCAGTACATAAGCACTCCCTTTTCACATTGACAACTGCCTCTGCAGCAGAAAATTTTCTTGCTGCCGCCTCAGAAAATATAAGGTCGCTAGTAAAGTGACTCACAATGCGTCTTGGCAAAACGAAAACGAACACTGCTGTAGGTGGTTGAGCGTGTTGGTTTTTAATTTACAATAACGAAAGAGGGACATGGAATACAAACAGACAACACAGTCTTTCAACAGGGAAATCCTCGAGTGCCTACACGTTGAATCTTCTGTCTCGAACCTGTCCAGCACTTCCCTTTCTTTTTCGGATCGAGAGATTCGTTTCCTGCGGGGCGAGAGGGTTCCGCCTAACACATAAAGAAGACAAAAATTCCCGTGTCTTCCCCCCCCCCTCTTCCTTCCTTCCCCAAGCAGGCACCGCCGGCTTTCGGGGCTCTGTATAACAGTGACGCGTCGAATGACACACAGCAGACTCCCACCTTCCGTCGTGTACGCATAGCTGCTGGCAGGGCCCCATGACCCCCACTTCTCTCACCCACCATCCCATCTCTCTATCTCCGCAACACTCCCCCGTCGAGCTTCGGGAGGCAAGGTGAAACCAGTAAACGTTTTGTTGCTAGTCAAAAGCCTGTATTGTCTGTCTGTCTTACATGTCCCTCTTTCGTTATCATAAAAAAAGAAAACTGCTCTTTTGTCGTAAGCTAATACATACCGTGTTTGCACGACTCTAACGCACAGTTTTTTTTCGCTAAAATCGGTGCCCGCAACTACATGCGCTTTACAATCGAAACCAAAAACTGGAAAGAAATATGCAATACAGTTGAACCTCAATCTAACGAACCCTGGTCTAACGAAATTCGTGATTTGACAATATTTTTTTCGTCTCTCTCCCTATCTTGCTGTTTTATCTCTTGATTTAGCAAAGTACTTTTGTGCCACAGTTTTGGTTCATTAAAGTTTTTGAAAATCGCACATACACAAAACAACAAACTCTGCGAGAGAAAAAAAATTTAACAAAACCAAACTTGATTGTTGAAAACTAAGCATAGAAATGTGCGGTCATTATCTTTTTCACAAAGCACGTCATCGGCGTCGTCTAACGAAATCTCGCACTTCGCAAGTGACAGCAACAACTGCATCTTCCGCGATTGTTTGATGATCGTGTTGCACGTCACTGGTAGGACAGATTGTGCACTTTTGCAGCGTACGTTGGAGGCCTGCCCTCCAACCCTGGAAGGCATCCCCACCTATCCAGAAGTGTGCCATCATCTTTGGAAAGTTCTTTTTGCTGCTCCGAATTTACTTTTTGCTGGTTTCAAATTGACTTCTGGCTGCTCCAAGAACTGCTCCAAAATTACTCAGGCCAATCTTATTGCTGAGCATGTCTTTTTAGCCCCCAGAAATTAAACTCGGACCGCAAAGGGGTTAATTGCACCCTTTGGCCACAGGTCGCCGGAGCAAGTGGACTCGTGCCTGGAGCGGTTTCTCTCGAGCGAGAGGGACGGTGCCTGCCAAATGGTGCAGGCGCTTATGAAGACTAGCGTGTTTGGGAGCGAGCACGCCCTGGTGGGCACCACGGGGGAGGCCCTCTTCCTGGCACTCAACAACCCCAGCAAGAGGCAGCGGGCCATGGCCACGGAAGAGCTGGTGGCCTTAATCCGGCAGGGAAAGGTGGGTCGCTCAGCTGAGTTCTCTTTGTGGTGCGACGTTGTATAAAGTCTGCGATGCCAACGTGGGAGCGGACTGAAGCACTTTGTCGTTAATTTTTCGCCTCGCCCCAATCACACGGTACACTCAAAGCTCACCTCCGTTCGGTGCGTTTACCGCTTGCTTATTCGTGGTCTCATGACTGCTGCATCCGAGTTCGTGATTACCAAGTCGCGTTGCGTCCAGTGCTAGGTTACGTGCTGCGCTACAATGTCGTCTCGCTCTGTCGTCGTCGGGCTTTCGTAGAACAAGTGCCCACGCTAGGTAAAGCGTATCTTAAAGAACAGCTCAGAAAAAAAAAATGTTCTTTTTAAACAGTCTTAATGGGACCAGCATTTCAAAAAATTAATTTTACATGAAAAAAAAAAAAAAAAAACTTTTTATAGCAGTATTGACGGCGACGTGGCCGTACACACTCTCCACCTCAACATGATGGCCAAGCGGATCCACCTCTCCTCCACGCGCCCGAAATTCCGAGAGAGAAAACAAGTGGAAAAGGAGGTGACTACCAATTAAATTCCTTCCCGCCCTGTCAATATTGCTCTAAAAAAATTTTGTTTCGCGTAAATTTAATTTTTTATTGCTTGTCTCACCCAAACTGTTTAAAAAAAAAAAGATATTTTTCTTTTTAGGGGCGCTTTAAGGGGTTTGTGGAGGTTTGTAGCTGAACACGCCCCATTAGAGCCCAACTAAACAGAACGCGATTTGCAGCTCGATATTCGTTTCCTTTCCGCCCGAAAACAGCCGGTCGAGAGTTGACCGGTTCCAGTCGCGCTCTCTCTTTTTTCTCGAATGACGTGGCATTCAAACTAAGCGTACCAAATATATTCAAAGTCGTGGATCATCTAAGGGCACACATTCAAAGCTTCAAATACTTGGTGTGAAGAAAAGTGTTGCGCAGATCACAGTAAGTACACGTACACGTCATGGCGACATGGCGACATACTGCGGGCGGGACGACAAGATGGCGGCGCACGATGAGTCATCGTTGCAACACCACTTCGGAAGTGTCGTTTGTGATACCAGCCAATCGATCTTCAAATACAGAACACCGAGCGGAAGGGATATTAGTGCGAAACAATCGGAGAGGCCCGTTGACCTTCCACTTGTGTAGCATTTTTTTCTTCTTTCTTTTTGTCTCGCCGAGACGCACAGGGTTCATTCCTAGGGCTATCTTTGTCTTCCAGGATCTCGACCGGAAATTCGTCGTGGAGTCCCTGCGGAACCGGCTCGGCGACACGGAACCCGAAGTCGTCCAAGCAACCCTCAAGCTGGGAAAGGTCCGTGTCTCCTCAGCCCGAGATACTTACGAGCTCTTTGCTGTCGGAGGAAGGCCATCTTTACGACGCGTAAACCTCGATCGCAACTGAAATTATTATTTTGCTTTGCTTCTCACATCAGGAGTTGTGCACATTCGTTGGCCACGGCAGGGTTCTGGACGTGCTCGAGCGCATCCTCTTCGACACCGCAGAACGGAGCAAAAAGTGGTGGGTGCTCTCCTTCGTCTCTACTCGGGACTGCGAGCCAGCCCATTAGGTGCCTTCATTAATTTGACAGTCTGTTCTTTCGTCGGTCGATTGCACATGCAGTTTGCCCAGCTGCCTTAGTAGTGTGGTGGGTCTCCGGTCTTTGAGAGTCACTCAAAATATGCTTTGAATATGCTCTTTCGATGAACGTGTTTAGAAAAGCAGGTGCCCATCGTCAAACAGACTGCTAGCCTTTTTATAGCTTCAACCCTGGTGTCACGTGCAAGTATCATGAAGTTCATATAGATTTACATGCCGATCGCAGCAGCACCACCTTTTTGAGTATGTGCAATGGGCAAGACATTAGCGATCATGGAAGAAAAGAGTAGAATTCTCAAATTGTTCCACTTCTGTTTTTTCTTGGCAGTGCAGTGTCTTTTTTTTTTTTTTTACTATGTTTTGTTGTTAGCTGCGCACCTCTATCTTTTCTTTTTTTCCGCCGGAAGGAGGTCTCTCCGAGTCCAAGCGCTGCAATTTGCCTGCAACGACCTTCAGGAGTTTCTTGACGAGGCCCAGATACTGAGGGTGGTGCTTCCCCACCTGGCTCCCGGGGAAGACGGGGAAGTGCCCCTTGCCGCGGTGGTCCTTTCGTCCAAGCTGGCCCAGAGGTTTCCGCTCTTCAAGCCGCTGGTTGCCAACAGTGAGTGAAGACCCGACATTGGCTCTTTCGTTTCTTCATGTACAATCGTGTCTCGTTTAATCTAGACGCCTCTGTTCTCCCGAAAATATGTTTACAGTCGAATCCCGCAATAACGAAATCGCCGAGTAAGAAAATTGTTTTCGTCCTCGTGAGATTTTTGTTGTTGCGAAAATGGACAAATCAGCACGCCTATTACTTTCCATGATGCTGTCCTTGGATTTCAGAATCTTAGAAAGTGAGCTGCACAGGAGACTGAACTCCTCCACAATATTCTACTACTTTCTGCCTTTCGCAGCTTCGGCGATAATCGCAAAGCGTCAAAAACAAAAATAATAAACAAGGCGCGAGTGATCTCGGCGTGCACGCAGCAGACGGCGAAAGAGCAGCAGGTGGCCGGCGGTGTCGTCACGTGAGACGTTACATACTTACGTAGTTGCCAACAGATGGGCTAGCAAAACGCTGCTTCCAGCGACCCCCCCCCCCCCCAAAAAAAAACATTGTTGCTATTATTATTATTATTTGACAACTTGTCGGATGAATGTGCTGCTCCACTTTTCTTACTTCTGGGTTCCCAAGTGGCTCATGTGGTGAAAAAATGTTGCAAATCATTACCTCAAACTTTCGTTAATGTGGGACTGCTTTTTAAATCTCTTCACTGTTGAGAGGGTGCAAATGCATTGAACTCTATGGACGTTTGCCAGGGCCGCCAGATTTCTTCATTGCCGCGAGAATTTGGTTCTTGAGGGCTTTCGTTATTGAGGTGTTCCACTGTATAACGTAAACTGACCACAATATAATGCGACAGAAATGCATCTTTCACCAGTTCGTCCCTGAAACTTCCGTCTAGACAGCGGGGTATTCATATTCACCCCTTAACTGTTCTTTGTTTTGGCGGAATTTCCCATCCTCAAATACTTTATTGTTTTCTTCAGAATCAATCTTGTCACCTTCAAGATCAGGTTTCTAGCGACAAACGACATGGGAGAAAACTCTTAAAAAGATTCAGTGCTGCCACCTGTTGGCAGAACCGCAAACTAAGCCATGAACGAGCTTGGGTCGTCTAAAATGGTCGAGTGTGTGAACTGGCGAAAGCGGACGTGCTACACTCGTCCCAAACGGTTTGGGGATGGCTCCACATCGACGAGCTAGGCTCGTCCAAAATGGCTAAGGGGCTAACATACTCTGCAGGAGTGGGCAAGTTGGAACTCTGCCCGTTTTTTGTACGAACCCGTCGCAACGTTTCCCTGTCTTTTTAGCTTTGAAAAGTCGTTTTGTTTACTGCTGCTTGCCATTTTTATTTGTCCATCCTTTCCGATGCGAGGGTTTGGTCTCAAGAAAGGACGCCTTGGATTGGCCTGGCTAATGATAGCCATGAAAAAAGAAAATTGGATGCTTACTGCAATTACTGCTTACTGCAACCATAATCAACATGTGTAGCTATTCACACTGGGCGAAAATAGAGCTACTTATACTCAATGGGCCCGTGAAAATTAGCAGTGGGCTTAGCCGGGCTGGGCCGGCTGTCGGAAATGTATAACGGGCCCGCCGGTGGGTCCAGGCCCAAGAGTGTGCGGATTGGGCTAAGCCAGGCTCATAAAGATCGGCCCGTGCAGACCCCTACTTCCAATGTCTTTTCTAGAATTTCTTCGTAATTTGCTTGGTTGCACTCTAAGAAAATAAGGCAAAGTGTTCAGTGTTGGTTTTTCCTCTCTTTCCCACTTTTAGGTAAGGTCAAGCAGGCATTGGACCGTGGGGACGCCGCCGAGTTTATTGATCTCGCGCTCTCCCAGCTGGGTGAGGCTATTCAACAGGTCGATGACCCCATTAGCCTCGTAAGTGAGACTTTTCAAGTTTGGGGAATGCGTCAGCTTGCTCTCGACTGAAGCCTTTAGTTTCTTTATTGCTAAATATAAGGGTCACACTAGTGAAATGCCAATCGATGGTTCCCTTAAACTAGCACTGTCAGGGCAGCATCAGGGAAAGCACAAAAATATGGTGGTTTCTTCTGCCTTTTACAAATTATCACAAAAGAAATATCAAGTTAGATGCTGAATATTTAGACAGAAAGAGGTTTGTGTGCCTCAAGATATGGCGACACTGGTTCACACGGTAAGTGAGACATTTACCCAGTGCAGTATGACTGCCAGCTTGGGGTTTTCAACATGCATCATGCTAAAGAGATGTACAATTGTTTGCATTGCCCTGCTTTCCTTTTAATCTGTAATTAGGCTGCATTCTAATATTTCTTTTTTCACTCTGCCACAAAGTTTTTGGTAAAAGTAGATACAGTATAGACCACTTACAACGTAACCGCTTATAGTGCGGGACCGGGTATAACGCGGTTTTTTTAAACCACCGGTTCGTCTCCCATAGAACTCCATGTAATTACATACCGCTTAAAATGCAGGCGCGCGAAGGGAAATACCGGTTATAGTGCGGTTTCTGGCACAGCCCGCCGGCCGCGCCGACGACCGGAGCAGCAAGCGCGCTGACGGCGCGACGGCGCGAGCCGCAAGCGTTGCGCAAGCGGCACTCGCGGGGCAAGGAGGGTGCTCGAAGCTCGAAGAAGCGGGAGAAGCGAAGAGAGAGGCTTCAGTTGCCCTAGCAACGGAGGGACGCACGCACGTGTCGTTCACGTGCGTGCGTCCCTCCGCTGCGTTGGAAACAAACAACCGCAGCGACAGACCAATCGCAGGTCGAGGAGAAGTGTTGCGCGCGTTACATGCCGGTCGCGGGCCGGCTGTTTCTATCCGCAAACACGGCGTCGGTTGTGATCGTCGTCGTAGACGGCGTTCATCTCATCGTTCCGCGTAAAAGCGCTATCCTTGACTGTGAATTTTCGTTGTGTGTCGCTATGACAACCCAGCACGTATCCACCTACTCGTGCGGCGATGTCAAGGCGGCGCTCTCAAGACGGCAGAAACGCCCGTGTCGTCAAATTTGCTTACTTCGACTACAGTGGTGATTTCTAAGCATTTGTGTCCTCGAACATCGCCCGGATTTCTTATTTGGCGTATTTCATGCGTGCGCTCAAGTTCAAGGTATTACCGGCGCGTACCGTGTGAAGGATGCGAATTTTCACGCGTTTTCATCTCCGGAGAAAAGTGATTAGGGTTAGCAATCCTGAACGCTCTCAACGTCCGTCCGCAACCCGCGACGCCGTTAAAAGGCTGCGCCAGGCAAAAGCTGCTCATTTCTTTCAAAATGTGTAACACACTTGAGACAGAACTGTACTAGTCAGGTGAAATAAAGACTTTCCTCAAACTAAGCTTTATTTTTCATCTAACATAAAACAAATTATTTTCACAAGTGTTAATTAAGTTGTCTCATGGCATGTATTTTGGCCTGAAAAATTGATGTTTTGGTTATAGTGCGGTACCGCTTATAGTGCGGATTTTCGCGACTCCCGCGACATACGTTATATGCGGTCTACACTGTATACTGTCATTTTTGATTGTGAAAGCAATATGGGCTCTCATAGGTTGAATCCCTAAAGGGGTCTTGGTCTTTAAGGAGTGCAGCCCTTAGAGTAGAGAGACACATTGTTGGCATTGCGCTACACCTTCTCTTTCAAATGTTACTGGGTCGCATTATTCTATAATTTTTTTCTCCTAGGCCTAAAGCATGCAACAGACAAGCAATAAAACTGGGCGCCACTTGGCGTTCGCCACTGGCCGCTAGGCGCTCCACAGGTGCACGGTGCAGCTTTATTTGTTTTGACCAGATCCGAGCACCGCAATGCCGCGTGGAACTGATGTAGGGGCACCAGCGCCGGTTACACGATGCTGCCGCGCGGCGTCCATTTTTTTAGCTCATTTATCTCCTGCTGAAGAGTTTAAGTTTAAGCCTATGTCTAATAGACGGAGCAACTAGAACCATTGAAAGCATTTGCAATTTAATTGCAGCCACCTCGTGCGCATATCGGTTTCTTATGCGCATGCACGCATCGTCGCACGACGAGGAGGAGGTGAGCAAATAGGTGGAGCCAAACCTGAAGATGCTTGCAGGTGACTGATGCCGTGGCTTCCTCGGCGCAGCTCGTATAGCAAATGCGGCCCATAAACTGTGGGACCCCGGTCAAGTGGTTGGAAACACTCAAATTCAGGCACGCTACCCCTGCAAAGCCTTTGGTTAGGAGCACAATGGAGGAAGAAAGAGGTTTTGGAGCGAGGCCAGAAAGGGGTTTGAAATTCCGTTCGGGCTTTACGTATCTCCCAGCAGGGGCACTGTCGGGTTGGGGCTCCACGCGTAGGTTCGGCTGCGCACCTCGCCGCCTTGAAAATGTGCTTGCGAATGAAGATGGTTCCTCGAGCTCACGTCATGCTGCGGCATCTCGCAGCCTTTGCGAGAAACGGGAGAGAACCCTCGACAATGCCTGCTTTAAGTCGAGGCGGCGCCGTTCACACACCTCCCTCTTCTTCCACCGTGGCTACAGTAGTACTTGGCGCCGTTAAACTAGCCAGAAAAATGGCGCACGCATATACAGGGTGCGCACAGGTCCTTGAAACCTTTGAAAACCCTTGAATTTAGAAATTGGGTTTTCAAGGCCCTTGAAAACCCTGGATTTTTTGCTAAACCTTGAAAACCCTTGAATTTGAAAATTTTGCTCGCAGGGCCCTTGAAAGCCTCGGATTTTTTGGCTAAACCTTTAAAATCACGTGCATTTAGGTGGGGCATTTTGCGAACTTTCAAGGCATGCCTCTGATCCTGTGTAAAATAAGATCTACAAACGTGCCAGGGTCAGCAGCAGACCTATTTGGAAACAACTGATTTAGCGATGGTAGAGAGTTTAGGAGTAGAGAGGGTCCAGCCGAAACCATGGGGGGCATTTGCCATTTCATGGCAGACGCCTCTGGCAGGGATTGATCGCAAGTGCGCATGCACTGCGGTTTCACCTGGCAAGGAGGAAAGTAGGCGGAAAGGCGGAGACGCTCGCAGACGATTAACGCGTTCCTCAGCTTTTCACAAACGCGGCCCATAAACCACGCAACTCCGATCGAGCAGTTGAAAACTTTTTTTAATGTAGGCTCTCTAAGCGATGGTTCTGACATGTGCTGCCATCTCCTGGTAGGCTCAGCAAGCACACGACAGTGTGCGTCGCCTGCTCGCTGTGCCTATCAGAAGGTGGTACCACAAGTTACAAGTTTGAGCTAGAGTGTCCAGATTAAAGAGAGTCCATCCCAAACCATGTGAGAGCATTTGCAATTGAATGGTGGATGCCTCCTGCGTCACAAGTGCACGTGCTTTACATTTTCGCATGGCGAGGAGGAGAGCAGGCAAAAAGACGGAGACGTTCGCAGACGATCAAATCCTCATCATCTCTCCAGAGCTTGTATAGTAAACGCTGCCCATAAACCACAACCCCCCTTGAGCAGTTGAAAACTCCGCAATACAGGCTCTAAGCGATGGTTGTAACATGTGCTGCCATCTCCTGGTAGGCTTAGCAAGCACTAGATAGAATGTGTCATTTGTTTGCTGTGCCTATCGGGAGATGGCGCCACAATTTACAATTGTTAGTTTTCTATGTGCAGGTGCAAATTTCTCCGGCTTGTTCTACAGTGCCAAGATCCGTTGCAGACACCCTATAGATCTCTCTTTCTGAGTCGTAAAAGTAACATTGGTGCTTCTAGATTAAATCCCTGGAAGACGCCTGCTTTTCGACGAGCCCGGCTCCGCAACTCCGTTGCATCTGCGGAAATGTCGTCAACGCGCTGCTTGCTGCCAGCTCGGGTGACGACTCGGACCAGTTTCACACGGCACTGCACTTCTACCAGCGTCTGCTAGCAGAGAAGGGAGATGCTGTGAACGCCGAGTCCATGTCTGCCGCGATCCGTGAAGGCAAGGTGCCCCTGAAGACCGTCTGCGCGGGGCTGAAGTTGATCTTGACAAAGCTGCCACCTGTAGAGTTGCTCAGTGGTGAGTTTTGGGTAGGAAGGGGTTCAAGGCGGGATTCACAAAGACTTCCTTACCCTATGACAACTTAGCTAGCAAGTTGGCCAGTTCTTAGCTGTCGTCAATCATTGTATTATTAGAAAAAAACACAACTGGCGTATTTATCCTGGCACATACTCTTCAGATGTTTTTAAATTGTTCATTTTTTTAAGTTCGATAAATGATTGCAATGAAAAAATGTTCCAGGAGCCAAGACTCATTGTGATGAAACAAACTACACTGACTTTACATAACAAATATAACTGTAAGCAGAAAACATGCGTTAGCAGATGGGACAAGGAAAAAGTCAAAATAAAAATTGCCTTAGAGCAGGTCTAATGCAATTCCGTGCATTAAAGGCATTTCTGAGTCTATTCGCAGGCCCCTTGTCCCTTTAAACATTCAAACAACTTTAAAACCCCAGCTATGTGACCTCGTTTCTTCGAGTCTCTGTGTGGTGTTGTGTCTAAATTGAACTGTTTAGATTGTGACGCATTATATACTGGGGATACCAGCCGTAAACATTTTGCCCGTATGAAAGAACACAAGCAGGCTGTGGTGAAGGCCACAAATGCCACAGGGGTAAAGACGGAACTGGTGGACCATTGTTGGACAATGGGTCATGATTTTGAGGATGCGTCGACCTTGGCACGCGGACAAAAGTGTGGTCCACGAAGGTGCTTGGAATCGTGGTGCTTTCGGAGTAATTCATCGGCTATTATCTCCAACCGCAGTCCCCTTCTCGAATTGTACGCAAACTTTCCTAAGTAAGACTCCTGATTGTGGTGCCTCTCATGTCTGCCAACTAGGCATCACTGATGATATATCCTGTATTGCAGACGAAACGTCTGATTAAATTGTTATATTTGTTATGTAAAGTTGGTGTAGTTTGTTTCATGATTGGAATAGCCTGTCTGAAAGTGTTGTCGATGTTCTTAACACATCTCTGTTTGTAAAAAAAAAATCCTTGTTTCAAATTTTCTTTTTTAATATCTCGCTGTGTATTATGGTTATGTGTTCTTTCCGATTCGTACTCACCCCTGCCTTAGGCTGGGAGAATGAAATAAGTGATAAATACTAAAATAAAAGTTGTGCACATTGTAAGCTATGCGGAACTTAGTCATATCATTTTGTGGATGTGGATTCGTTCTTAGGATTTGCTGTATTCATGTCTTTTTTAAGTATGATGGTTTCACGAATATGACCTCTGGTGTCTACATAATAATAATGATATGTCTTGTCTGTTACTTAATTCTTTTTTTTTTTTTGTCTGAGGTATGTTTTCTAACCAGCTTGCCTGTATACTTTCACTCCTAATTATGATACCGTATTTACTCGCATATTAAACACACTTTTTACCTCGAAAAATTGACACATATTTGGGGAGGTCATTGCGCGGGGTAAACTTTTAGCATTTACATACTTCGTACAAATGTCATATTAGATGCTAATATGACACGGCAAGGTACTGTGGCACGTCTCCACTGATCGAGGCACACCCACGGATAGTAGGGGCCGTGCCACAGTAACCATGCTTTATAAATTGTGAACCATTTTAGGGCGCTTTCGGCGTGCCCTTTGCCGAAGGAAAAGCGCCCTACGAAGCTTACTCAACACGAAAAGCAATGCGACCGTGCGTGCCGCTCCATTTCACGGTTGATCATTTCTGCAACTTCCGCAACTACGCACTTGCTGCCATTACGAGAGCAACTTGGCTTGGCTTCACTTGGCTCGACCGTCTGGCAGCAAAAGAAAATTGGCTTGGTGGCTAGCTAAATTGGATGCAATTCAAGACTCGCGGAGCCAGAACTTGGAGATGCGTTGATCACACGAGGGGGAAAAAAAAATTGAAATATTAGTACCCATTGGGGGGGGTGCATTCATTATGCGAGTGCGTTCATTATGCGAGTAAATACGGTAATAATGTTTAATGTCAAGCTCGTCGGATAGTGGACAGATTTATGTGTTTGTTAAACCCGTATGGGGCGTCTAAAGCAGATGCTAAAACGATACTCTCATGGTGTTAAAAAAAAATTGGAAATAAATTAATTTGTGAATTGTAAAGATATATAAGATGCAATAATAACCATTTTTAGTGCTCAAATCCAGCCAGTTTAGGGTTTCCTACCATACACCATTCAACCAACAATACTGAACAGTGCTAATGCTACCTGCCTAACGTTTGTGGAAAAGTTTTGTGGAGCGCCGTTTCCAATTTCTGTCTGCTTTAGCACACGTATCTCTTGCAACGATAGCCATTACGACTTTCCAGCTGCATTCACGGAGTTTGCGTTGTTGCGTTTGCGTGCACCAGCCCATGACATGAGTCAAATCATGTGCACTTGGCTTTTGCCAGGCGGCAGTGTCTACAAGCTCCGCACCATAGAACTTGATTTGCTTAGACTATTAGGTATAAAGCAATTCATCTCTCGTAACGTTACCTGTCTTGATTTAGTATGAGGCAGGGACGTTGATTCATGTGTGCAGTGTTTCTTTTCCTACATGCTTCAGTAACCGCAAGGCTGTGTTACATGCGATCGGGTAAATGAAGAGTGAATAGACGTAAAAGGGTGTGTTGCTACGCGCTGTAATGGCTATCGCTGTCACTTCTTCGCATGGTGTGGCGAAAAGCTCTTCATTTTTGTCTTTTTTTATTTTTAAGTTTGGGTTTTGTTTGTCCCGACTGACAGAGAGCCCAGCTTGGAGCCTGAAGTACGAGGGGAGCTCTGCCGAGCGGATCGGCTTGCTCTCCGATTTGTTCAAGACGGTCGCGGACCAATCCACTCGCAAGGGTGGCCGACGGACCGCAATTCGTGGACTCTTGAGATACTTTCTGAATGTGCGTCCCCACCATAGTATTTATTGTTTGTGCGGCTTGTGACTTTCTGATTGGCAGGTATCGCACGATGATGAATTTACCGTGCATGTAGCAGGAAAGGATGGAAATGTGCTTCTGGCATGTCGGTATCCCATACTCAATCACCTGCACTGAGTTTTTTTTTTTTTTTTTTTTTTTTTTTTTTTTTTTTTTTTTAATTTATTTGAGAATACTGCCGGCCAACTTTTGAGGGCCAAGGCATGATAGACAAACATCAGAAACCATCAATGAGTCGAATGAACAAACAACAATAAACAAGTAGCTTAGTCATTAGTGACAAAAAACAATTCATCAACTGCACTCGCAAATAAAGCGGTAGAAGTAATCGCCGTCACACTTGGTGGCAACTCATTCCACTCACTAACAGAACGAGGAAAAAATGAGTTTTTATAAACATCTTTTCTGCAGCGGAACTCAAGGAGCAAATTCTCGTGCTTCTGCCTTGTAGCGCGACTCGCATTATACTGCAAATAATCATCAAAATTTAAACCAGCGTTATTATGAATTATGTTATGCAAAAATGTCAAACGCTTTACTTTCCTTCGACATGATAATATAGACACTCCGGAGGCGGTATACAATGGTGACACGTGTGAATCTTTGCCGTATGAGTTGTAAATAAACCTAAGCGAATTTTTTTTTTTTTTAAGGCCTTCCAATTGGTCAATAAGCGATTGCGAGTGCGGGTCCCATACGTCAGCATATTCCAGCAAAGGACGAATCAGTGATTTATAGGCCGTCAGCTTTGTCGCAGGAGTACAGTGACACATTTTCCTACGTAGCGACCACAATTTACTTGATGCTTTTGCGACAGTCTGCTCAATATGACTAGCCCAGCTTAAGTTGGACGTGATAGTAATACCGAGATACTTGTATTTATTAACTACTTCTAAGGCATTTGAATGAATAGAATAAGAAAAAAAAGATAGGCACCTTCTTCAGTGTAATTGACATCTGCACACATTTCTTGACATTCAAATTCATTTGCCATTTTTGACACCATAATGAAATCATTTGAAGACTCTCCTCTAAGCATTTTTGGTTAGATACACAAGATATATTTGAAAACAAAAGACAATCATCAGCAAAAAAACGGCACTGTACCGAGGGCTTATCAACTCTCAGGTCATTGATAAAAACCAAAAAGAGCAATGGTCCGAGTACTGAGCCCTGGGGCACTCCAGAAAGAACAGGTAACTCTATTGATTCAGCATTGCCTACGCACACAAACTGTTTGCGATTTGTCAGGTACGAGTCTATCCACCTCAGTGGGCAATCATTGCCCAACACTTGCTTCAATTTGTGCAGTAACTTGCGATGCGAAACCCTGTCGAACGCCTTCGCAAAATTTAAGAAGTCTGTGTCGGCTTGACCATTATTATTAATCACTGAACCAAAATTGTGGACCGTATGAAGCAGCTGTGTCACTGTCAAAAAGCCTCTTCGGAACCCATGTTGATAATCTACTAAGAAAGTTTCAGATTCTAGAAAAGTTACAATGTGCTTAACTATGAAGTGTTCGAGAACCTTGCTACATGTACTCAACAATAACACTGGTCTGTAATTGCAAACACTTTTTTTCTCTCCACTTTTATATATAGGAACAACTTTGGCTACTTTCCAATCTTGAGGCACGTCGCAAGTTTTTAAACTGCAAGAGTAAATCACGTAAAGAAACTTGGAACACCATTCAGCGTACCTTCGTAAGAAAGCGTTAGGAATTCCATCTGGGCCACTCGGCTTTCTAGTGTCTAATTGCAAAAGACTTAAAAAAACCTTCTGTAGAAACCACCAAATCACTGATTCCACAACTGTCATGATTAAATGAAGGCAACATGCAGTTATCAACGGTTAAGACGGAAGAGAAAAAATAATTAAGCTCACTTGCTATGCTCGCTTCATCGGCAAATGTCTGCCCGCTATTAATAAGCTCCTTAATCATCACCCTTTTTTTTGTCAAATGAGCCCAGAACTTTCTCGGATTTTCTACGAGAAAGTTGTGCTTGACCTGGTCATTGGACTCTTTCTCTCTGTTTCTCTCTTACGCTTGTCCATTTGCACTAAGTTATTGAGTCTCGCTTACTAAATAATTCACTCTCACTGTATCAGTCGATTGCTAAGTCTCACTCTGTCACTACCGCTAAATCATACTTACTCAGTATCAATGTTCAACCTTTCAAATCTTGGTTTCACTTGCTTACTCAATTCCTAACTCATTTGTTCAACCACCTAATTTAAGACTCACTCAATTGCTGACTCACACTCACCTATTCAGTCATGATCGCACACTACTGAGTTAGCACTTATACTCAACCTCTTAACTCCCACTCACTCAATCCCTAAGTTATACACCAACTCAACTCTCCTACGTCACGCCGCGGTGGTGGCGCGCCGGACGCACTTCCGGTATGGGGCGGTGGGCAGAAGTCGCCGTGCCAGACATGCATTCCTGTGTCCCTTTGGAAGAAACGAGACAAAAAACCTGCCTTCTCGTCAAAATGCTGCGACGGTCGCTTTACCAAGAGAGTTTGTAAAGGTTTGAAGATCAGTTTTCATGTGTTTTTGCACCCTCCGTTCGTCCGAGAACGTGGATAGTAGCCGTGAAAAGGGCAAACCAGACGCTGTCGAACTACGATTGCGTGTGCGGGCCACAATTTGTGGTCGCCAGATGTATTTGCTTTGTTTCAACATGAACGAGAGAAAACCCCCAAGTCGTCCGGGCCACCCACGGGTTCAGTGCGTCTTCAAATTCACACGGCCGCCTGATCGTTCGAACTTTCGTCTGCTCTTTCAAAGTTGTCTGCTTTTTGTCGTCTGCTCGTTCAAACAAAAGCGGCCCGTTGACCAAACTTTGACCCGGTGATTGCGATAAGAAGTAATTGCAGGCCTCAAAAGGCTTAAGTAGGCTCGGTGTGAACAGTAGATACAAGATGTTAATTATTGGTACCGGTGGCCATCACCTACTTGTTACGCTTGGTCTGTTCCCGCTTCCGATTTTCAGTATCGACGTCGATCATCGCCGCTACCTTTTACACTTTTGCAGCACGAGCGACGTCGCGACCGAGAATAGCTACAAGAATCTCATCATGGTTTTGGCGTCCATTCCGCAGCCTTCATGCGAATGAATCGCCGCACGTCAAATTATTTACGGAAAGTTTAGCGGCGAAACGAGCCTTGATAATTTCGCTCAGGCGATTCAAGTGGTAAGACATTGCGATGAGGACGTAGAATCGACAACTCCAACGCGCAAAAGAGTATGCAGACTCACACAGACGCCGACAACGTGACATTCGAATGGTTTGTTGACGCGGGACGCGGTGCTTCTTCCCCGTACTCCATTGCGCGTGCGTTCGAACTGTCGTCTGCTCTTTCAAACTTGGCTGCTTTTTGTCGTCAGCTCGTTCAAACGACAGCGGCCCGTAAACCAAACGTTGACCCGGCAATTGCGATAAGAACTACAGTAGAACCTCGTTGATACGTTTTTCAGGGGACCGCGGAAAAAAAGCGTATCAACCGGGAAAGCGCAGCAACCGATAACGCACTTAAAGGCACTCTATATAAGATAGAAAGCAGCTCTTATGCAATGGTTTATTTTATGCACTTACCGACTTCTTTTGGACTCAGACACGTTCACAAAAACGCGTAATATCCACCTGCCGCTTCGAATTAATGGTATGCAGTAAAAGTCGTTTCTCCAGAAGCCGCAGTCCCCTCTCACTCTCCGCGCAGTCATGAACGTTTACGTAGCGGCGCAAGGTGTCCAACGCAGCGATCGCGTCCGCAAACGTGGGTGCAGCGTAATCGTTGGTTTTTTGTTCGTCTTCTTCATTACTTTCTTCGTTGTCGGCAGTAGTGAGGTCGGCCACAATGTCCGCTATGCTCGATATCCGAACGATCAGCAATCTCTTGCGCCTTCTCTCGCAAAATCCCTCCGTCGATGTTGACACAAGATACCCGGGCTTGTTTGAACCATACCAACAGGGCCTCCTCTAACTTTGCGTGTTTTGCCCCCCGAGCCTGTTTAAAGCCTGGTTGGCCTGGTTGGTAGAAAGGAGCCTTCGCCTCGATCTCCTTTCGTCTCGCGACGATACTGTTTAAAGTTGACGGCGCGAGTCCAAGCTCTCTTGCGACCTCAGACCTCTTCCGGCTGGGATTTCGATCCACCGTGCGAAGTATGTCAAACTTCTCTTTAAAAGAGAGTGCTTTTCTTTTCGGGATGTCATGGCCGTCGTCAACGCGCACGCACTCAGAAACGGCACTGTTCACGCAGTCGAGCTGTCGAGCGGAACAGAAACTGGAAGTGCAGCCAGTGCAGCCGTCGCGGCGTGCGTGCGGCGCGTAAACAACTCGCGCCGGAGAGAGAGGACAGATGAAAAGAAAGAGCAAGAGAGAACGAGCGTTTTCGCAGAGCTCAGCAAAGCCCAGTCGGCCCAGTGAGGAGACCGGGAAAGAGGGGGAAAGGAGTAAAGGGAAGGGGGGCGCCCGCGTGCCGCGCGGCCGCGCGATCCGCGCTGCGTGGTTCGGCTGTTCGGCTCTGCTTCGCTTCGCTTCAAGCCGGCGTGGCACCTTGGCGCACGGCGCGCCGAGGCGCCGAGGCGCCGCGATTCCGGCACTTTTGGACGCAACAACCGGGAAAGCAGACGTAACAGGCAGGAAACTAATACATGTATCTCTATGGAAGTAAAACGGGACCGGCGTTTTTGAACGCAACGGACAGGAAAACGTATCAACCAAGAACGTATCAACGAGGTTCTACTGTAAGTGCAGGCCTCAAAACACTTTTGAAGGTTGGTTGGCCGGGGTAAATCGGCTAAGTGTGAACAGATACAAGAAGTTGTTGATCATTGTTACCAGTGGCCATCACCGACTTGTAATGCCCGATTCTACTTGCGGTTTTCAGTACCGATGTCCACCATCTCAGCTACGGTCCACGCTTTTGCAGTCCGAGCGACGTCGCGACTGAATATAGCGAGCAGAACCTCATCGTGGGAGTCAGGCTTTAGCGCCCGTTTTGCGGCGTCCGCTTGAAATGAATCGCCGCACGTCACATTATTCACGCAAAGTTTTGCCTCGATAGTTTTGCTGAAGCCGCTCAAGTAGTCAGACATTGTTAGGAGGACGTAGAATCAATTCCAACGCGAAAAAGAGCACGGGGACTCCCACCGACGCCGACAACAACGCAATTCAATGGTTTGTTTATGGGCGACGGCGGGCTTCTTGCCCACCATCCACCGCGCATGCGCGGCGCCGGTGGCGTCCGCTAGGGGCGCTCCGGTTTGTTTGTAAACATGAGTTGGTGTATACAGTCTAAGCTCGTTATAACAGACCTTGATTTTCATGAAGATTTCGGTCTGTTGTAAGAAGAGTATGTTGTATGCAGATATGAAGTTGAGGCAACAGTATGTAGAGGAAAACGAACCGAACTTCACAAGTCAGTATGCTATATCCAAATATCTGTTGTAACTAGGTCTCTTGTAATGAGCGTAGACTGTACTTGTTCAACCACCTAATATCACACTCACTCAATCACTATCTCACAGTCGCCGCTCACTCATACAATCTGTGACTCCCTCATTCACTCACTCACACTTACTCAATCGCCAACTCTCACTCACTGACCTACAGATTCTCAACAGAAATTTTAATTTCTGTAGTTGCCACTACCTTTTGCACTCCTTGCAAATAAAATTTGTCTAAAGAAACAATTTGTGGTTTCAGGAAAAGGAAAAACAATTTATGAAAAATTTATGGCAAATTGCTGGGCAATTGTGTTGCATACATGGCACATTCTAGCATAGCAAACATTTAGCGGTAGTTTGAGTTTCTAGATACCAGACGTCCACGGCGCTCCTCATGAGATAGTTTAACGCGTACCATCTGTACACTTGAGAGTCGTTTCTAGAATGAAGCAATAGCACCGCTAATCGGGCTGATAAAAATAGTGATTTTCCAGAGTCTTCCATACTCAGGAGCTCCTTTCCCTCGGTGCGCACAGGTGGTCTTGCTCCTCCTTGCCTGCCCATATTTTCACATGACCTCCCCCATTAACCAATCAGCGTCGAGCACCTCACTCCTCTCCCACTTGTCGACCAATCAGTGTCAAGCCTCGCAGCCACGCTTTTATCTAGGCTTCACTTTTAGGCTTCACGAAATGCCGAAGAACACCCAGCCAAAGAATGTTTCACATTAAAAATATCTTGACATTGTATGTAGCGTTCCTTTGACTGGAGTCTTGACACTGAGTCATTCTTTTGTTCCAGACCCACCTTCCGAGCTTGAGACACCAGATGAACTTTCTGAGCGGTCTGTGGAACAGGCACCTCACAGCTTCAACCGCCCCGAATTCCCCAGACGAGAGGGCTCAGTCATTGGCACTGGCAGTCGCAGTTCAGCTCGTGCAAGGCTCGGCCGACGAGAAGCAAGAGAAGCACGACTGGATGATCTCGGAAAAGAGTCTTGGTCAGTGGTGCTTTTGTTCTTATTATTGCACCTGTACACAGTGACGTCGCAATAAGCGCTCACCCCCTGCTTTGTAAACTCCCAAAAAAAGGTCAGAGTACCGTATTTACCCGAAAATAGGTCGACCCCTTTTTATTGAACCCACCGAGAATTTAAAAAATTCAAATATATGGGTCGACCTTTTTTTTTTTGGAACAGTTGAATCTTAGGGCAAAAGAAAGAAACAAACCTTTATTTACAGCACTCTTGGCTAAATCGCAGGGCGATTTAGTCCCGCTTACCTGAATCAGATGTTGTGATTCAATCGAACTCTTGTTGATTGAGAATAATGAATGTCTTTTTTTTTGTAGTATTATATAACAATCTTTTATTTTTTGGTTTTATTGTTTCCAAGATGTGTTCTCTTTCATGGTTAAACTTCATTTATCTGTGTCTACTATATTGGTTTTGAATATGTATTCCCACCCCCCCCCCTTCTTTTTTGTAATGCCTTGGGGTGCTGAAAGGTACCTAGAATAAATAAATATGAGCGAAGGGCATATCAAGCACCCTCTCCGGCAGACCTACGAACCTGCCGCATTCGGCGACATGTTTCTTTGCGTCAACAGCTTTTCCGACAATGCAGTGAAGGTTCGTGCATGCTTGCTGAAGCAAAGTGGTGAAACTTTATGCGAGAGTGCCGGCGCGAGGCGAGCTTAACATGGACAGAGCATCTCCACCGGTCATCATTTTCGAATTTGGGATTACGACTGTCTTCAGCTAAAGCAGTGTCTCTGAATTACAACGTAGAATTTTTCTTTTGATATTGTGTGTTTCGGGTGTCTACAACAAAACCGAAACTATCTGCTAGTGGGATAGCAACACTGATCATCAGCCATACGGCTGCAATGTGACGTCACCGTGGCAATGTGACATCACAAAAAAAAAAAAAAAAAAAAAATCGAGGGGAGAGGGAAAGAGCTTTAGCCCCCCCCCCCTTTTTTCGGAAATTTCGGGCTGTTAAAGAAAACAGTACGAGGAAAGAAGGCGTGGTCAAGCTTATTTTAATCTGAAATTATTTATACATATGTGTACCTACTGTCGCTCTTCACTGCATGAAAGATCGCATAGATGGTCATTGTCGGAAACTCTTTGTCAGAAGGCACTACTTGTCACATGATTAGTGGTTTGGAAGTTGAAAGCTATGTCTTTTCGACCTAAATAACTGTGCCATCTGTAAAAAAAATTAAACATAACAATAAATGCAAGAATGAAAAGCTGGAGAGAAAAAAAAAACTATCAAGAACCTCCCAGAAGTGTTGTATTTTTGCATATTCAGAGGCCCAGAACTTTGAAACAAGGTTTACTCCTACCAAAATGTGTACAGGCTAAAAGAAACGCATCCCAAAAACGTAAAATGAGCAAAAAAAAATAATTTTTTTTTTTTTTTATGTTGTGCTGAATTTGAACAGTATTTGAAATCTTTTTCCATGAGATAATTCATTCCTCAATGTGAAAAAAACAATAAATACATTATTTTGTATTCTACAGATGGCAATGATATTTACTGTCTGTGGTGTTAATTTAAATGTGATACCTCGAATAATCTAGACGAAAAAAATTACCAAGTTTAGGGCATAATTGCTCGTAGAACCATGTTTGGACATTTCTTCGAAACTCATTGTGAATAACAATAATCATACCTTAAGACGACACTTACCGAGGCTATACATACATCATTCTTAAAAAGTTTAACATCTCTACCATAAATAGCTTCGGCTATAGCGCGCTTCAAATCTGGCACAAACGACAATCGTCAAAAGCCCGTCGTCCTTCCTCGCTCCTTCGGAAATTAATTTCTTTAAAACTAAGTATGCCGGAACACTGAAATAAACGGCATTGTCTTTCGCAAGGAGTGCAACACCGCATGTAAAAATTTAAAAAAAAAAAAATGAATGTATTTCATTGTCGGAATCGAAATGATCCAGGCCCGCCGATCTTTCAGAGGTCGACGAACTTCAAACTTTTACCCTAAAAGTTCAAAGTTTGTCTAACTTTTGACTTTACAAAATTCCAAGGTTTGAACATTTTTGAATTTTTTAGATAAATAAGTTTAAAAGTGCGAAAAGTATTGAATCTCTTAGCGTAGGAGGTTCGAAAAGTGTCTATCCTTTTAGTGAAAGAAATTCAAAATTTCGAAAATCATCAAAATGTTTAGTCTATCAAGTTTGAAAGTTCGCCAAGCATTGAATTTTGCAGCGTAATAAGTTCGAAGGTTCGAAGAACGTTGCATTTCTGAACGTGCAAAGTTCAGAATTTCGAAAAGCGTCAAACTTCTTAGTTTAACAAGTTCGAAAATTTAGGGATATAGAAAGTTCGAAAATTATAAAACTTTGGGACGTTCTGAAGAGCTTCATTCAATCATTGAAAAAAATTTGCAGCATCCTTATTCAGAACTACGACGTGTGACTTTGACGAAAACGAAAAGGCTGGTTTTGACGAAAACCCCGCAGTGTCTGTCCGTTTCTTTTTTATACCTTTTTGGTTATAGCTTGAAACTTTTCTCGCTCTTTATTTTCACCCAATTTGGTCTCGGTTTTAAGTGGGCTATCTCGTCTCGGGGTGTTGCGGGATGTTTGCACCGACGTGACGCCGTCTCCTCCCGCCGCAGTGTTTCTGTCGATGCTGCTTTCCCTGCTGTCGCCAACTTTTGAGATTCGCCGCCTGGCCGTGTCTCTCATCGAAAAGGCCCTGGAGGTGTCGCCGAAAACCCGGTCCGGGCTCTACTCGCTCGCCAGCAACATTGTCGACCAATCCGCCGAGGTCGCCACAGACTCCGAGTGAGTGTCGTTCGAAACACGTTTTTTGTCGTAATTAGTTATCATAATGGGAGCACAATGCGGAAGTAGGCTACACTATCCTAAGGATTAGGGAGGATTCAATTGCAAAGTGTATTAATTAAAATTTTAAAAATTCAAAAATTTTTTTTTTAATTGCGCAGTTTTACGACATGATGAGTTTAGACAGTGGCAGCAAGTTCGTGATGGGCTTTCCTGCTAAAATCTAGCAGAAAAACTGAATTGGCGCATAAGTCACGGGATGTCAATTTGTCCGTCAGTCCCGTGACGTGAGGTCATGTGACACTACTTTTCCCGCCATATTTAGCGGGGAAACTGAATTGGTGCACAGGTCATGTGACGTAAATATTTCCGCTAAATTTAGTGGGTTAACTGAATTGGAGCATAGGTCATGTGACGTGTAATCAAATGTTTGCCCCTTTGTGTTGCAGGCAGCTCGTGCTGTTGGTCGCAAAGTGGCAGCAGGGCCTAAAGAAGCCCAATTCTCTGCTGGCCCTTCTGAACCACAGCGAAGTGCCAACGTCACTGAAGCTGGGAATCCTTCAGCTTGTTGCGCAGGTCGGAACGAAGGTGAGTTTCGACCCCCTGGGCAAGTACCGGAACACCGGTTGATAAAATGGGGTTTTATACACCTTCTGCCGAATTTCGTAAACCCCAAGGAAAATGCCGGAACTTGGGTACACACACGCTGCATGCACTTGTTTCTCCGTATAAAAGATCCGATGTAAATAACCAAAAAGGGGAGTTGAGCACACGTTCAAAGTGCCGTTTCTTTTATATTTTTTCAGTACGACAGTTACTGATGCAGATGCCAGCTTGTGCAGTATGTCTAACTACACTCCCAGCACGCTCCTTGGTGCTTGAGTAACCTAGCCAAAAACCTATTGTGCCGAAATTAGCTGGGGGTTTGTACAGTCGAATCTCGTTAATTCGAACACGCTTAATTCAAACTTTCGGTTTATTCAAACTGATGCTGTGGTCCGCTCTACACTATATGTGTTTCAATGTGCAAAAACGCTCGGTAATTCGAACGCTTAAGCGTTGGCGCTGGTTAATTCGAACATACCGTGCTGCCGACCATACTCTCAGGAGCGCGCAAACTCACGCGGCAGCGCCTCCTACCCGGCCGTGTGGCTGCGCTACGCCATGCGCCAGCTGCTACTTCCAACTTCAGTTCCAAGTAACCATGACAACCGATCACGTGGTGACCTTGAATGCTGCGATGAGTGGTGCGGTGCTGGCAGTGGCTGTTGTCGTTTTCTCTCTTGCACGGGGACGTTGCTGCGCTGCTGCTCTTCGGCGTGTTTTTGGTGGCCGTGGACAGTTACGTTTATTGCCTTGCACTCGCATGTTGCTGCTCTTTGGCGTGTTTTCGGCGGGAGCACGACTGACGTTATCTGGATTCGAAGCGTCGTGGATAACTGACGCCGATATATACCGTATTTACTCGCAGAATGAACACACTTTTTTTTTCCGAAAAATCAGTGCAAAGTTCGGGGGGGCGTTCATTACGCGAAGAAAAATTTTTGTGTCCGTATTTACTCGCATAATGAACGGACCTTTTATCCTGAAAAAAAGTAACTTCTTATCTCTTTGCGCGCGGCGCCTGTCGCCCGTCCCCGTAACCAAACTAAATGCGCCGCAAGACAAGGACAGAGTAAGTGACACAACACGAAGCGCTACTTTCAACTGAATGTTTATTGAAAACACACTATTTATGTACCCAATCGGGCTTCTCAAGTAAGAATTCAAATTCTTTGTCTTTCAGATGCACTGACGGGGCACTAATGCACTTGTCATCCCCCTGCATTCTAATATTAAATGACTCGAAGATTTCTCTCGAGATTTTACTTCTCAGCTTTCCCAGAATTTTGGGTAGTGTTTCACTGTACATAGAATCTCTCCAGAGTAAAAGAGTGATAGAATAAAGCTGTGAAAGCACAGTATGACCTCTCTCAGTGTAGCGAACTTCTGGACATACGGGAAACAAAGTTGATATGCATTGTAATACTGGCATACTATGCATTACTCGGCATGAACAGAACATCCACGCCTTTCTGCATTTTAATTTGAAGGAGTGTTTGAGGGCACCAAAGTTTATGGCTTAGGTTAGCGCCTCAAACGAGCACTTCCTACCATTATTTGATTATTTATTTATTTGAAATACTATTGGTCCTACACAGGACCAAGATAGGAGTGGATTTGCACAACACAGAAACACGCGCTCAAAATTCACGGATCAATAACATGTACACAACACAACTATGAAATGTCAACTACAGGGCCTGCTGGCAGAAATCTGTGAAACAAGGGAACCAAACTCTTTCCGAGTTCCAGCGGTCACGACATTTTCTGGGAGCTCGTTCTATTCTCGCGCTCTTTGCAAAAAGTGTGAGCACCTAAGACTCTAAGAGAAAGAGAAGACAAAAAATTGGTGACCGCCTCTTCCGCTATCGGCGTCGTGCTACGTATGTACATTGAAATACCACTTGAGCAAACTTCAAGGGACCCTGAGGAAAAGTCTGAACACTGGAAAGGTCACTCAACTCATTGGACAATTACAAATGCTTGTTTACCTGAATAGATTGTTCAATTGGAGTTTATTCGAGTGGTAGTATTTTACTGTGCATGCCTTTGAGCTACTGAGACTGGAGGTACCGATGTAGCGTTTTCTCTCTAAATCTTACTTCACTGTAGAGAGGCATCTGCATGCCATATCATCCTCCCGAATCGACTGCAATCCCACGAACGCTTTTAGGCGACTACTGAAGCGCACGATTTAAAGGGGAACTGACACATCAAAATTATTTTAGAGGCGAAGCTCCTTAGGGTCTAGCCTTGTCCATCCGGCGGCCTTGCTCACATCAATTGCCGTCCCATCTGTCTTCTTAAAAAAAGAAAAAATGTTTGCGCAGTCGACAGGATTCGAACCTGTGTGGGGAGACCCCAATGGATTTCTAGTCCAACGCCCTAACCACTCGGCCACGACTGCGAGACGAGTAGGGGGCTTTGAGATGTGGTAGCAACTCAAGAACTGGGGATGTCATGGATGAAACGTTGCATGTAGCTGCTCAACATCTATACAAGAGAGAGCGCTGCGGTCAAATGCGTATATAATCGCGTTAAACTTTGCATGCATTGGCTCAACGTTTATAGACGAGAGGGCGCTGCGGTCAAATGCTCAAATGCATATATAACCACGTTTCATACCACACATTTTTTGCAATGCGTTTTTTTTTTTTGCGTGTTTAGGACTACAACGTGCATCGTTTTAGACAATAAAAAAAATAAGACCTTTTGGGTGTCGGTGCCCCTTTAAGGTCTTTCTCTCGTAATCAAGCTTGCTTGGGACAGAATTCCTAGTTTCCGGCGGCAACTGTTAGTGGGAACCTGCCCGGAAATTGCACAGTCGTCCTTCGCAAAAGCCCCCCCACAACGTCATCAAACACACAGTCGCTTTCTGCCTCCGAGTTTATAGAAAAAATCGCTCACCAGTCACTTAGCTGTGCTTGGAGATTTATGTTTGTCCTTTGTCCCTCTTGTTCCCCTTTTCCATTGATTATTTTCGTCATTCTTGTCCAGCTCGCTTGCACCTTTGCATTTAATTGTATTATAATTATAACAAATTTCCATCTGCTCAGCCGGATTTGAGCCAGCAACCTACAAATGACAGCAACTGTATCCTCAACAGTTGTCTGCCCCATCGACTGAGCTATCGACGGGATAGTTTTCTGTGAATTAAAGAAGATGTACACTCGATTTCTTTCTGCCATTTATAACACTTCGGCATCTCCCGAGCCGCAAGCATGCATACAATGCCAAAGCATGACAAAAGACAACGAACATGTTCGAAAAGGATGTCCTGCCATTCTCACCTTGCCAGCCATTATAGAAGGTGTTGGCCATAGCAGACGCCCCGTCAGGCCGGCGCACGCGCATGACCATCCAAGCAGACGAACTTGCAGGCCGTATTGCCAGATCTTGGAAAGTTCAAGGCAGGTTCGATGAACACAAATTTCGGTTATGGCACGCCAAGGCCATGCCATTTTGAAGACAAGACCTGCACCTTTTTTCCCCGGAACGTCATCACTAGGGGATCCACGCTGCGCCACCTGCCTCGTGTCGAAATCAGTGCCGGCGCGTCTTGCAGGCATCTCTCAACGATGGCAACATTAGCTTCCACTTCACTCTTCACCTGTCGCCGACAATAGGCGTTGTTGGCTGAGGAGGCTTGTCGTGAACGAAGTATGGATAAGGCATGGGAGGGAAAGCAAAATGATGGTAAAATGCTCAAAATCGTGCTCGGGGGGCGACGCAGAGAATGGACAGTTGGGCTAGTATGCAGGACAGCACCTTGTCCTGTATGTATTTTTTTCCTCTGTGGCCTTGTGTTTCACGCTTTTTTCATTATGGCACAGGTACGACAGCGGCACCACATTGGGGACTTTTAGTAGATCATGCACCAGAGCTTCGGGTTGCTAGCGGGTGCTCGTGCCGTTACTGCTTTAAAGGATGGATCGAGAACGCGCCCACTAGGCCCACAATTCATGGCGTTCAGTCTACTAAAACTCTCGAACGATGGAAAAATATGCAAACGCGGAGCCACTGTTGCTGTGACACACGTTACGTTTTAGCGTAATTGCATTCAAATTTTAATGCAAAAGCACTAACTTGTCTCATGGAGCGAGCCGACGTCATCAGCTTTGAGACCACACCAAACGGCTCTTAAATTTTTCTCCAAGTCAAGCCAGCTCCCATTCGCCGGTTAGCTACATCACCTTTTACATCGCTTCGATCCCATTGGCTAGCGCACGTCGATCAGGGTCCCATTCGCTGGACACGCAGCGCCATGGGGTGGTCAGTCGTTGAAACTGACGGTGCACGTCAGTTTCAATGACTGGTCACTTCATGGTGCTGCGTGTCCGTCAGCGCTAGAGTTTCTGTATAGGCTCCCTACGGGAGCCAGAGTTGCGCGTCTGTTTTGCACGCGCTGCCGCCCCCCTATTTGTCGAGATCCGATCACATGAAGAGCCGGGTCAAGTGCTGTCGAAGAGAGTAGACATTGCGCGTGCCCGAACATACGTTCCCCTGCTTTTGAGCACACCACGCACCTCGAACACACGGCGCTGCCATTTGCCGAATTCAATTACGTGCGGAGCAGGATTAACATGAAAGGCAGCGCTACGGGGATGAGCGAGCAACTCTGTCCTATACAGAAACTCTAGTCAGCGCCAGGTCAGCGCCAGTCAGCGTGCCAACACGCGTACAGCAAGAATGATGTACAGTAAAACCTCGTTATAACAAAACGGGATATAACAAACTAATGGATATAACAAAGCAATCATAACTCCCCTTGCTTGCTAATAGTGGGAAGAAATGGACATTGTCTATAACAAACTAATGGTTATAACGAAATAATTACGACCGCTCCTTCAACTTTGTTATAACGAGGTTTTACTGTACATGCTTTCACATCCACATCTCATAAGAAGTGCTTAGGTGTACCTCAATCTTTTTTGTAATTATAAAACTGAGTGCACAAAAAACTGGAACACAAGCAGATGAGCACTCCTTTTGTGTCTTCTTTCGCGCACTTTTTTATATTGAATCAGTACCAACTGGTCCAGTTTTGAACACTTCTCCTTTCTCTCTTCAAGAAAAAAATTTCATCCCGATTGCATCTCACGAACACAGGAGTCCCTGGAATCTGCGGTGCGTGCCGTCTCCGAGGTGCTGGACGAGGACGACCGGGACGTGGCTCCGCCCCTGAGCGCGGCCAAGTCGGACCTGGTGCGGGCCTGCCTGTCCAAGTATGCGGAGGCGGACCAGGTGGGCCGTCTGGCGGACGTCGAGGGGGCCGTGGAGACCCTGGAGCGCGCCCTGCGCTGCCCCAGGCTGTGCCAGGGCTGCGAGCCCGTGTCCACCGTTGCGCTGCGCGTGGTGAGTGTATGTCTGCTCCACCTTGCACGAAGCAACTTTTCCAAAAACTGCTGCCTGCGCGCTGCCGTCCTTGTCTGCTGGGTTGTGAAACGCCTTCTAAGCATGCACCGTAGCCCTGTTGTGCGGTATGTCAGACGCTGCGCATGCGTCTGCAGCTCAGCGACTCGGCATTTTTTGCCCGGATGATAAGCGCTTGAAAGGTTTATGGACGCATTGCACTCGTGCCAGATTACGCCACCATTGCTGACCTCTTGTCTTACCGTTGCGTTGAGCCACTGAAGCGGGCGTTGACGAACCTCCAGAATTGTTTTTCCTGGAAAGAAGGGCGCGGCAGAATGCAAAATGCCGATAACCTGTCCTGCTGTGATAGCGATGGAGTGAATTGAACAGAATAAGGGAATCGAAAAGTGAAGGTCAGTTATGGCAGTGCCCACGCACAACTGACGCAAAGCATCTATTGACTTTGCAACAGCTGAAACTCTGCTGTCCGGCATTGTTTTTAGTTGGGACTAAATTTTTATCGATACGTTATTGAATTTAAAAATTTGGTCTTTGCCTTGATTTTTAGACTGAGATGCTTTACTGCCAATACTGAAATGGTTAGGAGGTCGACAGTGTGAACGAATGCTAACAAAACTCTCTCTAGCATAATAAAGTAAAGGAAAAAAAGAATGAGCATTATGCTGTGTCTTTTGGATTACCTGCTTGACCTGCAAGTTTTATGACGTGTGACATCACCCAGCTGGAAAATGCAGGGAAATTTGATAATTTCTTTTGGCATCACCTTCATTTGTCGTTTTCTCAATGGCCATTCATAGTGTGCAGGGAAGACCAAAAATGTTGTTAGTTTGGGCACCTCAAAGAAGCGCTGGACGACCCCTTAAATGACTCGTTACGAGATAAGATTCTGTTGTGTTGTAAAGATATTGCTTTATATGCTGTAGATTCTGTCTGGTGGTTTTGGTACTGATTTGTGGCCTTATACTCTTGTGGAGGTGAGCAAGGAGCTGGTGCTGAAGCTGTCCAAGGAGAAGCAGTCGGCGCTGCTCGAAATTCTGCTGGACTTCGCTCAGGAAGCGTCAGAAGTGCAGCACGCGGCGGTTCTCAAGGCTCTACGCAAGGTTTGGAGCTGGACAGCCATCACTTATGTAGAGCTCGAAACTGGACGCTTGTTTTTGCCGGATTTTCATCACCAGGTTGCACCGCTGTCCGTGCAAAGAGTTCTAATGGGGGATCTGTTTTCTGGCTGGCACTCTGCAAAGGGATGGTACGTCACAAGTAGGGCATACATCTCAGGCAGGTGTTTCACTGGACATATTTTCTGTTCACAGAAGTTTGTCACAAGCCAAAGCATTTTTTGAAGAAAAAAATGCTTTGAAATAAATTTCACTTATTTTTTAATTATTTTTTTTTTATTTGAGCTTTTCGGTTTTACAAACTTAATTATACACCCTTATACTAAATTTGATAACCATACTCCAAATAGTTATGTTGATATAAAATATTTTCAACAGATTGTGAGGCTGTAACAAAGTAAAAGAGTTCAATGTTTGAATGCATTTTTCTGAGTTCCACTTTTTGCTGCAAAATTCATACGAAGGAATCCTTTTTTTACAAATGAAAGCATTTTGATATCCCAATCAAAATGGCGATACCCCAATCAAGATACCCCAATCAACTCTGCCTGAAATATTTACATTTGAGTTATAAAAACTAGATAGCCTGAAGTTTCACATTCCCTACTTTATATTCAAGCAGTCAATATGGTGCTTAAAGGGGCCCTGCAAGGACTTTTTTACTGGTTTTTAAATTGCACCGAACCTGAGCGAACTGAATGTAGTAACTTAGTGAAACTTTTCTTTTCTCGAAATTTGTATTATTTTAAAAGTTATAGGCAAATTAAAATTACAAAAACAAGCAAAAAAGTGAAAGCCGTTTACAAATCCCTGTAACGCCGAATTGGAGCGCAGCTCTTGAGGAGGAGGAGGAGTGAAGGGTACTGAGGGGAGGGTAGACCCTGCCTCCTCCCCTCATTCTTTAATATGCTCCGGGGGGCGGTCACGTGACCTCGGGGGGGGGGGGGGGGGGGGGGGGTCACGTGACTTCGGGGAGGGGGGTCACGTGACCTCAGAGGGGTCACGTGACCTCAGAGGGGTCACGTGGGGGTCACCTTGGGGTCACGTGACCTTGAGATGACCTTGGGAGGGGTCACGTGACCTTGGGGTCACGTAACCTTGGGGAGGAGACCACGTGACCTCGGGGGTCACGTGACCTCAGAGGGGTCACGTGACTTGGGGGTCACGTGACCTTCAAAGGGTCACGTGGGGTCTTGGGGTCACGTGACCTTAAGATGACCTTGGGAGGGGTCACGTGACCTTGGGAGTCACGTGGGGTCACGTGACCTTGAGAGGGGTCACGTGACCTTGGGATGACCTTGGTTACGCCGACGGCGACGCCGCTCAAGCCGGGAACGGGCCCCTAAGAGCTGCGCTCTAAAATAACTTCCCTCATGACACCCTTGGTTGCTTGAGTGGCCGTGAACTAGAGGAGGAGTTGTGAGCTCATCGAGCGCTCACGGCTGTCGTACTGTGTGTCGACGGTGCGAGAGGGCGCCACTAAAGCGTGTTCTGGATAGGCTGTATGCAGCAGGCAGCCAGAGCGGCTCTCATTGCATTTGCTGCGCAATTAAACACTAATTATGCATGACACTTCATTCGCCACAAACGACAGCAAACACGGGGTAAAGATCAGTTCAGAATGGGAGACACTTCGCGCTGCCACACCGCGAAACAGCCAAACTGCAAGACAAAGCTTCTCGCCGAAGGCCTTCGGAACGCTCGGAGCCGGTCGAATCCTCCTGTCCATACGACCGCAGCGTTGCCGCGTACGTCCGGGACCTTTCCGTGTCGGCACCTGACCCCACTACTTTCTAGTATGCGCCGCCTTTTCCACCACTTGGTGGCGGGTATGCGACGGGTCATTTCTTGTTTCCGTACTTTATAAAATACATTCGTTTCTTTTCTGATCTAAAATACTGAACAAAAACTACTTTTATAAATAATTGAAACGGTTCGCGCCACTTATATTTTGTATTTCGACTACGAAGAAGCTTTTAGCGGCTCTGACCAGTAGTAAGCCCAGGACCTAAGACGTCACATTTTGCGCACTTTTGATATTGCGGGTCGCCCTCGTCAGTGGAGGAGGTTTCCGCGTCGTTCGGTTAAAATATGACGCACTGATATTTAGTTGCTCTCTCCGTGCCCGCTGGCTTGCCCGAACCCCAAGAGACGTGGAAACCGCAAAAAAGGTAGACGCTTGAATGTGATTGCAGGGTCCCTTTGATTCATTTGTATATCACAGATTTCTTAACGAAGAGTCACACATTTTCTTATGCAGGTATGTAAAATTGTCCTAAAGAGCTGAAAGTTTGCACAATACATCTACATCTGATGGTAAATCTTCCCCGCAAATTTCATTCCGAACACTTGAGTAGTTCAGTAGTTAAATCTCTAGCCAGTGTCCCCCCCTTAACGTTTACAGTCAAGTATGGAACATATAAACTGAAATTATTTTGCTCTGTCACGGGCTATTTCAGCATTTTTGGATGACGGAAAAGCATTACCTGCAACGTCGAATGCAGGCACGTAGCCCCCCCCCCCCCCCAAATCTTCCTTTTTGCTGGGACTTCCCCTCCCCCTTATACAGCATTTTGTCATGGGCGGGCTCCCCCCTCGAAACAAAATCCTGGCTACGTGCCTGGTTGCATGCATTTTCCGGTAACTGGCAACATCGATTTTAAGTACCAAGACAGCTCAAGTGTCCTAGCTCTGAGTTGTGGCTAAGCTAGTGGCACTATCATATGTCTTGTTCAAGTCGCCCTTGTATTTAAAGGGTTCTTGAACTTTGACAGGTCTGTTCCCTCGGAGGCCTGCTTGTCGGTCCGCTGCAGCAGACGCAGACGGAACGACGGAGCACCGCAACGACGGTTCGCGAGGCAAAGAAAATGAGGTATTTGCTTCCATTCCTCAAATAGAATTTTGATGTGCGCATGATTTGCCTACTAGAGGGTCGATTTCTGCCGAGAAAAAGCAAACAAGAATGAAAAAACAGTAAGTGCGCAGGTGAGCTGGTGGATGTTGATCATGATGTAGAATACCCAAGACTGTGGTAAAAGCTGGGAAACTTGGTCAAAGAAAAAAGACAAGGGAAAAGAATGTCTCAATGATTGAGACATTCTTTTCCCCTTTTTTCTTCGACCAAGTTTCCCAGCTTTTACCACAGTCTCGGGTATTCTAGATCATGATAAACAAGAATGCTTTTCTTTTTTATATATATATTTATGTTTTAATTTAGGTGCAACCGTATTATGATTTCCTCACTGATGTTGGTAATCATGTGTAGAACTTTGTATCTCATTGAAGTGACCTAGATGCTTATGCCTTGTTTTCTCAATTCAGAGCACCCCCTATTTTGCACAAATGGCGATGCCAATCGAAGATGGCATCGCAGCGGGGTACTTAATTTGTCTTCTTCAGTGGAAGTCGTAAAGTCTAGGGTTCCCTAGACAAAACATTTGAAGTGTGTGTTACCAACTTCTTCTTTCGCACTGTTGCACGGTCTCTCTAAAAAGGGTGCCTTTTGCGTAGGCTCTCCGAAGCCCCGGAGGAATCCGACCCGACGCAGTCCGCTTCGTGGCGGCGCATCCTCATTCTCCTGGAAGTGGTTCAGAGCAGAAAGTCCATCGACGAAGTCCAGCTTCTCGTCGGACCGCTCTACGGACTGCTCAAGAGGTGAGCCTGGATTGTCCATTCTATTGGTGTTTTACAGCTACAGTCGCCGACCGATTTTTCGGACTTCGCAGGGATCGAAAATATGTTTGAATAATAGAGCAGTCCGAAAAATCAGCAGATTAAAAAACTTGCCTTTATTACGTCTAAGCAAGCTTTAGAAAGCCGTAAATAGTGCCTTGCTTCAGGTTACGCCTGCGCGCCTTGTTTTAGGTTATGCCTTTGTTTGCATTCAGCAACTTTCTGTTTGCTTGAGAATCGCTGCCCTCTTTTCTAGCATGATGGTCGAGTACTTTTTGTGCTTCTTAGCAACAGATCAAAGCAGCGGAAGAACAGGTGGGGCAATGACGTCCAAGCCAGCGTAGTCCAAAAACATGATACACTAAGATGAGATCCAGATGTGAGGCGCAAGTGCGTGACTGCAATGGCGAATGAACAAAGCAAAATGGAAACAACAATGATGATAATAACCTTCAGCTAAAGAAAAAAAAAAAGCCGTACATCGTTATTTAGCGGTGGGACTCAGGAGTACTCAAGTAGTGCTGCCAAACCAAGCCAATCCATTTTCAGCCAACATAGAATTCAAAATGGCCGCTTCTCGGTGGTGTTTCCCGCTGATTGCTCGTGACGATTTTGTCTGAAAAATCAAACTTTCGGACCTCAAGCTGTCCAAAACATTGGTCGTAAACATGCACTGTTTCTATCAGGTAGGTCACGGTTCCTCCTTTAAGTCCGAAATATCGAACAAGTCCGAATCATCGGCGTCCGAAAAATCTGTCGGCGACTGTATAGCTGTTATGGTAACTTCCCACCTGCATTCGCGGTGTCGACGTTTTCCAGGCAGAAAACTTAGTTTCGCATTCAGCTCTGTAACAGTGCCCCCTGACATTGGGCAAAGCATACGCACTTGGCTCTTGCCAGGTGGCTTTTTCTTCTATGGTTGGGGACGCTGCTACTCATTCCCCACTGTAGAACTGGGTTTTTCACATACTGTCAGATGGGAAGCAACCCACCACTCGTAGCAGTACCTGTCTTTTTAGTCTTAGGCAAGGATGCTGACTTATCTTTGCAGTTTGTTCCCTTTCCTACATACTTCAGTGACCACAAGATTGTGTTGTTTGTGATTGAGTAAATAAAGAGTGGACATGCATAAAAGAGTGTTACTATGTGCAATTACAGCTGTTGCTGTCACTTGTTCGCACACTGTGGTGAAAGGCTGCGGATCTTTTGACATGGAATATGTTTTATCTGTCAATTTTCGTGCATTGCTGTAACATTTGGTTGTAGCAGCCGGCTGTAATGAAAGACTGCCACTGTAAAGCATTACACCTATAGGGAACCACACACAAAGGCAAAGCCAAGCGCTTTGCCGACTGAGCTACCCAGGGTTGGCGGCTGCTGGCACGCAGAAGGGAACCCATTGGAGTGGCGCGGTCACGTTCTTCGCAGCCTTTTCTGTTATGCTGTGCCATCTCGCGGCGTGCGTCAGAATTGAGAGCAAATCTTCGGCAGGTGGTGCTGTTCAGATGCCCTTCTCATCTTTCTTGGAAGGCCTATTACACATTCTGTGTTTACCAGTCTTTGTCAGCATGACCAATCTTGTATAATTATTGTCTTAAAGGGGCCCTGCAAGGACTTTTTACTGCTTTTTAATTTGCACCGAACCTGAGCGCACTTAGTGAAACTTTTCTTTTCGCGAAATTCGCTTTATTTCAATAGTTATAGGCAATTTAGAATTACAAAAACAAGCAAAAAATAACCTCCTTCATGACATCATAGGTCCTGGCTTGAGTGGCCGTGAACTAGAGGAGGAATAGTGAGCTCGTCGAGCGCTCACGGCGGCCGCACTCTGTGTCGACGGCGCCAGAGGGCGCCACTAAAGCATTTTCTGGATAGGCTGTATGCAGCAGGCAGCCAAAGCAGCTTTCATTGCGTTTGCTGCGCGACTAAACACTAATTCGGCATGACACTTCATTGGCCACAAACGACAGCAAACACGGGGTAAAGATCAGTTCAGAATGGGAGCCACTTCGCGCTGCCATACTGCGAAACGGCCAAACCGCAAGACAAAGCCTCTCGCCGAATCGGAACGCTCGGAGCCGGTCGGATCTTCCTGTCCATACGACTGCAGCGCCACCGCGTACATCCGGGATTTTTCCGTGTCGGCGCCGTATTCCACTACTCCTTTCAAGTATGCGCCGGCTTTTCCACCGCTTGGCGGCGGGTATGTCGACGGGTCATTTCTTGTTTCCGTACTTTATAAAATGCATTTCTTTCTTTTTTCATCTATAATAGTGAACAAAAACTACTTTTATAAATAATTGAAACGGTTCGCGCCACTTATATTTTGTATTTCGACCAAAAAGAAGTTTTTAGTGGCTCTGACCAGTAGTAAGCCCAGGACCAAAGACGTCACATTTTGCGCGCTTTCGGTACCGTGGGTCGCCCTCGTCGGTGGAGGAGGTTTCCGTGTCATCCGGTTAAAATATGGCGCACTGATATTTAGCTACTCTTTCCGTGCCCGCTGGCTTGCCCGAACCCCAAGAGACGTGGAAACCGCATAAAAGGTAGACGCTTAAATATGATTGCAGGGCCCCTTTAAGCGTCGTTCACATTCTTGCGACCGAGTAAGATTGAAAGACAAGGCGAGTTTTTAAGCCTTTTGCGACTTCTTAGGACCGGATGCGCTGCAGCGGAGCTGGTCCTAAGAGATTGCCAGAGGCTTAAAAACCGGTCTGGTTTCTCTCGGTCTTACTCGGTTGCAAGTGTGTGAATGGGCCTTTATTATGGACAACTCACATTATAGACGATTTTTGGGGTCAGTGGAGTTACCCATGTTAACAAGAGACGACTGCGTTTTGATTTATTGAAACATACCTTAACCAGAACTTCAAACATGAATTTCAACCTGTGTTTTTTTTTTTTTTTTTCCTTTGCCATGACAAACAGGAGCCTCGAGCTGGGAAGTTCGCCCAGCGCCGAGTACCTACGTCAGTGTGTGCTTACCAGCCTCCGCGCCCATTCGCTGAGTGCTCCGCGCAAGGAGCTGGCGTCTCTGGTCAAGTGTCTCAGGGTGTCCCAGAACGCGCAGACGCACCAGCTGGTCCTGTCCCTGCTCAATCTCTCTGCCAGGGAGTTTCCTGTGAGTCCGCATTTGGCAGAGATCTCTTGTCATGTTGTCCACTTGTGCCTGATGGTGCCAACTCTCCACCTCTTTGTCTGGGATAATATGCCATGACTGTGTTAGTTCAATCTTGGTGGTACCAAAAGGACTGGGTGGTCAAGGTCAAGCAAAGGTCAAGCTGACTGAATTTGTGTAGGTCACCTGTAGGTCAAGCCAGTTCAGGTCATATTGTGGTCTGTTAACTCAATTAAGATGGGGTAACTGCATTGGCCCAATATTGGTAGTATCAAAAATACTGGGTGGTTAGGGTCAAGCAAAGATCAAACTGACTGAGTTTGTGTAGGTCACCTAGACTGGCTCAAGCCAGTTGAGCCAGTCAAGGTCATATTGTGGTCTGCTACGCTGGTCAGTCAATCAAGCTTGAGTAACCGCATTGGTCCAATCTTGGCAGTTTCAAAAGGACTGGGTAGTCAAGGTCAAACTGATTGAGTCCTTCAAGGTCAAATGTAGGTCAAATGGGTTGCACCAGTCCAGGTCACACAGTGTTCTATACTTCGTCTCGTCGTAACTTGGCAGACAGTGAAGGCTACAGTGCCAGTGAGCCAGTCAGTGCATTGGAGGGAAGCATGTTACTTTACTCTATCTCACTAGATTCACACAGTGCTGTTGAAGCCACTGGTGGGAAAGAGAAGAAAGCTGCTTTTGTATGAATTTTGAGTAACAAGCTAATCTTTGAGGGGGACAAAAGTGACACCTGGGACACAAGGGAGAATAAGAGGGGAGTTTCTTTTTTCCCCACTTCTCCAACTGTTTGAGTTATGATCTTGTCCCTCTACCTTTAGTAAAAGTTGTCTCATGCTTTGCCTCCATTGCTCCGATCGGCTTGGGGTCCTTTTTGCCAAGTTCAAGGTGAAACAAAATAAGTCGTCCAAGGTCGCGAGAAGATCACACTTTTTGAGTTGAACCTTGGCAATGTATAGCTGGTCATCAGTCACATTTAGGTTAGGGTCAAGAGAGTTATTTTCGAGATCACGCGATGTCAAAGACAGTCTAGGGTACAAATTTCATCCTTCCAATTCTTACAGCTACTGATCTTTTACTCGGACTAACGTGTCAGTGCGAGTTTTTCTCGAAAATATTTTTACGAAATGACATAAAGTTGACAAGCACCCAATTTTGACAGCCGTTTTTCTTTCTCCCGCACGCACATGTACCGTATTTTCGCGCGTATTACCCGCCCCTGCATATAACCCGCACCGCCAACTTACAACTGGTAGAAAAAGAAAAAGAAGACCCCGCGTATTACCCGCATAATTACCCACGGAAAGCAATGTCAAAGTCACCAAAAACAGTACCTTTATTGGAACATCACTCATCGCTGCAGTCACTGCAGCTATCAGTTGAAGCACCTTCATTGTCCCAGAGAGCACTCCTTGTAGGAATGCAATGAGTCGTTGGCATAAGGTCGGCCGCCTCCGGATGGAAAATCCTTGACGTTTCATGAATCGGTGAAACCACCCGCGGCTAGTACAAATCTGGTCGCGGGGTATGCCGTCTTCTCTTGCCAGCCTCAGAGATTCGATCTGGGCCATCTCTTTTGATACGGTGTGGCTGCGGCCTCTTTTCTCCTCCATGAACTCCGCCAGCTTGGCTTCGATCTGGGGGTAGGCTCCAGTCTTGGGACCCTTGGAAGGACCTGCAATCACGGCTTGCACTTTGTAGATTCTGCTTCTTTGCTTTCCACTCGCGTGTACAGGATTTGTCGACATCATACTTTCGGCTTGCTGCACGGTTCCCGATCTCTTCGGCAACGCTGATTATTTTCAGTTTCTGCTCTCCCGTAAAGGACTGCCGCCGAGCACAGCTCATGTCAAATGGAACGGGACGACCAAGATGGCAAGATTGACGTTTGACGCTTACAAATAGCTTCGTCCTCTCTTCGTGGGTGCGCGGCCAGCGTAGCGTTTTGGCGCGCAGACAATGCAAAGATGGAAACTCCAAAAAAGAAGATAAACTAAGGAAAGATGGGGGAAAGTACCTAGGAAGCAACGGCTAAGAGGGATTCTGGGGAAGTTACGTCCCTACCGACCATGCGGCTTGGCGCATACTGCCGTGAAGCCACACTCTCGTCCAGATTCGCGTATTACCCGCACCCCTACTTTGCCCAGGATTTTTTAAAAGTTTTGATGCGGTTAATACGCGCAAAAATACGGTATCTGTGCACACCTTTATCGATCTAACATTTTGGGCCGGTGCTTCTCAATGCACAGGATGATGTGCTTCACCATGTGACGTCGGTGTTCACCTTCATGGGCATGAACCTGCTTCGTCAGGACGACAACTACAGCTTCCAAGTGGTGATGCAGACCGTAGAGACCGTGGTACCCGCTTTGCTTCAGGTAAGGGAAGCCTTTGCTGCACACTTTGACGGAGTTTTCAAGGGCACGGTGAAAGTGCTGGCGCTTTTCTGGAGTTCTTTCCTCGTTTTGTTCTTTGTTCCCATCTTTCCTCCTTTATTGGGGATTGGTGGCCCAGCGTAAACACGCTTGGCCTCCAATCCCCTGAGCCACACTGGGGCCCTCAAACCACATTTTATGTGGTTTGGCTCATAAAACTACTGAATTTAATTTTGCAATGTTTTGGTAGTAGAAATGTTGGTCTCTATTGGTGAGCCTACGGGAATACGGCCGTAAACAAACGCTTCGATCGACGGTGCAGGCGTGCGGGCGAGAGGCAACGGCATCAGATGAGGCGGTGGCCTCGGTAACGAGGGTGTTCGTGGACGCCTTTGGAGACATCCCGGAGCACCGTCGTTTGCCGCTGTTCGCCAAGCTGGCCTCCACCTTGGGTGCCGCGGACCACCTGTGGATCCTGGCGGCACAGATGGCGGGACACCACGTGGAGAAGGCGCCGCTCACTGCGGGCGCCGAAGACGCCTCTTCTCAGGTGAGTCTCGGTCATTTTTAAAGGGATAGACTTTATATGAAAACCCTCGACAGGCCTTCCTTCCTCTTGGTATTGGTCGCACCGCATAACATCGTAAAGTCACATGTCGGGTGACATCGTGATTTGATGATACAGGGGACATCACCTTATCACGTGACATCGCGATTTTACGGTGACACATGCCGTCGCATTGTCACGTAACATCACAGTGTGGTGGGACATCGTAGCTTTGTGTGGTGTCATGGTGCCATGTGACAACAGTGTCACGCAATGCCACGGCGTATGTGAAGTCATGATATCACTCGACGTCACTGTGTCCCCCAACGCCAGGTGGTGCAATGTCACGGTATCATGTGACGTAACAGTGTCATGTGACATCACAGTATCGCATGACACGGCACTGTCATGCGATACTGTGTGTCGGTGGTGCCACAGTGTCATGTGGCGTCATTGTGATACACGACGTCACAGTGTCACGTGGCGTGACACCAGAATTTCCATGCTAAACTTAGCGGGGAATATCTCCTCTAAATTTCGATAGCCAGTGCTGCGTTGCATTTGACAGAATGTCCATGCGAGGCAATTGTTTTTGCTGCTATGGATGTGGCAACTGGCTGTGACAGGTTTCTTGGAATTTCCAGGCAAGTCAAACGTGTCGCGCAAAATTTTGTTTTGAAAAACGTCCTGTTTGGAACTTGTTAATATAGAGGCTTGGGCGAGTTGCTGATTCACGCCGTATAAGAATAGTGTGTAAAAGATGAGGGACAGAAAGGGAGACACGATAGTCGATTAGAGCGCTGATTTACAACTCGGATTATAATTCATTACTTCTTTTTTCTTTACATCTACTTAGCTCGAACTGGTGCGTGAGCTAGATCAGTAAATATATCCATTCATTCAGTAAATAGATCCATACATACAAATACAGATACATACTGTAAAATACCCTAAGGACGCCCTCTCCTGAGAAATCGCCCATCCCATTTTTTTTAAAGGACACATGCAAAGGAAAAAGAACTTTTTTTTTTTTAAACAGGCTAGATGGAAAAAGATTATTATGAAACGAATTTACAGCGAAGAAAAAAAATGTAGAGCTATATTTACGGCGCAAAACGAATTTGTAGTCGGCGCCCGCGGGAGCCGCCGCTAGTCACGTGGTAGGCCTGTGTGCCGCCGTGCTGCGTTGCTGCTGCCGCAAAGTCACGCCGCCGCCGCACACCGAGCATTGTGCGACACCGCTTCAACGCACTTCTCCACGCCGCCCCCGCACAAGTTCGTCTGCTTTGGGGCGCCGCCGCCGTCATCTGACCGGCGCACAGGTCTATCACGTCTGCTTGCGCTTTTTCAGGAGCTTCTTTTGGGCTCTAAAAGTTACTTATTAATCTTAGTTTCTTGTTAGTATACTTCAAACAAAGATGAATAAGTTACTTTTAGAGGCCATAGGAAGCTTCCGAAAGAGCGCAAGCACCACGTGATAAATAAACACCTGTCGCGCGATAAATAAGGGCCACTTTTCCGCAGTGCCCGCGGGCGCCAGCTACAAATTTGTGTAGCGCCGTAAATATAACTCTAAAATAAAAATTTATTTTCTTCATTGTAAAATCGTTTTATGACATCCATTTTCCATCTAAGCTGTTAAAAAAAAAAAGGTTTTTTTTCCTTTGCATGTGTCCTTTAATGCGACATCCCACAAGAATTGCCTTAACCGTGCGATCTGCGGTGTCGGTATGTCTGACAAGCGGGTTCGTAGCGGGTTCGTTGCGGGTTCCCGCATTTCTCCCTGCGATCTTTGCGCTCGACGTCAGCTCCCGTAACACGCGAGTTGTTCCTGCATGTATATTGCATCGTGAAATGCGAATCTGCTGCATCCGCGGTATCCATTTTTGTGACATGCGAGTTTGTAGCGGATTCCTGCGTTGTTGTCTGCTACCGGCGCATGCGATATTGGTTCTTGTGACAGGCAACTTTGTGGTGGGTTCCTGCGTGTTTATTGCTCCGTGAAACTTAAATCTGGGGCAACCGCAATCTGCAGTATCTGTCCCCGCGAGATGAAAGTTTGCAATGGGGCTCCCGCGGGTCCTTCGCACCGTGAAACGCGAATCTCCCGTGTCATCAACTTGTGATATCCTTTCCCGTGATGCAAAAGTTCATAGCGAATTCTCGCGTGTCTATTGCATTGTGAAACGCGAATTCGCCGTGTTTGGAGTCAGCGGTATCAGTTCCCGTGCCACACGGTCTGTAGCGGGTGCCCCTATGTTTGTCACCAATTTTTTGTAAAGCTGTTCTGTCACATTCCTAAAGATAGCCCACCCCCTGTTTCTCACCATTTATTTTTTCATTATGGGTGGGCATTCTTACGGGATTTTACGGTACATACAAATAGAATCCTTGCTAAAAGATGTCTCGCTAAATACTTCTTCCCAGATAACATTAGGGAAGGGGTACTGACACAGTGCTGTGCGTGAAACACTATTTTTTTCTGCCTCAAAAATTTTTTTCGTGAGCTGATGACCCCTCCTGGCTATTAGTTTACATTTTTCTAAGTCAGCTGTGCATCCATAGTCTTAGCAATGTATTCCTAATGGTCCAGTAATGGTGCTGTTTGTGTTATATTTATGCATTTTTTGATGCAGGCGAGGTGAATGAAATAAACTATTCCTTCAGTACAAGGAATAAAATGGGTTTTATGTTTTTTTGTGCAGTCTGATTTTTGGTGTGAGTAGGGATTCACATTTTCGCACAAGCTAGAAAGCTTGTTTTGGTGTTGAGAAAGCTATTGTTAGGTTTGAAAGTTCTAAACTTCCAAACCAGCTTGCTGTTAAAAGAAATGAGAAAGCAACCATCCAGTTTGGAAGTTGTAATCTTCCGAGCACCTCCAACGTGAATCTTGAAAAGGGGTTCACCCTTTATCGAGCGTGAAAGTCTCGAACGTGAACCCTTTGAAATTTTAGGCTCTTTGAAAGTTTTTAGAGCTCTAGGGATTGTTGGGTTCAAACATCAGAAAACTGAATCTTAGGGACTGCAGTCTCTTAAATTAACAATATCTGAAAAATCAGATGTCTTGTGTGGAATTTTGTCGAAAAACATTCATTTTGGAAGTCGAAAATTTTCGAGCCTGTCAAATGCATACCCTTGGGAAGTTTGCGCTGTTAAAATTTTGTAGATGTCAAGTTATCAGAAAGGCCTTCAGCATCAGAATTTGTTAAATTCTAACTTCAGGAGGCTGTAAAACTTGGAACTCTTATTATTGTGCTAAAATATTTTCATCTCGTCTATGTCTTGCTAACTTCTTGAGTGGTGAAGGGTGTCGGGGAGAATTTTGTCAGTTTAGAAAAATAAAAGATGAAAAAAAAACTAATTTTCTGGTATGTTTTTATTAGTAGCTGTTGAGTTAAAATTTATGACAGTATTGCAGAGCGAGCTATGCGGGCAAAAACTGAGGGAGAGGACAAGACGAGAGCGCACAAGGACATCAGAACGCCGAGTTCTGACGTCCTCGTCTGCCTTTGTCTCCAGTGCCCTCGTCAAACGCGTTCGAATGCGAAAGGCAAACGCCTGGCACCTGCGTTCCGCATCTTAACGCGTTCGACGAGTGCTGTGGAAACGAAGGCAGCTGGCTTTGCGTTTGCACACTGATCAATCCTACCAGAGCTTGGCTTGAGAAGACCACTCTATTGAGTGCGGCTGCTCACATTTTAGTTTTCAAAACTAGGAACCTTGCGTTCCGTCGCAATCTGATCCTGAATTACTAGAAACAATCTTATAACCAATTTTTAGAGGGCCTTGTTCTAGTTTTGCATTGTGCACGTTGACAACGACGACGTCTTGTTCCCTCGCTTCCGCAGTCGGCCGCAGCCCACATCCTAGACTTTGGGCTCGCACTCTGCACCCAGTTCGACGTCGCCATTGAGGTCTCGACGTGCACCCGTCTGCTTCAGTTTGCTGCTGGACTGCCTTCCTCAAAAGGTTTGACTGTTTTTGTTGTTTTTTTTGTCTGAGGTTTGATTGCAGTTGTTGCTTTGGAGCATGGGTTCCCAAACTCGATTCCGAGGAACCCAGGGGATACCAGAGCATCCCAAACTTTTTTGACTGTTCTCGTCCCCAAGTAGAGTGTTTGATCGATTAATTGACTTAGTTTGGATGCCGTCTGCCACAGGCCCATTACAGGGGGGAATATGATACAGCCTAAATACACTTTTCATATCTCCATAGTTGCATTTGCAGCGTAGGCACTACTTTATCAGATCCGAGCCACCAATCGATACTGAACTATGAGGAGAATACTCCCCAGTGTTTGCATTATTGCCAACAAGGCCCGTAGGTTTCTGCACTGCTTTCTTGCCTTCATAATGAGGTTAGTTCTGTGAAGCACTGACATGCCAACATGTGCTAAAAGCAGCCCACTCATGCGGTGTGTCTGCGCCGCTCGATGCCAATGCGCGGCACTCTTGGGGCAAACGTGACAACGGCGCTTTTCCGCGTTCGTCTCGGGCAGGGCATTGGCAAGCACCAAATTTTACCGATTACGTCGGTTCCTCAAATGAGTATTATCTGGCAGACTAGAGTTTGTTTTACTGCAAGTCGGAGCGCAGCCGGCACTATGAGCCAATGGAATCAATCAAGCGGCATCAAAAGTTCAACGTCATGGCGTTTCTCATTTTCCTTTGTCTGTGTCGTCGACGGCTAATTTAATCGGGCGTTAAAAAAACACTGACATCCCCCTAATTGTTTTTTTTTTTTTTGTGTGTGTTTTTGTTAGGCGATTTATTATGGTGTGGGAAGACTACCCAATGAATATTTTGCAACAGAGTCACGTGTATTTTTAATAAAGTCAAAAAATGGAACTGCTCGAAACCGAAACCACAGCCTCCAAACGGAGGTTGAAGAAGTGGAGAGGGAGAGAGTGAGTGGCGGAAGTCATGTGGCTACACCCGACCGTGCTCTTTTTTTTTTTTCTGCGCGCAGCAGACGACGTGTGACGAAGAACCGTCTGCCGTGCGATTTCTATGCTGTTATGTTTGTTTCACTTGCTGTTCTGCACTTCAGGATGAGTTGTTTGGTACATTCAAGAGTTGGAGATGAGTAGTGAGTGCCCTTGGTAAAGTTCCGCAATCAGCTCCGAAAGGAATACCCTCGAGATGTTGCGTGAAGAGCTGCCTCACATGTCCTGCGTCCGAAAAAAGTGGCATTGTGTGGCAGTCTGCACATGCTTCCGAAAGATCAACGAGATCACGACCAATGGCTGGCTGCATTTCCTGTAGAACATTTATGGGCACCTCGGAAAGCGGACACTGCCCGATTTATATGCTCCTTGCAATTTTTGGAAAGTGATTACATTGAGTTCGCAGGTGCCAAAAAAGGAAATCGCATACCATTTAGTTCAGCTACGTTTTGTCCACTACATCTGTTTTTTTCAGTGATAGTTGTAAACAAAGAAATGTAAATGACGCAAAATGTTTTAAAAAAACGCACGCCCACACTTGGGATCGAACCTGGTTCTGCCACTTGTGAAGTGGACATCTTTCCACTGAGCTACTGGAGAAACTCTTTCGTCAGAAATAATGCAGCTGGTCAGCTGTAAGTTGGAAAATTGGCTGCCGATTTTCCTCCAGCAAAAGTGCTCCCGGGTCGAAGTCGGGTAGCACCACGCATTGGCCACATTCGCACCTAGTAAAGCGAGCAATGTCTTCATTACGGGTGGAACCAGCAATGTCTTCAGCCACGAGAAGGGGGCGACGGGTCGGTGCGTCTTCGTGCAAATCGGCTTGGTGGTCGGCGTGTCGTACGGGATGAATACCAATTCTTTTGATTGGTCCAAAATTTCTCTTTCATAGGAGGACAATGCGCTGGTACCACGAACGATAGCTCTAAAGTAGAGGTTCCGTGCCTGTCGTCTGCTGCCATCGCCATCCCCGCGAGTCCCACGATAAGCGAAACGATGCCATGTTGAGAATTACGCAATGAACACACAGAATGCTTTCAATTCCCTGTGCAACTTTTTTGTTTTTTTTTCATTCAACATATTTGCAGCTTTTTAGAAGCCACAAAACATGGGTTTCATATTTTTTTCTATTTTTAATATTAAGTGTGTGCCTTCAGTGACCAACGCAACTCAGACTGGCCAGTTCTTGATCGGCTGCCTTCGTGCGGAAAGAAACCGAATTTCGAGCCGCAAATTCTGTTGTGGGTAGTTGGGCTCTCATATGTCACATACAACTAGAAACCTCGGCAAGCATAAATACCCTGTCAGTGCCCCTTAAAAGCATGCCGTGACGCATTTAACCTCTGTACTTGTATTTGTGTATAAATACTAGCCTCTGACTGTGCTTCGACGCACCAGGTGCGGAGTCTGCACCTTGTGCACTCTCTGCACAAAAAATATTTGCATACATAGCACACCTTGAAAAATAGCATGCTTAATTAATGCAAAAATAAGGTTGTATTATACAGAAATCATAATTAACATAATCTCATCTACAAAACTTGTCACATCTCAAAATAATGAACGATCTTGGAAGTACAAATCCTTGTACCGTAATATCCCGAGTCATCGCCCACCCCCCTACCGCCTGAAATTCATTAAAAAAGTGGGGTGGGCCATGTCTCGGTGGGTGAGCACAAACACTTGAAAAAAAGCGGAAAAAACCGCCTATTTTTCTCTGCATATCTAGCGCTGATGCACAAGAGATACATCAAACTCAAAACTTTAAAAAAAAATGCTCACGAAAGAATATTTTACTATAGCGAAGTGCGTTGCTTGCATACGCGCTAGAAACACCGCCGATCTGCATATAGCGCAAACGTTTGTTCCGTGAAAGAATGTCACCACTATGTTCTCCTAGTTATTAAAAAAAGAAAAGTTTACGAGAAAATAGAAAAACCGACCAGGCGCAACGAGCGAGCGAGCGGGCGAACCAACCAAAGAAGCGAACAAGAGCAATGCTGGGAAAGCGGGAAAGCCGGCGGTCGCGTTGGCAAATACTTTGGCGTGGGGCCAAGTCGGGCGCCTTGTCAATTGCAAGCTCTTGCGCAACTTTCTTGTTTGGTGCGTACATACGTGCATTCGTGCACCGCGGGCTATCAATGCACAGTTGGGACGCTCTGCGAACGTCTGTGTAGGGTGTTCCAGCAAAGCTTTATTTACGCGTTGGCTTTGCCTAAAATATTGCACAACCGCGGTCGCGACGGGCGGGAAGAAGGAGCGGGTTCGCGGTGACCTTACTTCGGCGGAGACAGACTTTGACCTAACACTCCGCGGTTACATTAACAAACTCTTATTTTGTTATCTCCATCGTTTTCTTTTCGCACGGATACACGACCACTTTGGGGTCGCTCACGGAGGAAATGCGTAAACAAGAACAAGTGTCTTTCCCTCCTTCGTTTTACTTTGTCACGGACGTCCTCCAACTGTAAGGTCCGCGGCCGCGTCATTCGGGTAGGATGAGTGTTCGCGGATCGCAGAGTCCGCGCTGGGGTATTTGAAGGGGTGGGCGATGATTCGGTGTTTTTTCGGAAATCTATATTGGCCCAAAAAATGGGGTGGGCGACGGCTCGGGGATGGGCGATGACTCGGGATATTACGGTATAGCCCGTGCCTGTAGATTGTTTGCACAGCGTGAAGTTTCAACATTTATGCATGTGTAGTCTGCGGACTATAGTCCGGAAAATATGGTCGTGATTTTGACAAGAGCCTTTAGATTTTAGGAGAAAAACGCTGGTGATAGTTCATTCTGTGTTGTGATCAGTGCGACACACGAAATCTTTCGCCGAAAGCTACAACAGGCTAAAGCTGCCCGTGGGAGTGGAGGCAGACTCATTTTCGGGTCCCCCGTGTTGCCAACAGACGAGCCGAACCTGCACCCGAGCCACACCGAGGTGTTCGACGTCCGAAGGCGCACGGACAAGGAGCTGCAGAAGTTTCGTCTGGCCGTGGTCACCTTTGTTGCCAACCTGCTCGGGTCTCCAAACTTTCTCGGACAGGTGAGCAAAACTTTCTCGCCGCGCGTAACGCACAATGCTTCCATCCAACATTGTTTCCGCCGTCTAACTCTCGACCTTGATGAAACCTAGAGCTAGATCAGCGTCAAACGAATATGCAACGGAGCGCCAGATGAAAAGGCGGTGTGCAAGTTGTTTCGTCGTCCTGTCAGTTAAGTGCACTATGTAAGTTGGTTTCCTGACCTTGCAATTTTACAGCGACAGCTGTTTAGGCTTTTTCCACCACTGAAAATGACGTTCTTTGTCAACGTAGTTGTAGCTGTTGTTGTTGACGATGTAGGGTGTCTGTCAACGATGTTGCCAAATCCTCAGAAAAGATTGCCTGCCGTCGGCGGGATTTTCACCTGGGCCCGCTGCGTGCAAAGCGGAGGCGTTACCACTGAACTTCGCCACAGTTTTAATAACCTGCTCTAAACTTTGGGTTTTTGTTGTACCCAATGCCCACTGCATGGACTCTATAGAAAAAAAAAAAAGAAGAAAAATAGCCTATAACAAAATGTTGTTGTAGCACTGTCATTGTGCCGGGAGACGCGCTTTCACGCGCTCCAGAACAAAAGAGAAACAAAGGCGTTGGGAACAAAATGGAACAAAACAAAAGCGCTCGGAACGAAACGGATGTTTATTTTTGTATCGAACGCGAACGTCACGATGCACACTAGATAAGGAGCCGTGTGGTACCTGTTCAAGGCAGTCTTCTCAGGGTCAGGGCGAACACTTTCACAACTTGGCCTAGGAACTTCAGTTTGCCATAGGCAAACCGGCACTTTGTCAGCTTGAGGGTGAGTCCGGCGGTCCTGATTGCTTGAAGAACGGCCTGGAGGCATCGCGAGGGCTCGTCGAGGTTGGTTGAGAATACCATGACACCATCGAGGTAAACGAGACAGCTCTCCCGTTTGATGCCTGCCAGTATGGTGTCCATCACATACTGGAAATTTGCCGATGCCACGCACAGTCCGAAAGGCATCATCTTAAACTTGTGCAGCCCATCAAGCGTAACGAAGAGCCAGTTCGTCTACGGCGAACTGAAGTTCTTAGGCCACGTTATGAGCAACAAAGGTGTTCGCCCTGCCCTTGAAAAGACTGGCTCAACAAGGTTCTGCACAGCTCCTTATCTAGTGTGCATCACCATCTCGAAAATTCGGCCCAGAGGTTCTAGTGCCACGCGTTCGAGGTGAGAATGAACAGGCACTTTAGAGAACAAGAAAGAAGGACGAAATGATAAAAGTTACGTCCCGAGTAAGAATAAACGTGAATCTTCTAGAAGTCCGTGACCAAGCATTGCTTGCTCGACCCTGCGCACGGCAGTATTTTGTGATGATTGTTATGCGCGCAGTTGAGTAACTGATTCACGCCATTTGACGGGTCAACGACGGAGTGCAGCAAGACGCCTCGTTATTCTCGTCAAACAGAAAGCTCTCATCGGCAAAGTTCCACAGCAAATTCCCAGTTGTGTTTTCTGCAGGGTCGTCGGCATGTGATGTCATGGGGTCATGAAACAAGACGTCATATGACCACATCATGGTTCACATAATGTCCTGTTGTCATGAAACAAGACATCACATCACATCATGATGTCATGAAATGAAACGTCACGTGACCACATCATAGTGTCATGAAACAAGGCCTCAGATGATGGTGATGCATGGTGTCATGAAATGACGTCACATGACCATATCATGGTGTCATCAAACAAGACGTCACATGACCAGATCATGGTGTCACATGACGTCATGTGACACCGTGACGATTAGTGAAGAAAATTTCTCGCTGCCTTTAGTGGAGAAATCTCCCCGCTATATTTTCTGATGAAATGCTTTGTGTATTTCCCTGTCACAATGCTTTAGTGGGAAACCTTCTCCGTTAAATTTAGCGGGAAAATCTCTTCGCTAAGTTCAGCGAGAAAACCTCTTCACTAATTTTAGCAGGAAAATGCTCATGCACAGTGTTATTGTGTGTAGTCTGTGGTCAGCAGAGTACACAGCGCCTCAACTGTCTCCGCTGCTCATTTGCAGTACACAACCAGGAATCTTTTTTCTTCACTGCCCACAGGTGGCAGAACTGCAGCGCAAGGGCGATGGCAGCGCAGAGCCCCTGTACGGAGACTGCTTGTCGACGTGCCTGCAGTCGGTGCAGCAGACGTCACGCTGGACCAGCGTCCACTCACGCTCTCCCTGCCTGCGCTCGTGGCAGACTCTGCTCGCCAGGCTACACGACATCGTCCACAAGGTGACGGAGTAGTCCGCAGACGGCGCCTTCACCTTCCCGTGTCGTGATTGCGATGCATCGCGATTGCCATGCGTCACAATCGGTTAGGTCTGCGGGCGATCTCTTTGTGTACTGAGAGATATAACAATCTGTAGCCTAGGAAAAATTAATCTTCTTCCTTTTTTTTTCTTTTCTTTTCTTTTTTTTTTTTTTTTTTTCAGTAGGTTAAGCATAAAAGAGAACCCTTAAAATTTTCGAGCACAGTGGCTTCTCTAGGGGGGGGGGGGGAGGGGGGGGAGGGGGTTGCGGTGGGCCACTGCCCTGGATGCCACTACATTTTTCAACGATATAATTTCTTTTTTAGTTTCTAATTCGTGTACCTCGATGAAATGGCAGCCGAAAATCAGCACCACAGTTTTTAAGTGACGTTTTTTGGTGATTGTGGTACTGTTCTGTCGCAATAATGTGGTAAGTTCTAAGGATTTCTGCACAATGGTTTATCCACAGTCAAGCATGTGGAAGCATTTGTACACCTATGAACTGACTGCAGGCCAGATGCAAGCTGTTCACAAATGGTCCAAATTACTGCACGGCTTTCTTAGTGCCGCGCTCCTTTGCAGCATCTGCTGCCTTGCAGAAATTACCTGCAAGGCCTCGAGGAAGTTTCTGCTAAATAATGCGCTCCTCCTCGATCAGATTGAATAACAAGTGTTTAATCGCGACTACCTTCCAATTTATGTAAAAAAAAGGAAAGAAGTGTTATGTTTTTCTGCTATTCAAGGTTTACGAACAGCACCTAATTCGTACTCGGCATGTAAAGCTACTTATACACAAAACAAATTCAAAGCGAATAGTAATTCTAGCAGTATTATTTCTAATCAAAATGTGTTTCTCCGAGCCTTTCACCGCTGCACCGCGCCTAAATGAAAACCCAGCTCAACTTGGAAGGTTGTTCCTAAACTTCCACTTTTCCATTTCTAAGCCAAGTTTACATACAACTGACGTACAACTAAACCTATAGAGATGCCCAGCCATACCTAATCGAGAGGATTTAAAAATCCTCTCGCTATATGCATATAGACCTTTTCATTTTAATAGTAGCCTCACCACCGGATAGAGGGCGCTGACGCGCTCGGTGCCATTAGGTCGCTTAAATTTGGTTGGTTTCGGTTTCAACATGACCGCGGCTATGTTGCTGTTTTACGCTGCTTTTGCTTAATTTTGTGATACGATTATTTTTCTTGTAGCACAAAACCGATGAAACGGTGGTACTGAGCCACTTTGAGGTATTTTAGCCTTAATTGCGGGTTTTCTTTTACCGACTCCTTTGATGATCTGATTATGGTCGGTTGAGAAACGCCTGACTTGATGTAGAGGGAAGTTTACCATCGTCTATGACCGGACCCGATGACACTAGCTTCCAGAAAGAACAACTAATGAGGAGACTAACACGTGAATGTAACTAAGCATATCGACAACTTGGTTAGCAATGTGCTGAATCGGCCAGAACAGATGAACTCGCGAGTTTACTTCTCACTGTTTAGTTTTCGTGGGCACCCTACCTTTAGTTAACTTCGCAGACTTAAAACATTTTGTGTAATGACGCAGATAATTTATATAAACAAGTAGTATCGCCTCGGCCTCTTTTCTTTTTTTTTTTAATTCAGTACTTGAGCACGTTTTGACAGACCGAGTAAGAAATTTCTTAAATTATCAACCATGCTAAAGTACTGATAAGCTGTATTTCACGATATTGGCCTAGAAAATAAATTATTTTATATGAACATTTGCTTACTCAAGATTTGATGTAAGTGAGGCCCATCAAACTAAATGTGGCATTTGTCTTCCGTAAAATTGGCCAAATAAAATTAAAGGGCGCAGGCGGAGAAGTACCTCGGAAAGTTTGCCTGAATTTTAGCGCTAGGCACCACTTCACGGACCTGTGTGAACAAATATTTATTTGTTTGAACAGATTCGCTTTGTAAATTTCGGCCTCGCCAGCTACAAAAAGTAAACTTTTATTCGCCATAGACAATCCTGGACTCAAATAATTGTATGCAGACGGTGTTTTTTTTGCATCAAATATTGCGGATTTTAGATACTATAAAAAAAATTACAACAACGAACGCAAAAAAAAAAAAAAATGTTGTCATTATTGCGCATGCGTTGAACGCAAATCGCGTTTTGGACTTGCAAATAGAAACAATGTTATTTCTTTGTGCACGCTATTCTAAAACTCGCTACTGTTAAGTGTCTGTGGCAGTTTCTTACGCGGGAAGTCCCAACCTTTGTGTTAAAATAAATTAAGTGGATGTCACTGGTTATCTAAATATAATCAATAAATCACTTAAATGACTGTCGAAATGGGAGCGAGCATGATATACTATTTCTTAAACTTCATAAGTAAACCGACCAACCCAATGTTTACGTCGCAAAAAAATATTGAGGACCTCATACACATGTCGGTGTGATATTATGAACAAACAAATCGCCTGATGTTGACGTACCATTATTCCTAGTGTCAGATAAAATACAAATACAAGTTAAACATTCGTTGTCTACCTGCTTCTCGAGTTTCCTTACATAACCAACTGAACCTGTTTTCAATATATTATGAATACAAAGAACGGTACTTTCAGGAAGTACAGATAGGCTCCTTGCGCTCCTTCCGATCCAAAATGCGCGATATAAATATACGCCCTTCTTACTAAGAATGTTCCTCTGCTATTAGTAAACAAACCTCACTTGCCATAAGGACCTTTAAACCCTCGTAATGTCTTATAATCGTCGAGTAGGTGTATCGGACATACAGTTTCCGAAGTAAGACAAGAAACCGTGGTGAAACGAGTCGAAGAACACGAATACAACGCATCCGCCAAGGCGCGGAGGGAAGAGCGGAACAGCAAGTTGGAACAACCTAATGGCTGCCGCTTCACGTGATTCCAAGATGGCAGCGCCTATGCGGAGAAGGATGAAAAGGTCTATATCCTTTCTTAAATCTCGAATTTGAGAAAAGAGAAAAAAGACAATCGTAAGTAGATTACTGTCAGGACATCCCGGGGACATCCCTGCATAATATCCACGGTTTAATTTTGATATTTTTAAGGTAGTGTAGATATCAACACTCACAAAATGTATGTTTTTTTTTAAACACACCAAGTGCACTTGCACCACCTCGCTTTAAATGTGCACTTTCCTCCTAAGCACGCGACTGCAATGTTTATACTCTTCGAAGTGTTGAGTCGGCAGGTGTTGCTTCCCCGCACTTCACTGCTGCTCGTTAAGAAGCACACGTAATGGGGCTACCCCACCGCAATCAACACTTAAAAAAATATGAATATCGCAGTTCATCTCGAATAACGTATAACTCGAAACTACTTTTCGAATATTCGCACAATCTTACAAGGTGAGTTTAGTTGCGGCATCTTATGCAGCATCTGCTCTCTATGATTCTACTTTTCGAATGGGAGTGACGGAGATTAATTGATTTATTTTGCTCTTTGGGCCAGCAAACTTATGGAGTGAAGTAGCGAATATGAAAACTTAAAATAAGATTTATAATGTTGTTAGGCAGTAGAGGGAAACAAGTTAACATGCATACATTTACAATGTGGGCTTTGCCGCTTCACCTCAGGTGAACGGCCTCCTCCCGAGCGGCCAGTTTGTCTCGATGGTGCGGTCCCTGATGAAGCACGACCTGGCGTCCATCCGGAGGAGTGCCATGGAAATGCTCAACGCCAAGCTCTCGGCCAAGCGGTACTTCACACCCGACGACGTGAGCCAATTCCTTCCGAGTTTCGGTGCCTGCACACTCTCTCGTTCTCAATTTAACGTGAAACGTTCTTTGTCTAGGTGTTTGGCATTTCGTGAAGCCCGGGTGAATGCGTGGCCGCGAGGCTTGTTATAGCCGGCCGTTATAGGCAAACGTCATAGAACCTCATGGAAATCGGCTGATAAAACACATTTCGCGTTAAAAGAAAGCAAAAGAAGGACGTGGCGATGCTAGACATGGCGTCACATGCCCGGAAAGCCGAGGCAGGAGGTAGTGTCCACTGCTTTTCTGATTACGGAAACATAATTTTGTGTGGAATGATTTGATGGATAAATCATAATACAGCTCCAATTTTCCTGCAAGAAAAATCTTAACTGTCTCTATCAGAATTTATGGCGTAAATGAACTCTATTTTGCTATTTTCATTTTTTCGCTTTGGAGAGGGGCAGTAGGTAAAGTGTATGACTCTAGCTAAGATTCTTTTTTTTTTTTCTGTCAAGTGACATTTGTGTAGCTATATTTCACATTGTCACAAAAGCCTTTGTAGTACAGTTTCTCTTGTGTAAGTGAGTTTTTTTTTTATATATTTCTAGCGGTCTTTTACATATCCGATTGTTTCTTCATTGTCTAAAATTTTCTTTTGGCCCTTCTTTTTTGTGAACATGCATACTTTTTCCACCTATTTTTTTATTGCTATATACTCCATTAAACCCCAGGATTACAGTGTTGTAAGAGCTGTGCTCAACGGACCAATTAACTATACCTCCCTTTCATCACCTTGTCCCACTCTGCACACGGGTATGGACGGCAGTGTCATCGCAGGACAAAAGATGTGCAGATGTATGCACAGCCAATCTAGCAAAAACGTAGCTTCTACCACTCTGTCAACTTCGGGATGAAAGGAGTACAGCTCCGCTCTGCTTCCCCGTAACTTGGCAAAAGCAAAGACTCTTGTCCCAGTGAGCCAGTTGGCGCGTTGGAAGGAGACACACGACTCCGTCTCACTAGTTTCCGCAGTGCTCTTGAAGCCACGGGTGATTGAGAGAGAGGAAAGCTGCTTTTGTACGAATTTTGAGTGACAGGCTTCAAGCTTCTCACCAACTGCTTGGATGACGCCCTCAGCCATGTACCGTCGGTAAGGGCTGTTACGTGCTCAACTCCCTTCGCTCTAATTGGTTCGAGGGGGCCGTAGCGTTTGCTAGTTTCCAAGTTACGGTGACAATTAGTGAAAGATTAAGTGCATTGAAGTAGGAACTTGAAGAAGGGAAACCTCTTCGTGAAACGTGTGTCCAATGAATCCTCCACTGTCATTTGAGTACTGTCGAGACCGCTTATAACAAAGTCGGTTATAACGAAATAGCGGCTACAGCAAAGCGATCATGATTTCCCATTCCCTTTTGCACTTCGTTATAACCGAACTGGGTTATAACGAAATAGCGGATATAGCAAAGTGATTTCCGATTCCCGTTGACTTTGTTATAACCGGTCTCGCCAGTATTTCTCTATGTTTCGTTTGTGCATCATGGGTTGTCTGGTGCTGTTGTGCCACGCAGACGGCAGCACTTTTGGAGCTGATACGTCCACTTTGCCGCGTGGCCCTGGGCAAAGGGATTCAGCCCGAAGAGTCGTCGGACGGAGGACCCAGTGCTGAAGATGTGGCACTGAACCGGCAGACGGCCCTGCTGTCGCTGAAGCTGCTCATTCGGATGCTGGGCCCAGACCACCACGCCGAGTTTGCCAAGGTCTCTGCAAATTGCCTGTCATTCTGATTTTAAAGCGGTAGCTTTATAGGGCTAACCAACCTCGGGTGCCGCACAAGCACAAAATGTGTAGGTCGGTCGGTTCATAACCGCAAAATGATCTTGGAAAAACGGCAACCAGTGCTAGGGATCGAACACCGAACAGCAGCGTAGAAGCCAAGTGCACCACTGACAGATCTGCATACCGAGCACACAGGAACGGGAGGAGCAGAAGCAGGTGGTGTGAGGAAGCGCTCGGAGAGGAGTGGAAAAGGGCAGGAAAGCGTCCTCCCCTCTCCTGGTGACCCAGAAAATTCAGAGTAAAGGCTCTGTATCCAGGTGGCGCTGAAAGGAAGCGCACGTAGCACCACGCAGAGAACATTACTAGACTAGCTCAGTTATGGAACTGCCCATAGGTGCTGCTTGCACAAGCACTACCCCCCCTAGGTGCTGCTTGCACAGGCACTTCCCCCTCTCCCCCCAAAGCTAGCATCCCGTCGTTCGACACGCCAGCTCTTTGAGGGGGTGGCTGCTATGGAGGGGGTGGCTGCTATGATAACTGCAGCATATTTATTAAATATATATGTTTCAAAGCACAGCATCTAGCTTACGTTTCACCATACTTTATGGAACACACAGTTTCGAGACGAAAATCTAGCTGGCGCTTCATATGACAGAATGCGGACTGTAGAGAGTGAGTAGGGGGGGGGGGAGGGTTCCCCCCTCCGCGAGAGATTTACTACTGAGGTAATCCAGTAACGTTGCAGTAATGTCTGTGATGTGACGTAATGAGTTTCCATGCAAAACCTTGCAATAGGCACCACCTGAACTAAGAGCATCGCCCGCTCTATAAAGCCATCGCATTCAACCACATTTGGCACAATTACCAAACATGCAGCCAGGTTTTTATGCTTCGCTTACGCCGCTCTTTGTTGCACGTGTGAATTTGATGGCGGAGTTTCTGTTTTATTGAAGTAATGTCGAGCTTTAGGCTGAACAAGCAACAAAAGGCAAAAGAAGTTCTGAAATGTTGACCATTTGAGGCGGGTCCAATCTCGCTTAAAGTGGGGACACTACCCAGAAAAAAGAAATTTCTGCAAAAAGGTTGATTTTGAAAAATGCCAGCTTTACATCCACCGACATCTAGAGAGCATTCCCAGAAAGATTCATTTGTTTACACTGCATAGGTATTTTTTTATAAATTATTTTCAGTCCAGCAGTGCTAAAAAAAAGGTAGAGGTCCGAGCACTTTGAACGCGTTTTTCTCCGTTCCTTTTTTTGGCATAAATTTAAGTTTAATAAAACAATATTTTCAGTATGAAACTATTGAGATACTTAATATTTGCGGCTTATATGCCGAAATTTTATGGAGCCGGTTACTATGAACTTAGATTTTGCATTTTCATGTTCCTTTATTATGAAAAATTGTAATTTGCAAAACTTGGTACATGAGAAGAAAAATTTTTTTTTTCATAAAATTGTTTTTATTTGAAAATCGCATATATTTTTAAATTTTTTTTTTATATGAACCGCCAACATGGGTATTCTAGCATGCATTACATCAGAAAAATATGTGGTTATCAACACCATTTTTTAACCATAGGTTCATTGAGCAGGTTCCATGCTAATTTATGCTTTATTTCGTTCTGAGGGTATAGTACCTCAAAAAATTGGTTCACAGGGCTGAAACTTTGCATGCCCACCTTCTGTATGGCTACAAACACCACCTGCAACTATAATGCCGATTGATTGAGCGGTTCAAAAGTTGTCATTAATGTGCGTGACCGAGCTTGTGCCTGACCTCTGTGGATTGTACTACTTGTGCCCTTTTAGTCGGTGTACTGAAAGGTTCGCTGCAGCTTTTGACAGGAGGAAGGTATGTTGGCGTAGCTTAAAGTTCAGGTTGTACCATGTAGACTGTTTCCGTTTTGTACGCCGAGTGTTGGAAGCAGAAACAAAACGTTACTGTCCTCGCATAGTTTCTGGAATGTGACAAATCCCATAGATTTGTCATAAACCAGCTACAAATATCTTAATGTAAAAAATTGCGTGTTTGTGGACTTGGTATGCAGGGTGTTTTTTGTTTTAAGCTGTACAGATTTATTTCAAAAGACCCGTGGAAGCCACACTTATGCGGTTTGTGCAGGTGTGTTATGCGGCAAGGGGGACATAATATAGGTGGCTAATCGTAATTTAGTTGGCTAATTAACTATAATTTGTTCATTACCTTTCTAATTAGTGAAAATAGACATGGTTTTAATTAGAAACTTGCTGAGCATCACCAAAACCACTAAATCAACTCGTTTTAGAAAGTTATAAGGCTATAGCAGTATAATTTACGGCGCTCTGAAAAAACGCTCATTTTGGTTGCGTTTCTAGGTTTCGGTTTCTTATATCTTTGCACCCGTGGTCCCGCTACCCGGCGGTCGTGGGGCAAAGCCACTGCCTCGCGCCTCTCGCAGGATGGAGGGAAGTATTGCACATGTGTGTTGCGCGTCTCGGTTACTTGGGAGCAGGATCGCGGGTGCAGAGACGTGCTCCGATAAGTTATTTATGATATTCTGTTATGCAGAAATCGAAACAAAACACAAATGTAGTCTAGGCTGATAGAGACACCAGGGAAGGAGCCTCCAGGAAGCCTCAAAAGTATCCGCCTACGTTTCGCAGGAGACTCGACTTCTTGAGGACCAAAGTTACAGGAACGTGTTGACAGGGTGGCAAGTTTGTTGCTCCTCTACAAATTTAATTTAAAAGTTTAACCCCTGAAAACTGCTCTCTCTAAATACGTCGCCTAGAAAGAAGTCGAGTTCTTTTTACGCAGGGCGCACAAATAAACTGTGCATCACCAAACGCTCGGTCAACACCCCAAATGTAGCGCCACCAGTCTGGACCAGATGCCAATGTTTCAAAGCTTGTCATTATCTCGCCCAAAAGCTACAAGCGATTTTCGCGAATTCCCTACAAGAAAGTGGGCCCCATTTATTAGTGGATGACGCCATTCGTCCCCATCGCGAGCTCCGTCAGCCACCTTTTTTCTCGTCGAAAATTTCCGTAAATCGCTCGTAACTTTTTAGTCGGGTAATGTCCACCCGTAGAACTCTGACCCCTGGTCCAGACCACTGGCGCTATCTGTGGGGCCGAGATTGAATGTTCGGCGTTGCGCAGTTTGCTTTTGCGTCGAAACAAACGCCATAACTTTTTTTTTCGAGACTCGCCCCGTACAGTCGGCATTTATTCCCTCTCGTGTTTTGGGGTGTCCAGGTGTATGACGTTGTGGTGGAGCTCCTGGGAGCGGAGGACCTGAACTCGGTGCTGCGGAGCAGCGCCCTCCTCTGCCTCGCCGAGCTGTGCCACAGCATGCCCACTGCCACCATCGTCCATTTCGGCCGTCTCATACCGCTCTTCCTCGACGTGCTCCAAGACAGGGACAGGTGAGTTCACCACGGGGACGGTTCTGTCACGTGCGGGCGAGCCTTTGCACAGTAGAGCTGGTTCGGTGGTTTAACGTAGAATATGTTCAAGGGCTATATTTTGTGCATCCCACGAGAGCCGAGGCCATCGCACGAGAGCCGAGGCAGCATAAAGTGTAAATTACAACGCGAGAAAGCAGATAGAAGCCATGCTTAGTCGTAGTTAATTCTGCTTAATTGTAATTCTGCATAATTAATGGTAATTAGCTAGATAAAACTAGTGGCACAGCGGAAATCGGAGCCCGGACCGTGCGGGAACACAGCTCAACGTCTGCTCGTTGCTGCAAAGAGAACAATGGCGTTAGCAGCTGGCCTAATGACTAGGGGTAGCCTACTGCAGCAGGTTACAGTAGGTGCGCGCAGGTGACTCCCCAACGACGAAGCTCAGCTTTGTGGTTTGGGAGCCACCACAAAGCTGGTGCCACAATGTCCCGGGTCCCGAATAAATTCAGGATTGTGTCGGTCGTTCTGATTAACCCAAGGAGCCCACAAGCATGTTGTGCTTGCAGTGCATCGGAAACAGCCCGAAACTTCCTCCGACCGAGCATTGCAAACCGTAACGCTATATCAAATATCAAAGGATATTTCCTTTGAAGTGAAGTTTTTCTGTGGTGAAGTTTCATTGTAGGAGCAAAGTTGAGGGAACTTCTTAGGCTCTTTGCAGTTTACTTGCGTGCGGTTCTTTTGTAAGTGGGTTTGGTTGTGTACACTATTTTAAGACAAGCCTGCGGAACAAGCACTAATTGACAGCAAGAATGAGATTGTTGGAAATATTGAAAATGAATCGTTCACTCTTGGTTTATTTTTGGACTTAAGAAAAGCATCTGATTTTGTGCAACACAACATTCTGTTAAAAAAGCTTGAGTGTATAAAGAGTTACACTAAGACTAACGAAAAGATAATTTTGTATCGTTATCAATATGTGTCTGTAAATGGCCATTCATTTAATAAAGTGAAAACGTGACAAGGCGTTTCTCAAGGCTTAATTTGGGGGCCTCTATTACTCCTCGTATATTTTAATGACATTGCGGCAATATCAGGTTCTTCTGAACTAATAGTGTATGCAGATGACAGAGGGCTGACGCGCCGAAAAAGTGCATAGAAAAAAGTTAGATGATGAGTACCTTTCAAAATTATCAAAATGGTTACAAGTGTATGCATTTAAACACTACAATTGAAACTAAGTATATAACTAGCAAACCAGTAAATAAGCAAGACTACAGTTTTATTAAATTAATATTTGAAGGCACTTTGTTGGAGTTAGTGGTAGAACAAATTTTGGGGTTTATGGTTTACTGAAGATCTTTTATGGAGTTGTCATCAGGGGCTCCGGAACCGGGGAGGCAGGGGGGGCGTCGGCCCCCCTCATGTTTTTTTCGTAGGGGTCATGCCCCCCACCGACTCTGAAGGCTGACCCACAACCCTCCCTTAATGTAGTCAGAGCAACATGCTACAGCGCCTTCCAAGCTTGAAGCGGAATAAGAAAGGACAGCGACGTTTTGTCTGAACAAGAATTGGTAGTAAAGCTGATACCCTTGTTAAGTGCTGGAGTAAAGTTTCTTCTGAGCCAGCCTTGAGGCGCGCGTATTGGTCACATCTTAATCACTCACAGCAGGACGGGGACAGCTTAGGAAAGGCACCTTTCTACCATTCCTTGTCATCGGAAAGGATGGCGGGAAGGAGGCCTCCCTCCGGCTCTGGATAAGCCTCCCCAAACGCAAAACCTCTTGCCCGCGAGAGATTGGTCTCTGGCAGAGCGCTTCGACAAACAGCAGTCCGGAGCATATGTCCTTGGAGGGACTGCACACTCTCTTTGACGAGTTTTGCTTGAGATCGGCTCTTTCAAGAGCCGCCTCGGTGGCTCCGAGGCGAGAGCGCCGGCTTACGGTTCCCCAGGTGGCGGGTTCGAATCCCGACTGAGGTGCCCGCAATATGACGGAGGCTTATTGCGGAGAAGGCGCCGTGTAACCGAGCTTTCGGTTGCACGTCAAAAGATCCCCAGGTGGTCGAAATTAATCCTCAGTCCTCCGCTGGGGCGTGCCAGATGCCCGTCATAGGTTTGGCACGTAAAACCCCCAAATTTGACTTTGACTTTGGCTCTTTCAAGCTCGGCCATGCCAATACCGTGCCAATTAAGCGCACTGATCCCATAATGGCCGGAGAGGGTTCAGAGCTGGCCTAGCATGGGCGGCGCCCCTTGAAGTTTCTGCACGACGTCTATACTCGTTTTCACCTCAGGAAAAAAGGACGTTTTGCGGATTGTTCATTCGCCGCGCGAAGTACTGTCGAGACCGGCTATAACGAAGTCAACGGGAATCGGAAATCACTTCGCTATATCCGCTATATCGATATAACCGACTTCGTTTATAACGAAGTGCAAAAGGGAATGGGAAATTGTGATCGCTTCGCTGTAGCCGCCATTTCGTTATAACCGACTTCGTTATAACCGGTCTCGACTGTAGTTCATACAATATTTGCTTGTCAGAGGAAGAAGCGATACTTTTGGGGTTTGAAACGTGTACGTCTTGATAAGATAACATATATCTGATCTAAAATGCACTTACACATATCTTGATTCACTATATAAAGGGGAAAATTAGTAATGTTCTGCGAGAAGCCAAACTTTTTTTTACTATGGTTCTTGAGGTGAAAACGGGTATAGTAGATGCGAAAAGCATTTCTGCCATCCGTCAATCATTTTCGTACTTTTGTTCGGTGTGACAGAAGAGGTCACGGAAACGCTCTTGCGTGCTAGAGATTTTGAAGACCTCTTTTTGTTACTCCGAAAAGATTTCGGCTAAACAAAGGTCGCTTCCTCCATTTCGGTTTTTCCGCACGTACGATCTTCAAAGTTGGGGGGGATCTGCACTGCAAGGATCTGAGCCTTGACCCCCGCACCCCTGATCAGAATTGACTTCCGGAGCCCCTGGTTGTCATGTAAACAAACTAAAAGCTGATTTTTCTTGGGTGATGAAGCATTTATAAAACATAAAATTTTATACCTACCTTGTTAAAACAAACGTATTCTCCCATATTTTACTCCATAATTAATTATGTTTTGGGGAACAATGACAATGGTGAACTATAATAAACTTATTTACGACAAGGAAAGAGGGACATTGAAGACAAACAGACAAGACAGGCTTTCGACTATCAACTTATCCTTAGAAAAAAAAACTTCTACGAAAATGTTAAAATTATAAAGGAGATACCAGAAATTCAAGGACACAGCTACTCTTCACCAAATGTAAAACACTTAAGGCAGACCAAGTAGATTACTTCAGACTTTTAGAGTGGATACATAAAAACAGACTTCACACCACACCAAGAGACAGCCCGAGTGCATATTCGATTGAAAACCCAAAGCGAAGGATGCCGGCAATAAGAACCAACTATGGCCGACAAACGTGAAGTTTTGAAACAACTAAAACTCTGAATAGTAGAACAGATCTAAACATTAAATTTGATAAAGAGTTTCCTACTTTTAAAAAGGCTTGCAGAAGGTTCCTGGTTGGCAGTGAAATTGCATTTTCGTCTGGATAGTGTATTGCACCAAGAACATGGTCCGTATAAATACCTAGCCAATTTCAAAGAAATATATTTTCATTGTTATGTCACCTGAATATGCTGTTGCTTGCAAGTCAAAGATTGTGTTCTAGTTCTTTTTGTTTGGTTCTTAGTTTTTGCACGGTTAACATTTACTGAAGTTTATAGTGTTTTTACCTAGTGAATGTTCTGTTGTTTGTTTCCCGTTCTTCGACTTTTTTTAAAAATTGTGTCATGTTTTGTGGACTTTTTCTTATGTAACTATCTTTAGCTGCTGAGCTTTAGGGGGGCAGAGTCTTTGTCGGGCGCCACACCATTATCTCTCCCCCTACTGTGTAAGCCCGCGAAACAAATTTTTAAAAAACTTGCAGTTTAGTTGATATTTTTGAGTGGTGTTCTTTACTGCTGGTGTATGGATGCAGTTCCTGTGGTGGTGCCATTCACATGCTGTTTTTTGTGTTTTCGTCCTTCGATACCCGTGAACAGGCCAGAGCTTGTGACCCTGGCTGTGGTGACTGCGCTTCACCGTCTTGTTGAGAGTCTGTCACCGTTCCTGAGTGCCTACTTGACGGTCATCATTGTCGAGGTTTGTCTATGGCATGGCCAACTACCGTTTGCGTAAAGCTTGTTAGATGGTTAAGATGTGCTTTTTCTTGACTAGCGACGAAATTTATTTTGTTTTTCTGGATCGGCACGTTTGTGCTCACCAATGACTGAAGGACACTTTTAGCAATAGAGTGCTTGGAAAGGACTATGTATGATAGAATCAAGTGCAAGACGAATTGATTCATTAGAGACCTAACCTGTAAATCTTTCCAAAATTTAGTTGCGTTACCTTCATACCTTCACTGCCGACTTTATTCGGAGCAAGTGAGTAGTAGCTTAATTGGTTACCCTTTGGCACTATCGTAAGTTTCATAACTTTAGCATGGCGGTGTTTGAACGTTGTATGCAATGTTATTTATTCAGGACTGTACCGTGCACCAGTCCTTAGATTCTCACATGTATTTATTTCATCTTGTCCAAATATTTGTAATGAGTCCTGTTTCTTCGTAGAACAGTTCAAAGAAAGACGGTGTTCTTTCTCTTAGGTTTGTTCGTTGTACGCCAACATCGTCGACGGCGGCACTCACGCGGCAGCCATCAGGCAGCGTCTGGACGCCGTGTCTGCGCACCTGGGACAAAACGTCCCACTTCGCGTCCTGGTTCCCACCATAGAGGACTCATTTGCGTCCTTGGACAACACCGTGAGTTTTCCCGCAGCACAAGATTCTCTTTGCTACTTCGCACGTCCGTGCTTGGTCGAGGAGAAGGCAGTTTCGCCGCGCTACATGCGTGCCGTGGTGTGAAGCCGCCTCTGGACTTGGTGGGAGCTGAATATTAATTTAGCCAGGTAGGGCGGTTATCATGTTGTTCGAGACTTCAAATACTGAGAAAGGTTTCAGAATGATTATTTACTCTTTGAGCTCATTGTTGTTAAGCAAATTGTCGCAAAATATTGAGCAAGCAGCGCTCGTGCAAAATTTGTAGATATTCACAAAAAAAGTTAGGATGTGCATTTGTTAGGCACAAGAGCAGAAAACCAGGAGGCTACATGCTAGTGTAGGTCTTTTTTGTCCCATGAGCGGTATAGGAGCAGTATAGGGGTCTGGCAGAACCTCATCTTGAAAGCAGCCACAACGGTCTTGTCAAACATACTTTGTACCGGCGCCCTTGCATCAAGCTTCACCGCTTTGCACTGTCATCTTGAGGAAGCGGCTCTTACAAAAGAATGTCCGGCTTTGCTCGGGGGGACTCGGGAGTGTGCTGGGGCAAGTGCTCGACACGAAACGTTTCAAAAGTAAAGAATGAATGCCTATTGGAACGCAAGCGCGTGTTGGGTGTTTTAGGATAGTTTGGTTACCGTGCTGCCTCGAGCCTCACTAAGCAGATGATGCGTGCTTCCGACAAGCTCTACATCTTCACTCTGCATGATGGGCAACAGATGTGCACACTGCGCTAGCGTTCAGCGACAGTTCTCCCTTTTGAAGCAGCATTTCCAGAAAACATATCCTAACTTTTTTAATACTACAGTCAAATCTCGATGTAACGAAGTCTCTAAAATTCGGAATTTACTTCGTTACATTGAAATTTTGCTACATAGAAATTCGGGGCTAATGCTAAAGAAGGTTTTCACAAATGTTTCTCGGGTGCACAGAACTCACCGAGGACGTCTTTATTTCGGTTGAAAGTAGTATGTCACCTTTTTCTGGAACACTCTTGGCATTATTATTGGCATCACACAATGTTCGCATAGCCAGATGGCCTGCATCGCGTCTTCGTCTTGCTGCGTGCTTGCGAACCGCCTCAAGACATTGATTGCGTCCACCACTTCACGGTTACTGGGCACATCGCAGGTGTCTTGCTCCTCGGGCTTGATGTCGTCCCCGTCTTGCGAGTTCCCACGAACATCGTTAGCTATTGCCTCGTCGGTCAGCTCCTCCGTCGCATATGACAGCAGAGTCGGCGTATAGAAAGTCGTCGAGGTCGACGTTGTGAGGGGTGGCTTCATCGCCTTCAAGGCTCCATCGCCCAGGGCAACGAGAAATGCACGCTTTCAGTTAGGCCTCGAAAAGAACTACGCAGTGCGAACGAAGCCGACGAGAGAAACGGCGGCGGCTCTAGTGTCCTTCAGTGGCCGTTCTGTGCACTCCACTCGTCAGATTCGGCCCATTTCACCCTTTGCATTTTATTGGGGGCCCGTTTCAGCGCATGTGCTTCCCAAAATCTCCTTTGAGACCCAGAAGTCTGTGCCGAATGGTCCGTAAAACTAGAAATTTCAGCAAACGGGACTTCGTTACATAGAGGTCAAAAATACATGGCGTGCATACACTTGCGGTTAGAAAAGGTTATGTACTTCGTTACATCGAGAGTTTCGTTACGTAGAAGTTTGTTACGTCGAGGTTTGACTGTATTAACGTTTTCGGTTTTTTTTTTTATTGCAAGGTTGCAGTGGGGCACCTGATGACCATCCTGAACCATCTGATCTCTTCAGTGGAGAAGTCGGACCTCAAGGGGCACCTACCGCAGCTGCAGGAATTGGTGATCAAACTCCTCAGCTACAGGATGACTCATACAGAGGTAAAATCAAAATGGCATTTGCGAGAGAGTACCTTCTCTCTCGGGAGATTGTGTTCTGCTCATTGGAGGATACATACTAACCAACTCGCCATACAGTCACATCTGGTTAATTTGAACACGTCCATTCTACCAAAAAAAAAACATCCATGATGTGAGTCGTTCGTAATTATGAGACAAAAATGTGCACATTATCCAGTTCACCTTGTAACATTTTGTTCATATAGCTGAGTATTTGTGTTAATGGGGTTCATAGTAACATAAAGTGACTACAACAAACTTTCACCATACAGGAAAAGATGTGCGGTGTAACCATCTGGAGTTTTAGAGAGCCTACCGGTTGAAATTTCAACACGAAGAAGCACAGGTGTCACATACGTGTTCTCCGCGTCGCGAGGATCCTTTGGTTAGCGAGTTGGCTCACAGAGAGTACATAAATGTTTACTTCGGGTTAATTTTTACTATCAAGTGTGCGGCGTCTGTCGTTTAAGGTGTTAAGTTCTTTTGTTTCGTTTGTTTTCAGTTGCCAGCGGAAGACGTGGACGCGGTTGAGGACAATGTCGTGGGCGTCGTGACCTCGCTTTCGTTCAAGCTCTCTGAAGTCACCTTCCGTCCATTCTTCTACAGAGTAAGTGCTCCGTCCAGTTATTCATTTGTTTGTTTCATAATGAACACGTGAAGACTAGAAGGCGAAGTGAAGTTGGCAACCTTGGCGGCCAAATTTATTTATTGTTGGCGAAGGCGGTGTCTGAGTTTCGTTTGGAAGAAAAGCTACGGCATTACTTTAGAGGGCCTGGGTTCCCTTGCCTTTTGATCTCGAGAAACCCCATTGCTCTCGATTGACGGCTGGGGAACCCAATCTCGGCACTGATGCAATAAAGCAGTGCAGAAGCCTACAGGTTTTCAAAACTGATTCAGATGCTGTGGAGTGATTTACTCATAGTTATGCATCAGTGGGTTTCTCAAACCTTCAGAAAATGTTCAAGTTGGAAAAAGAAAGATGTGCTTTGCTTTTGGGAGTGACTTTGGAGGAAATTTGGGAACTCGTGGAACACCTGAGGGTACTCTGGGAAACCCCCGGATTCCCAGGTATGCATGTTGCAGGAGAAGCGCTAAAGTAGACTCGCTCACCCTCACATTCACACTCACACCAGAAAAACGGTCACTCACGTCGCGCTGACTTTCAAGTCAAATTGTATTTTCGTCTTCTTTCGTTTTTCTTTTACCCGTATCAAATGTCATCTCACTTCGTTCTCTTCTTTACAAAACCATTAGCAATGTCTATCGCACATTACCTTTGAGAATCTAGATATAACAATTCTTTTTCCGTAAGCGTTATGGATGGACTACTAACACAGGTGTCACTCCTTTTTACGGAAAAAGAATTGTTATATCTAGATTCTCGAAGGTAATGTGCGATAGACATTTGCTAATGGTTTTGTAAAGAAGAGAACGAAGTGAGATGACATTTGATACGGGTAAAAGAAAAACGAAAGAAGACGAAAATACAATTTGAGTTGAAAGTCAGCGCGACGTGAGTGACCGTTTTTCTGGTGTGAGTGTGAGTGTGAATCTGAGGGTGAGCGAGTCTACTTTAGCGCTTCTCCTGCAACATGTATATCCAACTCGCCCAAGCATCCATCCTAGGTATGCAGTTTGAGAACTCGTGTTGTATGGGAATGCTGACTAACAATGCAAACCTGACAAAGATGATCCAGTGTGCGTGAAATCAGACTGAAGGACCCTTCCGCTGACTTTGCAGATCTTCAACTGGGTCACGGTTCCAGAAGACGATCGGCTCAAGGACAGGGTACTGACGTTCTACCACCTCACCGAAAGGTAATAGTAATGCAGTCAACTCCACTCATAGTCACGATTATGGCGAGGGAGCTACTACACTTCGTTTGCCCCTAACCCGGCGGCGAGGTGGAAAGGTCCAAGCTCGCTGGGCCAATCTCATGCCCGTCTTTTGCCACACGATTATGTCCCAGCCCACACCCATGCACAGAGTGCAAGTCAGGTGACGAGAGGGAGACGGGTCATTGGTCCGACAAGCGCGTAGCTTCCCCCACACTCTCAGCTTAGGGGTAAATGGAGTGTCGAGGCGTGTGAACCGCGGGCGCCGCCACACGCGTGGCCGTGACCTTAGCTACACAAACAACAAAATGCGAAAATAAAAAAAAAAGTAAAAAAAAAAACGCAAGAGCGGATGTGCAAGAAAAAAAAACTTTATTTATAGGAAAAAGTCTAGTGAACAACACCAAAAAATGACCGTATCTCCATGTGGTGAATGATGTTGATTGGGGCGAAGCTCTGGTGGTGCTGATGATACTGATTTTGTTGTTCATAGGTAGTGCTGATGGTGCTGATTTTTTTTTTATTGCTCATAGGTAGTGCTGAGTTCCGGGTTGCGTTTCGACTTTATTATTACTGCTTTATGGTCTGTGAAATGCAGGGCCAGTGGTTCTTCTAGCGGATCAGCTTGGATCCGCTAGAAGCCGTGGGAACGCATCTCTACCGTTCTGTCCACGTCAGAAAGAGAATGTGTGGTATGGATCGTGGTTATATACGCAGTTGAGCATGCAGCACCTTCTCGTCCATAAACGTTGAGCCAATGCATGCAAAGTTTAATGCGATTATATACGCACTTGACCGCAGCATCCTCTCCTGTATAGACGTTGAGCGGCTACATGCGACGTTTCATCCATGACATCTCCAGCTCTTGAGTTAATACCACATCTCAGAGTTCCCTACTCGTCTCGCAGTCGTGGCCGAGTGGTTAAGGCGATAGACTAGAAATCCATTGGGGTCTCCCCGCACAGGTTCGAATCCTGTCGACTGCACAAACATTTTTTCTTTTTATGTGAGCACGAATGCCGGACGGACGGACAAGGCTAGACCCTAAGGAGCTTCGCCCGTAAAAATAAAAAAGGCTAAATTGACAGCCAAAAGAAAAAACAGCAAAGCAAAAACTGCTAAAGAAAAAGGTATACAAAGACAAACGAGGCATCCAAAGTGTGAATGCACAACCGTTGTCGCCACGTTCAACTAGCCAGCGACGTTTCTCGGTTTTTTCATTTGACAGCTGAGGAGTCGCGGCAGTGTATCATTTTTTCTCTTCTGCCTCTTTGCGCCTTTCGCTGTACATGGCCAGTTATTTATCCTCGGCACGCGCAAACCGTGCTGCGACGACAATTTTTGGGGAAAGCCTCCCTACCAGGAGTGGGGTGCGCAGTTCAATGTATCGAACTGCGCTGCTGGTGAAGTTCCATACAGACACACGAGGTGCCTATATTTTGAGATGGCATTTTCAAGGGGATGTTTTGATTGTCTGAAATAGACACTATATCTAAATGCCCGGGTTTGACATAATCGGGCTCGACGGTTGTTGTTACTTGTATGATTTTACTGCGGAGCTGTTAAGGGCTAGTTTCCCTGGGATCATGTCCGTCAGCGAACAAATGAGGACACGGGACTCTGGACAGCTGCCGCCATCTATGAGCGACAACCTATCGAGCCTTTCCACTTTGGCTTGCCAGCTTGCAGCCGGCCATTACTTCATTCCCACCATAGTACAGCTTCGCTGGTCTTCCTTCTTCACCAGAGTGAAAAGGCTGAAAGTTTTTTTTATTAAATCCTCAGTAAAGAGTCGTCGCTTGTCCTTGCTTAGTTCCTTATTCTCTGTCTTCGTTCGTTTGCACGCCGTTTTGCTTTTTGATGATGGTCCCTCTTGCCCTTATCCACTTATAGGCGAACATTGTTTTCGCAGTGCCGCACTGTTTCCGCGTAATCAGCTTAGATCCTGAGTGATTAGTACTGGGGTTGAGAATGACACATGTGTTTTGGTTCCAGGCTGTCGGAGACCCTCAAGAGCCTCTTCGTTCTGTTTGCGAGCGTCTTCACAAAACACGCAGCCGATGTCCTGGCCGAGACCAACAGCTCTAAGACAGGTTTGCTGTCTTTTTATGCGTTTCTGTGCAGTAGACTTTGCAGTGCCTGCCCGCGATAAGGCACCCCACTGCCGATGCTGTGTAGCAGAGTGATGCCAAATGGGTATGTCTTTTCGTGGTTAAAAAAACAAAACGAAAGCAATAGCCGTAGCACGGTCGCGCTGTGCGGGTGGAGTAGTGCCGTCTCATACCTAGGGATGGAGGTGCGCCGTGGGTAATTCTCGTAGCCATCGTGGCTGGCATTGCGAATCCCGCCGACGACCGCCACCAGTGCTCCGTGAAGTAAGTGGGTAAGCGCAGTGGAAGTTTCTAAAAGCATCCAACATTACACGTAGTAACTGGTTACTGCCAAAGTGGAATTTCGCATAACGCGAGTAACGTTTGAAAACAAGTGTTTGAAGCAGACAACACAAAAGACTCCTTTTGTCGCGTCTTTAGTGGCGGGATGCTGGGGCTCCCCTCTCTTCTCTCTCTTTGCTGCGCGGCCGACTGGAAAACTTGACTATGGCCTCGTCCCAATAGCGGAGACAATGGTTTTTCCGTAGCGGCGACGATGGCTCGAGAGGTTGAAATCCCTGCAATGTGTCGCCTGTACAAACCAACTTGTACAAACCAAATTTTATGAGGTCTTGGCAGATGATAGCTCTTTCTTGGAACAGTTAAGAACGAGTTAGTTTGACAAGGTCCTGGTGCCAACGAGTGGCCACACGACAGCCATCGGTAACGACATTTTTTGTTGTCCTCACGAAGCCCGATAGGAAGCACTTCCATTGTGTAACACCTTACCTATGTTAGTATTGTGTTACGTGTAAATCGATAAATAAGTAGTCCCTGGATTGCCTAGAATAGCTCAGAAATGCTTTTTCTTTTTTCTTCTTTTTTTTTACTTTCTTTACAAGTTTGCAAGCAGCCACGCTTCAAAAGATAGTCTGGTAACCTCGAACACGCCTTAGCAAGGCTGGACTATCAAACAATCTACACACGCCAGCGGCGGGACACCTAGAGGTCGTACCTACAATTGCGCGTTTGCTGCATTCTTCAGAGGAGACGTTCTTTGAGGATGAGTCCAAGTGCTGCCAGCTTCTCAAGCACCTCTTGGGCACGCTGACCAACTGCTTCAAGCATGGAGGACAGGGCTTCCTGATCCGCGAGAGGTCGGCCGTCTTCCTCAAGCCCCTCATAGACCAGGTACGAAGCCATTTGGCTTTGGATTGGCTCTGGGTGACATCCGCCGGCAGAAATGGTGGTGCGTACGTGCTGGCAGATGACCTTAATATTGCTCGCATAAATAATTGAAATTTTTATTTTCCTGGTTCATAACCAATAAAATCAACTCTTGCTTTTTTTTTTTTTCTTTGTTTAAATATTGGTTGTTTTTGTTTTTTTTTACATGTTATTATTTTTCAGTATAGCCACTCCAGCAATGACCTCGAGCAAAGACCATTTGCTCGAATAAACAGGGAAGATACGAGTTGTTATTTAGATGTATGATTGCAGGCCTTTGTTTTGTTTGTCTATGTTATTTGCCAGAAGGCATGCTATGTGTTCAGTGTCCGCACACGTAAATGCAATTACTGAAAGGAAAACAATGTTGTGCCCCTTTCGTGAAATGTTCCGTAGGAACCGCACAGTGTTCTGGCCGTGTTTCACAATCACCGTCAGTGCAAGGTCATCGGGCAGCTATGACTCAAGTTCTCCGACATTTTTGCGCTCTCTTTTACGATTAAACGAAACAAAATGTACCAAGCCGGCACCACGGCAAAATATACAAAGATAGCAACGACGCAAGGTTGGAAATTCCCTTAATATTTGCATTACGCGACCATGTTGCAAATCACGTTGCATGGCAGTTGCTTGTGACTGCTCATAACTGGATGACACTCTGCTTCCAACTGTTGGATAGCTCAGGCCTACTTCCGGTCTGCATACATTTCCCAAACCAGGCAGCAGGTATTGCAGTTGTAGCGTGTTCGATGTTGAGAACATTTTCAGCTAAGAACGAATTTGGTTGCACCATCTCTTCTGTCTTCAACATTGAACACACCACATTGTAGCTTGTTCGATGCACCCACCAATACGACACCGGCACAAACGTTTCAGGATCTCCTGCTAGCTGACATTCGCGAAAGGTCGTTGTCCCGTTTTAGTTGGTTTCGTTCTAAAGTAAATGTGTATCGTTACGTCCTTTGACTGTGTTGGTTCGTCCCCAACGTGCACACGAGAGCAGTCAGGAACACAACGCAGTATTTGCAACATCAAATATATGCACTGTCTATGAGAAGGTGTCAATTTATAACGTTTTCAGAATTATTTCAACATGGCAAAAGAATTAGAAAATATTTACAAACCAGAAGTAGGCAAGGCCACCCGACAGAAGGCACCACCGTGTCGTGTCGTCTAAAGCCCTCGGACGCGTTTGCCTCACGAGTAGCGCCGTGCAACCGTCTGAAGGAAATGGCGACGCAGCACTCGCTCGTGACACTTGTATGGTGCATTTGCGCAACAGCGGTCATTGGGTGCTTATAAGGGACGTGCATCGAGAATTTTATTGCGGAGCTTTAATCCTGTCGTAAGCAGTCGCAAGCAGGTGCGATGCAGTTGGCCAGACTCAACTGCGAATGTGTGAACCAGCCTTTACATTTGCCCTCTCGACAAGAAACTGCACGCTTTAATAGACCACTTTTGAAAGTCTGCCTCTACACCCTGTTCAGAGCCAAGTCCGACGCTCTGACGGCAGCACTATGCAGCTTCTGCGCACCAAGAAAAGCAAACGTCTTCAAAAGTGTGGGGCGAAAAACGGGGCCAGTTGATTTTAGCAAGTCGGTCCTCGTACGTCGCCTTCGGTTCACAAGGTCGAGGGCACTCGAAGTTACGTTGTCTCGTTCTCCCATCGCCGCCCGCTCTCAAGACTGCCGCTAGATTGCTCAGATTTTTTTAAGGGTCTGTTTGACACTGCTTTTTGCATGCACTAGCAGCTGTCTCAAATGAGAGTAGTCCATCTTTTAAGTGTGTTCCGATCGCGGGTTAATATTTGATCTGTCGCGACCCTTGCAGCTCGAGAACGTCCTCGGCGGAGAGGAGGTCTGCAGGGAGCGCGCCGAGGAGACGCTGGTGCCGTGCTTGGCATATTTCGCGGCCGGCTGCGATGACTCGTCTCGCAAGGAGTGGCACCAGAAGCTGCTCTGCCAGATGAGGCACTCTTCCACGAAGGTACTACTGGTACTGCGCACTCCTCTCGCGGCTTTGGGGTACCCAGTCGCTAAACGAGCTGCACTTAGGGCAACGACACTTCGACCACGGCGGTGCGCATAGAATCCAGCGTTGACGGTCGACGCTGGGTTTGGTCAACGCGCCCGACCAAACGTGCGAGAAGCGCTTTCCAGCGTCGGACTTGCCGGAGCGACTCACGACTGAGTGAAATGATACCGTAACGATCTCCTGACACTGAGTGTACCACTCGAAGTAGACATGTTTGAAGCGCACATGTGCATGAAGCAGATGCACTCCGAATGTGCTCGAGATACGTCTGCAGATACTTCCGTCGTTCTGTCTAAAGCGAGTACTGTGTCTTTTTATGATGTAGGAGCGGCGTGATTGTGGCTGGGATACAAGAAGCACCTTGAATCCCAGCCTCACTGGTACAATATCCGAAAATACGAGTCTCGCGAGAGATTTGCCGGGACATTTCTTCTGGGGAAGTCCACAGAAATGCACTAATGGATGTACGTCGAATAGTGTTTTCATCTACCGCTGTGAAACGACATTGAAAGTTGCGTCGGCAACTATTCGGCGTGTGTTATGCCTTATTTCGTATGTCTCGCGTAAATGACCGCAGATGTTGATATGAATGCAGACCCTGATCTCATGCTTACTGTATAATGCCTTTCCCGCAATTTCTTTTTGCAAATCCCTGGTTACTTTTTTACACCTTTTTATTGACATTGTTTTACATGTTGTTGACGTAAAATAGATGCCTTTAAATGCCAGTTTTGTTGGAGTCAAATACTAAGTTTCAATGCATTTTGTCAAACTTGCTTGCTGAAAGTCGCTGACAAAAACGAGAGGCCCCCAGTGACGGGGAACCTGTTTTGAGGATTCAATCGTGCTCGTCAGTCTTTTCGGAGAGTTCGGCGTTAATCTCATCTCGCGGGCGTCGACTTCTAGTGTATACTTAGCTGGCACGCCAAAGAAAAAGCCTAACTTGACACAAGCTTGGCTATCCTATATGCGTAGCTTGGTGATTATGTTTTTGTTCCAGTGCGTCATTTAGTTCCGGAGTGCCTTTGTCTGGCGTTTATGGCTTTTCTCTGGCTTGCCAAAAAAAACTGCCGAAGTGCCAGACTCGAACCAAAGATGCCACGCACAAACCGAAGAACAAGCAGTGAAAGCTAGATCTGGCATTTGTTCGGCAACTTGAGGTCCAAAGTTGCCGCACAAAGACCGAACAACCAGGAGCACAGCCCAACCCTGGCAGTCTTTTTCGGGCTTTGCGAGAGCATAAAACATCCCAGACTAAAATTAAATTTTGGCCCAAAGAACTGAGCTACCAGGCTAGTGTCGTTTTATACCAAGAGGTGCCCCGCCCCAAAAGATAACCCACCCATAATTTTGGCATGATTTGCTAGTTTCTTCGAAGCACCGAAAGATAGCTTATTTCTAGCCATGGCAGGGCCATGGCCAATGGCAGCCTTGGCAGAAGTGGTGTTAGTTAGGCACAGCGGCAGATAAGCGAACATTGCCGACTGGGAACGACGGTCGAATTCGGTTGATCGCTCCTCTCTGCGATCACAAGTTTCACAGCTCACAGAATCTAAAACTAGCACTTTTCAACTTTTTTCATCGCACGTCGAAAGTTAGCTTACTTCTTTTTTTTTTTAGTCGATTTGCTTTCGATTTTAGGTGGGCTGTCTCGGGATATTACAGTAGTTGGTTTGGTCCACAACAGCGAGAAACTTGAGGTTACCTCGTAAGACGTGTTGTTGCGTGTGACTGCGGTTACAGGTGAGGCATGTCACGCTGCTGGCATTCCGCGAGGCCGTCCGCAAACTGGGAGACGACTACCTGGTGTTGCTTCCGGAGGCCGTCCCTTTCCTGGCCGAGCTCATGGAAGGTGAGAATTCCTCGGAATGCTTTTGTCTTCCTACATTTAAGCAGTCTTGAGCGTCGTCCTGTAATTTTACAGAGCTGTTAAGGGCCAGAGTTGTGCGTTCATCCCCGTAGCGCCGTCTTTCCTGCACGGCATGCTGATCCAGCTCTTCACATGACTGAATTTGGCGAGTAGCAGCGCCGCGCATTCGAGGTGCGCGGCGCGCTCCTTGAAAGCAGACGTCGCACGCCGGGGCGCGTGCGACGTCTGCTTTCCTGCGCAGCATTTGATCTGGCTCCTCGTGTGATCGGATCTCGGCGAATAGTGGCGCGGCGGCACGTGAAAAACAGATGCGCAGCTCTGGCTCCCATAGGGAGCCTATACAGGAACTCTATTCGGAGGATGATGAGAGGAAGCGGAACGAGCGGTGGCGTGCGTAGCAGCGCGAATGTTTCCGCAACCGCCGCGAAGCCGCTATCGCCTAAAGTTCCACTGCATCGAGTGCTTCAGAGTCCCTTGCGAAAGAAGAGCAGATCACTTGCCTGGAAAGCCACTGCCAAGAACAGAAGCTACAGCTCCGCTGCTCTTCCTTCTTCACAGAGTGGAAAGGCTGAACATTTTTTAAAATAATCTTTTCTTAAAAGGGTGGACACTGGCTAGTGAGCTTCTCAACTACTTGAGTGATCAGAATTAAATTTGCAGGGGAGATTTAACATCAGACGCAGGTGTATTGTGCAAACTTTCAGCTCTCTAGGACAAGTTTACATACTTGCATAAGATGTGCTGCACGTCATTAAGAAATCTATGGTATGCAAATGAAGCTATGAAGCACCATTTTGACTGCTTGAACATAAAGTGGGGGATGTGGGACTTTGGGCTATCTAGTTTTGATGCGAGAGCATTAACTGTCCCATGGAGCGAGCCAACATCATCAGCTTTGAAGCCGTGCCAGACGGCACCTTAAATCCTTTCTCCAAGTGAAGCCACCTCCCAGCTATGAAACCATGCAAACATCCTAACCAAACGACACTTAGTTTCCCCGATCCCAAAGCAGTGGAGTAAAGCTGATAAATTTCGGCTCCTGACTTATTGGCTGACGCGCGTCGATGAGGCTCCCATTGGCCGCTGCGCGCCAGTTTCAACGACCGCCACCTCATGGCGCTGCATGTCCATCAGCGCGCCAATAACACGAGACATTCAAGGTCAGAGCTGCGAGGAGAGGGCGCACCCTGCCATTGACGCAAATAAACTTATTTTTTTGTCAGTGAGGAGTTAAAGTTAAAAAAAAAAAGAAGTAGATAGCCCAATTCCCCAGTAAGTTTCAGTTCAGAAACATCTTGATTGTTGTAATAGGATACTTTTACCTTTGAAGACAAGATTCCTTTGTATGAATGTGGAACTGAGAAAAATGCATTCATACATTGAACTCCTTTAGTTTGTTACTGCCTCACAATGTGTTGAAAATATTTTCTATCAACGTAACTATTTGGCTTATGGTTACCAAATTTAGTGTAAAGGTGTATAATTAGTTTCTAAAACCGAAAACCTCAAATTTGAAAAATTAGTTTTTTAAAACAAATTTGAAATTTAGTTTTATGTCCTTCCTTAACATTGGATACATCAGTTGTCTAGACAAATAATGTTTTTTTTTTTTTTCTAATTTTTCAAATTGCACATTCTTTTAGTTATTTGAGCCTATCGTAGAATACTGTGCATATGCCTATTCCACACTAAGTGTCTATTCCCAAATGGGTAAGATATGAGAAAATATGCACAGTACTTTACATGTAAAATTGATTACCGGACAAGCGCCCATCCCGGATTTTTCCCCGATTACCTCTCAGTTTTGAGTGGCTGCCCTCCCGGTATTTTACGGTAGAATGTTACGTAGCTTTATGTCAGCATGCTAGGAACAGCAGCTGACGCAGCGGATCGTCTCTGATGGAACGCCCGTTTTCTTTTTTCTTGCAGACGAGAGCACGGAGGTGGAACAGTTGTGCCAGGAGGTCATCTTAGAAGTGGAACAAATCCTGGGGGAACCCCTGATGAAGTACTTTTGATTTGGAGGTCCATTAAATGGTGGAAGTGAGACTGTTTTTTCTGCCCTTTTTTTGTAGACATTGAAACTGAGCACTTTACAGTTCCACATTTACTCGAGTAATAGCCGCACCATTTATGAACAAGGCCCTTGCGTCTGCTTTCCCGCAGAGCACATATACAGCCAATCATCACGTTGCGCATAAATAACATAGCAAATAACCAGATCGAGAACACGATTCTCCATACAAATGAAATCTTCACAGATGGTATTTTCGCGCGAAGACGTTATCTCTGTCTTGTAAACCGCTGGAATCATGCTGCCGATCGTGGTGATTGGTAAGCCGCATGCTCCGCGGAAAAGTGAATCCTCAGGTTTTCTTCATAAACAGTGTGGCTATTACTCGAGGAAATATGGTAATCCCTCGTTACAATGAAATCGCGAAATTGCTTCGAATTGTCGCTTTTATTGAAGTTCAGCATGGTCCCGACTGAAATTCACACATTTTTAACCAGATTATTTTAAGTGTATCGGCGGCCGACTCCGCTTATTACAAAGGCCGCGGTGCCGGAAGCATGCAAGCCTACACGGAGGTGCACGGAGACCCTTGTGTTCCCTCCTTGTCTCCTCCGAGGCAAACGGCAAACAAGAGAACGGAGTAAACGGGTGACGCAGGGCAGCGTGCGCAGAGCGCCGCTTCCGATGCCGATGCGCCAACACGGGGACGCGGGCAGGGAGCAGCGTTTATGTTCCGACGCTACTCACGGCACCCGCAGCCAACGCTGCCCGACTCCTCTTCGAATCGGGTCAACGGAGCGATGAAGTCCGGAGGAGATTATCCCTTTGGGAGCCCCCGACGTGCGTGCCTGCGGCATACTACACGCACACGTGCGTCTTATGGGAGATCGGGAGTGTTTACTGAAAGTCGCTTAGATCTGCGACGTTGAGGAAAATGGCCGGCCCAAGTCCGAAATCACCGAAGAATTCGACATTCTGGCATCGGCTGTTCGACACTGTCCACCATTTTGCAGAACAAGCAAGGCATATTGGACGGGCTCGAAAAACTTCCATGCAAGATAAAGCGCCTCCGCGACCTGAAGGTGAAAGATTGCAAACTGCTTTGCGTACGTCGGATTTTCTCTGGCGAGCATGCTTGCCGAGCTGGGGCACGATTCCCAGAGCTGCAACGGTCACTAAAGGATTGTGTGAAAACATGTTGACAAAGCCACCTAGGATAACTTTAATTTGTTCGCACTTGTCGATGCGGACCTTCCCGTTGTTGCTCCTGCCACGGATGCTGGGATCGACCTTGCGTGCGGCCAGGGGAAACGTGAAGCAACGTCGGAAAGGCACCTCGGGAAACGCCGAACACTGTAGAGATGCGAAGCACCCCACGGCTGCTTCGAAACAAAGTGGAGTGCAGTGGCGGTGACGGTGTTCTTGCGATGCCTGAAGCAGTTTGAGGAGAACTGATGCCTGAATAAAATTATCGCCAAACTCCAACTAATTATTTCTTTACTCTGTGAAGCTGCCGCAAGATGTTAATAACCAGGCTTGTTTGATTAACCATACAGTCAGAATATTTCGCAGTGTTCCTGTCCACCTCGCTGGCACTGTTATTTTTTTGGGGCTCTAGCGCTTTTATTGAATTACCGTTGACTTTGTTATAACGAGGGATTACTGTAGCTTGTGGATGTCGCCTTTAATACTGCGTGCCTCCTATGCACTTTCCCACCGCTCATCACTCAGGCACAAGATGCCGATTCTGCAGAAGTGAGCTACTGCACATGTTCAGAATGTATTGTACAGTCCATTGGACAAAGATTGGAATCACACAAGGCAATTATTGGGAACCAGGGGTGCTCAAACTTTCTGGAACTAAGGAATGCCCCCATCTCTGTTGATTGACGACTGAGGAACCCTAGGTGCTGATTCATTAAAGCTTTGCTGAAGCTTGCAGACCTTGTAAACCAGGGGTCTCAAACTCATTTGAGTGTGGGGGCCAGATAGCCCATCCACCCAAAGGTCGAGGGCCAACATGGAAAAAAATGGCAATGGTGTTTCACACTGACCGTGTTACAAATCTTGCCCAAATAGATGCGAGTTTTTCCGGCGGGTCATGTCGCAGGACAACACAGATTGAAAAATGCTGGACGCGGGTAGGTTGTAGATTGCCAAGGTACAAAACCCTTACCCTCAAGTAAGATGGCTGAATTTTGGAACACAGCCACTGAAAAGCAGCAGGCTCTCCCAGAAACACCTCAAAGGTTTTCTAAAGAAGGGACCTCATGCTCTCTGCTTTTTGCAAACTCTTTGTCTTGCCAGTGACATCTTTACCTTTGATTTGCTTATACAACCACCTTTTGCCCACACCTGATGTGACAAGATTTAAAATGCCAATGTGCTGGCATTTTTCAATAGAATGCGTGGAAGTCCCCTGTTGTCCTGTCGCACAATTCACTAGGCTCACGAGGAATGGAAAAAGATGTCTCTTCATACAACAGTTTTTGCTTTCCTGGCAATTTTTATAGCATCATTATAAGAGAATACTTTGATTTCAAAGATATCTAGAAGCCTGAGCTCATAGCTCTGTGTTTTGGCAATTCCTGCTGCTGAGAGTTTTCTCGCAGTCAAACTGCGTCCTTATGTAGCACTTCCCTCAAGATGCTTTTAAAGGGCAACTATTTTTTTTTTAATTTGGGATTACGACTGTTTTCAGCTAAAGCAGTGTCCCTGAATTACAAGATTTTTTTTCTATACTTGTGTGTAGTTTTATAAATATTAAGGCTAAAAGTTTGGTTTCGGGTGTCTATGGCCAAAACAAAACTATCTGCTAGAGGGATGGTAACACTGATCATCAGCTGTATGGCTGCAATGTGACATCGCAAGGGTGCTGCGGTACGCGGTGCAACCAATCAACCGCAGTTCCACCGCAATGTGACTTAGTGTACCGGTGTTCCTTGATCAAAAGCTAACCTGCTTGCCACCTACTAAAGAGCAGCAGGTTGCATCTTCAGAATCGGTTTTAGTGGAATATACGGCTTCATTTTGGCGTAACATTTTGGCTGTCATCATATTTTGTGCCACTGAAGCAATTCCGGTCATTTATTTTGGTTTCGTTTTTGACCGGAGCTTCCCTTTAAGGTAATTGAATGAAATTGAGTAAAGAGCTCGCGCTTGTAGCCTAGTGGCAATATTGTCATTCCAGTTGATCTGTGAGAAAGTGCCAAGCGAGACAAATTTTTAGCGCAATAGTCGGCCCTAAAATAACAAAATGTGTGAATACATTGTAGAAGCAGAGCACCTCTCCAAGCAGATATGAATTAATGATATGAATGTATTATTCACAACGAGTGTAGGGCGCAAGGCATGGGAATGGGGCTCGCAAGTGCGTGATGCTTGCGGGCCGCGTGTTTGAGACCCCTGTTGTAAACAATAATGCACACACTGGGGAGTGTCTGGCTCGTAGTTATGCTTGAATGGGCAACTTGGATCTGCTGAAATGATGCCTAAATTTGAAAGATGCTTACTTTGGGACAGCAACTGTAGATGAAATTTGGTAACTCTGAGGTACTTTGGGGAACTCGAGTTCCTGGGAACCTGGTTTGAGGAGCCATGGTCTACACCCACAGATAAGACTCAAAGTTCAAGCCGGGAACCGGCAAAGTTTTAATTCTATTGTCACCTCACACAAGACACTTCTGTCCCGGTGCCACGCTCGAGCGGTCCAACGCGCAGAAATGGAAGGAAAAAAATTAGCCTTTTAAAATGAGATTCTAGCGGTCGCGGTAGGCAACTATCGCAACATAAAAATGGTGTTTCTAAACATGCAACCAAACTCGTTTTTTTTTCTTTTAAAGGGTCAATGGTGGTTATGGGGTTAATGGTAACGATGCTAGAAGTTTAAGGTCTGCAAGTAACGTTCAACACCGTTCGATAGAGCACAGTTATTTCGGCAAATAAGTTAGGTCGGCAAAGCGCAACAGGATCGCATTTCTTCGAGGGTAAAAAATTTCACAACTGTGGCAACGACCGTACATTAGCAATTTCTGAACAGAAAAGGCTGCTGCGTCCCATGACGCTGCTGCATTCCCCCCCCCCCCCCCTCACCTCTGCAGCACTATAAAGATCCTCAAATGTGGTATACTATAATCGAGATGCTTCTATGCGATTCAGATTTTCACGACAATCAAGCACTATTCATCTTCGCATCCGCTCTGAACCACGATTGGAGTCCGGCAAAAACGGAGCACCAATAAACACGTCGCAAAACCAAGCAAACCACCTATGATCTGCGCACGTCCGCTGGACAGTTTCATACCTGGTTTCTACAATCTAGCACAACTGTCGGCACGCACGGTTGCATCCAAGCTTGCAAACGCAACTTTCTGTCTTTTTGTCCAGACACGGTATGGGTCAAAAATGTCGCCCGCCGGTTCTGTGTACGGAGGCTCCCAACTTCAGTGAAGGGCCTTCCGAAGTCAGTCTGTCCCGCGTTCCAAATGTCGCCTCAGTGGTCGCAGTTCGGTGTTACATGACCACTGCCACATCTGTTGCCTAGTCCCAGCAGCACTGAATTTGCATCAAGTTGTTCTAGGTGCAAGACCAAGAGAAGCTCCCTTAGCTTAAACTCGGCTGGGCTTAGCTTAGGCTCAGCTTAAGTCCAGCTTAGGTTAGGCACAAATTAGCTTAAACATGGCTTAACTTAGGCTCAGCATAGCTTAAGTTCAGCTTAGTTTAGGCTTGGCTTAACCTAAACTCGGCTTAGCTTAGACTGTTTAGTTCAGCCTGGGTTTAATTTGATTCAGCTTAGCTTAAGTCCAGCTTAGCTTAGGCATAGATTAGCTTAAACTTGGCTTAGCTTAGGCTTAGCTTAGCTTAAGTTCAGCTTAGTTTAGGCTTGGCTTAACTTAAACTCGGCTTAGACTCCGTTTAGCTTAGCTTGAGCTCAGCCTAAGTCCAGCTTAGTTTAGGCACAGATTAGCTTAAACTTGGCTTAGCTTAGGCTCAGCTAACTTACGCATCACTAAAGTTTGCTAGAGTCAGCAAGGACTGTGGTCAGTGCCAAAGTCCAGCATAGTTTCCGCGGAGGCTGGCGGGGAGCGGACCACCTGCTGCAAACAACTGCAGTCCGGACGAGTCGTAGCAGTGCGTGTAGATGGCCGGACGGTACTCGGTGTTCCAGAAGACCTCGCGGTACAGGTCGTCCGCATGCACCCAGCCGTTGCTCGCCTTGAGCGTGCTGTACTTGCGGTGCCCCGCCGACTCCTCGAGGTACTTGGAGGCCCTCAGGTCGAAGAACAACACCACCCCGATGCCCGTGCCGATGGTCAGCAGGTCGTTGGAGAAGCTCAGCGACCGGATGCTGCAGCCGATGAACTTGGACGGCACCTTCTGCGTCTGTCGGAAGGTGCCAGAGTCCAGAAACGTGATGTACGACTTGGATCCGACCGCATACACATTGCGCTGGGGCTGCTGAGCCAGGCAGACGTTCTCCTGGCAGTAGGGCAGCTTGTGGGACGCCTTCCAGCGGAACGTGTTCACGTCCCACTGGTGCACGACGGCGTTGAGCGACAGCGCCACCACTTCGCAGTACCGCTGGCTGTAGAGCAGGGCGCGCACCTTGTCTGCGTTCTTGCAGCCGCGCACGACTAGGGGTTTCGTGTGCCCGTAGCTGGGGGTGAGGTCGTCCGAATCGGACGCCGGGCCGCGCGGTTCGCGAGCCCTCCAGAGGGCTAGAGTCGTGTCTCGAGAGCCGGTCACGTAGAACTCGTCGTCGAGCCAGGCTAGATCGAAGATCCAGTCGTTGTGGGCTCCTTCACCCACGCAGACGGGGTCGAGCGTGGGCAGGCGGTACACGGCCGTGTCGTTCGAGTACAGGGCACCCGTAGCGAGAAGCGTCCTCGACGGATTGATCTGGAGAGCGTGGATGCCGCACGGGTTTTCGGGCGGCGGACTGACCTTTGAGCTGTGGAGGCTCGGGATCTGATAAAGCTTGCCGTTGCCCACGTCGAGCACCATGAGTTTGTTGCACTTGGTGCCGAACACGACCTGCCGGTCGGACAACCACGACGAACAGAAGACCTTGTTGAGGCGGCCCAGGTCGATTTCGTGCTGGCGGTACAGTCCGTTCTGGAGGAGGTGACGAATGCCGTAGGTCTGGTTGACGCGTAGTCGCTGTAGGTGCTCCAGGCCCAGCTCGCGGCTGTTGGTGTAGTCCGCGAAGTTCTTGGAGGTGCGCTTGGCGAAGCGGAACTCTCGGTTGATGAAGTGTTCGAGCCGCTTCGGGTCGTTCAGAAGGCGCGTCCGAGACTCGGCGACGAGTTCGGGCCAGGGCGTCCTACTACTGCACACGGCGTCTAGGGACGATTCCTCGTCGTCCGTCCGGAAGCCACTGATACACAGTTTCCTCACGTGTGCCATAATGCTCGTAGGGACGCTTGTGCTGCAGCGCAGCTGTTTTGCGAGGGGTGATGTTGACTACAGTACGCTTAATCTACTTTTAGCTTGCCGAGGTAGGCAGCTGGACAGGAGACGGCCATGATGATGCACGGCGATGGTCGGCTTTTGTTGAAGCAGTCCAGGGGGCACCAGTGAACGTACCTAGAAATGTTGCTCACTGATGTTTAAAAATCTAGACTTTTATTCACTCCGTAACAACCCGTATATGGGGAAAATATATGCTTAATCATAGTATGTCATTAATTGATAACGTCGGCTCAATTTGTATTTTGAGGGTGTAATTTGATTGACTACTTTTATCGTTTCCGACTCGAAGTAGTTTTCGAAATCGACAGAAGCTTAGCCAATGCTATTCAATCCAGCCAATTCTCCATGGATCTAGCGGGTTCTCTCTATCGGCGGCGGAGCTAAGAACAGCTCTTTTTTTCCGAGTTTTCTTATTTACGTAGCTTTCAATTCGTCGTACCTCAGTGCTGCTCTGACCAAGCTGTAGAAACAGTTGATCGTCGTCTCTAACGGTTAGCTGTGCCACCAACCACCCTGTGAAAGTGGTCCTAGCGTGAGTGCCCAACTTGGTCGCATTCGCCCCAGCATCGCATCTGAGCCAAAATTCGTCCTTTACCCGATGAATTTCAACTGATCTTCAATTAGATTAAAGGCTCCAGTATGCCCAAACACGACCCGTTCAGCCCGAAGGGCATCGCAAACCGGATCAAGTCTAAGGGACTCCAGAAACTACGCTGGTACTGCCAGATGTGTCAGAAGCAATGCAGAGATGAGGTAAAGGTTCCCGTTTTTTCTCCTTATTTCCTGGTGTTATGATAGCCATTTCCTAATTAGGCTAGAATAAAAGAATCCGAAGAAAGGCCCTTTTTTTTATTTTGGCGAGGTTTCGCGGTTTTTGTGCGGCGTGCGGTTCCCCGCCATGTTTCACGGATAAACGGAGGTGACAGCCTAGGCACTTCACACACTGCTGCGCACAGAATACGCAAAATCATTCTCCACTACCGTTAAAAATTTGGTGAACGCGAAAAGATTACATTGTCATGTGACGTCACAGTATATCCCCGCCAAATTCTGTGGGGGAAATTGGGATTTGAAGTGACATGATTTCACCTGACACAGCTAGGGATGTCATAGTTTGCCACGTCACGTCATGTGACGTCGCAATTCCCCCGCAGAATTTGGCGAGGAAACGCTTTACACGATATCAGTGTCAAGTGACATCGTCTCATAGGACGTCAAAATTTCCCCCCTAAATTGAGCGGCGAAACTCTACTAGAGAAACTGCGATTCCCCACAAAAATACAGTGGGAAACTTTATATTTACACCAAACAGCGTAAACACGCCAGGATCTACCGTAGAACCTCGCCAATAACGTATGTTAACAGAAAGCTGACATGCTTTCCGTATGCAGAACACCAGAGTGCTTCTTCGTCCAATCTTGACGGTCAAACGTAATGCTAGGGTTAAATGTAATACTTTCTTTTCTTCGATTTCTGTGCAGAATGGCTTCAAGTGTCACACCATGTCGGAGTCCCATCAGCGTCAGCTGCTGCTGTTTGCCGAGTGCCCAGGGAGGTACCTTGGCAGCTTCTCAAAGTGAGTCATACCCTTCCAGTTGTTTAGAAATTATTTTTGTTCATTAAATTATTTAAGCATGGTTAATATTTCTAAAATGGGGTGCCTGTTAGTTTTGTGGTATGGATGAAAAGAGTGCCTTAAAATTATCATGGTGCATGCCTTCTGGTGTGTGCGTTCTCAGGATTTGTATGCAAACTTCAGAATGGCTATATTTTGCCTTCCCATTGTGTAGCAGGTATAAAAATACTGCTGCCTTTGGGTTTAATTTGATTCTGCGAATTTGGTTAGAAGTGGATGTTAATTGGCCTTTTTCGATGATGCCAGAAAGTTTGTGGTCTCCCCATACAACTGTTTGTGTTTCTAGCTCAAAGTAATGCGTTACTCTTTTTTTTTTTCAGTGAGTTTGCTCAGACCTTCCTCGAGCTGCTGAAGAGAAGATTCGGTGAGTGCTCTCTTGTCTGCTGGTGCATGTCGCTGAATCTCTTTGCGATAATCTCCGCACTCTTTCTTTGTAGAAAAATCGCCTACCATTTGAGTGTTCCCGTTTGTCGGAGCCTTTGACACAAAGTTGCTCTTGTCCTTCCACTAAACGCACTCGTCAACTAAATATTGCGGTACGAGTTACTTTGTGCAGTTATGTTCGGCTTTCTTTCTTATCTTGCCACAGGTTCCTTGATTTCTTCCATTTTCGTCACATGTCAGCCTACTACCAGATGACCATTAAAGCTCGTTCATACATTTGCGTTTCAGTGTGATGGGCTGCGTATAACTGTATAACTAAGCAGAAGGTTTTGCAGCATTTCGGAGATCAAATCTACTCACCACCTACAAGAAATATTTGTTGAGAACATTGTCGGAGCCATTTCAAGCACTTGGTGAAAGAATGGTGCTTAAAATATACACAGATGGGAGGTAGTTCCGGGGCTGCCCCATAGGTTGAGCCAGTGCGTCCATTCGTCATATGTAATCACAAGCGATCGCCGCGCATTCAATCACGCTTTGTGGATTTCATCCAGAATGAAAGCGATCCTAGTGGCCAGATGCTATGTGAAGCATCTTGGGTACCGGTTGGCTACTAAATTTCGGTTTTGATCTGCCAACCTCACTTTACGACGCCCCATCACGACCGAATACAGTGCTAGCATTTCTGAATGTGCTACCCTTCCTTAATTGCGGGTGGAATGGCAGGGCACGTTTTTTCTGGGCTCTTGACGTGCCAGAGTTTGTGCGCAAGTAAACACGGGACGACGACAGCACGGGAAGCAAGAAGTATACCGTGCCAGTCGTCCCTTTCTATCGTCTTCTCGCTGTCTTAGGCTTTTTAAATTATCCATGAGACGGGAGGGTTGTGCTGCGCTCTAGACTGGAGGGCACCAAAAAGGTATCTGACGGGGCAGGTCGTACTCCTCCTCGACAGGCCCTTCAGGAAGCCTAGGCAGGCCCTTCAGGCCGCCAGAGGTTTGTGTTTTTAGAGGGGCTCTCGCGAAGACGAATGAGTGCTACGTGAGCGAGCGCCGACTTTATTTTTATGTGGTGCCGAGTCATACTACCCCATCAACAGGGTGATCGAGACCGAAACCGTGCCACTCCTCCTTGCAGCTAACCAGGTCACATGATGCAATGCGCGCAGTTCTACACGCAGAAATTTTTGGAAGTAGTATGTCGCGCACGTGTGAACCAGTCTTTAATAAGCAACTCGGGGCAGCATCACGGTACTCCGCAAATCAAAGGACAAAACAGTAAATGATACGTGTTTCCAGCCCTCCAGAGCCCTATCGCAAGGACTCCGCCGTAGCGATACGGTGCGTGGAGCGCGTCTCCAACTGGTGCATTTGGCGCACCCTCGAAAGTGGTTCTTCGATTTCCTCCTGACGACGTCGTAAAAGTGTTACGCCGTTCCTCCCCAAGACCCCGGTGGTGGCGCGGCGGCAAAGTTCAGAATGTCAGACGCCCATTCTGCCGTAGGTCGCTTTGCAGCCGGACGGTCGACGGAAATGAAAGCAGACGTGAGACGGGAGTTCGCGACGACAGCGACCCTCGCGTCTTTGCTCGCCTTTTTTCGGCAGTATTTCTACGACCGACTGCTGGGATCGCACATATAACGGCACGACGTGCTAGTTCCCACGGCCCAATTTGCATCCACTTGGGAACCGCTTTTGACGCACAAGCGGGACAGAACAGCAAATGCTCTGTTTGAAGACGCTGGTTTGTTTTTCGACTCAACCGGACCGTTGTCCCGATTTCGATTGCAGGTACCAAGCGCGTGCATGCTAACCAGGTGTACCAGGAGTACATTGCGGACAAGCTTCACCTGCACATGAACGCCACCAGGTGGCTGACGCTGACGTCGTTCGTCAAGTGGCTCGGCCGAGAGGGCCACTGCACCGTGGACGAGACCGAGAAGGGCTGGTTCATCACGTGAGTCGCGCGTCCGCGAGGGATCTTGGGGTTGGGGAAGTGACGAGCGCCGTCCCTTAGTTTTTGCGTGCACGGCTGAGAAGGAACGCTTCTCTATACTTCTAGAAGATTTGTGTTTACTCTTGCACCGAGTGTAATAGATAAGGAGCCCAGCGTGGCCTCGCTTAGTCACTGGCACTAGAACAACGGCACGCTCTTGCTCTCGCCAGCTATCACGCCGACATCCCGACGCTTGCTGCTGCTGTCTTCGACGCTCTCTGCTGCTTTCTCGACGTTCATTCTTTCTTTTGTTTCTGGCACAAGATCGCCGATTCAACCTTTTTTTGTAGTTTTACGCTTGTCGATTCATTTCTGTCCACGACAACATTAACGCAAAATGCGTTCAGCTCTTTCTGTATCGCGAGGAAAACATGATTTCGTAGGAATGGACGAAAATATTTTAATTTAAGGAACTAGTTATCATGCTGCTAATTACGATCAGTGTCGGGAAGTACAGGGATTTTCAAATGGGGCTCCGCGAACCCTTTGTGGTTCGCAAAGGCATTCTAGGGGTCCGCAAAGCGCTGCATCATCAGCCGAACCTGGCGATAAAAGTTGTCTTTTCTCAGGCCGAGAAGAAATGTTTGTTTTCGGGCGAGTTTTCTCATGTGTATGTCAATAAGAGAGATCTACTTCACACTAGCTTTTAGTTATATCCATTTAATCAATATTTATTGTATTTAACGTATACATTTCCCCTCCCCTCACCACGAACGGGGTCCTCCACCATCTCCGCCGATCCACAAGGGGTCAGCGAAACATCGATGGTTGAGAACCACTGCTTTAGTACATTGTACTTAAAGGGGTACTCCACCGATTTTTTGAGCTACCTCAACTAACTATATTTTCTGACTCCCCGGCCTTTACTCTCTCCGGTATGCTATTTAGAATCGCGAAATTCATAATAGTTATTGCGAAATCGGCAAATGAAAATGATGCAAAAACCAACATTCAAATATATGCGCGCTTTTGAGGGCCGTGACGTCAGTGGCAGGCAGGCTTGCCAGTCGAGCAAGCAGCCAAAAAATAGAATATGCCAATCATTTGTTCCGTGCTGGAGCGCGGGTACTACAGCGAGCTTCCCAAGCATTCATTTGACACTATGAAACTGCTTCGAATCAGTTTAAAACAAAATCTACAGCCCAAAGAGTGAACCCCTGCCTTCCACTGACGTCACTTTTTCATTGTTGCCAGTAGAGACTTCGAGCTTGAAAAACACGGTGAGGACCAAAACTGTAAATTCAATAACTTCGCGAAAAAACAATATTTTGACCTAATATTTGGGATACTATTTTTGCGATGTTTGTTGGTTAGTTTAGCAAAATTTCAAGCAAATCGGAGACAATGAAAAAATCGGTGGAGTAGCCCTTTAAAGTACTACTTCAAGGAGGTTCGAATAACTTGCACTTTACTTGAGATGCTTGAGATTCTTTGAGTATGTACTTCTGCTTTACTTAAAGTATTTTTTCTAATACCTTCTTAAGGAAGTGCAACACCTGACTTTAAAGCACATTCCCCAAATTCGGCCTTGTTAAATTTGTATCACTAAATGATGCTTTGTCAACTCTGAAGAAATCCTGGGAGCGACCGTTCGCACTTGCCGGAAACGCAAGCAGACGACGCATTGTTCTGCTTGTACTGGGGGCGGCTTTTCCGCAGCCATTTTAACTCTTGCTACTTCTCGCTCGGTCAGCGCAGTTAAGGAGGTTAAAAATATTAGGTGAGGACACTCGTCCATGAGAGGATTGCTTGCAGAAGCTACAGGGCTGACATCATGCTCTCTCTCTTTTGTGAAAGATTGTGTTAAGGAGGGGCACTGGCTAGAGGTCGAACTTCTGAACTACTCAAGTGATCACAATGAAATTTTCAATGGAGATTAAACTTCAGACGTAGGTGTACTGTGGAAACTTTCAGCTTTCTAGGGAAAATTTACATACCTGCATAAGTTGGTGTGTCACTCTTCGTTAAGAAATCTGATATGCAAATGAAGCTATTAAGCGCCATTTTGACTGCTTGAATATGAAGTGGGGGTTATGGGACTTTGGGCTATTTAGTTTTAATAACTCAAATGTAAATATTTCAGGAAGAGTGATTACCTCAAAATATGAGATTCATATCTGTCCTACGTCAATTTTTGAAAATCTTATTGTTTTATCACTGAGGACTTTAACTTAAAACAAAATAAAGTAGATAGCCCGATTCTCCAGTAAATTTCAGTTCAGAAACATGTTGTTTGTGGTATCAGAATACTTTCACCTTCGAACAAAAGATTCCTTCGTATGAAATTTGCAGCAGAAAGTGGAACTGAGAAAAATGCATCCAAACATTGAACTCCTTTACTTCGCTACTGCCTCACAATCTGTTGAAAATATTTTATATCAACGTAACTATTGGGCGTATGGTTATCAAATTTAGTGTAAGGGCATATAATTAATTTCTAAAACCAAAAACTGCAAAAAAATATTCTAAAAATTTTTTAATTTAGGCTTATGTCCCCCCTTAAAATATACTTGTACTTTACTTTGAAAGTACATCGTGTTTATATTACCTTACTTCAAGTACATTGCACCCGGTGTACTCACTACTTTACTTGAAGTACATAACCTAATTTACTTTAGTACTTTGCTTCAAGTATTATGAGGTGTACTTTACCCAACACTGATTATGAAACATCAAAATAGCCAATAAGCGGCTCTCTAGAAGAAAAGAGGTTTAAACTAATGATCTTTAAAAATTCTGCCAAATTTAAACGCTGAACCTGGAAATTGTGCAAATATGAGTAGAAAAAGACAAAAAACTTGTGGCTATGTCGAATCAAAAAAAGAAGTCCTATAGATAGCATTGATAGAACCACTTCATGCTCTTTCTTTTTCAGACTCGGTAAGAATGCCACTGAAGGGCACATTATAGGGTTTTATTTATTTATTTATTTATTAGAAATACTACCGGTCCTACACAGGACCAAGGTAGAAGTGGAGGTTACACAACACAAGGAAGCTTCACACAAAATGCACATATCAATACACTCGTTCCAATACATTTCGATTAAAAAGAAAAACCAACAGTTAACAACTTGGGGAACCACCAGTCGAAACGTCTGACTTACGAAAAGCGAATTCTTCTCGACTCGCGGACATATAAAGCCTCAACAGTGTCACATCGTGCCATGGTGCCACCAAGTGTGACATGATCACATGATGCTGTCACGCCAAGACATTGCGGGTAATGTTAAAGCCTACCTTACGGCACCGAAGCGAACACGACTCGCATCTGGCACCCTTTGTCGACACGTCTCTGTCGGGCCGCCAGTCGAAACAGTCACGTTCGGGTGCCCTCGACATTCCTAATGCCGTTGTAACGTCTTCCTCGCAACAACAGGTACATAGACCGTGACCCAGAGACAATCAAGAAGCAGGAGGCCCTTGCCAAGAAGGAGAAGCTGGACCTGGACGATCAGGACCGCTTGGCCCGGTTCATCGACAAGCAGATAGAGCGGGACCGGCAGCGCACAGCGGAGCCTCCCTCGACCGCCGACGCCAACTTGGCGGAGTTCAGGAGGGAAGACGAAGAGGAGAAGGGTGAGGTTCCTCTTTCCTGCCTTTGTCGAGCCGGCTTATAATACCTCCTGGATATCGAGGCCATTGTGCTGAACGGTCTGTGTCACCTGACGCGGGCCAGAGCCTGGCACAGATGGGACGCCACGCGCTGACCGCTCAAAGACGACCTTAAAAAATAAAAAAAAACAGCAATACAGTTTTATTATACGGGGCATTTCTCGAATCTTGAGCCAAATTGTTCCTGCGAAAAATATGCATTGCACAGAGAAACGATTGATGCGTAGTGGTCTCTGCCAGAGGGTTCAGTAATAGAAATTATTAGCTATTGATGTTTGAAAAGATACAAGTGCCGCGGTCATGAAACAAGATATTTATTAAATAGCACGAGGAAACAAAATGTAATGTCAAACGTTGTGTAGCCAACACAAAAGCTTTTATTTTAGTTCAATGTGCCTTCCAAAGTAATAAAAGTAAAGAAATCCAAAATATAAATTTTGTACTCTTTTTTTCTAGCAGCAAGTCTTGCAAATTTGAAAGTCCTCCTTGCAAAACTTCTTGTTAGCCCCTGTGATGACCGTACTGCTCCTCGAAGCCCCAAACAAATCGTCTCATGCGTTCGAATCGTCACTACGTAGCCAGGCACGGAGCCAGGATTTTGATTTGGGGGGGGGGGGGGGGGGGGGGGGACCGCTGGATACATGCCTGTATGTGGCGTTACGCCGAGGTCAGATCAGTCTTGAAGAAAACTCGACTCGCTAGGTCAAGGTGCTCAGCTATGTTGCTCTAATCGCTCGTTCTCTTCTTCCAGTCGTGTTCAAGCTTGCACCGTCGTCTTCCAAGCAGCCAGAAGACTCAACAAAAAAGTGAGTATGTCAGACAGTACGCTGCTTGACAACCCTTTCTTGCCTGTCTTTGTTTGACCCGAGCGACCGTGTTACATTAGGAAGCTACATGGTTTCGACTTAAATCTTTTCATTCAGCTAGTTGGTTCATGATGTCAAAGGTATTAGAAAGTGCAAAACGACCGGGATGAAGAAAAGACTCAAACGCCACTGATATGTGATAACTTACAGTTGACTTTATCAGCTGAAAACCTGTGTCCGTTCGTACTGTTTGTCTTTTTTTTCTCCCCGTCTTCTTGCACTTTTCAGTAGCTTTGAAATGGTTTCAGCGTTTTAGTTTTCACAGCTATAGTTGTTACGGGCTCTTCCCGCCACTGGAAACGACGCCCGTTGTTGACGTAGTTGGCGTAGAGTGTCCGTTATCGATGTTGCCAAATCGTTGAAAAGCGATTGCTCACTGCTCACAGGAATCAAACCTAGGTCCGCCGCATACAAAGCAGAGGCATTACCACAGAGCTACGCCACAACTTAATGTCTTGCTTTATTTGTAGTAAAGTATATCCCACTGCATGTGCTCTCTGCAAAAAAAGAAAAAAAAAAAAAGAATAGCCGATAACAAAATGCTGTTGTAGCACTGATAACACCAGCAGCTCGAGCCGGAAGATGTGCTTTCGTGCTCTCCGGGACAAAAATGGAACAAAATTGTTAAGAACAAAATTTGTAGCACCCAATGGCCCCTGCACGCGCTCTCTGGAAAAAAAAATATAGCCGATTACAAAATGCCATTGTAGCATTCTCAATGCCTGGAGCTCGTACCGAGAGAGGCACTTTCACGTGCTGCAGAACAAAAAAAATTAACAAAAGCGGTCGGAACAAAATGGCCAGATCTCTATTTTGTTCTGAACGCTTTGGTTCACGCGTGTGCATGAACGCGACGCCGACGCCTAACGACTTTGCCGTGACGTGTCGCAGCTCTTGCTGTAACTATAGTGCGGATGAACTGCTCAATTGTTTGTTGTCTTTTGCTATGGACAATATAAATTCGTGACTCGGATTACGTGGAGCAAAAACCCGCACTGCAGAACCCAGAAATTTCAGGTTTGATCTCCAGCCCCACCCGTTTCAACCTGGACAAGCATCCTACCAGCGTGCGGGCAAATGTCTCTACGGCATGGTGCACGTTAAAGGGGCACTGACACGTCAAAGTCATATTTTTTTTATTATTATCCGAAACGATTGAAAATTATTCCCGGACATTATCCTCAAACTTCGAAACTTGGGAATTCAGTTTTTTTTTAAGTAAAAAAACAATTTCGAATGCCGAATTTGAAGTTCCCGCGCGATCCGTGCCAGTGCAGTGAAGTCAAATATTGAGGCGTCCTGTAAGTCGAGGTTTTCCAACGCCTCCGAACCGCCCTAAGTGTCACGTTCGCCAGCGTCCCGCGAACAGCCTTTCTTTTCTTTTAGTTCTTTTAGGGCCCTTTCAGCGATCTCAAATTCTTTAAAACGGTGTGAGATGGAAAAGAATGTACAGTGGACTTTTTTGACCGGCTTTGAGGGGCCACTTCAAGCTGGTTCTGCGTGAAAGGCTGCCCCGGCGGAGTCACAACCGAAACTACGGTACACAGACACGAAACCCAGTTGTTTTGGCCGTTTGACAGTTTCCTTTTCGAAGTCTGAGAGGTCGTCGGGCACCTGAAAAACACAATTTCGTCCGATTCCCCAGCTCACCGACCATGCTCTGCTATATCCGTAGAGCGCTGCCATGTTTTCAGAGCGAGGATAAAAAGCCAGGAGGCAACATCCCTTCAGACTCCAATTTTTGGTATTTAAAAGAGGGCCGTAGTGCGTTCGCGATTTCGTTAAAAAACATGTTTTATGAATGCCGTTATTAATTGTTATAGAAATGTCGCTTACAAAGCTTTTAAATTTCATGATATTTGACGTCACAAATCAAAAGCGAGGAGGCGGTTAAAATTAAAAGTGCGCGTGCATGTAGTTAATTTTTTTTTTCGCATTGCAGTATTTTTTTTTTTTGTGTCTATGACTACAACTTGCATCATTTTAGACAACAAAAAACGTTCAGCCTTTCCACTCTCGTGAAGAAGGAAGACCAGCGGAGCTGTACTCGACACACTGCCGCAACGCGCACGCGCCCGATTCCCGCTGCTTCTTGTCTGACACGCCGCCGATCGTGGATATGTCTCCGGCGAACCAGAGTCCGGCGCATATGACGCCAAACGGTTTCTTCATGAACTCCCTCCGGAACCTCACCGTTGCACATGGGAACTGTTCAGCCAGCGTGGAGTGCATTCATCGCCGGGCCTCGCGCTTGCGCTTGGCCTCCGTGGCACGATCGTCGTCCGTGGCATTGGCCCGCCGGCGTTCTTTACATCGCTGGTTCTGTTCTCGGCGGTGGCTTTCCAGGCAAGCGATGTGCTCTTTGGCAAGGGAATCTGAAGCGCTGGACGCAGTGGAAGTCGAGGCGACAGCGGCTTTGTGACTGTTGCGGACTCATTTGCGCTGCTGCGTACGTTGCCACTCCTTCCACAGCCGCGCGCGGCCGACCTATCGTGAGTCCAAACCGAAACTGATAAGAGCGTAGGAAACAGCGTGCAAAACAGACGAGAACGAAGAAACAAACATGACGAGCGCTGCGCTCGTTTTGTGTGCTTCTTCTTCGTTGTCTGTTTTTTGCGCTGTTTTCTACGATGAATTCCCACCAACGCGCTAACTATCAATTCTTCTGTGATAGCTGGAAAGGTTGCTGCTATCTACGAGCGACGGCGGAAACCAGACTGGTTGTGTGCTTGCCGCCGTCGCCTATAGATGGCGGTAGCTGTCCAGGTAGGTTTGTGTTGACATACCGGACACAATCCTGGGGAACCTAGCCCTTAACAGCTCCGCTGTAAAAAACTTGACTCTGGCGTGTCGGTGCCCCTTCAAAGACCCCATGCTGGCGGTGGGACAGCACTGGCTCAATTTCTCGTCTAAGCGTAGACACCAGACACCCTCGTGGGCCGACTAAATGTACATGCAACGCAAATTGTCGTTTGGTGTTCGTCGAAGATTGGTTTACATTCCCTTCTGGTTGTAGGGAGGGGCAGCCCAGGTCGAATCCGCTGGAGATGACCGCCAAGGCTGACAAGCACAAGGCGGCGCCGAGCGAGTGCGAGGTGCGGCCAAAGAAACAGGCCAAGAAGTCGGCCCTGGACGAGATCATGCAGGAGCAGGAGACGAAACGGGAAAAGCTGAACCGCAAACCCTACTGGGTCACGGAGGTGAGGCGCCGCGTTTACCTCCGCTGCCATGCGTGCTTTCCTTCGCTGGCATCTTTATTCGAACGAGCGTTTACTTGTTTGCGCTTGCGTAGAACTCGGCGTTATGGTGTCCCGTGCATTCATGAGGGCGCCCATCAAACCACTCTGCCATCTTGGCCGCAAGGCGGCTATGCAGTTGCTTCACCTCAGACACAATCACATGGTCGTGTCGCCTCGGGGTTGATTGGGATTTCGAATTCGGCTCCCGAAGTGCCGCTTTCTCTCCTAGACACTGGATGGTGCTGCAGGCGCCCCAATCCGGGCAAGGAAAAACCGCCTCGCCCATCGATCGATATAGTCGGGGGCTGGGAGGCAAAAGTCTCTTAGTACTCCAGGAAGGCACCGAAAACAGGCAAGTGTGTGCGACCGGATCTAGGGTAATCGCGGGACACGAGGCCTGGGGGCTCTCTTTGTGTTTAACTCTAACTTTATGGGCGTTTGTGAATATTTGTGTAATGTCGCGGGTATTTATAGTTTAGATTAAGTGTTTTGTAGTGTTGTGTTTTATTGTACCAATAAACGGGGGGCGGAATCCCGCTCCCGTGAAAGAACCAGGCTGGACTCGGGTTGTTGGTGGACCACGTAAGAAACGGCGAATCGGCGGCGGTATGCGAATTCCTGCAGCTTCGAACGAAAGTTCTTTCTTACGAACGACGAGCATTGTGCCGGCATACGTGCCTCTGTACGATCTGTCATGCAGGGTGCTTGTTCGTCACACCACGTGAAACGTTGTGCTCGACTGGCCATCTTAAGGCGAAAGCCTTATATGTGTCATCGTTCAGTCGACCTTCAAAGTCCTTGAGCAAAAACACATTGACAACACGAAAAGTATGAAAACACGTCGGCGACGCGAAAGGTACCAAAACCCATGGTTCACCACGGGACCACGAGATGGCGTTATTTGTGACAAAATCGGCGGAGGTGCAAGCGTGGCGCAAACCCAGCAGGACGAATGACACTCTCGCTTGGGCAGCAGTGAAGAGCAGGCGTGCGACACGCCGTGAGATCAACGGCGCCAAATGTGCATCATCAAAGAGTGCACCGTCTTCGGTGGTTCGTTATCACTGGGATCGGCACTTGGGCTTTCGCCTTCAGGTCGTCTTGGGGATGACATAAGAGACCTTGTGAATTTTGTTTATTTACGGTAGAGAGCAGCGGTGCCATGTTTTGAGGTGGGTCGACCTCGCATTCCGTTCCGGTCTGAAATTATTTTGCTGGAATTGGTGTTGGTGGAAAGAAAAATTGCACCTGCATACGAAAAGAACATAAAGGATTGATTTTTGCGGTGCTCCTGCTTTTTTGCGGTCTTCTAGCAAAACTTCATCAGTGTGCAATAGTTTCCAAAGCATTCTCCAGAGTGGAGGCTACTGTCATGTGCATTAACTTCATCTTCGTTGCTAGCATCACTACACTCGACGGTGGATGTCTCCTCGTCATCAGAAGGAGGGACATAATTGACATCGTCACGAAGATCATCTTTTTTGCTTTTGACGAAATCTCGCAATGAGTGCCCGTAAAATGTGGCACACTTTCTCATGCCTGCAAAATTTAAAGTGTGCTCAACCGCTCTCGAATGGTTTTGCTTTCTATGGGAGAAACTCAAACAAAAACAAAAATAAAATGTTAAAGGGACATGCACCAGGGTAAGCTGTCTCATGGAGCGAGCCGACAACATCAGCTTTGAAACCACGCCAAACGGCTCTTTTACATGGCTTCGATCCCATTGGCTAGCATGCATCCACAGCCAACAGCACCTTTGAGACCACTGCAATCCCATTGGCTAGCGCGCGTCGACCAGGCTTCCATTTGCCGGACACGCAGCACCATAGGGTGGCCGGTCGTTGAAACTGACGCTGCACGTCAGTTTCAACAACCGGCCACCTCATGGCGCTGCGTGTCCTTCAGCGCTAGAGTTCCTGTATAGGCTCCCTACAGGAACCAGAGTTGCACTTCTGTTTTCTACGTGCCGCCGCGCCACTATTCGCTGATGTGCAATTATGTGAGGAGCCGGATCAAGTGCCGTGCAGGAAAGCAGACATTGCACACGCCCCAGCGTACGTTCCCCTGCTTATGAGCTCGCCGCAAGCCGCGAATGCGCGGCACCGCTATTTGCCGAATTCAGTAATGTGAGGAGCAAGATCAATATGCCGTGCAGGGAAGCCAGCACTACGGGGATGAACGCGCAACTCTGGCTCCCGTAGGGAGCCTATACAGGAACTCTAGTCAGCGTCAGTCAGCGCAGCAACACGCGTAAGCAAGATTGATGTACATGCTTTCGCATTCACAACTCGTAAGAAGTGCTTAGGTGTACCTCAATCTTTTTATTTACGATGTCGAAATGAAATTTTCACAGTTTATGGTGCTTATTTCTCTCTTCACAAATATGGCACTAGATTTGATATAGCTTGTTTTTTTTCGGTTCTTGATGCAATGTTCATGCAGAAAAAACCATGCTCTTGCACAGACGTGAGCCATGGCTGATATGGTCTGGCAACTTTGGGTCTCGTGCTAAGTTTCTTCTTCTATGTTTAGATGATCTCTATCTTGTTGAATGCCAAGCTGGCTGATTGAACGCATGTTTTGTGTGTAACTGCTGATGGCTCAGTCCAATAAACCCTTCAAAATGTAACATAATGGCGACAACACTTAAAAAAGCCTACTAATGGCAAAAACGCCATTTCAAGGGGCTAACAAACATTGCTAAAACTTTCAGAAATATGAAAATATACGTTCTAACCAAACTTAGATAGTTGCATTCTACATATTCTAAAGTATATGCATGCCAAATTTGATTGTGATAGGACAATATTAAGGAGAGAAAGTTTTGTGCACAAAGTGTGAAGATGCTTCAAAATTACAAAAAAGAAAAATGCATTTGAATGTTCCCATAGATGTGTAGCTATACTCTTTCGCAGTGCATAAAATAATATTCTGTTAATAAATTTCCGTGAGAAATCGAAGCTACAAAGGACTGCAATGGAGAGGAGACGGCTAGGCCCACTGGTCAACATACGGTAGATGTGATGGCAGTTGACATCACAACTTGAAGAACCACGCAGAGAAAAATGGCTCAGATTCACGCCGTTCTGGGTTGCCTTAAAGTCTTCAAAGGTGTATTTGACTAATTTCACAATCATGACTGGCTCTAATTATTTTCATACATCAAATATAAATATTTAAAAATAATAAAACATTGTAAAACTCAAAGTCACATTTTTTGCAATATGTTGTTTTTCAAGCTGTATGGTGCCTCCAGTCCAGCAAGAAAAAGCAGAAGGGCAAATTTAAACGAGTGTGGAAGAGACGTTTCGGCCCGCGGCCAACTTATGACCGCAAAGTCATTTCTATGACTTTACGTTTTGATGTTTCACCTTGATGGACAGTTGATCTGAAGTGCTTACACGAAGCCAGCGATACGCACTCAGGCAGTTTTTTTTTGTGCAACATTTTCGTACCTTATTGCCATTTACTTAGAGCATTGTTCATTGGGAGTGCCATGTATATGGTTTGAAGTATGAATGGACTTGCTGTATTTATTTGAATATAGATGGTCGTTTTATTTTTCTAGAACTTCCTTTAAATTTAAGATACTCACCCTTCAGTCGTAACCAGAGTTCTATGTTTTCGGATAAATCCGACAAACACTCAGTGGTAAAATTTGCTTAAAATCTGATTTATCCAAAAAACTCGGAAGATTGAGGTCACAGTGGCAAAACAGAAAGCTAAAATGATGGTGCTTTATATCTGAATTTTATAAAAGCATAGGGTCTTGAGAAAAGGCCGCTTTAGTTTCCTTTAAAATATCGAACTATACTGAATTTTGAAAGAATTGGGAACAAAGTAAAATTAAACTCTTAATTTCAAACAATTGGAAATCTAACAGAAATGAAGTCCAATAAATCCCGAACTTTCAGCAAAAAATAAACTCGGAAAAACACCCTCCGAATTTCACAAGAAATAAACTCTAAAAACATGAAATCCTGGTCATAACCAAAGACGGTTGACCAATGATGCACTTTTGCATGCAGGTCATTGGCCCCTTTCATGATTTTGCTTCTCAAAGAAAGCATGTGTGATTGCAAGCTTTCTGAAGCTACCCTCCCATGCATACTGCATGCGCTTGCACGCAAGGGGCACCAGTTGAAATCGATGCTTGCGACTGTCCACTACGAGCGGAACGTAAGCTCATCGTGCTTTAAAGTTGCAGAAAAGACAACACAAAATGAATATTATACTATCCAAATTTAAATAGGATTTCGTAACAGTGGATTCGGGCTTGCTCGTTAAAATCTCTCCAACTCATTTAGTACCTGGATTGAGCAGCTTAGTTAGTCTGATTCTGTGCTGTTTTTTCCGGTTCGCAGGGCATTGTGGTCAAGGTGATGGCTAAAAAGCTGGGGGACAAGTACTACAAGAAGAAGGGAGTGGTCCAGGTAAGTTCAGGCCTTTCCCCAACGTTCGAGATCGAAGGAGTCGCCGTTGGCACCGATTCCTTCGATCACATAACATTCCACTCGAGGCTAGCTCACAGATTTGTGTTTGCTTGTGACCTAGTGCGTCGTGACCGCTTACTGCGAGGGAATTCAGTGTGGCGGATGGAGTTGCCACTCTGGAGTTGGAATGATTTTGGAATTGTCCTGTGCATCTACGACCACTGAATGGAATAGGAATTAAGCAGCAGCGGCACCGAGGGCGAATGGAGTGGGAATGGAATGGTCTATGTCGTGCTATGTCGATCTTCAGCTAGGGCATACCGCATGCTGGTGCAACACCCGTGATTGGTCAAAGTGTCTCTTAGACCATGCATTTGCATTGCGATTGCACTGTAGCAATTGCGCTTTGTCAGTGGTTCTGCGTTCTTGCCGCAATGCATGGAAATTCGCTTCCACAGCATACTAGCCGTTTTGCAGGTATTTAAAGCTAGCAGCAAGATAGCTTCTTCTTGCGCTACGCACGAACTAGACATATTTAAATCCTAATCAGGCAAACACGCTGTTCATAGTGGAGGAGATACGCTTGGTGCGGCCGCCTCTCGGATTTAGTATATTTGGCAATTTGGGGATGGGTTCTGCATATTTTTTGCAGTTGGGTATGCATTTGATAATGTCAGCGTTTTGCTGTTTTTGTCGGCAACACGACGTAGCCGCCAAGAGCCATTTTTTTATGTCTAGGAATTACAGAAATGGAATGGAACGCTTCAGCCATTCCAGAAGTGGTGTCGGGCCCAATGTCTCCTTAGCTAGGAGTGAAAAGGACCGGAATTATCGGACGCTCTTAATTCCCTGGAATGTACCTGGATTGAAACGGGGTTGGTCATTCCGCAACACTGGAATTCACTGGCACCATCTATAGAGTAGCCCCGGAACATTACTAATCCTCGTACATTTCCGCATTTCGTTACGCATCTTCCTTTTACCGTGGGCATGGAATACTTCTCGCAGTGTTAATAAGTGATCATTTCTCATAGATAACGCATCGATTTTATCTCGCAAAGACTGCAAAGCCTTCTGCCTACGCTCGGCGTCGGCTATTTTGGGCTATGTCGTGGAGGCTAGCGTAGCTTTCCCCATGGTCGAACGCCATCAATGCTTCTTGTGCAAGCGCGTGCGAAGGAGACGCAAGACGAAGCCACATGCTCGCAGCAGCACAGGGCTGCGGCACTGCAGATGCTGCACCAGCCTCAACAACGTAGCGCAGATAAGTCAATGCCAATTATAGACTAAAGGTTTCTTTTAGTTTTATTTTTTTTATAGATCAATACTGCCAGCCTTTTTAGTGCTAAAAAAAAAGTGGCTGATACAAAAAAAGTTTTCTCTTAAAATTTAGAACAAGGCACGCACTCTTTTTTTACCACACACATCCAAACAGTGTTCATAACTTCAGACAAGGCAATATCACTTCATACTAAAGACAGTCTCTTTTTACAATTCAATGTAGAACACAGTAGATAAAAACGTCAAAAGCGCTGCAAGTACACAACTGTAGCACTCAAAAACCACGTCTAAGGTGTTTGCTTAAAGGGAAAAGGAATCAATATTCACAATTTCACTTGGAAGTTTACCGTATTTACTCGCGTACTGAATGCACTTGCATAATGAGCACACACCCCGCAACAGGCATCAATATTTAGACTTTTTTTCCCTGGCGTAATGAATACACCTTCAATCTTCGGCTCAGTGAGTCGAACTGCGTCCAACTTAGCCAGCCACCAAGCCAATTTTCTTTTGCCGCCAAGCAGCTAGGCCAAGTCAAGTCAAGCCAAGTTGCTTTCATAATGGCTGCAAGTCCATAGTTTCGGAAGCGATCAACTGTGGAACCGAGCGTCGCGCACACCTAACGAAGCTGAGGTCGAGAAATTGCCCAGCCCCGTACACGCTTCGGCCATAGGATGCATTGATGTCAACAAACACGCCATCGTCTGTGGTCCGCTTTCGGACAGAAATCGTGAAAGTGGTTAGGCCCAAGAACAGTCTCATCGCTTTTCGTGCTGAGAGCTTCGTAGGGCGCTTTTCCTTCGGCAGAAGGCACACCAAAAGCGCCCTAAAGAAGGTTCGCAATTTATGGAGCATGGTTACTTTGGTGCGCCCACGACTGGCAATGTGTGCGCATCTGTCAGTGGAGACGTGCCACAGTACCCTGCCGTGTCGTATGGGTGCCTAAAATGACATTTATGCAAAGTGTGTACATGCAAAAATACTACCCCACGTAATGAACCCACCCACCAAATATGTGTAAAATTTTCAGGAAGATAAAATGTGTTCATTATGCAAGTAAATACATATGTAGTTTTCTGGAAAATAAGTGTATTAATTATTTATTTATTTATCAATACTGCAATCCCCTAGCAGGGATTTTAGCAAAATGGGTTTACAATATGAAAGTACAGATACATAGCTGGCACAAAAAGACAAAAATACAAAACGTAACATAAAGAAATTCAAAAAAAAATTATGTGAGCAATAGAAATTACTCTGCGTGATTGTCGCATCCCGCCCCAGAAATAGCCTCAGTTTTCAGGAAAAAACTTGTGTTAATTATGCGAGTAAATACGGTATCCCACAATCCAATTGCACGCACAAAGGAAAACTGTTTCGAAGCATTTATTCTGGCATTAATAGGTGGCACTATCTTTGAATCGTGCAAACGCTGAAAGTGGAATGTTCTTGGTTTTATATATTTTGAACCATCTATTTTGAAGAGGTTACCATAATATCCCTGAAATAGAGAGCAAATCGGACAAAAAAATAAGGAGTGGGCTAACTTTCGGTGTACAATCAGAAAAAGTTTAAAAAACACTTTTTAGATCTTTCTCTTTTTTTTTTGTCAAACTTATTATTGCGGCAAGGGGCAATAAAACATGTACTTCCCAGTTAGGAATGTTCGCTTATATACCGCCAGAGCTAAAAATAGGGGTGGGGCATCTCTCGAGATGTTAGAGTATTATAAATCTGGAAAAACAACTCCACCTGCTGACACTCCCTTTCGTTTACCAGTGGCTGTAAATTTACTGTTGATTTAACTCCCGTAACCAACATGGTTCGCATAAAATCTGAAAAGATTACACATGCTGCCAGTGCCGAGGATCCCAGACCGTGGATGCATTTTCATAGATCGGCCTAATAACGGTTTTGTATGCGAAAGCCAGACATACCACTAGGGCAAAGACTGACCTAGTTGACCATTGTTGGACAGCGGGTCACAGTTTTTACTTCGGGAATGCATCGACCTTGGTGCGCGAGCAAGGGTTGGGTCCACGAAGGTACCTAGAATCATGGCGCATCCGGAGTGATTCATCGGCTTGTAGCTCCAACCATCTGGGAGATGAAACATTCAAATAGATTGTTATTTTGTGTTATGTCAAGTCAGTGTAGTTTTTTTTTTTTATGATGAGTCCCGGCTTCTGGAACATTTTTTGCGATTATGATGTTGTCAAAAAGAGGTTCCCTGTTTCCGGGGTTTATTTTTCTTTGAATTCGTGTGCATTCTTACGGCAGTTTGCTCTTTTCAACAGGTTCTGCGTTTTTCGGTGTCAATTTTCAGACGTCGGACAAGATATGGGTGCTTATTGAACTTACAATAAAGAAAAAGGAGACAAGGGCATGGAATTATTCAATCTCCAGAAAACATGCTCGTGCCCATAATACTTGGAAAACGTCCTGGTATTAATAAGAGAGGGATACGGGGTCTGGCTTGCAAAGTGGGAAGTAGCCTTGCAGACAGTCCAATGTGGCTGCGTTCGAAGTAAACACAAAATAAAATTGAAGTTGGAAGATTTTTTTCCGGCAAAGCTTGCGTTTTTTTTAGTGAAGCAAAACTCCAGTTGGCGTTTTTTGGTTTTCTCTGATTCCGATCAAACAGGTTCGGGAGTAAATTATTGGTTTTTATCGGTATTTACCGAAAACGCGGAGCCCTAGTAATGATCCAGAGCGTTCCAATAGACGGCGCTAGTGTGGCAGTGTGCACTTTCATTGTAAGCGGTTAGAAGTGCCCTTGACGCACTCAATAAAACGCAAATGCAAGAACCAGTCTTCACTCGCAAACGACGGGCAGTGTGGAAGACGGTCACCGGACGTTTTGCGTTTGCAGGATGTTCAGGAGCGCTACGTCGGAGTGGTACGGATGCTGGACTCCGGAGACGTCCTGAAGGTGGACCAGACCCACCTGGAGACGGTCATCCCCAACCTGGGTCGCCGGGTGAAGGTGGTGAACGGTGCCTACCGGGGCGAGGAGGCCCTGCTCCTGGAGGTGGACCAGCGAGGGTTCTGCGCCAAGCTCAGGGTGGACGCGGGACCCATCAGCGGACGCGTGCTGGAACGTGTTGCCTACGAAGACTTCTCGAAGCTCCACGTGCCCTCGTGACAGGAACAACCGCTGTCCGGTGCTGGTGCGGCACATTTGACCGCCTCTAGACGCTCGGAATAGGGGAAGAGACAAGTGATGCTGTCGGTGGAAGTTTCGGTTCACCGACGCTGGTTCATTTGGTTTGAGAGCTTGGACTCTGCTGTAAAAGCAAATGAATGGATCTGCAGGGGGTATTCACTGGCGGCCATAGCTGAGTTCCGATGGCGAGCGTTCACAAAGCTTTTGCAATGTGCATTGCGCACCATTGAGATTGCCGATCTTGGGAACTAAGAGTGTGAGCTTGTTATGAGCATGTTTAGTGAACAGTGCACTCAGATATGCCATCCAGTGAATACCTTCTATGGACGGTTCACCAGATTGCCTGGAAATTGGCCATAATATGTAAATATATATCATTGTGATAAGGCATTCAAAAAGTGTCTTTCAGCGTCTTTTTTTTTTTTGGGGGGGGGGGGGGGGGGAGGGGGGGGTGGGACATTAAAGGCAGATGTACGAACAGGACATTCTGCAAGGCTGATAGTCGTTTTCCCTCTCATTTTTGAAAGGTCAAAAATCAAACAGTAAGGGATGGAGGGTAAAAGAATAGAGTATTGAAAAGGAGAAAATAAACAAAGCATTAAAAGGCCCCTGAAAAGAAAAAAAAAATGTTTAGTCTGGTTGGGATACGCGTGTCAAAAAATAAATGCTACGCGAAAAAAAAAAAAATTTCAAAGCAATATTGACGGCGAAGGATTTATTTGAAATTCTGCACGCGAAGTCCACGACGTCGGGGTCCATTCCGAAGTGACCATCTCGGTCGTGAAGGCAAAGCCGATCCACCTCTCTTCCACGCTCCCGAAATGCCAAGAAAGAAAATGAATGGAAAAGAGGTAACTGCCGACTAAATCGCGTCTCGCACCGTAAATATTGCTCTAAAATGTTTTTTTTTTGCCTGAAATTAATTTTTTTGCCACATGTATCACAACTGGACTTTAAAAAATACATTATTTTTTTCAGGTTTTTTTTTTTTAAGTGTGTATTCCCCTTCAACTGTGCACACATTTCATTTTTTGGGTACACAGATTTCTATACATCCAGCACAAAGAATAAGGCAAAAAAATTACTATGCAGATGTAATACATAAGCCAACACTCTTGCTACGAATGTAAACGCATTTCTACTTGCACCTAGCTAGCTCATGTGAACTCGCGTTTCATACGTGGTCTGAATGAGCGAGATGATTAATCTTCCGGGTGGTGTCCGCCTGGGCATGACAAAAGATTTGGCATTCATCTGTTCATTGCGCCTTCCATCCAAGGAGATTTTAACCACAGAAGTCAAGGACATCGGCATGCACGCTACTACTACCATCAGAACATCAAGACAAGATAGCCTGCTTACTATAGAATATTCAATACATCAGGTTTGGTCTACTCAGTGGTGTTACTGGGGGGAGGGGTGCAGCTGGGAAGTGAAAAGCAAGGTAGGGGACCGCGGCCGCCCTGGGTGGGGCCGCTGACCCTAGTGACGCCACTGGGTCTACTACCGCATTATGGCCTTATTGGCCTCTATGGTGGCTCACCCTTTCGTGCCACATAACAATGTCTAAGTGCACTTCGAGGCAAAAGAGTAACCCTAAAAAAAATAATCCACAGAATGTTGTTACAGAATATTCAGTTCAAAGTGCATAATACAGTCGAACCCAGATATATTGAATTCAAAGGGGATTGTAAAATAGTTTGATATATCAATAATTTGATATACAAAAATATGTTAAATTAAGCTCTAGTTTTAATTTCCTGGCGTCTCTGTTAATACCGAAAATCGCGGCAAATGGGAGCTTACGAAATGGAGCATCCAAGAGCCGCTAAATACAGTAGAGCATAGTTGGCGAAGACCGCAAACAACGCCTAGCTTACACGTGTACTTGGCCGGGACCTCCACACAGCATAAGCGACAAAATGCAAAAATAATAAGAAAACAAGAAATGAGATTCATAAAAAAAAAAGCATAGAAAAGTGAAGCAACAAAAAAGAAAGTTCATTAAAGGGATACTTCAACAAAATTTGAAATATTCCCGTCGTGTTCAAAAATAGGTTGAATATGATCCACAATATCCGTAAAAGACAATCGCACGTTTGTATTTGAGCCTGGTGGCTGTATTTTTCGTTATAAACGGCCCACTCTGGCAAGCGCTCGGAGAAGGCCCAGCGGAGACCACGTGACATCCAACGGAATCGTGACGTAGGTCGTCTCAGGACGAGCAAAGCTACGGCGAGGCTGACGTCGAGAGGATGGCCTAGTCGTTCCAGCCACCGAAGTGGCTGCTTTTGTACGAATTTTGAGTGACGGGTCAATCTTCTATAATCTTGTAGGGGGACAATAGCATCTTCTGTGACACACAAAAGGCATTCTCGGGAAGAGGGGAGTTCCTCCTTACCCTTTTCTTTCGTCGTGGCCGGAGGCGAGACAACCTCCGTCACTAGCTGTCAAGGTTCCTAGATGAGCATTACAAACGAGGCGTTAGCGACATCAACCAGGTGCTCTTTGCTAATCGTTTAATTCGTTTTAAAATTCCTTTTCGAAACTTTTTTAACGAGATATTGGTATGTTCGATGTGATACTGCTCCTTCGAACACATATAGACCAAAAAATGAGTGCCGAAATTTCGTTGTAGTATCCCTTTAAGCAAGGCATGTAGTTGGGCTAGTTGGTGGTACATACTGTTTGGAGGGAACAGCGCAAAAAGGACGTAGGACGAGGTCGAAGAAACACACAGACAAGGTGCTGACTTACAACTGAAAGTTTATTGCTCTGAAGAAAGAGAAATAAACACAGAAAGAAGGAAGGGGAGAGAACAAACAAATCAAACCAATAACATGCGGCATCACCCACGCCCACGCTCCGCCACACGAACCTGCCACACTTTCTTACAAAATCCACATTGTCATTTGCAAGGGCAACCGAAGGAGCGCTCACACACGTGTCGGCTCCGATAGACACGATAAAAAACGCTTCGTCTATCTCCCTCGCAGTTTTGTTTTTGTGACGAGACAAAATCTTTATGTCACGAAACGACGGCGTGCAACCACACCTGTCACAATGAACCGCTAGGTTTCCTGAGGGCGAGGAGCGCAAAGAAAGGGAATGTTCCCTTGCCCTCACGTTTACACAACGCCCGGTTTGACCAATATACACCCTGCCGCAGGACAGGGGGATCTGGTACACGACCCCGCTTACACAGGCGACAAACGGGGTGCGATGTTTGACGTCGCACACAACGGAAGGGCGTCCCTCTCTACTAACAGCAGCACAAGCACTCCACTGGCGAGGATTGCGCGGGAACTTCAAATTCGGCATTTGGAAATTGTTTTTTTACTTCACAAATACTAAATTCCCAAGTTTCGAATTTTGAGGGTAATGTCCATGCATGGTTTTCAATCCTTTCAAACAATAAAAAAAAAAAGATGACTGCATCTCTACGTGGTGAATGATGTTGATTGGGGCGAAGCTCTGGTGGTGCTGATGATACTGATTTTTTTCATAGGTAGTGCTGATGGTGCTGATTTTTTTTTTTATTGCTCATAGGTAGTGCTCAGTTCCGGGTTGCGTTTTGACTTGATTATTACTGCTTTATGATCGGCGAAATGCAGAGCCAGTGGTTCTTCTAGCGGATCAGCTTGGATCCGCTAGAAGCGTGGGAACAGATCTCCACCGCTTAAGTCAATGGTCCATGTCAGAAAGAAAATGTGTGGTGTGGAACGTTAATATATAGTACGCATTGGAGCATTTTACCGCAGCGCCCTCTCGTCCATAAACATCGGGCCAATGCATGCAAAGTTTAAAGGGGCGGTGCAACGATATTCAATTGGAATGTTTTTCACTTTACACGAGCTTACTGGCAATTGTGAGACTCAAGGATACTCGCACGCAACGCCACTGACCAAGAAACTCCTTTTTGTTGCGCTGTAATTTCAAGGACAAAAGTGATCATTTTCATTCAATCTCTTTGGCAAAATTTGATGACGTAACGTGGGGATCGCAGTACACCCATATGACGATATTTGAATGCGGTTCATAGACTGGACCCGAGCATTGCGTGGACACTCGATTTGGGCTCGTGATAATTACTAGCTCGAGAAGCATTCGGGTAGTCGCCCGTGTCCAATCGCTGCAACGACGACGATAGCCGAGCCATAACAATGTCTGGAACTCAGCGCGTGTCCTGTGCTTTGACAACCCCGGCGCGTGGCTGTGATCAACATTGGCGGCATATAATCGGCTCCAGATCACGTGGCCGCTTGTTCTGGCTGCGAGTTGAGGAAGTGAACGATGCTCGTTTTTCTATAATTTTTTTCCGGGACTTCTATTGCGTGGGGTGAAAAACGAACGCGTGGTTCATAGGTCATTGGCGTCAGGGATCCGTTCTAAGCAGTATTTGCGCAATGTACAAAAATTGTTGCATCGCCCCTTTAAAGGGGTAGGGAAACGAAATTTCAGCGCTCATTTTATAGCTTGAATGTGTTGCATGTTGCACCCTAACCTCAAAAACACCAGTTTTCCGTTGAAAGGCACAAGAAAACTAATTTTAAAGCTAAATAAACGACCTTTCAATGTGCACCTAATGGATGCTTGCGGAGCCTATTTGAGAAGTAGTCTAGCAACGTTGTGGAATTTGCTACGTAGTCGTGACGTAGCAGATTCCTCGGAGCAGCGCCGCTCTTTGGCACTTCAACATCTTCCCTCTTAGCTTTCCTCCTCAACTCACAAGTCGCGCATTGTACCAATCGATCCAAGAAGACGGAAAGGAAGGACTTTCCTGTTTCTCGGACCCTCGTTCGTGCAACCGGAACGGCCATTCTCCCCCTAGAAGATTAGCCCGTCTCTCAAAACAACAAAAGTTGCTTTTCCCACCCCGTTCAGCCCTAAGCTGAGAGTTGTGGAAGCTACGTGCTCCTTGGGCCAGCCACACGCTCGTCACCCCACGGGTACTTCGAACGGCTCGGTTGTAACGCGCTGACGCTATTGACACCACCACAACGCTGACAACGCCACCAAGGGCAAAGCTCATAACCACGCCTGCCTTGCTACTCCACGAACCCGGGAAATCTTTTCTTTCTGTTTTTCTTTGCACCGGATATCCCATGACGCATCGCGCTCTCCGTTCGCTTATCTTCGAGCGCTTGCTCGAGCGCACCGTTTGGAACGAAAAATATAGCCAATCTTTCAAAATACAAACGTGTGATTATCATTCACGGTTATTATCCGTCATGCTTGACTCATTTCCGAACGAAATTTGAATATTTGAATTTTTGTTTCCGAACCCCTTTAAGGTGCAGCCCAACCGTGCTTGACGTTTTGGCGCTTTTTTTTTACGGTTTCTAACCTTCTTTTTATGTATCCTACAATTATAAAGTTAATGTCAAATTA